GCTTCTTTTCCCTCCAAATTGACCCCTTCTTGTTCATTCGATCCTTTCGCTCTTTTCTGGGGGGTTAACTTTACTTGATTATTTTCTCTCCCTCGTGCTTGTTCTTGTCTTTTCCATACTTTCCCAGAGAATTTTCTCCCCCCTATGTCGTAGTTCTCCTTTTGAGAGAATTTCTTGACTGCTCCCACTGTCTTTTGGGCCTCTAGGTTCCTTAAGCCCTTTGAGGGGAGACTGGCGTCCACCTGATCTTCCTGTGTTTCAACCTTCTTCCCCTTGTTATCCCTTGCTGGGGGCATTTGATCAGGTTCCGACCCAGTATCCATTGGGGCAGGGTCCTTTGCTTTAGGCAGTGGTTCCTGGTTTGTTTCAAGTTGCTCCCCCACTTGGTGAAGTGGTGAATCCTTCTCAGAGTTCGATCCAGAACTCTCCATATCAAACTTCCTTCTTAATTGTCGCCAGATATCAGACTCCTCCTTCTTCGCTCTGTGTGAAAGCCAATTCCTCGGAGCTGGCGGGACTGTCCTCAAATCAAAACCAAAAGGGTCTATCTCCAGCTGGGAAGGCTTTGGGCATTTAGTTTTGATATGCCCTATTCTTCCACACGAATGACAGAACAGTGGAAGCTTTTCATATTTGACTTGAAACTCCCTCAGTTCACCTCCAATACTAAGCTTGATCTTCTTCTTTAGAGGATTATTCACAGATATACTGATTCTCAATCTAAGAAAATCATCCCATAACTTCTCAGAGCTATCATCAAAGAATACATATTCCCCTATTCTGTTACCAATCTTCTCAGCCATTGATTGAGTTCGTAGTTCAGCTGGGAACTCCTTTACCTGAATCCAAATTTCCATCTTATGCAGATCAGCAGGTGTTGGCTTCTTAATCCACCAGCTCGCAGTGAAAAGCAGAGCATTATTCTCAAAATGCCACGGGCCTCCATAGCACACTTTATTGCGATCGTCTAGCTCCAAGAACTGGAACGCAAAGAGGTTGTTTCCCAGCTCCGTGATTTGGTAACTCTTCTTTAAACCCCATGCTTTGGTAAGGGCATATTTTAGTGATTTGATATTTGGTTCTTTGTCTGACAGCAGTCTGCCAACCAGACCCAGATGTCGAACCGCCTCCATTCGGACCACATCCACATCAGCGTCTTCCACTTCCAAAGGCTCATCGTCCTCTTCTTCCAAAGTGATATGGTTAAGTTGCTCTTCTAGTCCATCCGTGGGGTTTCCCCCATCGATTGCGATCTCTCCATCAGTTACTTGTCTCGGACGGATATTGGTAGATTCCATCCCTCGTTTGAGGCCTTGTAACCTAGACTTGTTGATTAGCCACCAGTTTTGTTATCGCTTCTTGATTGAAACAATCCTCAGAAACTTTGTGTTGATGCCACACAATCGTCTGTCAAAACTCTAAATAGCTTCCTACCCGCACTGATTTCTTTTCCAACTCGGATACTGCTATCGCTCTGGATCTTTCCTTGAAACCCTAGGGTTTCCGCCGTCGCTCAAACTCTCGCCAGCCGAGAGAACTTTTTTTTACCATGCATATTGTTATTCTTATCTACAGTATTATTATGAATTAGACTTCTTTGGTGCAAATAATTAAAAAAATGAGAGTTACAAACGAAATAGGTCAAAACAAGACTAGGAATGTAATGAGGCGGGATTTTTCTAAATCATCCACACCCCCATTTTCTAATAACCAAATCAATATCGCCTCATACGTTTGCGGAGGGAGGATTCATAACTCTATCTCCATATCCATGGTTTTTGCTACATGTGGGTAATATTACATGTCTCGTATATACAATATAACTATACATCGGATTCAACATACAAACTTTTGGTTAGACACTAAACAGACCTAATAAGTCATTAAATCAACAAAGCTACAATCATTCTTAATACAAATTTAAAGGAATCATTCTTAAACCATCCATTAATCCATAAAAAAGTACAATACTATTCAAAATTTTCATCTTCGACTCCGACACATCTACTAAGCAATAAATAACAACATAATCTTATTAATAATGGAGAAAGAAGTGAAGGATGAATGAAGGAAAAGACATTAGTATTGGATTTGAAATTTGAATGGCTACTCAATTAGATTTAAGTTCTTCATACATATTGCTATACAGAAAATCTCCTCTCCCTTATGGTTGAGTATATTCACTCCCTAACTTATTTTCTGAATTACATTTCATTGGGAGATTAAAATGTAAACTCTGAATTTTTATATATGAACAAATACTATTGTTGAAATGGGTATGAGTATGGATATAAGATTGAAAGTTTAAAATCATACCTGTCACATTTCCATCATTTTTTTGCGAATTTTACCTATATCCAGATAATACTGAGATATCCCGCATTACTAGGTTGGGGTGGTCGGATACCCATGGAACACGAGTCAAATAATATTCCATTAAAATCAATAAGATGGAATCGATGTGATACTCAATAGCAAAATAATTGACCAACATCATCACTATAACTACCCATTATTTATAATAACTAGTAAAAAGAGCTCAAGCTCACGTCAATTCTTGGAAGAGTAGTACCACCACATATGTCTCTTGGCTATATCATCATAATTATCGTAAATGGTCGTCACATCATAAACATATACGGTTCATATAGACATAGACATGATCATGGATGGTGGAGGCAAAAAATATATTTGAGATGTGACATGTACATTAATCAATTGAAAGACATATTTACCTCCTCCTAGTCCCTGAAAAGAAACAGAACTGAAAGCAACCTTTCACCATAAACTCTCAATTTGAGATGAACAAAGATCTGTCTAAATTGGATCTAACAAAAATTTCGATGAACAACCTCATCGAATTAATCTAGTGATAGTTTGAGAATGAAAACATTAACCACATTTTAAGTTGAATATTGGGGCAAACAAGTGTGGACTCTCTCAAATTTCAATTTGAGATCGACAAAGATTTGTCAGAATTGGATATATCTAACAAATATTTCGATGATTATTATTTCAATTTTAGCCCCGATTCAATTTCAATATATATTTTATGATTCGACACCACTTCGTGTCCCCCAAATCTGATTATTATTTCACCTTTAGCTCACAATGCCTCTACACCCTCCAATGAGTCATGCACATTTTTGCTTGTTCATTTTCTCATCCAACAGAAGAATTCTATTGCGAGTCAATAACTCATTATGCTTGCTCATAAGAATTTCCCTCTGTAGGACTAATTGGTGCTTGTACGACAAAAGTAATGAATGTCACATATTGATTGGTGTTTTTATTTTTGTATCCCATGCATATGTGTAATAATCACTCTTCAAATGACGGATTCTAGTAGAAGGCAAAACCATTGGCAAAGTAGGGGTGAATATTTGTGGATGGAAATATATAGATAAAGGATATTGTGTACAATTCTCTCGAAATTAAGCAATCAGGTCGAATTGTCTCGTCTGACAACATAAAATAGGAATACAGCAATTCAGCCAAAATAATTTAAATTACTTCATTTTGCATAAATTTAAATGACATGAAAAAAATATTTAAAAAAAACATAAATTATTAGATGAAATCATTTCAAGACAATTGAATTAAATTGCCTGAATTCTCCATCATCCAAACCAAACCATATATTTCTAGTGTTTCAATCTCTATCCACCCGCACATTGGAAACAAAAGGCCTTTACAAAAAGCTTTGGGGGACCCTACGAATGATGGAACATATGAATATCTTCTAAAGATGCTTTTGAGAAGAATGCTACAAATAATACAAGCAATCTCTCACAACAACTAAGCAGAGTGAGAGGAAAGAAAGGGAAAAGAAGCATATAGATCTTACTTTTCGATCTATGTACTATCATGATTATATTCATGGAAGGATTTGTGAATGCTAGTGGTGTTAGTTGCGATCCAGATTGGATAAGGAATCGGCAAGTTAACATTCCATGGTGAAACTGTGGGAGAGTTCGTGATAGATTCTTGATTCATATAATTATGAACTATGATAAAGTTGTGTAAAAATTAAGCTTTGTATCACTCGCACTAAATACAATGGATTTAATAACATTATTATAGGGTCAAATTTATTAAATCCATTAAATTATTTAATTGATTTAATGTGAAGTGGAGTGGATAATGCAATGTGAATTGTGAAGGATTCGGCCCAAATCAGGCTATGGAAAGGTCATTTGGTCAAGAGCAATTATCAAGCCGAAGGTTTAATTTTGCACCAAGGATACATACTCACCTCACGTCTATAAATAGAAGAAACGAAGACAGAAAAAAAATTCATAAAACTAACAATTGACACTACTTGTCTAGTTTCATCTTTTTTGTTGGTAACCATAGATACAAACTCTCTTTTCATGCGCTAGGATAACTATAAAAGTAAAAATAGGTTAGTTGGGAAGTTTTCAAGAAATTTTCATTGAAATAACGTAGATTTCATCTAATCAAACTTTTTTGTTTGAACTTTGTTTGAAGAATTGTCAATGGCATTATTGATTATTGTTTACATAAGTAAAAGTACATTTATTGAATTTAAAGTTTAAACACAAAAGTGTCTGCAAACTCAAAAGGACTATCATGAAAAATAGAATAAGTGAACACCTTGATTGGTAAATTAGTAAAATTCGGTTAGGGAGTGTGTGATGAGTGAGAGCACTCATTGGAATAATATGATGACATCAAAACTTAGCATTGAAGATTAGTGCAATCATGAAATCCGTATTATAGCCTACTCCATTTTTTTATTGAGAAACATATCTTTATGCTTATGGGAAAATTTATTGGATTCATGGATTGGTGAAATTTATGAATCAAATGTATTGGTAAATTCTTGGATTGTATAAAATGGATTGGTGGATGGGATCATTGATCCAACTGGCACTTTGAATACCAAAACATAATTTTCAATGATATTCTTTGTAAAAAAAAAAAAATTTAAAGTATCAGATTGCAAATATAAAAAGTATATGTATTGAACTGTAATTTGCCAATAATTATCCATGAATTCACCAATTCAATTAATTTGGATCAAGTGAATTAAATTTAAATGGACTGGGTTTATTGGATATTTAGGTAGATGGATTGAATTGAATTGAATTGAATCAATGGATTGTATACAAAATTGTCACCTCTATTACTGAGTGTTGACATACCATGTATGTTCAAGAAGATCCTAACATACTTCATGAACAAAACCACATCCCCTTAGTACGTGTTCTAAACACATCTCGAATCTCCGTCAGCTAGCAGAAACGCTATTTTGGTTTCATTAACGATTATCTGAATAAAATTAACACAAAAATAAGATTAAGCTTCTTGTCCCCAAAATTAATTAAGGTCAACTATAATAGTTGATGGTGATGTTTTAACTTAAAATGTCTTGCTAAATATAAAATACTACCCCATACATGTCTTATTAATTTGTTTGAAGATTCCCTAAACCTGACTTGGCCTTTCTTTTTCTCTAGTCTCAGGAGCGGGCTTTGAAGACAACCTTTTCTTCTAGTGCTCTTAAAAGAAAACCTTAAAAGTCGACCGTTAATAAAAAACAGAAAAAGGTGATAGAAATGGGTCAGAAATCGAAACCGTGGGTTGAATATTCACAAATTCTCAATCTAGGAAGAGAAGAGAATAAATAAAAAGAATCAACGAATCCAAGCCTGTATAGTGAAAAATGTGGGACACATTAGTTAGGTTTCTCCAATTATTTCTGGATTTTGAAGTAGTCTTTTTTTTTTATCTCGATTTTGAGTGGGGATTGATCTAAAGATTGAAATTATTATTTTTCTCCCTTTTAATCTATTTGAATTTCTCTCCTGCGAGTGTGCGGGCTATTTTGGCTATACCACTATTCATTTTAAGATGAATTTCTCAAAACTTATAGAATTCATTTATATCAAATAGTAACAATCCTGAAAATTAAACATCCTAGAAATTAAACGACCCCTTTGAAAAATAATAACCACTAATTTCAAGATGAATTTCTCAAAACTTATGAAATTCATTTATATCAAACAGTAACGACTTCTTTGAAAAATAATAACCACTAATTCTGATTCGGTTGGTAATAGTATTCTCTGGCTTGATGTTTTCTCAACAAAATTAGATTAAGACGTAGGTAAGTATATGAAATACTTTGGATCAACTCATCAACATGATAATGGCTTCTAAATCATCAAGAATCCATTTATCACAATATCCACCGTAATTAGGAGAGAATCAAACACAATTCATTATAAATAGCATTCACATTAATTATATTTTTAAAAGCTAACCGATTGTTAATATAGAAAATCGAGAGAGCTTAAATACATAACATATAATAAAAAAAAACTTGATTACCATATCTCAAATTAATTTATCCAAATAACCCAAGTTATGGAAAGGAATTAAAAACAAGATTCCAATTTCTAATACCGCATGAATAATCCATTTATTCTAATAAATCAAATTCGTGGAAAAAAAATTCCAAAAAATGAATTTCAAACTATTCCTTCCCCTGCTTTTGATACATTCTGCCATTTTTGACATCTCTCACGCTTTTAAAGTACACATAGTTTTTCTTGCAACAACCTGAATTCGAATAACAAATATGAATATGCCCGACATTTTCCCTTTTCTTTTCCCCAATACATTCCATTGAAAATGAGAGCTCCTATTTATCAAAGGGCGAGAAGGGAGAAACTGCTTTATATAAAGAAAGCAGAGACCCGCACCAAACTTTCTCAATGAATTAGGCGCTTTCAGGACCATCGCAATGGCAATGTATCCTTTGGTATTTAAATGTGAAAATCAAAATAGCCTAAACACTAATGTCATATGGAAGTAGTAACATGTGGCCACTAGAATGAATTGAATGATAGTTGTTGTCTTGTTCATCGTTTGATAACTGATCATCTTGTTTATTATTAAGTTAGATTCGAATTGTGTTCAGAATATCAGATGGTTCACCTTGACAATTTTACAGTAAATATTAGACTTCTAACCATTTAGCGAATATGTGAATTCAATTATTTCAAAATAATTGGTTATAAATAGACATTCGAAAGATACGACTACCGCCTATGATGATAAAACATACCGATAATTAAGGGGTCGTTTAAATGGTGGGGGTAGGTGAGTTATTTAGGTCCAAATACCAAAATTACTTGTTTGGTAACACTTTACTAAGATGAGTTATATGAGCCATGAGTCATTCACAAGTAACTCAAAACGAGTAATTTAAAATAATTCCTACAACATGTTATGTGAAAATAAATGGTTTTATCCCTATGTTATTTTCAAACACCACATGTCAAATTACTACGAAAATAACATTGAAATACAAGCATAAAAAATTAATGAGTTATTTGTGACAAGAATTAGTTGCTTTCAATAACTCAAGTTGTTGGGAGATATTGAATTATGAATCATATACCACTTATTAACACCCCCCTCCCCTCAAACGAAAACTAACTTAGAAGGGTTGAAGAACTCGAGTTGCTGGGAGATATTGAATCACGAATCATATACCACTTATTAACACCCCCTTTCAAACGAAAACTAACTTAGAACGGTTGATGGTTGCACAGGAATCAAAGACCATGTCCTTACCAATGGAGGTTACATGTTTTCGAACGGAAGACCTCTCAATAACAAAAGACTCTAATACCATGTCAAGCACCAATTACTTCTAATAACTCGAGTTGTTGAGAAATATTCAATTATTACTCATATACCACTTTATTAACAGTTTCACTCTACAAATACTAACATTAAGTCATTAACCATCCCCAACTTCTTCATATACACAATACAAAACACCTTTTATATTTTGAACAAACCTAGTTGTCAGTTGTCACCTCGACTTGGATGGGAGTTTTAACTTTGAGCTTAACTTAAGGCTTGATTTGTCGAGCTTGGTAGGTTAAACATCACCTATCTACACAATTAGGTCCCTTGTCCATTTCTCCCTTTCTTTATTAGCCTACAAGCTCCCACTACACTATACACTACCCATTAATTCAAAACTCAAAAGCAAAACCGACACCCCCTCCAAAATATACACAAATTGCTTTCTCTCTCTAACCATTAACATTACGTACCCACCAAAACCTCTCTCCCTCTCCACCTCAAAAAGAAGAAAAATATACAGAGCCTTTCTTTCTTCTTTCTGGCCCACCCTTCTCTCTCTCTGGTTGTTTCTGTTCTGTTCTCCCCCCTCCCTTGTGTTTTTTTTCTGTCTTCTTACTCCAACATGACAACCATCTTCCCACCTCATCATCCTCCATCTTCCATTTCTCCCTCTTTCTTCTTTCCATTTCCACCACCATTGCTGAGCTAGACTAAGCCTTGGCTCTCACTACCCACCACCATTTCCTCAAGTCTCAAATCTTTCCCAGGGTATGAAAAAGTAATCTCCCATCTCTCCTTCTTCATTTCTCCATACCCTAAACCACCATGGCTAAGCTCGTGGTGGAAGTGGCCGATGCAAGCGATCTAATGCCCAAAGACGGACAAGGGTCAGCCAGTCCATTCGTGGAAGTGGAATTCGAGGGCCAAAAGCAGAGGACTTCGACAAAACACAAAGAACTCAACCCTCAATGGAACGAGAAGCTCGTTCTGGACTTGAACGACCCTAGAGATCTCCCTACTTCTACCATTCAAGTTGTGGTCTATAACGACGGGAGAGAGAAAGTACCTGGCGGCGGTGGTGGTGGGCAGCTGAAGAATTTCCTCGGCCGGGTCCGAATCTCTGGCTCCTCTGTCCTTTTCTCTGAGCCTGATTCCACTGTTCAGAGATACCCACTTGATAAACGTGGGCTGTTTTCCCACATCAAGGGAGAAATCGCCCTCAGGGTATATGCAGTGGTTGGTGGCGGCGGTGGTAGCAGCTTTACTCCGGCGCCGGAGATGCCGGGAGTTGAAGAAAGGGTTGAGCAGCCTGCTCCTCTCAGAGAGATCGACCCTAACAAGGGTGAAGAAGAAGAAGAATTTCACCACCACAATCACGACCATGACCATGAAGAGATGATGAAGAGCAAGAAGAAACACAAGGAGAAGGATAAAGTTCGTACCTTTCACTCTATACCCACTGGAGCAGCTGCCCACCATCGCCCTCCGCCGCAGCAGGCGCCGCCTGGTGCCGCGTTTCCACCGCCGTTTTCCGGTGGTGGGTTTGGAATGGGATTTGAAGCCCACCATCAGAAAACACCGGTTATCGAGACGAGAACGGATTATGCACGAGCTGCAACACCAGCACCCGGCACTTCTGTAATGCACCATATGCATATGCCGAAGCAGAATCCTGAATTCTTATTGGTCGAGACCAGCCCGCCATTGGCTGGGAGAATGAGATACAAAGGTGGCGACAAGACATCGAGCACTTACGACTTGGTTGAGCAGATGCATTTCCTCTACGTCAGTGTGGTGAAAGCTAGAGATCTCCCTGTAATGGATGTCTCTGGTAGCTTAGACCCTTATGTGGAAGTCAAGCTTGGTAACTACAAGGGGAAAACGAAGTATCTGGAGAAGAACCAGTACCCCGTCTGGAATCAAATCTTCGCCTTCTCGAAAGAAAGGCTGCAGTCGAATTTGCTTGAAGTCATGGTGAAAGATAAGGACTTTGCGAAGGATGATTTTGTGGGCAGGGTTTACTTCGATCTTACAGAGGTTCCACTTAGAGTGCCGCCAGATAGCCCACTGGCGCCGCAGTGGTATAGGCTGGAAGACAGGAAGGGATTCAAAGGCAGAGAGGGCGAACTCATGCTGGCGGTTTGGATGGGGACTCAAGCTGATGAAGCTTTCCCAGAAGCTTGGCATAGTGATGCTCACGACATTGGGCATACGAACCTGGCAAATACAAGGTCAAAAGTTTACTTCTCGCCAAAACTTTATTACCTTAGAGTACAAGTAATTGAAGCTCAAGATCTCGTACCACACGATAAAGGTCGATTGCCTGATGCTTATGTGAAGGTCGTGCTTGGCAATCAAGCTCGAGCCTCGAGGCCTTCTCAGATGAGGACTGTGAATCCCATTTGGAACGAAGAGCTTATGTATGTAGCATCAGAACCTTTCGAGGATTTCATTATAATTACGGTTGAGGATAGAGTTGGACCTGGGAGAGAGGAGATTCTCGGGAGGGCGATTGTATCATTAAGAGATGTACCTCAGAGACTCGAGACGACTAAAATGCCCGAGCCTCGATGGTTCAGTTTGATGAAACATTATTCTGATGATGAAGGGAAGGAAAGGAAGGAGAAGTTCAGCAGCAAGATTCTTCTAGGGTTGTGCTTGGAAGCTGGATACCATGTTCTTGATGAATCCACCCATTTCAGCAGCAATCTTCAGCCTTCGTCGAAGCATTTGAGGAAGTCAAGCATCGGGATACTTGAGCTTGGGATTCTCAGTGCTAAGAATCTACTCCCGATGAAGGGGAGAGAAGGTAGAACCACTGATTCCTACTGTGTGGCTAAGTACGGCAACAAATGGATTCGTACCAGAACGCTTCTCGACACTCTGCACCCAAAATGGAACGAGCAGTTCAGCTGGGAAGTCTACGATCCTTGCACTGTGATCACCATTGGAGTCTTCGACAACTGGCATACAAATGGACATAGCGACATCCGCGATCAGAGAATTGGGAAAGTGAGAATAAGGCTATCTACATTAGAAACTGATAAAATCTATACTCATTACTATCCATTGCTAGTTCTTCAACCAAACGGATTGAAAAAACACGGAGAGATACAGCTGGCATTGAGGTTTACCTGCACGGCTTGGGTGAACATGGTGGTCCAATATGGCAAGCCGTTACTCCCCAAGATGCATTACGCCCAGCCAATCCCTGTCCGCCACATTGACTGGCTGCGCCATCAAGCAATGCAGATTGTCGCAGGTCGGCTCGCCAGAGCCGAGCCACCTCTTCGTCGGGAAGTCGTCGAGTACATGCTCGACGTAGACTACCATATGTGGAGCTTGAGGAGAAGCAAAGCAAACTTCCACCGCATAATGTCGGTGCTCTCGGGTGTGACAGCAGTCTTCAAGTGGTTTAACGATATCTGCTTCTGGAGGAACCCGATTACAACTTGCCTCGTCCACATACTGTTCTTGATTCTGGTTTGCTACCCAGAGCTAGTTCTCCCAACAGTCTTCCTCTACCTGTTTGTGATTGGGTTGTGGAACTACCGGTTCAGGCCGAGGCACCCACCCCACATGGATATAAGGCTGTCGCAGGCAGATCATGTTCATCCTGATGAGCTAGACGAGGAGTTCGATTCATTCCCAACTTCTCGCCCGTCCGATATAGTGAGGATGAGGTATGACAGACTGAGAAGCGTTGCAGGGAGAGTGCAGACTGTGATTGGAGATTTAGCTAGTCAAGGGGAGAGAGCTCAAGCACTACTTAGCTGGCGTGATCCGAGGGCTACTGCCATTTTCATCATCTTCTCATTGATCTCGGCTGTGTTCATCTATGTTACGCCGTTTCAAATTGTGGCCATGCTGTTTGGGTTGTACATGCTCAGGCATCCTAAGTTTCGGAGTCGATTGCCTTCAGTTCCTGTCAACTTCTTCAAGAGGTTGCCGGCGAAATCAGATTTGTTGCTGTGATGAGATGAGTTTTGATATATTCTTGTCGGGTAAAAAGAGAGGTGAATAATGAAAGGGGAGGTAAAAGGGAAAGCATGTACCTATTCTTTGCCTCCATGGTTGTATGTTGTAGATTTGTATACTCTGAACTGGAGTTTCTCCCAATATTCTTCTTCATTTGCAAGAGCTTCGATTCCCCATTCTGTACTTCTGATGACGAGCATATATTGTATGTACTACACTGTTAACAGGCAATTTTCAGATTGGAATACCAATAAAAGCAAAAATTAACAAGCAGAAATATCGCAAGAAGAAGCATAGTGATTTGCTGAGTTGATAGCACAAAAATTTCTCCATGGCAAAATAGTATCGTAACATACAAGTGACATAAAGGCAAAAATACACTCTCTACTTAGATAATTTAACTCTAAATCCGAGATGTACGAGGAGAGCTAGCAATGTGAATAAGCTGAGAATCAATCCTCCTAGGAAAACTCTATCTACAAAGCCCAATTCACCTGGGGCTTCTTCTCTACTATTTTCTTGCTTTAGGCTGTCACCTGAAGCAGTTCTACTATCATCCAACTTTCTGGTAGGATAAGTTTTTCGCCTCCTTGACAAAAAATTTCCTATCAGACTTGTATTGTCTTGAGCATCTAGCAACTGTTGATTATGCGAAGCAGTGTCAGTTCCAGCACTGTTCTGTTGTTCTCCACAACCCTCAGGGCCACAAGAACAAGGTGCAGCTGCCTTGTCTCCTGAACATAAGCAGCTTTCGTCTTGATCAACACAGGGGGAACAGTTGACTTCGCTACTCAACCTTTCCTTGGCGGAAGTTCTCTTGTCAGCTTGAGTGAGTGTCTCGATTACTTCCCCGAAAACTGACCATCTGCCAACTGATGTTATCTTAACCATTGCCGAGGATCCAAGCATGGTTTGTGGAGCAACTATGAGCACTTGGACATATGACTTTGTGTGGCCAACCTAGCAAAAGTAAATGAAGGAAGGAGTTAGGATAGACACAATGAGAATAAGGCTATACAGTGTCAAGCTGACAGAGAAGATAAAAGGTGGTGTGAGATCTAAAATTCAGAAGTAAGAATTCCTAATAGGCCTACCAAGTGAACTCTATCAGTTGCGATTTCTGTTATCCAGACTCTTTCAATTCTGCCCTCCATTCCATTGTAAGGAGTGAAAGCTTCGAAAACAGCAGTTAATTCACGGCTCCGCTTCTTCACTATGTTACTCTGAACCTTCTTCATTCTGGCAGCAGGAGTTCCTATTTCACATAGGGTAAATCTTAATACTTGTAAATTCGACAATTCTAAACAGTTCCTCACTTCTGTAGGAGTAATAAGCTTTATTCTGAAATATATCTGATTCTATATATCTGTACAACACATCTTCAGTTATGTACAAGACTTAGTAGTCTAAGAACTTCTCCATAGAACACCAGATGTTAAGACTTCTGCCCCTAAGACGCAAAACAATTCCCATGTTGATGCACGCAAATGCAAGGACAGCTGATTTTTTCAAACTTGAAATTGAACATTGATCCACTTTCAAATAAACTATATTGCACCTGGTCGAGGATAGAATTGCGAAATGTGAACTTGAGGTAACTTGTAATCCTCAATGAGGCTTACAGTTTGAGCAAAATCTTCATCTGTTTCACCTGAAATATCCAGAAGTACATATCTCAATTGCAGGAACGAATGATAGTCAAGCAGAAAATAATTGGTACAGAGTAGAGGCATTAATTGTCCAAAAAATGGTAAAATTATCCACAGTTCACTTCTCGCAAGTCCAATATTGATCCTTTTCTAAGCAATATCACCAGTTCTAGACAAGCTCGAACTCTGATATAGTACCAAAAATTAAAAAACCAGAATAAGATTAAAATGCTTTTATCTCTTCCAATATCTTACAAAATAAAAGTTCTTCTTCTTTCTTGCTAGGGCTTCATTATTGCTAACTATTCCGCATATCAGCAGGTGGCCCAACATAGCTACTGCTAGTAATATTTTCCATTCCCAAAAGCAACATTAACCAACAAGTACTCAACAGATAGCAAGCAATTAAAAGGGCGGTAAAGCTTAATCCATAATTAAAGGAAAATAAAATAGAAAAACTAACCAGGAAATCCACATATGATATCGGTAGCAATATGCATCTCAGGAACTAGCTCAGTCAATGTATCTACCACTGTCCTGAACTCACTAACAGTATACTCTCGGTTCATTGCCTGGGAAGAAACAAACCAAATAATAAGATTTCTTCCATGAAGCTGTCTTCACCAAACAGCACAGAAGTAATATCATTCATCACCGAGTAGGAAGGATGACTTACACTCAGCACGGCATCACTTCCAGACTGTACCGGTACATGAAGAAATGAGTAGACACATGGATGACGTAAAACTTCTGCTATCTCTTTTAAGTGCTCAAGAATAAAGGGAGGATTTGTCATTCCAATTCGCAGCATAGTGCTCGCATCAGGAGGAAGTTCAGCAACAATGCCATTCAACAAAGTAGGAAGATTAACCCCAATGTCACGACCTACAAGATTACATGAAGTAACATTTCATTAGAAGGCAGTCATCCAGACAAGGAACAGAAATACAATCCCCATTCGAACACAAAAGATGGAGGGAATGCAAAAAAGTACCATATGCTCCAGTGTCTTCACTGCTCAACCAGATTTCCTTAACTCCCTCAGCTATAACTGTTTTAACACGTCCTACCTGCAGAGTTGAATTTCTGTAAGAGAAGAATCAAACACAAAAGAAAACAAGCTACTGATTCCATTTCTGGACTCACCAAACTATCAATGGTATAGCTACCCAAATGACCACGGGCATGCTTTGTCTTGCAATAAGTGCAGGCACCCAAACAGCCAACATTAATTGGAAGAATCTCGACAAACTTGTTCTTCCTGACCTGTAGGCAGTTCAAGGTAAAAAACAGTCAAGAAACGAGAGAATTCAGAACATGTTGTGAATTACACTAACGATACTCTTGCTCAGGAGAGACAAAAGGTTACAGAAGAAAAGGGAAAGTAAGAAAAGAGAAGCAATAAATCATGTAGAATTATTAGCCGAATATGAACTTTGAACTTTCTACCTTTGGGAGGTCAAGTGCTGGCAATGTCTTCCGAGTTAGAAGCCGAACCTCATGCCCCTTTAGGGTCTCCTCGACAACTTCAACCACACGATCTATCTGCTGGACTCCAACTATACTGACTCCATCTAGCTCTTTCAGATTCCGACTTCCCTGGGGTACACAGCCAGCTACAACTAAAGGTTTTTGTGCACTTTTACCCTTTGTGATAAGGGTGTCCATGGCAGACTGACTTGGGTTTTTTACTGTGCATCTGCATAAAGAAACAATCATCAATGGTACCTAACTACGTACCACAAAGAACCTTATGCAAGAGATTATAACATTTTACATCCCAAACGGGTCTTTCATCATAGTAAACCTCTGTTCAAACTTTCAGCACTTTCACTCTCCTGCATGGCAAAAAACTCAAGCCAACCCCAACAGAGTGGTGGGTCATCGAACTTCCTCCCACTCATTAACACTCTATTGCTGTTTCTCGCTACATATTCCACCACACAGGGAAGGTAGGTTCATGGAAATGCAAAGGAACAAGGGTTGAGACTAGAAAGTAGGATATGAATTACCCTTTTATGAGCATAATGTCAGGGCGTATAGGTTCAACATAGCAGTAGAACAAATATATGCAACTGGCTACCTATAATGGATCTATAGGAAATCTATCTCGAAGAAAGAACTTAAAGACATATTCGTGGACAAATTCTTTTAACCCTAACAAGCAACAAATGAGCTTGGCTTCATGTAGCAGGTGCAAATAAAACGACACTGCACTATGGAAGACAGTAGCACATTCTTAACAAGTAGTTCTATAAAATAGTCTTAAAAAGAAAAATGCAACAAAGCGAATGATAAAGGTAATGGTACGAACGTGTTGATCAGCCATAGATCTGCATTGTCGGGATCATCACTAAGACCATAGCCGAACGATGAAAGCTGACCAGCCATATATTCACTGTCACTCTGCAACAATTAGAAGCTTTTCATTTAGTCTGGTCCAAGAAAAAAAAGTTCTTATATATAAATGTCAACAGAATACGTTTCACATAACTTTCCTTCCAGTTTCACAACTACTGCAAAGCAGATTCACTTTCCAGTTTCAAATGTCACATCTCCACTTCTTATTTTGTCCGAGTTTCGAGTTTCCGCAACCATACCACAGATCCTAAATCCTTAATAGTAGTGCAGTCTGCTTCAGATGCAACCCAATTAAGATACCAGGGTGACCTCTTAATGAACTAAACTATACAAGTAATTCTCGGAAAGCAACACATATGCTCACAGCAACTACAGTTTCGCTAGTGCAAGGTATCTCCCACCATCTCATTTTCGTACTCCAGAGCAGTATACTTCTTCGTCTAAGCTCGGAAACCCGAGGAAACAAGTCCAATAACCTTTTGGGTTCCACTCATTCTTTGCTCTCTTCATCTCCTCCTTTTCTAGCTTATACTCTCAATAAACCATGATGATTTCGTGTCATGTTTCTCATCTAGATAAACCATCCCACCTACTTAGATATTACCAGCCAAGCCAGCTGACGAGATTCTGCATTTCCTATACAAAGTCCTGGTTGCTACTTCTTCTATCCGAACTCTAGAGTCAGTAATCAGAATTCGGAAGGGCAAAGTTCTATAGAGCTAACATGCAGCAGCCGAGTGTGAACTGAAACATTTGAGCCCCCAGGCATAGTAATCTGATCATAAGAAGTTAAACTGATTGATGAATTCAAACGAAAAGAGAGCAGAATAACTTGCCTGATTGTGTGAGCATCCGAAAGTCTTGATATATATCGTCTGAATCAGAGGAACAAGCTCAGAAGTAAGGAACCAATACGTCATACATAGACTAGACGAAAAGCAGAAGAAAGAAGAGAAGACGAAACCTGAGTTCCAGGGACTGTGGAGATGAGAGACAAATCCGAGAGCAAGCTACCATTCAGCGTTGCTCCATTCTTAACATTCTTCTTCGGCTTCACTGCGACCGTGTTGAGTGGCAATCGGAATCCAGGCGGAGCCCCGCCTCCGCCGCTCCCGATCAACAAATCTTCTATGTCCTCCATTGTCCCGTCGCTCTTTTCGCACCAAAATTAAGATTCGATCCGCCACGAGACTGGAGAAGGGTTTATTGGAGAAGCAGAGCTCCCAACTCTTACGATGGCGGAGCAGAAACAAATACAGCTTCATCTTTACGTCGGCCCATTTAAGCTTGCAGATCCAAGCCCATTATTAAAAAAATTCATAGTTGAACGACGCCGTTTTAGATGAAGCTGAACAATCAAAACTTCAACGAACCAGAAATTCTCAAATCCCTAACCGGCAAAATCCTGATCGGCTTTCTTCCACAACCTTCGTCGGAGCTCTTCGAATTTCCCACATTCAAAGCCACCGACGGCAGTCGTGCCTGCGTCGCTATCGTATTCTCCCCACCGCTTCCGGGGATTCTGCTGAGGTCGACGTAGAAAGCTACTCCTTCTCTTTCCAGGTTCGCTTCCTTCCCGCCCTCTACCTTTCCTTTTCCCTTCAGATAGTCTCGACTGTGAAATGTCAAGAAGAACTACTGCCGCCATAGTGGATACAGATTGATGAGTTTTCTTATATGGTTTTCGTTTATAGCTATAAGGAATCTTTCAAAGTAACAATTTTTATTCCGGGAGAAGTTAGATATTGTCTGTGGAATTGTGGATAGGTTTAGGTTTATGGACCGACCGCCGGCGCATGATTACGCTGCTGCAGCAATGGCGTATGCCCAACAACAGCAGCAGCAGCAACAACAACAACAACAGCCGCCATTTGGGTTTCACCCGCAGCATCAAGGCCAGCAGTTTCCTCCACCGCCGGCATTCATTCCGCCGCCTCATCCTTCAATGCAACAACAATTCCCGTACCCTCACCACTTACAGCAGCAGCAGCAACCTCAGCTCCACCCTCACCCTCACGCGCCACCACACCCTCACCTTCTCCACCACCAGCAGCCTCTCCCTGGTTTCTCCTCTCACTTGCCTCCCCCGATCCTTCCATCTCCCTTCCACGGTGGTGGTGGTCCTTATGATTCAGCTCCACCGCCGCCAGCTCCTCCTCCATCTGATCCCGAGCTTCAGAAACGGATTGACAAGCTAGTCGAGTACTCAGCGAAGAATGGGCCAGAATTCGAGGCGATGATTCGTGACAAGCAGCAGGATAATCCGGCTTATAGCTTTCTGTTTGGTGGCGAGGGACATAACTACTATCGGTTTAAGCTTTGGGTGTCTACTCGACCTCCGCCGGCTGGCCCTTACAATGCTCCTTTCCCGCCTTCATCTTCTGTTCCATTGATGCATCCTCCTCCTCAGATAATGCAGCAACCGGGGTTCCCGCCATTCTATGATCCGCATCAGCAGCACCACCAGTCGCCTCAGCCGCCATTTGGGGCACATGTGGGGGGAGGTGATTTTGATCAGTTTGCCAAGTCGTTTAAAGGTCTTTCTGGTCCACTTCCGCCTGATGTTGCTGTGGAGTTGACTAATGTGATGAATAGTTTGAATGGCACCAAAGATTCGATTAAAGGGGCAAAGACTTGGTTCATGCAGAGGTCTCCTTTTGCACCTGGTTTGGCTGAGGGTATGAGAGATAGGGTTTTCTCTGTGGATGATTCCGAGAGGCAGCTGCATGTCATATACCTTGCTAATGACATACTTTTTGACAGGTAAAAATTTCTAATGCTACTGTTGTTTCCTTTTCTTTTATTTGGAGTACCTCAGCAAAAGTTAGGTTCCCTTAGATATTTCAAATTCTGATTATGGAGCCGTGGAACTTCAGAATTCTATCAAATATTTAAAGTGACTAGGTTTTCTTCTCTGAAAAAGAAAGGCCAGAATTCTACATTAGAACAGCACATATCTTGTTTGTGATTGCTTTTCCTTTGGTTCTTTAATGATGATCGTTTTTCCTTGACCTCTTTGTGATCTGTACCCTACAGTTTGCAGAGAAGGGCTAATCCTCATGAGCTTGATAATGAGGCCCTTGCATTCAAGCCAGTCCTGGGTTCAATGCTTGCAAGAATTTACCAAAACCCCGCGAATAAGGAAGAGAATCAGTCACGCTTACAGAAAATCCTGCAGTTCTGGGGCTCCAAGGAGGTTTATGATCACGATACCATTCGTGCACTGGAGGCTGAAATGGTCAGCGGGGCACCAACTAGCTCGATCTTAGGACCTGCAAGGGACTTGTCCGATTCGATGACTGCTGCAGGTATAATATACTGCTCCTTAAGATAGTTTCTGCAACACCCAAAATCCGATGACCATGGACATCACACGCTCAAGCTCATTTTCTTTTGCAGGATTCCCACAGCAGCCAACGAACCACCACAGTGCTTCACATTGGCAGCTAGATAAGCAACATGAGCGGGAGCATGCTGATAAACAAGTCCCACCCTCTGCCTTGCCGCCACTTGCTGCCCAGCAATTCCTTGCAAACTCTGTCCCTGCTGGTGGTTTTGCTGGTACTGTGCCCATAATCCCTGCCGCTCAACCACCACTGCTACCAACTCCTCCTCCGGCCCTCGCCGAGAAATTACCACCATACCCTTTATTCCCACCAGGACTCATCCCCGGGATGGTCCGAAAAATGCAGATCGGAAGTGGCGTCCCATACTCTCCTCTGAGCCCTCTCGACATCCCGACCATGATCCCGCCATCCGCAGTTTCCCCATCTGAGGTCCTAGAGCGAGTCTCCAAATTTTTCAAAGAGATCGGAGAGGTCAACCCGTCGGAAGGGCCGATGAAGTCATCCGACGATGATGATTACGACGACTACGAGAGGGACCGGTCTCCTGTACGTAAAGGCGGAGCATGTATCCCCCCGCCTCCTAACCTGCAGGTTGTCGACCCCGAGACGGGGACTTATCCTGATGGAAGTGTGGAGAGAAAACCGGGAGCACTGGGATCTGGAAGGCTTGGATTGGGGGCAACCGCTGACCCTAATGAGGTGAGCCAGTATGATGATGTATACTCGTCGTACAGGAAACAGAGAAGCAGTAATTATCATACTTCCATGAGTGCAAGAGCAGCTGTCTCTGTCAAGAGAGCGACGTAATTTTTCTCCGTTTGCGGGTTAGTATCTGTTTGTGTACTCCTTTCTGATTAGGGGATGGATGTTTGTGTTTTACTGCAAGGAATGGGGATTCACTGTAATCAGATTACTCAGATAGGGAGTGGAGTTCTCCTGGATTTTGTGCAGTTCCAGTAGTATCTTTGCCTGATATTTACAGGAGCACTGTACAGCTTGAGTTTTGAGTTCTTAGGATGGATGTTATACATATAGTCCAGAAAGTAATGGTCACAGTATTAGCAGGAAAAAGAAGATCTCTGGCCGCATCACACAGGCTTTTGCATAAAACAAACGAGGCGCACTGATTAAGCGATCCACGGCATTTCAATGGAGCTCACGAATCTGCCTCCATGCATGAAGCAACCCATACGCCCTCGACATATTAAACATGTCAGGGCCATAAACCCCAGTTTCGTTGACATCGTATCCCAGGACGGCGTACCCTAGACGGTCTGGTCGTTCGACGTACGCATCAAAAGAAAGCCGCTTGTCTTCCAACGCGAGGTGGCACCAAAACAGCGCGTCCCTGAAGGGCCTCCAGTTGTCCTCGAAATGCCAGCTGTAGACCTCGCCGGAGTTCATGGCGCGGGCCCCGAGGTCGTCGTCTGCGGATGCACAGTGGATAATTATCAGTGCCTTCTCGCTGCTGATCGTGTTTGTGATGTTAATGATTCGCGCGTCGACGCTGATTAGCGCTCGCGCCATGATCACTGTTGCAGTAGTGATCGCTACGGTGATCACATGCTGCTGCTGCTTCTTCTTCCTTCTGATCATAGTGACCCTTTTTATTTTATTTTCCTGATTTTGATGGTAGGTAATAGTGATGACGTTGATCGATAACAGTACGTAAGAATTGCTCACAAACTCATTTTATACATACATGTGTAAAGTGTACTGATCGAAGAGTGTCGCCGCTCCGTCGTGCTGCTCTTGAATTGGCGTACGGCTCTCGATCTGCTGTCTTGATCATTTGTGGTGTTATGCATTGTGGCTGGAGGTTACTCGGCCGGTAGATTTGATGCATGGACTTTGCCGTTTTTTATATACTTAAATTGTATAAATTTAGGAAACAATGTCTCGAGTACGATATCTCCTAGAAAATTAGATGATATCTTTGATAACATTCCAGGTGACAAATAGATCTGATTCATGGATTCGTAGATTGAATTATATATAGATTCATAAATTTATGGACCGGTTCATAAATTCATAAATCAAGTGGCATCTAACTTTTGGATATCAATAGGTTGTTCTATAAAAATTCAGGTACCAATTTGTAATTGACTTACCTGCGGAGATCCTATTGTTTAGGTCATTACCAAGTTAATTAAGTACGAACCAAGTAGCATCGATAAATTATCCATATTGTTAGGATTATATTGTCTTTTTTTTTTTATTATATTGTCAAAAAGGCTAATAACATCTATAAATTATCAATATTATTAAGATTAAACTCACATATATGCAATTGCAAGTGAATTGCATTGATGTAGGTGCAATGAAATAAAGCTGAATTAGATTGCATAAATTTTTAGATAAAAATAAAAACATCATATGCAATTGGTTTTGTAGTTGTATTGATGTGGATGCTCTAAGGAGATGTCAAGTTTTGAGCTCCACAAGCTATCTAATTCAACAGTTTTCAGTTAACCAAATAAACCGTTAAGTAAGTGATTTGACAAGATCAAACCAAAAATAACAAAACCAAAGGGTGCGCGCGTTTGGATATAATGATTTGCATTAGGTATTTGTGATTTGGGTTTCCAAATATCAATTTGTGTTTGGATATTAATTACATTTGGTATTTGGATTTGTTTCGAATTCATGAGGTGATTTCCAAATACATGTCTAGTGTATTACTTGTCAAACTTCAAATACATTTCAACAACCAGTGATTCGAAATACCTCACTACAAAAAAGAGGAGGTTTGGGGACATCAAAAATCGTCCCCGGAAATAGACAAAATCGTCCCTATAGTTTTTGGGGACGACATAGTCGTCCCTAATGTTTGGTCACCTATACTCTTGTCCTCTATTTTTATGGGGACGACAAAAATCTAGGTCGTCCCTAATACTAGGGACGACAGTCGTCTCCCATACTTATGAGTTGTAGTCTAGTTTCTTTTTCATGAGGAACAATGTGTCGTCCCTATAACCAAAAACTTCGGTAACACTAAGTCGTCCCCTAAATATTAGTACGAAGGACAAAATATTGTCCCTTAAAATCAAATTCGTCCCCTATAAACATTAGTACGAAGGACAAAATATTGTCTCTTAAAATCAAATTCAAGATAGTACCGCGACTAGTTGGAGACGCTATATTGACCCCTTTTATACTATATCTTTGGATAACAAATTGTCATCCATGTAGCTTATAGGAACCAACATCACTCGCTTAACAAGTTTTCTACTAATTATATGTCTTACATGTTTATTTTGGGGCAATACATAATACTTCAGATAAAAGGGATCATTCAGAAAAAAATATAAAAACTAAAATGAAAGATAACTTCTTGCTACCAACAAAAACAATGTTTCCTCTGATGTTCAACCTCCTTGTTATGGACAAACATGCTCGGCTTGCTTTTGTACTCTTAATCCTATGACAATTTTGTTTCTTCAGTTTCCAATCTTCCAATTACTTCATTGTCCCACTACGCAAATTGCTGAAGTAATAAATAGTCCTTCTGCCATGGGAAACGAAGTGAAAAAATTCAAATAGCATGTGAACATATTAAGGCAATGTAATCATCTGCTTAGGGTCTCAACAGTCAACACTATAATATGAAAGGGTTTGGGCAACTTGTTAAACCAAACATAAGGAGTGAGAACTCAAAATAATGACCAAACTATAATACTAAAAACACTTACATTGGCTCCCTGCTTCGCTTTCAAATTCATCCACCCATCAAATTGTCGTAATCTAAGTAGAATCAAAGATTAGTCAAGAGTCACTTTATGGCCAATCAAAAACCACATCTTCGTGTGAAGCAAGAATAAGAGTGAGGATAAAAGCATTCAAAAAAAGAAATGGCTAGATTCAACTATTTTGAAGATCTTAATACTAGAACATGAACCACTTTGATATCTTTAACTTCCTCAGGCCATAGATCAATCCAAGTAGGACATCATACTCCAAGTTAAAGTATGTGTCCATTTGATTTTTCCTTATATGCATGTTACTTGAACAATTTCCTCTCTAGTAATTCATTGCACGAGAGACAAAGGCAATGACCTGCAGTAGGAAGAAGAACATGTTCTTCTCCATACATAATATATTTTTTATAAAGATAATATAAGTTGATTATTATTGTTAGATGCTACTGAAATTATTAGAATTTCAAACTTTCATATTCAAATTAATGATATTACCTCCAAAATTATCCGTACAGATTGAAACTCCTGTAGCTAACTCTGCCAAGAGCAATGTGTTGCATGGATTCATGTATCATCTAATCCTATAAAACACGAAACTTTAAGAGAGAAAAAGGTGAAGAAACAAACTTTCATCTCCTCCACTACAACACTATAACACCAAAATAGGGATAAGATGTAAAGGAGTATAACCCTTCCCCGGGTACAAAAATCAAACAGACGATTACATCCAAACAAAACCTATACCCCACGAAGAATCACAAAATTGAGCCCCTTTTATAATTCAACATTCAAGACAAAGAACCAAAATCGAAAACTACCTATTGTAAATCACAAGAGAACAGAGTTTTATCTCTAAAGAGAAACAAATCAATTGTTCTTACCTTGTAATCGATAGCAACAATTATTTTTCACCATATAGAGAAGACTCGATTTGCTTTCTCTGCCCTGTCTGCCGACGGCCGCTACTATTTGCTCCTTAGGAGACAACGCTGAAGAGAAATAAAATATTAAACCCTAGTTATACCCCTTCGCTCATTCTATTTATTTAATTGCTAAATCAAATTCCAAAAAATTGGAAATATATTTTAAATCTAAAATGTAAAAAATTAGGCCGCATATCTCATTGAGCGGCAAATTAATCTCGCCTTGGGCGCGGGGACGGCAAACAAAAAAAGCCCACTAGTATAATTATGATCTCTCTGCATATCCGGGGATGATTTTTAGAACTTGTCCTCTATGTAACTTTACATTTCATTTCCGGAGACAAACTAAGTAAGGTGTCCCTTATTTTTGTCCCTAAAGCTCTTTAATTTTGTAGTGCCTATTAACAAAAGATTGGACTTATTTGTAAAATATTAAAAGTTTAGGTACTATAGCGTGAGACAAAACATTTAAAGGCACAAAAATGTAATTTTGTCATCAAAATTTCAGGACATTTTTGCAACATTTTAAAAGTTTAAGGTACTAAATTGTAATATAAATAAATTTGGATACCAAACTGTAATTTATCAAGATTTGTAGTAAGTGATAAGAAAACTCAAAATTAAAATAAGCAAACATAAAATTAAAAAATACAAACAAATTACAAATGAGTATCCAAACAACGAATTTGAATTACATGTATTTCAATGGAGCTGAATTTGCTTCCATGCATGAAGCCACACATACGTCCTCGACATGTCGTTCATGTCAGGGCCAAACACCCCAGTTTCGTTGACATCGTATCCCAGGACAGCGTACCCACCACGGCCTGCTCGCTCAACGTACGCCTGAAAAGAGACACGCTCGTCTTCCAACGCGAGGTTGCACCAGAAAAGCGCGTTCCTCAGGACCTGCCAGTTGTCCTCGAAATGCCAGCTGTAGACCTCGCCGGCGTTCACGGCGCGGGCCCCGAGGTCGTCGTCTGCGGATGCGCAGTGGATTATCAGTGCCTTCATGCTGCCGACCCTGTTGGTGATGTTGACGATCCGCGCATCGCTGACCAGTGGCGGACCCAGAAAATTTTCATAGGGGTGTCCTCTTTTAAAAAATAAATTAAATAAAAATAAAAATAATTAATAAAAATAAAATTGTAAATATGAAAAATACGAGTATTACTCGTATAGGTTAAAAAAGTCCATGATATGTTTTTATATTCGGAAATAATTGTAGAATACACTTGGTGTCTATAGTGTTAAAAAAATTGTCTCTATATACACTACTAGACAATCATTCACGAACTTATCGCATATTCGATTTGTAAACTTGTTCTTGATGTAACCCAAAGCTGAAAGACTCTTTCAACACTTGTCATACAATCATAAAATCAATACAAATTAAGGGTAGTTTGAAATTAGTTTAATTGTTAGATTTTTAAAATAATTAGAGATAGGGAATGCCATTTTACTCACATTGTTCAAAATCGAACAACAAATGAGTTTAGCTCAACGGAAATTAAGTTTATTAATAATAATAGTGTTCTAGATTTGAACTATCCAACCTATCACTTATATTCCTATACACAAATGACAGAAAGATAATCATTTTTTCAAATTTAAGGGGTGTCTCTCACTATCAATTATATTTTTTTTGTTCATACGTAAATTACTACCGGGGTTGGATAATCGTTTTCCCAAAATTTAGGGGTGTCCGGGGACACCCCTAAACCTCCCTGGGTCCGCCCCTGTCGCTGACTAACGGCCGCCGCGCAGCCATGATAACGATTGTTGCAATGATCGTTATGGTGGTGATCACCGGCTGCTGTTGCTTGCTCTGTGGCATTATGGATGGTTAGCCCTTTTCTTTCCCTCTGTTAATTGCGACGGCAATCTGGCCACAACTGGTTTTATACGTAACGTGGCCATTAATGAGTAATGTACAAATTAAAGGTGGGGTCTTTGACATGACAGTGCCATCCGGCTCTCGGCTATATATCTTCATTTGTGGTATTATGCACTGTGGCTCGAGGTTACTCGGCCGGTAGATTCCCAAATGAGATGGATATACTAGATAAATGAATTTGATTTTAGGAAACAATTTCTAGATGGGAGAAATTTGGGCATAGGTTGGATTTATGGATAAGAGTTAGTGGTGGATTATTGGATCCAAGCGATATCTAACTTTTCGATCATTCTGAAAGTTTCGAAAAGTTTGGTTACTTATAAAGTGTGGTTCTATATGCAATTTTTTTTTGGTTAGTAGTCAAACTTTAGGTTTGTGATATATGTACTAATCTATAATTTTACAACAATTTATCAATCGTTCAATCTATCTGGTTTGATTTTAACGGATTTAGATATTAATGAATTTGATTATTTGGATTTTTTTAAGGGAGTGGATTAGTTAGATTTTTTTTTTTTAAAGAATTGGAATGAGTTGGATTCAAACTGTCACCACTAGATATGGATATCAATGAGGTGGGTTTGTGATGACACATTGACATGTCTTGAGAAATGTCACTATTTGTATTTACTATCTCACATTGAAATGTCTTGAGAAATGTCACTATTTGTATTTACTATGACACATTGACATGCCATTAGAAATGTCACTATTGGGATCAACTGTGACATATTGGAATCTTGTATCACCTTTGATGATTAGGAATGTCTCGAGAAATGTCACTATTTCTATCAATCGTGACATATTAACATGTCCTTAAAAATGTCACTATTGAGATGAGCTATAACATATGGAAATGTCGCGGTAAATGTTACCATTGGTGTCAACCATGACACTTTGGAATGTCCTGAGAAATGTCACAATATGTATTTACTATGACACTTTGATATGTCCTTAGAAATGTCACTATTGGGATCTACTGTGACAATTATGAATGTCTCAAGAAATGTCACTATTTGTATCAATCGTGACATATTAACATGTCCTTATAAATGTCACTATTGAGATGGGCTATGACATATTGAAATGTCACAAGACATGTCACTATTGGTATTAACTATAACAGTTTGATATGTCTCTAGAAATGTCACTATTTGCATCACTTACAACGCTTTAAAATGTCACAAAAGATGTTATTATGCTACGATTATAAGTGTCGCAATATGTAAAATAAACGTCACACAAAAGTGGTACTGACAATTGTAACAAATGTCACAAAAGAAGTTAGTGACACTGGATTATGTGACATTTATGTGTCATTTGTGTAAAACGTCAGTACAACACTATTGTGACATTTTTCTACCTTTTAATGACAATTTGACTAAATTTTAAATTGTCACTTCAGCTGTTTTTTTTTTGTAGTGCGATATGGTTCACTAACACGATGGGTGTTAGCTAGTCTACGGGCGAGAGAGAGCCAGTTTCACTATATCGAGGAGATTATAGATTACAGATTACGTGGGAGACTGATCGTTGTGGTCATCATGACGGAGCGCGAGGTTTTCTGAACCGACGATAGATGAGCAGGGAGACTAATCGTCGCGACATATAATTGAAGAATATAACCAGATCGATCTATTTTAATAATTAACTGACATATAATAGTAATTAACTATCAAAATACTCTTATAATTAATGTTAGCAGGGTGGTAACACACAGGAGTACATGTTAGCGCCTATCTAATCCTACTTCACTGCTTATTCTTAACATCTCCAGTATAACCATACCATCTTTATTAACCAAAACGGAACCAAAAAAAAAATGAGATGATACCACCACAAAAGACGGCAACTGAAATATCCAAAACCGACAGGAGAAAAAAAAAAGAAAAGAGAAGAGAAGTTTCTCTCCACGGTGGATTTTCAAGGGAGCTGAGCTCGGTTCCACGCACGAAGCAGCACATATCCCTTATACGTATTATACAACTCAAGGCCATACAGCCCAGTTTCATTGACATCGTATCTCATCACTGCGTCCCCAGCAGCACATTGTTGTTCAATGTATGCCAAAAAGGAAAGGCGGCCGTCTCCCAACGCCAGGTGGCACCAGAAAACCGCCGGCGGCCATTGACGGAAGTCGCCCTCGAACTCCCATCTGTAGACGTCGCCGGAGCTCACGGCGAGGGCCCCGAGGTCGCCGTCGACGTATTCACAGTGGACTATCAGCGCCTTCTTGCTGCCGATCTTGTTCTTGATGTTAATGATCCGCGCATCGCTGATCATCATTAAAGATCCCGCCATAAGAACAACCGTAATAATGATCATTATCGTCGTCATCACCAGCTGATGGTTCCTCCTGCTCATCGTCATCATATATTATGGTATGGGTAAACCCTTTTCCGCTCGTTTTCTTAATTAATGGTGTGATGATGTGGGATACAGTTGTGATAATATATAATTGGCCACAACTCCTTTTTATACGTGATCGATGAGTAATGTTAAATGTACAAAGATATTGGGGGTCTTTGATACGACAGTGTCCTCCGTCGCTCTGCTCTTGCGGTAGCGTACGGCTCTCTGCTTTTTTCATTTTTGTGGTATTATGCATTGCATTGTGGCTCGAGGTTACTCGGCCGGTGGATTCCAATTCCATGCATGGTCTTGGACGTTTTTTTTTTAATACTTAAATTGTTAAATTTAGAAAAAGAGACATCTCGAGTAGTATGATACTAGATAAAGGAATGTGATTTTAGGGGGGAAAAAAACAATTCTAGATCGGAGAAATATAAACATATCTTTAATATCTTTCTATTACGAATTGATCGGATTGATAAATTCATGAATTAAATAATAACACCAATTCTTTTTTTTTATTAATCCTGACCGTCACAACTATACATTCTTCACGAAGAATGATGGATGATTAATTATTATAATTGTTATTATTATTATTATTATTATTATTTTATATAGGGTATGGTGAGTGATTTTGCCGTGACAGTACTGGGAGATTTTATTATGATATATAATACGATGATATGATCCGGTTTTGTAGGTGAGGATTTTGTACCATGTCCGCTCCCTTATTGTAATTATTTGTAGTATTCTTCATTTAGGCAGATTTTGGCTTTATGGGTTACTATATAATAATAATAATAATTATTATTGTTATTATTATCAACATCATCATCTAGAATAATGGGACACAGTTAAGGAATTGAGCTTTTAGCTGATTAGGATTTACTAAAGGGTGGCAGTCAGCAGTTTTGAGATTTTCTGTGTATATTTGTACGTTCGTTTTATATTTAAGAGTAGAGAATTATATTGGGAAAAAAGAATTGAGTTCTCGGCTTGTTCGAGTCTAAAACGAACACCAATCTTCATGTTTCATATTTGAAGAAAATCACAAATATGTGAATCCAAACCAAAACACTCATGAAGCACACCCGAAAACAATTACAAAAAACACCACAATCGTTGAACACAGTGCAAACTGCAAATCCACTAGTCGAACACCTATATCACGTTTCATATTTGAAGCAGACCACAGATATGTCAAATCACACCACACCACTCATGAAGCACACCGGAAAACAAAAAGACCACACCACAAGCGTTGAACATAATGCAAATCATAAATCCACAAGTCCATCTCATAAATCTATTAAAGCATACCACAAAGTAGAGAAACCATGCACATTACAAATTCTGAACACAAACTACTGACCCGGCCAGACCATAAACCTACTGAAGCATACCATAAACCTCGCTTCGAAAGACTGTAACTCGAGAGAAACAGCGGCTGACGACGGTGCAAACGCGTGGGAGACTGATCTGATATGATCCCAAATTTCCAACCATTCACGTCACAATTACTTGACAAAGAAGCTATCGAAGTTGGGAAGAAGAAAGGCAGAATTTGGCTAAGTCAAAATCCATGTTCAGGGTACATACTTTGGAGGCATGGTTCTCTCAATTGGCTTGGTGGAAAATCAAGTTTAAGGGTTTGTTTTACAGATAAAGTTACCATGTTTCCAATGGTATCCTTTGTGGATCCAGATAATGTCATTAATGTTGTTTTCCAAGGCCTCAAAGTTGCTACCTCAAAACTGAAAAACTGCCAGAAAATGACTAAGGCAGAAAATTGTTCTGTGAAGCCTACTTTGGAGCTCAATTCAAGGAGCATGGATGAGATCCAAGTCAAAAGGCTTCCACAACATGAAACTAGGTATGTTTGTGAACAAAGTGAAGGAATTGGATGAAGAATTGAAGTTTGGGAAGGCCTCGAACAAAAGCGCGAAGTTAGTACGAAAGCTGCCTTTTGACTGTTTTGCGGGCAGCTTACTTGTGCTTGAAGAAAGAGAGTTTAAATCCGAAATTTTGTGTCCTTTTTAGTGAAGACTTTTACCTTAATTGTTTCCTAGTTCTATTAGGTTTGTATTAGGTTTTATTGGCTATAAATAGCCTTCGATTTCGTTGTAAAAAGCAAGACTTTGATTAATAGAAAAACAAACCTATGGTTTTGTGCAAGTTGCGACTTGTTTGAGTTTGGTGGAATCCAAACTTGTGAGCTTTGTATCGATTGAATATTCTCTTCAATCATGGTCGAGCAGCTACCCTTTTATACCATACGAGCTTTCCCCAGGTGTGGAATTGTCCGTTGGTTCCGTTTTATCCCAAGTTCGTATTAATTAAGAGCGCTTCGTTCTTGATTCGAGCTCAATCGATTCTTCAATTGAGTCGTTTGCTGCGTTACTTTGGTAAAAAATACACCCCCAGGGTCGTATTATGATTGATGATGTTATCGCGGCGGAGCGAGGTTTTCTGAAACGGCCCGCTACCATCTCCATTAACCAAAACGAACTAAAAAAGACGATTCCCTTATTAATTAACTCGGACCACCACAGCCATGCATTCTTCACGAAGAACAACCAAAAAAAAACGGCAACTGACATTTTCAAAACCAACCGGGGGGGAAAAACCGATATTCCACGGTGGATGATTTCAAGGGATCCGAATCCTCCTCCACGTCAGGGTAAACCATGAGTGATCAGGGCTATAGGCCCCAGTTTCATTGATATCCCAATTTATGACTTCATACCCACCTTCAGGCTGCCCTTCATGGTACGCATCGAAAGAAAGACGCCCGTCTTCCAACGCCAGGTGGCACCAAAACAGCGTCTGCAGGATGACGTGGTGGTCGTCGAAATGCCAGCTGTAGGCCTCGCCGTAGTTCATGGCGCGGGCCCCGAGGTCGTCGTCGGCGGATGCACAGTGGACGATCAGTGCCTTCTCGCTGCTCACCTTGTTGTTGATGTTAACGATCCGCGTCATGGCACTGATTAACGGCGGTGCCATAATTAGAACAAGAGTAATAATAATAATGATCATTATGTTCATCACCACCTGCTGCTTCTTCCTGCTCATCATTATGGTACGTAAGTTCCTTTTCTTCCTCTCTTAATTGCGTTAGCAATTAACAGTTATTATTGCTCACAACTCCTTTTTTATACATGATCATAGTGTCCTCCGTCGCTCTGCTCTTGAGGTGGCGTACGGTTCTCTGCCGTCTTCATTTGTGGTATTTTGCATGGTGGCTCCAGGCTACTTGGCCGGCAGATTCCATGCAAGACCTTGGGCAATAAATGAATAAATTACTATTAAATAAATATAATTAAGAAATTGATAATATCCAAATAATTCATTCATAGGTAATAAAGAAATACTCAATTAATACAGTCATTGTTTTCTATGCGTTTTCGTACTCTTGAAAGAAACGAAAAAATATATTTCTTGTTTACACTCTTATTAAGTAAGGTTTTTTTCCCAATGGTATCCAACTAAACAATTATTAAGAAACTGACCACCAATTCATCTACGAGGCTAATATAGCTCAAAAGCTAAAACTGCTTTTTCTACACTTGCCGTTGCAACGCGTAAAGTCAAAACTAGCGTCAGAAGCAAACAAATTAAACTTACGGATATGATTGATGAAGTTTTGTCTTTACCATTATTTGAGAGAATTCATCAAAGTTTAGTTAAAATTCAACAAATCTTTCATAAGCCATAACATCATGATAATACCCAACAAGTTGTGTTGTCGAATAATGGTGTCATGAGCGAAACTAAACTCAGTGAACAAAATCTAGTAAGACACAACAACTTCTCCTGATCAAACAAGATATGACTTGTAGTATAGCGGTAGAACACTCTTATATCGCATAGAAGTCACGAGTATCCTTGATCTATACATACATATGGGTTTTCTTAGCCCAGAATTTACCAGTGTCATTTGACATCTCCCAGACCCTCTCCCTCCGCCTATGATCTTAGGTGACAAGTAGATTGGATTTATGGATTCGTGGAATGAATTAAATAGATTCAGGGATTTATGAAACAGACTTGTCATGGATTTTTGGATTCAAGTGACATCTAACTTTTGGATCATTCTGAAAGTTTTGATAAGTTTAATTACTAAAGTAATGTTCTATGATAATTCAGGCACCAACTTGTAATTTGGTAATTTTTGTTGTTAAAAATCAAACTTTAGGTTTCGGATGTGACAAAACAATAATTTTACAACAATCTATCAATCCACTAATATGGATGGCAATTGGCACCTAAATTTTTTCATAATGACATTTCGGTACCTAAACTTTTTTAATTTTTATGCAATGGTCCAATGTTTGGATGTCACCTAGATCTATAAATCCAATCCACCAATATTCCATTTGATCCAATTCATGCATCCACCAATTATATTCATTTGATCCAAATTCATTAATCCACAAATCCATAAATATCCAACATTTGGCATTAGAAAACACTCTCTTCCTTCCCCCATATCCTTCTTCCTTATTTATATTATATATCTTCTTCCTCGTTTTATTCTCCATCACTTGCATAGTTGCTTTCACGATTCTATTTTTAGGATTCTATCTCCCAATTAACCAAAACCAATGTGTACAAGTGGGTGAAAAACGGGTGAAAAGTTAATGGTCCGACCATTTCAGCTCGATTTAGCTCGGATATATTGCAAAAACTATTATATTGTTCATACATATATAAAGTATCTCATTTGATATATGAGTAACACCATATAATAATATACCAAAATAACCGTTCGTACTTGAATTCAACATATAATAAAAATTCAAACTCAACGTAACGTACTAATCAATCTCCAATCTTACTGGTTTTGCTGAGTTAGTTTTGACCGAGTTGAAGCAGATTGAAGCCAGATTGAAACCTTCTTTTTTTTTACCGGTTAGATGGAATCCATATGAAGTGTTCAAAACGAGTGTGTGACACACTTTTTTCCACCAAGTCTGTCAACTGTCCAACCCGCAAATTGACAACCTTCACCAAAACGGGAGAAAAAAGACGATTACTTTATTGATTCAGACCACCACCACAACCATATCCATTTGTTCTTCACGAAGAACAATTTCAAGGGAACTGAATTCGCTTCCATGGATGAAGCAACTCATATTTCCTCCACTCATCATACATGTTAGGCCCATAAAGCCCAGTTTCGTTGACATCGTACCCCATGACTGCGTACCCACCACCGCCTTCTCGTTCAATGTACGCCACAAAGGAAAGACGGCCGTCTTCCAACGCTAGGCGGCACCAAAAAACCGCCGGCCGGAAAAGGGAGCTGTCCTCGAAATCCCAATGGTAGAAGTCGCCGGAGTTCACGGCGAGGACCCCGAGGTCGTCGTCTACGGATTCACAGTGAACTATCAACGTCTTCTTGCTGCCCAACTTGTTCGTAATGTTAATGATCTTCGCGTCACTGATTAGTGCCATAAGAACAATCGTAATAACGATCATTATCGTCATCATCACCAGCTGCTGCTTCCTCCTGCTCATCGTAATCATATATTATTATATGGTAACTAATTTCCCACAACTCCTTTTTATACATGATCCATGAGTGATGGGCTAAGATGGGGTTTTTGCCGTTTTGGTATCACAGTGTCCACCGTCGCTCTTTTCTTCGGGTAGCGTACGGCTCTCTGTTGTTTTCATTTGTGTTATTATGCATTGTGGCTCCAGTTGACTTATGGGAAAACAAATTCTAGATCGGACAAATTTAGGTATATCTTTAATACCACTCTAGTAGATGTGACGAAGAAATCGGATCCATAAATAATTCATGGATTAATTATATTAAATAGTTTTGTTTCTCGGCGAGAAAACTAGAGTTTGACAAAATTGAATTTGCACCTTAACTTTTTGAATAACGATAAAATAAACAAAGTTTAAACAGATGTTCGATATTTTGTAACTCACGAGACATATCTACATTAAATTACCCTACTCCTTATATATGGAGATTCAGTGAGAGCTCCAGAACTACAACTAATGGCTAGAATTTGCAGAGGAAAAAAAGAAAAAGATATCACTTGACAAGTGGTGTCGAGTTGTGATTTTTAAGAACCCCTTCTCTGTCATCTTCACCTCATATTTATAGTCACCGGAAGTATCTGCCTCGAGAACTGCTCAGCTGACATGGAGCAACAATTACTCTCTCAATTTCTCTAACTAACGTTGGATGTGCCACCATCTTCTGTCTTGGCCCTATCTTCTTGATAGCTCCTCATTAGCTTTGCTCGTTAGTTGAGAAAATGACAGCATGAAGACCTTCTTACCACATGTAGGTGCGTGTCTGGATCACCCAAGGTAAAAAAAATGACAAAAATAATTCACCACAACGGGAGCGGCATACTCTGGCCAAATTTTTTTCTACGTGCCAACACGTTTCCACCATTTCCCAAACTCAGCTAAATTTACACCTTCTCGACATACTAGGGGGTGCATTTTAATGGCCCCCCCTGACAACACCATGGGGCCTACTTGCGTTGATCAAATTCGGCCATATTCATCATCCCTTTAACCACGTTACCCTATAGTATTGCAGTCTGCATCATAGGGGTGCTAGCTAGGTTGATGGCCTCCAAACAACACCATGGGGTGTGTATGTCGATCACCCCCTGGCCACACCTTGAAGGGCCTATATTAGGGTTGGGCGATCGGTCGGTTCGGTTCAAATCGAACTGAACTGGCATATACCGAAGTTCCGAAGCCATCCACACCCCAACCGAATTCGGCTGTGAAATTGAAGGGGAACTGGAAATTGGATTGGACGGATGGACTATGGAGTGGAGGAGAGGAGTTGGGCTTGGGATGGGAGGGAGTTGCTTGCTTTGGGTCGAGGAGGGTGAGTATTGGGCTTTAATTGGGTCAGGGGGGAGTAGGTTGAACCGGTTTTTACCGGGTTTGTACAGATTTGACGAATCCAGATAAAATTCAAAACGAGCATGTGACAGCACGTTTTTTTTCCACCAGCTCCGTGTCAATCTCATCCGTCCAACCCGCAGATTAACAACCTTGACCAAAACAGGAGAAAAAGGACGATCTCTCTATTGATTCGGACCATGCACCACCACAACCATATCCATTATTCATCACGAAGAACAATCACAAAAAAAGACGGATTGATTTCAAGGGAGCTGAATTCGCTTCCATGGATGAAGCAAATCATATGTCCTCTGAAAATCAAACATGTCAGGGCCATAGATCCCAGTTTCGTTGACATCGTATCCCAAGACTACGTACCCAGCACCGCCTTCAGTGTATGCCACAAAGGAAAGACGACCATCTTCCAACGCCAGGTTGCACCAAAAAACCACCGGCCGGGAAAAGGTTTCGTCCTCGAACTCCCAATGGTAGACGCCGTCGGAGCTCACGGCGAGGGCCCCAAGATCGTCGTCTAACGACTCACAGTGGACTATCAGCGCCTTCTTGCTGCTGATCTTGTTGGTAATGTTAATGATCTTCGCGTCACTGATTACTACTGCCATAAGAACAATCGTGATAATGATGATCAATATTGTCGTCGTCACCAACTGCTGCTTCCTCCTGCTCATCGTCCTCAAATATTATTATTATTATTATTATTATTATATGGTGACTAATGGTGATAATAATTCTTCACAACTCCTTTTTATACATGACCGACGAGTGATGCGCAAAAATGGGGTTTTTTTTTTTTTTTTTTGGGTATCACAGTGTCTTCCGTCGTTCTGCTCTTCGGGTAGCGTACGGCTCTCCTCTGCTGTGTCTCGAGGTTACTCGGCCGGTAGCTAGATTCTATGAATCGTCCTGAGCGTTTGTTTTATTCTTAAGTATTTTTTCTTTATATTTACTTACTCGACAAGTGTGTACTCTAAAGATGATTCCTAGATCATAGCGCATTTACTAGCTTATCCAGCTTTCTATATTTTATAGTGGGTGTGTCTGGTACAGCTAGCTATATGCATGTATAAAACAACGGATACCGTACATAGTAGAAGATTGTGCGGCATTTCATTAGAAAAATAGATATCAGAAAAAAAATATAATAACCCTGATTTTCTCTACAATGTCAATTGTACATTACAGTTTTTTAATTTAGCGAATTCATCAATAATGAATTTTTCATCCATACCAATGGCATACTCTTTCTTTGAAATATAATAGTTAAGCAATTATTGAGAAATTCATCGCTCATTTTGCTACGCAAGTCAGTGTTCACATGTTTCATTGTTGAGAAGGTTTTCTCCATTGTAGCCGTTGAACGAGCAACGTCAACACTAAACGAATCAACCAACTAATCAATTTAGATTCAATCCACCAATCCATACGATCTCAATTCATTAATTCAACAATCCACTAATCAAATCCATTTGACACTAGAAAACACTATTTTCCTTCCCCCCGTATCTTTCGTAGTTATTTATATTTTATCTTCTTTCTCATTTTATTCTCCATCGCTTGTATGGTTGCTTTCACGATTCTATTTCTATGATTCTATATATATCTCCCAATTAATCAAAACTAAGGTTGTCGACCTGGTTTAACATCTCTTGGTCCGGTCAAGTAAATGGGTAAATAGTTCATGGTCCGATCATTTGAGCCTGATTTAGCTCGGATTTATGGCAAAATATTATTATATAGTATGAATATATAAATTAACTCATTTAATATACGAGTAACAACATATGGCCGTACACCAAACTAATAATTCGTAGTTGAATCAAGGGAGCTAAATCCGCTTCCATGGATGAAGCAAATCATATTTCCTCCACTCATCATACATGTCAGGGCCGTAAAGCCCAGTTTCGTTGACATCGTATCCCATGACCGCGTACCCACCACCGCCTTCTCGTTCAACGTACGCCACAAAGGAAAGACGGCCGTCTTCCAACGCGAGGTTGCACCAAAAAACCGCCGGCCGGAAAAGGGTGTTGTCCTCGAACTCCCAATGGTAGACGTCGCCGGAGTTCACCCGCGAGGGCCCCGAGGTCGTCGTCTACGGATTCGCAGTGGACTATCAGCGCCTTCTTGCTGCCGATCTTGTTGGTGATGTTAATGATCTTCGCGTCACTGATTAACGGCCGCAGTGCCATAAGAACAACCGTGATAATAATAATGATCATTGTCGTCGTCACCAGCTGCTGCTTCATCATATATTATTATATGGTAATTAACCCTTTTCTCTCCCTCTTAATTGTGATAATAATAATAATTGCCCACAAGTCCTATTTTATACATGACCGACGAGTGTCCACCGTGTCCACCGTCGCTCTTTTCTTCAGGTTGCGTACGGCTGTCTCTCTCTGCTGACTTTTATCAAAACAATTTCTAGATCGGACAAATTTAGGCATATCTTTATTAATATCATTGTTGTAGAGGTGATAAAATAGATCGGATTTTTGAGTTCGTGGATCGGATTAAATAGATTCATGAATTTATGGACCAGGCTCGTGGATTCTTAGATACAAATGGTGTCTAACTTTTGGGTTAATTTAAAAATTTTGAAAATGTTTAGGTAGTAAAATGTCATTCTATATATACTAGACCATAATTTTACAACATTCTATTCTACGAAACACCAAATCCATTGGATTTGAATTAAATAGATCTGGATTTAAATAAATTGAATTAGTTCAATTTTTTCAAATGGATTGGAATGAGTTGGATTCAAATTTCCATCATTAGTTGAGTTCCTTAATGTTGGGAGTTTTCTACTTAATTACTCCAAAACTTTGTACTCTGAAGATGATTCTTTGATCATAATGGATTTACGATTTGTCCAACAAGTGGTTTCTCTCACTCCACTTTAGAGGGTTTTTTTTTCCAGATGAATTTCGTGTCTTATTTTTGTTCCCACTTTTCTCGTTTTTGTTCGACTTCAATATTGGATTTACTTCCGCTAGTACTATTTTATCCAGGTTCAAAAGTTTCAAAGCGCAACACAATCTACCGGGCGATGTGGGATGAGCTGGAAAGGCAATTTGGACAACCCAATGCTATAAGAATTATCAATATGGAAGACGAAATGCGTGCTTGTAAGCATGAGCCCAAATCAGTCAATCAAATACTAAACATACATTAAGGATCATTGGGAAGAATACATACAATACAGCCATGTTGTACGTTGTGCTTATGCTCCAGGAAAACCCTAACCCTTGGGATGTTGTATAAGCTTTCATTAGAAACAAGAGACAATTTATCTCATTCAATTTCTCAGAGGATCAAAATGTGTCAAAACTACAAAATTATGACTTATATCTTGTAAAATCATGATGAAAGAACAAGTTCGTAGTCTCATATATTTACCATTTCATATAGAATCTAATAGTAAATAAAATTGTCGAGATTTGACCATTTATAGGTAGGAAGATGATTCGTTTTCCAAGAGATTAATCGATAAACCCTTGTACATATCATCCTCCTTAACATCATCATGCATGTCACCCTGAAAAGTACTCTTCCACTTATCAATCCCTATACAACAATAATACAAAATTATATCCAAGCACTTTCTCGAACAATCATAAATGTATATCCACAATTAAACCCACAGACGGCACATATATGCAACCATTCACATAAACAAGATCAATGATGATTAAGACAAGCAAATAATAACATATAGCTAGCCGTCCAGGTCGGGTTCATCATATAGCACAATAGTCAATACGCCCCTAATCATGTCATTCTAGTTCATCTAGGTCAATTATAAATATCAATATTATTAGGGTAAATACAATATATTATCCATAACTATTAAGTAGCGGGGAATTATAGTCACAACTATCGAAATACAAATTATTAGCCATAACTATTGTTGTGGGTCAAGATTTGGCTAACAGCCCGTTACTATTTTCAAATTTTTAACGTAGAAGGCCATGTCAACATCGTAAAAAATATGATATGATGACTGCCACGTGGGAGCCAGCTCACCATCGTAAAAGCTTAGTAATCATTACTAACAGAAGTGTTAACGAAAACTTAACGATTGGCTAATAATTTGTATTTCGATAGTTGTGGCTATAATTCCCCGCTGCTTAATAGTTATGGCTAATATATTGTATTTGTTCCAATATCGGTTTTATTCTTTGTTCCATGATTAATATAAAGTTATGTTCTTACGCTCCGCTTTTGCGCTCAACCTTCTACTCATTATCATCCCTATTTACTTGTGGAAATTTGAATCCAACTCCATTTTAAAAAAAATCCAATTAATTCAATCCATATAAATTCAAATCGTTTAATTCAAATCCAATAGATTGGACGATTCATTAATTGTTGTAAAATTATAGTTTAGCATATATGTATTTTACAATTTGGAACCTAAAGTTTGATTTTTTACCCAAAACGAATCCCAAAATTTAAAAATTGGTACCTAGATACTTTATAGAACGACAGTTTAGTACCAAAACTTTTCCAAAAAAACTTTATGGATGATCGAAAAGTTAGATGTCACTTGGACGATGTAAATATCCACGATATTCTGATACATAAATGCATGAATCTATTTAATCTGATCACGAACCCATAAATCCGACCTATTTGTAACCTCTGCTATACTGATTTTCAAGATATGCCTAAATCTCGAGCACTTCTACTATGCTATATAGCATTGGTGCTTTAATGTACAACTCAAAGTTGTACCATAACATTAAATGTATAAGTTTAGGGTGTACCATAAAGCAATTTGTACTATTATATTATGGTACAACTTTACAACTTGAAATTGTATCATCACATAAAGGTACAAGTTCAAGTTGTACCATAAAAGAATTTGTACAAAAAGTATAGGTACAATATGAAGTTGTACCATAACGTAAATGTACAATTTTACCATAAAGACAAAAACCTATATCACCAATACTATATAGCATTGTAAAATTTCTCCTAAATCTCTCCCATCTAATTTTTTTTTTCTTCTTTTCTTTTCTGAAATCAAATTCATGTCTCCAGTATTCATTCTCATTTTCTGGGAGATATCGTACTATGTCTTTTCCTAAATACAATTTATGTATAGAAAAAACGCCCAAGACCGCATGCATGGAATCTACCGGCCGAGTTACGTGGATCCACAATGCATAATACCACAACTGATCAAGACAGCAGAGAGCCGTATGCTACCCTAAGAAACGAGCGACGGTGGACACTGTGATCATGATTCATGTATAAAAAGGAGTTACGATACAATTATTATATTATCCACATCATCATCACCATCACAATTAAGAGGGAGAGAAAAAGGTTTACCGTAAAAATTAATATACGATGACGATGGTGACGACGACAATGATCATTATTATTATTACGGTTGTTGTCATGGCACGGCGGCCGTTAATCAGTGACGCGAAGATCATTAACATCACCAACAAGATGGGCAGCAAGAAGACGCTGATGATAGTCCACTGTAAATCCGTAGACGACGACCTCGGGGCCCTCGCCGTGAACTCCGGCGAGGTCTACCACTGGGAGTTCGAGGACAGCACCCTTTTCCGGCCGGCGGTTTTTTGGTGCAACCTCGCGTTGGAAGACGGCCGTCTTTCCTTTGTGGCGTACGTTGAACGAGAAGGCGGCCGTGGATACGCAGTGATGGGATACGATGTCAACGAAACTGGGCTTTATGGGCCTGACATGCAAGATATGTCGAGGACATATGATTTGCTTCATCCATGGAAGCGGATTTAGCTCTCCCTTGAAAATGCGTCTTTTTTTGTGATTGTTCTTCGTGAAGAATGATGGATATGGTTGTGGTGGATGTGGTGGTGGTGATCCGAACTCCGAATCAATAAAGAAATCGTCCTTTGTGTTCCGTATTGGTCAAGGTTGTTATCATTATGAAATCTTTAAAAACTTTAGATATTAAAGTGTCAATCTATAAAAGTTCAGGTACCAAATTGTAATTATAGAAGTGTATATTTTTTTTAATGGTAAAATGTAAGACGACCGACTTTCATTTGAAGGGTGTGTGTAAGAGATAAAAATTTAACAAAATTTTTTCTACCAATTTGAGTTATTGGAACCAAATAATTTGTTCGTTACTAGGTCGGCCCATATATCTCTCACTCCATAATTCCCCCTAATCACCAAATAAACTAAGAAAGATCATAGATATGTATATGCGTATGATTATTGTATCACATAGCTAAGAGGATATAATTAACAAATTATTTCCATATGGTAAATTATTAATAACTAATTTGTGTTTATATTAGCTAGTAATATACTGTTAAAAATTAAAATGAATCATATACTTTGATCTCTCTATATGAATTAATTATTATTTGCACAAAAGAAGAGTTAACGATGAATAAGGAAGTTTGGTACAGCTGAAGACGAGGGATAGAACTTAGGGTTTTGTTAAAACAGAAGGTAATACTGATAGAGTAAAAACCGAAGTTTGTTATTACAGAATACCACTATACAGAGCACTATATAAGAAAGTTAATTTCTCATCTTCGTATATTAACAACACAGAGGCTAATTATTTTACAATACAAATAGCTTCTTTCTGTGAGAAAAAATCATGGTGGCTTTCAAGTGGGAAAATCAGAAGCAACTTATTCCAACAATCTTCTTAGCGATACTGCTTCTTTCTGTATCGGTTCAACAACGTTCCTGTACTGCAACGAGAGATGTGTTTGTTGAGACGACGGCAACACCAGCAACAGTAATGCCACAACGGCCAACTGTGACGGGGGATTATCAAGTAGAAGGGAGTAGGTATCCATGGTGCAGTTGGTGCTGCAATCCTTTCGTCGGTAAATTGTGTTGCCGGAATGACTGGCCTTGCTAACCTCTATCTAAAACGGTGTCGTTGTTAACGTCTGGATGCTTTTTTTTTTTATAATTTTCAGGTAGGAATAATTGTTTTTTTCAATAAAATTTTCAAAGGAACTTCCTCTTCCGTGGTTAGTATAGTTTGTCTTAGATTTATTGAGAAAATTGCTAGCTTACTGTCGTTATTATTTGTACTAGTTGTTAATTTGTCCTCCATTGAATTTCAAGATTGAAATTCAAAATGCTCACGCCAACAATTCTCATTCTTCCCTTTTCGTAAGCAGAATGGTTATTCATTATTGAAAAACAGTTTATCATTAGGCAAAATAAATAGAGTTTCAGACAATCCACTTCTCATAGCAAATTTACAACATGCCAAAACAAAGCAACAACAACCACAGAGGCCAAAAACAAAACCCAGGACACTTCCCGACATCCAAAATTTTGGAACACCCATATAAATTAAGTACAAATACAACACAGTCACTGATGGTCTGGAAAGCTAGACAGACAAGGGAATGATCTTGAACCTGTACAGAAGCCTCTTCTTCTTCGCCGTTGGGTTGTCGATCGTAAGCAGCATCTTCCCCAGTTCGCTCACTTTGAACTGGTTCGACAGCACCGGCTCGCTAGTTGGTGTCATCTTCGTCGGTTTCTGGATTATGATTGTGTATGCATCTTTTGTCTCGGGGACGAATTCGGCGCTGTAGCTCACTTCCCACCCGACCACTCGTATCTCCCAGATGAACATGCATTTCTGCAAGTAAAACAAACAACAACCCCATAAGTTTGAAGTTTTTGTCAAAGTGCAAGTACCCAACCAAGATTACAGAACAGTGCCTGTCAATTATCATTACCTCATAAATTAGGATCTCCACCGTCTGCTTGGTCCCCGGCTTCAAGATCATGTCGGTGACCGGATCAGCAAAAGTGAATTCCGGGTCGCAATCGCAGTCATCCACGCTCAATCCACCGTACTGGATTGGGACTTGCTCGGGAGATATGTATCTGGTTCGAGCATCACATCACACAATCAGACTTCAAACCAACATGACCATGGACAGGAAGAAACAACAACATCAAAGAAGCAGAGAAAGGAAGAAACTTGATGAAGAAAATGCAAAACCAACTGACTTGAAAAGTGTTTCTGCAGATTTCGCGGTGCTGGCAAACACAAACTTGCTCTTAGTCCTCTGGGTCATGAAGGGGCTCATCATTGTATAGAATGCAAGATACCACCAAGGTACATTGATGAACACCTGCAAAACCGACAAAAAGGCCAGCAATCAAGAACAGAGCAGCAGAGTGATTTTACATCATACAAGGATTCAATCCAATGGGTCAAAGATCAATTTGTACATCCAACCAAACTTGACATTGAAATAATTAAAACACCAATTCGTCCTTATAAATCATCGTTAGCATATTCATTTCCCTGGCCGAGGTAAGATGAGGGAAATGGAAGTACCGAAAGAGGCTTATTACGAACAAGCTCGATGCTTTAATTGTCTCAATACGAAGATCAGTCCCCAATGCATCACATAGAGCTGAGTTAACCACCAATTTGGTTACTGAATTGGTATATATGCATCACATTGGACACAATTGAGACAATTAAAACACAAACTCGTTTTAATAGCAATAGTTAGCATTCTGGTGGCCGCAACGACAACATTTCGACCGAAAATGCTAATGACAAGTTACCTCCACGACGAATTGGTGAGCAAATTCCTATTCAATCCTCTACAACCCCATCCAATCCATTGTCTCATTGACCAGTTCAAATTCAATGAATTATTATACTCCAGAAATGATGGAGGGAGAAAACAAAGTTACCTGCTTGGCTACAAACTCAGGGTAATTGTCCTGCAACAGCTGCACCGCCTGCTTAGTAGCCAATCGGAGTTCCCTTTTCGCCGGCCCAGGCGAATTCTTCAGATCATTCACCTGAAAGATCGTGGCAACACCGCCGGGCCTGAAATCCAGATTCCGAATGCTCTTCTCCAGGAACTGAATCCGCCACCGCAAGAACTTAGTCCGCTTCTCCTCGTCGGAGAACGTCTTCTGATACAATTCCTTGTTCTGGAACTCGCCAAACACGTTGTAGCACACCGGGTGGCAGTCTCGGTCGTGGCCGTGCATAAAGACGACTTTTTCCAGATCGTCGCCGAGATCTTCCTCCACGAGCTCGTCGATTTTGAATTCCTTCCTCCACTGGATCGTGTTCTTCAGCATCGTGAACGCTTCCTTCACTTTGAAATCCCTAGCTCTCAAGAACTTCAGCAGAACGACGTCGCTTCTGTCGTCTTCCAGCAGCGGAATCCCCCAAATGGACACCTCAGCCGACGAGGAAGAGGAAGCAGCAGCTGCCGCAGGCTCTTCTTCCTTTGCTGGAGTAGCTTCTTCTTCTAGCTTTTCAGCGGCCGGTGGAGTAATCTCTGTGCTGACATCGGAGCTTTGATCTTCAGATTTCTGAGCTTCCGTAGCTGCAGCGGTGGTAGCGGCGGAAGAGGAAGTCCGAATCTCCTCCTTTGGCGGCGGCGGAGGAGGAGGAGAGGTGAAGGAGTGAGAGTCCAGAGCTTCCTGGACCAGCTGCTTGAACTCATCGAGCGCCTTCCTCTCCGAATCGGACAGATCAGAGACTCGATTGCTCTCTTCCTTGAACGAGATCAGAGACTCCGGAACCTTCAATTTCTCCTTCTTCTCCGGCATGCCGGTGAACTCCTCTTTGATTACCACCGATTTCGCGACCACTTCGGCTTTCACCGGCGCCGCTTCTACTTCTGCTCTCTTCTCCTCCTCTGGCGACGGTGCGGCGGATGAATCCTCCGCGGAAACCGCAGCAGCTGGGGCTTGCTCCGGCGGCGGTGGCGGTGCTACCGGGAGCTCTTCTACGGCGGATTGAGGGGGTGGCGGAGGAGGAGCGGCGGATGGCGGAGGTTCGTCGGCCATTTGTTGAGGTTTTGATATTCGGTGAAGAGAGCCGAAAGAGTTTCCTGTGGAGAGATGAGAACGAGCAGAGTGAGCTGAAAAGAGTAAGTGAGAGAGGGAAGAAAGCTGAGCCAGAAAAGAAAAGTATTTTTGACTTTTTGTTTTTGTTTCTTAACTTTTTGCAGTGCTTTTTTGTCGTAAAGCTATGCTCTGTGTTTTCTTTTCTCTGGCGTTCGGTCGGTAGAGGAAGAGGAACTAGATGAAAGTGAAGAGAAAGACACAGTGTAATAAACGTTTAATAATATTTTATTCCTTTTGAAAAAGACTGTTAGGTAGATCGGGCCCATGATTTCTTATTTTCACGTGGCCCACGGCCCACAAAGCCCGTCGTTCAACGGCTCGAATTATCATAGGATTTTTTTATTTATTAATCAAATGGTTTAACATTTGGTTTACTAAAATAATTGTACTTTCTAGGTCAATTATCTCGCTCTCCATCATTTTTAATTACCGTTGTTGATGACAAGGTCGTGCTCTAGAAAGGTGCTGATACCTTGAGATAAAAGAAGGCTTAGTCTCATATTTTTAAAATTTAATAAATTGACTGAAAATATGGGGACACGATACTAGGTAGGAAATCTTTCGTCATTCAAATTAGATAAGATATTAGTGACAATAAGTTTGTCAATTAGGTTGTGTATTTGTCCTCAGTTTTTTTTTTAAAGAGATAGTACCTTATCTGATTTCGGTTTAAATAATTTCAACTAAATATTTCGAAATTTAATCTAATTGGTTTCAGTTTAGTTTCAAACCAACCGAAATTGGTGATATCCAAATCAGTGCAATGTTTGGTTTGAGAGAGTTTCGTGCAATTGTTAGCTAAACCGAGGTAATTTTTTAAAATTGCTCTCCCTATTTTTCTATAATTTCACCAGCCATACCCTTCGCTGCATGTTGACACTCTTTTCCTACGCTAATTAAATTTTAGATACTCCTCTCTTTCAAATGGAGAATCCCGACGACTGGACAGAGACCGTTGAGTAGGAACGAGACGAGGAGCAGCTGCAGAGAGACAGAGTAGAACAAGAGCCGTTGCAGCTTTCCGATGAACCAGCAAAATCAGGTAAAAAGGAATCCTATGCCCGACAACAACTCACCCCCATCCACCAATTTACCACCGTCATATCCACAGTGCATTTTTACCTCTTTTTTCTCATCTTCCATTCATGTCTCATGTTCCATTTATTACCAATTCCACTAGATAGCGTAAAACTCAAATTCCGGGATTGAGGTTGGTTTGATAACACAAGTGTTATGAACAATTGGTGAATAGTTTAGGAAGAAGATCAAAGTTTTACCGATACCTCTATTTCTCGATTTTATCACGAAATTCACTGGTATGTTTGAGAGTTGATAGAACCATATTCTTTCTTAATGTCAAGACGGATTCATCACTATTCATTAGTAAGCATGAGTACCTCTTAATTGTCTGTCTGCGTTATGTTGTATATGTATAATTCGTATTGTACGTTCTCTATAAAATCATTATTTGAGTTCCTTTGTGTAGTATCACATTTGTGTTGTGTTGTGGTACTATATGATTCTCTATAAAATCATTACCCATAAGCACTTGGATATGTCATATTTGGATGTAGTTATAAACCATGCTTGTATCATGGTGATTTTTAAGTAATTAAAAGTTGGTTTAAGCACATAAACCGAACTTGTTATATCAAGGGGAGGAGTGTACAAAGGTCTTGTCTAGTACGGATCCGATCAAATCATGAGAATCGCAGTTCAATAGTTAAAATCAAGGACCAACTCGTGTAAAATATGATCCAGTACAAACATCAATTTGGTATGATCCAACTCTAGTAATTGTTGGTTCAGTATGATCCAGTACAAACATCAATTTGGTAGGATGCATTGTGAGCAAACATTTGCATATCCTAGTTATATCACACAATAGTTATTGGCAACATTAGTATGGTTACGAAATTTAATAGTGGGATTCTCATGCCTATGAGACAAAATGGGTACTTAGATTTTGATAGTATCCACTTCGTCCACCTTCCATCCAAATTTTCTAAATTAGAATGATATCTCCACCAAATTGATAATTGACACACATATTCTCCAACTTTAGTTATTATGATAGTAATGGCAGACATAATTCATATTCAATTATCCACCTAACAGAAATGAGTGTTGGATTTAGGAATTTAGGTGATGCATATACCACACTCATCGATGGGTGCTTGATCAAAGTTTCTTCCACTATATGCAATCAACATCATGAAGAGCAAGTACTAAAATTCGTCAGAGTATTGGCTTGTACACGTTTGATTTCTGTTTCGGGTCTGACATGTAACCTTATTCTTAATCAGATTGGATTAGGGTTAGGTCGTTGGAGAAGTACTATATAAAACTCTCATACTTCTCTGTAATCTGTAATCTCCACAAGTACAATGAAACTGGCACTTTCCCGCCTGTGGACTAACACATGTGTTAGACAAACACGTAAATCCATATGTTCTTTTATTTCTTATTATCATTGTCTTTCTTGCATTGTCGATTACCCCAATCTGTCCGTGACAACATGTATTTTTTGTAGTGTAATTAGACTGTGATACCATAACTAAGAAATTGTTCGGACGACGCCGTTCCCATAACTTTCTTTCCTTCTAGCTGCTTTCCATGGTTCGAGCCACCATGACCACTTCCCATATCAGAAAGAAAATACTTCTTCTGTTACCAAGAACTAAAAGGATCAATTCACGAAAAAAGAAGTAAAAGTATCGAGTTCAAATCTTAGGACCAAAGACTCCAGCAATATAATGAGAACGACATTAAACATATGAATATCATCTATTTGTCACATCGGTGATAATTAAAGTTCTCGAGATATATTCATTACGTATAGGAATGACAAAGGTCATGACTTGATACCGTCACATTCCCATCAATAACTCATATATATAAACATAGCAAATTAAGCAAATCCATTCCCCCAACAACATATCCCTAACCTCCACAAAATGTCGGTGTTGAAACTGAACTCCTACAACCAGTTCATCCGAACCTTGAAAGGCGATCTTCACAACATCTTCGTCTACGATTACATGGACGATCCCAACGTCTTCGAGATGATCCACGCTAGCATCTATGCTAGTGAACCACTTTCTATCACCACTCATGTGATTACTACAGTCAGAATCCAAAAACCACCAATCATTATTTGACTTCTCCTTGACAGAATCCAGAAGAGCCATCGATCCCTGTGTTTCATCTTCCCACTCACTTGAGTCTTCAGATTCTACACAGGCCATTAACAGTATGTCCTCATTCATATCTCCATTAATGACTTTTTATTTTCTCTAGTTTTTTTAATCGGGTCTTATGTTCTTCGTTTTAATTTGGATTTCAAAATAAAAATTATATTGATAGGACGAGTTCGTTATGATCTACAAAATGATATCCATTTTTAATATATTTTGGAAAAAAAAAAAATCTACCACTCATTCAACCTGGGTACTACCTTATTTTTTCCTCGAAATTTGACAGATGAAACAAGTTTCTTACTAAAACGCCAAAGAAGTTCCTTACGCCAAAGAATTTAAGCTAAAACTAGGAATCAAGGGAAAGGGCAACCATTAAAAATTTTCCTATAAAAAATCATATTATAATTACGATAAACCTATTCACATTCGAATATTTTGAACAACAAATAAGACGTTAAAATTCATCAAGACTCTACCTAGTACATATGCAAAAGTATCAAGTGAAAACCATGGTCCATGAAACCGTATCGAACATCGTATCGGAAAAGTCAGCGGTAGGGTATTTTGTGACAAAACCGTGGTTTAACCGTAGTTCAACCGTTCATACCGTTAAATACCGCCTACCGGTTTAGCCTCCGATATTGGTATTTTGTGGTTGAACTGTCGGTACGATACGGTTTCATGGACCATGGTGAAAACCTTCCAAGCTTTCCTTTTTGTCACGTCAGTAACAAGGTTTTGTGATGAATATATTCAAAACGTATACACAAGACAAAGGTCGAAACTAATGACTTGATACCGCCACATTCCCCTGTCACCACTTACACACATATATATATAAGCCTTCTTCAACAACATATCGAAAGGAGACTCATTGCCCCCATTCCCAATCTCCATACAAACAAAGCTCTATAACGAAATATGTCGGCGTTCAAGTTGCAGTCCGACAACCAATTCCTCCGAACCCACAAAGGCCACCCCGACGTCGTTTTCGTCTACGAGTACATGGACGATCCCAACGTTTTCGAGACGATCCACGCCAGCGACTCCCGCTGGAATGCTCCGTCCGCGGTGGGCCATCCCGCCGCGTTGGAGGTGTTCGGCGTGACGATCGGAGGCGCGAAGCTGAAGGAGCTGGCCAAGGACCTGACCCTCACCGACCCGAGTACCGGCCAGACGTTTCACCTCATCGTCAACCGACAGGGCCTCTGCTTCGTGTACGTGGCGAGCCAGCCGATCGTGCGGCTGAGGATCAACGACCACTTCGGCTGGTCCAAGTACGGGGTGAAGCCGCGGATCAGCACGATATGGAGCGTGTGGGACATGAGCAACGGCGCCGTTTTGGTAGCTCCTCCTCCGACTGAAGATGATGCTGCTGATGGTGGTGAGAAGTATTCGGCGTTGAACGAGAGCTGGAAGAAGGTATTGGAGGAGAAGGACAAGTGGATGGAGGAGAAGGAGTCGCTGTTGAGGAAGTCGCTTGCGGAGAAGGAGAAAGAGGTGATCGCTCTTAAGGCTGTGGTGAAAGCGCTGAGTAGCGACGAATAATTCCATGCATGCATGCATCTTCCTGTTATCTGTGTCATAAATACGTGTTTGTGCCAGCAGGTATGTAACAAGACATATATAACTTTCTTCTGTACAATAATGGAGACTGAAATCGTCTCTCCTCGATCTGCAATAAATAAAATTCACTAAATATTACAAAAGCAAGGTATGGAAATAAAATAAAATATTGATTAACATTGTTGTTTTTATTTCTTCATATAGTTAAAGATGTTTTAATGAAAATGTTCAGAAACTTGGTAAGTATGATATTAAAAATTAAGATCGTAAGAAAAATCCAATTTAAGGTTATGGTCATTATTCGGCTGGTCAGCGCTGAGAGATTTGCGTCACTCGCGGTGGCAGCAGCTAATCCAATCAGGTGGTACAATCAGTGTGTTACGTTTCAATTTCGCTCTTCATAGATATAATTAATAGGGAGGGTCATCTCGTGAAAAACCAAACTCTTTAATTTCATCGGGTGGTTCATATATACACTTGTAGATTTTGGAATTCTTAGTTAATTATTAGACCAGGTATAGGTAACATTATGAAAATTTATATTTGTATCCCTACAAGGCGCTCGATGTGCTGGGCGTGACGATTCACGGCGACAAGTTGGAGGAGCTGATGGAAGATCTGACCCTCGTGGACCAAAACGGGCAGACCTTTCATCTGCTGGTTAATCGACGGGGCCTGTGCTTGCTCTACGTCGGGTAACAGGAACTCAATCCCTAAAACTCGATTGCAACGGTCAATTCATTTCGAAGCATGAAGAAGGAGATCGATCCGACAGCGTTTTGGGTGGTTGATTCTTTAAGTTGATGCGACGACGTTTCTAGCTTCTTCTTTCCCTGCTTTTTCTTTTCGGCCAAGCTATCTCTTGTTTCCTCTCCAAGCTTGTGGACAAACTGTACTTGTTATTGTCATCTTCTGTAAATCCTTTGCCTATTAAAGGGCTGAACAAGTGAATGAGAAAATCAAGCATTAGGGTTTCAACCCACATTTCAGATCTGTTTTCATGGTATCAGAGCCTTAGGGCGCCGCCATGGCTTCATCTCAAACACAAACCGATGGATCTCCATCTGGTGATCTTTCTTCTACTCCATACCCCATGGAAGATCCATACTTCCTTCATGGCTCTGAGCAGCCTGGTTCTCTTCTTGTCAGCGAGAAACTCACTCCAACCAACTACAACGACTGGAGCCGTGCGATGTTCAACGCTCTTGCAGCCAAAAACAAGCTCGGTTTCCTCAATGGCACCATCCCTGAACCTGCAGAGACAGATCCAAAGCGAAATGCTTGGGTCAGGAACAATATCATGATCCTCAGTTGGATCCAACAAGCCGTGGAATCTGAAATCAGAAAGACCATTTTATCAAGCAAATCAGCAGCAGAGGCATGGAAAAGTCTACAGACAAGATATGGTTCTGGTGATATTGTTCGAGTTGCAGAAATTGAAGAGGAACTCTGCAGCTTAAAGCAAGGTACACAAACCATCACTGAGTATTACAGCAAGGTAATTACTCTTCGTGACGAACTTGATAATTATCAACCTCTGATCCCTTGTGCTTGTACAACCACAAGTCACAACACCTGCCAAGCTATGAAATTAGTCCATGAGTATCAGGAAACTAGCTATGTCATTAAGTTCTTGCGTGGTTTAAACGAGAACTTCTCTGCAGTCAGATCTCAAGTACTTTTTGGAGATGCTTTACCTGATATAAATAGGGTTTTCCAGAGGATGCTTCAACATGAGAGGCAGTTGTATGGCACTCAAAGAGCTAAACTTGTTGCTTCTATCACTACTGATACTTCTGCTCTAGCTATACAAGGAGTTAACAGACGTCCTCCTTCCACTCAAAAACGACCTTACTGTGTTTTTTGTAAACGAGATGGTCACACAGAGGATGTCTGTTTTGCCAAACATGGTTATCCCCCTGGCATGTCTACCAGATCTACTCCCTCAACTCAACAGGGTCCTATTATGGAATGCACTTTCTGTGGCAGACATGGTCATCTTGAGGAGAAGTGTTTTAAAAAACATGGTTTCCCTGCCAACTATGTTCCAAGGACTACCACTACTGCTTATGGACGAGGCAGGGGTTATGCTCATTCTGTTTCCTCTACTAATGATGAATCTGTCAAGCTTTCCAAAGCTGATTATGACAAGTTAATGGCCCTGGTTGGTAACTCTAAGCAGCATTCTCCTCATACTGCTGCTGCTTTCACAACCACTTCTATCTCTTCAGGTACATGCTTTCTATCTGCTCCATCAACCAAAATAAATCCCAGACACAGTTTCACCTGGATTCTTGATACAGGTGCCTCTGACCATATAGTCTCATGCCTAGATTACTTAGTTAATCCTGTTCCTGTTTCTGGGATCTACATTACCCTGCCTACAGGCCAACAAATTTCAGCCACATACAAAGGCTTTGTTCATTGCACTGATGACTTAACTCTCCAGGATGCCCTCTATGTTCCTGGTTTCAGTTTTAATTTGATCTCAGTCAGTAAACTCACTGCTCATCACTCATTAAGCTTAACATTTCACTCCAACCTTTGTGTCATACAGGATCTGGAGCAGAAGAGAGTGACTGGTTCTGCTAGATTGACAAATGGACTTTACTACCTAGAAGCCACTAGTAATCCTAAGATCCTCACAGCTGCAAGCTCAACCAATTTTGATTTATGGCATTTCAGATTAGGGCACTTGTCACATTCCAAAATCCCTTATCTCCATCAATTTTGTACCTCCATTAAGACTCAAAAGGGTTTGCCCTGTGATGTTTGTCACTTTGCTAAGCAAAGGAGACTCCCTTTTCCTCTAAGTCAGTCTGTAACCACACATTCTTTTGAACTCCTTCATGTTGATATATGGGGACCTAACCCTATTCCTTCCTATGATTCATTCAAGTATTTCCTCACCATTGTTGATGATTTCTCAAGAATGACTTGGGTCATTTTTCTCAAACTTAAATCTGAAGCTCGTCCTAAACTAATTGCTTTTTGCAACCAAATGCAAAGGCAATTTCAAACACAAATTAAAAGAATCCGCAGTGATCAAGGAAAGGAATTTGAAATGTCTGATTACTATGACTCACAGGGGATTATTCATGAAATGTCCTGTGTTGAGACACCTCAGCAAAACAGCAGGGTAGAACGCAAACACCAGCACATCCTTGCTGTTGCTCGAGCTCTCCAATTCCAGGCTGCTTTGCCACATGATTTTTGGAGTGACTGCATCAAACATGCAGTCTACTTAATCAATCGTGTTCCATCATCTGTTCTCCACAACCAAACACCTCATGAAAAACTACACAACTCCCCTCCTGACCTCACTGATCTAAAAGTTTTTGGTTGTTTATGTTTTGCCTCTTCCCTAGCTAACCACAGAACCAAATTCCAGTCCAGAGCAAGAAAAGGAGTCTTTTTGGGTTACAAACCTGGCATTAAAGGCTATAAGATTTATGATCTTAACTCTCATGATGTTTTTGTTTCAAGGGATGTCATTTTTTATGAGTCTCATTTCCCATTCCATTCCTCACCCTCTCAATCCAATTCCTCTCCTGATTCTGATATGCTGTTTCCCATACCTGATCCTGTTTTTCCCCTCCTTAATGATCCTCCTGTTATTCATTCCCCTAATCCATCACCTCCTGCTGACTCTCCTATACCTTCTACTGATCCTGTTCCCACTCCCAGTTCACCATCTCCTCCTCCTTCCCCAACTCAGACACCTAGTTCTTCCACCTCTACACCATCTCAACATTCCTCCCCTTCTCCTGTTCCTATCCCAAACCCTCCTCCTGAACCCCCTCGACGTTCAGACAGAACCTCTAAACCCCCACCCCACTTAACCAAAGATTATCACTGCTACCTAGCTTGTCAATCTACTGATAAAGGTCACTCTCTCCAGCACCAGTTCCTAGACTCAAGGTATGGTCTATCCTCTATGGTCTCTTATGATACTCTCACTCCATTCTATAAGAGTTTTGTCCTCAATATCTCTTCTTTTATTGAGCCTACAACATTCAAAGAAGCATCCAAGTCTGCTGAATGGAATGCATCAATGCAGCAAGAAATCAAAGCATTGCTTCAAAACCAAACATGGGATGTGGTTGAACTACCACCAGGCAAGAAGCCTATTGGTAGCAAATGGGTTTACAGAATCAAGATTCATCAAGATGGCTCAATTGAAAGGTTCAAATCTAGGGTTGTTGCTAAAGGACATACACAGCAAGAAGTGGTTGATTTTCAGGACACTTTTGCCCCAGTCATTAAAATGACAACTATCAGGACTTTTCTAGCTATTGCTGCTTTAAGGAATTGGCATATTCACCAGTTGGATGTGAATAATGCCTTCCTTCATGGTGATTTGAATGAGGAAGTGTATATGACCCTCCCCAAGGGATATAATCCACCTTCTGGTTTCAAAAACCCTGTCTGTCGACTCAAAAAGTCTTTATATGGCCTCAAGCAAGCTTCAAGACAATGGTTTTCAAAGCTTACTGATAAGCTACAGCAGGTTGGTTATTCTCAAAGTAAGGCAGATCACTCATTATTCTACAAGGTTACTGCTTCAAGTTATACTTGCATTTTAATCTATGTTGATGACCTAATTGTTGGGGGCAATGACATATCTGCAATTCAAGATCTCAAGGATTTTCTACATTCTGAATTCAGTATCAAGGACTTAGGTGTCCTTCGATTTTTCTTGGGTATGGAAGTGGCCAGAAACAACAGAGGAATTCACCTATCCCAGCGCAAATATGCTCTGGAAATCATAGAAGAGGCAAATCTGCTTGATTCTCGACCAGTTACAACACCAATGGATTACAAGACTCATCTAAGCAGCAGTTCTGAAACTCCATTTGATGATCCTGAACTATATCGTACATTGGTGGGTAAACTGATTTATCTTACCACTACACGGCCAGATATCAGTTTTGCAACTCAACAAGTGAGTCAATTCATGGGCAGCCCTAGCATTCAACACTTCAAAGCAGTACAACGAATCCTACGCTATCTGAAATGTGCCCCAGCCACAGGCCTTTTCTTCTCATCCAAAGGAGAATTTCAGCTCAAAGCCTTTTCAGACTCAGACTGGGCTGCCTGTGTCGATACTAGAAGATCAATTACAGGTTATTGTGTTTACCTGGGTGATTCGCTCATCTCTTGGAAAAGCAAAAAGCAGCAAACAGTCTTCCGTTCTTCTTGCGAGGCTGAATACAGAGCTCTTGCCTTCTCTGCCTGTGAGCTGCAGTGGATCCTCTATCTCCTTCGTGACTTCCAGGTGTTGCATCCACAGCCAGCCCATCTCTATTGTGACAACCAGAGCGCTGTTTACATCGCTGAAAACCCCACCTTCCATGAACGCACCAAGCACATCGAACTTGATTGTCACTTGGTGCGCGACAAGCTTCAAGCCAATATCCTCAAGCTCTTCCATGTTTCCTCTACTCACCAACTTGCAGACCTTTTCACAAAGCCCTTGTCTCCTGGCCCTTTTCTCCAATTGCTCTCCAAGCTCGGTGTGCACAACCTTTGCCCACCGGCTTGCGGGGGGGTAACAGGAACTCAATCCCTAAAACTCGATTGCAACGGTCAATTCATTTCGAAGCATGAAGAAGGAGATCGATCCGACAGCGTTTTGGGTGGTTGATTCTTTAAGTTGATGCGACGACGTTTCTAGCTTCTTCTTTCCCTGCTTTTTCTTTTCGGCCAAGCTATCTCTTGTTTCCTCTCCAAGCTTGTGGACAAACTGTACTTGTTATTGTCATCTTCTGTAAATCCTTTGCCTATTAAAGGGCTGAACAAGTGAATGAGAAAATCAAGCATTAGGGTTTCAACCCACATTTCAGATCTGTTTTCATCGGGAGTCGGCGAGTCATGAGGCTGAGGATCAATGATCGTTTCGGGTGGTCAAAGTATGGGGTCGAACCCCAGATCGGCAGTAAATGGAGCGTCTGGGACATGAGCAATGGGTCTGTTTTGTATCGTGATCGAGTCGAGGATGACGACGACGACGGATCGTCGTCTTCGTCCGTCGGGTGGGAGAAGCTGCTGGAGGAGAAGGAGAAGCAAGTGGCTGCTCTCGAGGCTGCCTTAGAAGCTCTTATTCGTGACAAACGTGAAAACAAAATTAAATGTGACCTAAATATGGTGTAACAAGAGTTTTTCTAATGTCGTAAATTGCACCTTTCATAAGAGTTTGAGTGATTTTTTTGATGTCAAAGAGCGTGTACAATTTAATTTATATTAAAAAACATCTTTGATTTGTTTACATTTTTCGTTAAATTTTTTAATACTAAACCTAACTCGTAATCAAATGGCAGGATGTTTTGTGTTGAAATGGCGATTCAACCATTTTATAGAACTGAAATCGTCTACGAGATTAGACTCCGATAGCCATTCCCCAATTTGAACGTCAATACGGTACGGTTTTGCAAACACTGAAGTAGATGCATGTGACTCACTTGTGTAGAACACATATGCACAAATATATACTTCCTAGTTCATACATTTACCAAATTGAATCTGCATTATTTGTGTGTGCTTAAAAATCATTGAGTCATTTTACTATTCACAAGATAAGAAAAAGGGTTGATTGTACTATCTCAACACGATATGAAATCTCCTCAATTTTATAAGTTGCCCCATTCTTAGTCAATTCACCTATGATTTTCACCAGCTAATACACATACCGATACCGATCGTATAATCCATGGAGGCCGCCTGAACCTTGATCATTACCATTTTCATCTTCACATGAAACTATACAAACACCATATTGATAATCAATACATCCAAATGACTCAGTAGGTCATTATTTGTGCATGAATGTACCGCAACACAATCAATAACCCATCCAACGAACCCTAAATAATTCCTTACACATCAAAATACATGAATATGTTCATCATTCATCGATAAGAAAGATTAGGGGGGGGGGGGGGGGGGCTAGAAATACCATTACCTAATAATCAGTAGGAACCTTTCTTCACTTCCTGCAACAAAACACCCAAATGACACTCTACACTAGCTAGTCTTACTACTGTACATGAACAAGAATATATCGAAGTACAAAAGCCAACACCCAAAAATATCAGTGATACAAACCTCAATGCGATCCACCTTCTCAAGAATCATCTTCATGTTGGAGTGATCATCGTACACATATGTCAAATATCATACGCTTTCTAACAGACCAGACGACATCTTTGTCTCTTCCTAGAGCCAGACAACGACACCAAGGATGGAAAATACGTTACAAGCTCCAAATAATCCTCTTTCCCTAACAACTTAACCTCCATCGAATCCAAAACCATCCAGCTCTCCTTCTCCAGATCCACCACGCGCAGCTCGTCGTCTCCCATCACGAACCGGGCAAAGAGCTTGCCGTCCTTCCACAGCCGGGGGACGTGCAACCTGGTCGCAAAGGCCCGAGGAGGAGGAGGAAGAAGGCTCGAGACACTGTACAGCATGGTCCATGAGCACTCGTGTGGCCTCCAAAGCGTTGCATAGTCAAGCTCCGCCCAAACCTCGAGGAAAACTCCGTGCTCGTTTCCCGAAGAAGAAGAAAAAACCGCGACCAGGCACGACCCGTCTTTCGCCACGTGGAACGAGTCTCTGACATTGTGCCATGTCAAGCAGAGCACCTGCTGGGACGGTACTGGCACCTGCAGCGTCGTGAACGCCTCGGTGCTCACGTCGAAGCGGGTGAATCGGTAGTAATGCTCGTTGGTGCACCAAGGCGACAACCAGTGACATTTTTCGCTTCTAGATGACGTAGCGGTCAGAGGGTACTCGAGTACCCTTTGACCGCGAAATACCTCTACGGGTGCACCGTGGAGGCGTTTGTACGAATTTCCCTTCACGCTGTACACGAACATTTTCTCCGATTGTTCGGACTCTAAATCATATCCCCCGCGTTGGGTTGGCTTCAGGGTGGTGAACCTGACAAGTACTTTATAGTCATTGGTTATCGGGTCGAAACCAAACCCGACCGGCCCGAGACATTCACCTAGCCGGCCATGGACCCGGCTAGGGTGGACAGGGGCGAGGGAAGGCAGTACCTTAGTCTCAGACGTCGTCGGATTCCACAGGATGATCCTTTTGTCCGTCAGGGTTCCGGGGGCGCAGTTCCAGAGGCAGAAGATGCCTCTGGAACTGCCCGCGATGACGGCGGGTCCTCCGAGGATCAGGCCCGAAGCGGTCAGCGTCCCCGAGGACACGTGATGGAGATCGTCGTCGTTGGAGTGGATGGAAAACGACGTCGTGGTGGCGAACTTCCCTTTGTTGCGAGCGATCATGACGTGGGCCGCCTGGTCGTCGCAGAAGAGGGTTTTCCCGACGAATTCACAGAGGAGGCGGCGCCACGACTCCGGATCGGAGCAGCGGGCGACCGTGATCCGGCGGGCGGCCTGGTCGTCGGAGAAGAGGATCCTGGTGATGTATTCGGAGAGGATGCGGCGCCACGATCTGCTGACGCAACGGAATCGGGCGAGGGAGGCGGCGTTCGGCAGCATCCACAGGATTCCCGTCGTCAATTCGTCCGGTATCCACACGGCGTAGCGGGCGGGGCTTCTTTTTACGCCGGGGGAGGACATTTTTCTACAGAGGGATGACTGGGATTGGAGAGCTAGGGTTTGATTGTTATCGTGTGACGCCGGTGTAAAGTGAGGTAAGGGGGATAGTTGATCCAATTGGTTTAGTTCGGTGATGTAAAAAAAGTATTTCTATAAAGATATATATATAGTAAAACTAAAATCTCTATAAATTAATATAGTTAGGTTTCCTACCAAAAACATAATTAATATAGTTAGGACTATGAAAATTATTAATTTATAAGATTGATTAATTAATCGATAAATTATTGATTTAAAGAGTTTTTTTATAATGTATATTGTTAACATAAATAATTTTATAACATTTAAATTGGATTTATATGTGGTGTATTAATTTTATTTTAGTTCAAATATAATTTGTTATATTTTGATAGTTCATTGTATTAATTAGGTGTGACTATAAGGTCTGGTCTGGTTATATTGACTCGAATTGATCCAGTCCCAGTCCGATTTTTTCGAGAATATAAGGATTAAAGATTGGATTGAATACAGTCTAGTCTTGATTCGGTCCGATTTTGAACCGGTCCGGTTTCAATTCGGTCTTGATTTTAGATTGAGTTTGTGGGGATTTGAATGGTCCGAGGAGGGAATTTGAGTGACCTAAGGCCTGAAAGGGTGGGGAGGTTAAATTTGAGTGTTGGGCTATCTTATTCGGTCTTTATTCGATTTTTGGTTCGGTCCCAAACAGTTTTTTACATTAAATCTAGGCCGGAAAATTGGATTGGATTGGGTGCCAAAATACAAATGCACATTTGATATCCATCGGCAGCAGCAGTTGCTCTGCTTCGGAATTTACATCTGCCTATCTGGGCTTCCCTTTGTCTGCCTGCTCCATCTGTTTCAGATGGGGGAGTCGAGCAGCCAGAATATTGGCGGCGGTGATCAAAGCCGTCACAACGACGATGGCGACGAAGGACTTGCTCTGACCCTGACCCGACCCACCAAGAAGCAGAAGAAACCAGAAATCACTGCAAATGATCATCTTCCAACTTTTCACACAAAACCTCGCAACTGGTTCCCCCACGAGTTCGTGCCCCCTGCATTCCCCGCTTCTTCTTCTTATTCCTCGGAGTTGATTCTCTTCAACAGCAGCAGCAGCATCGGCGCCGGCGCTTCTGGTCCAGACGATTTCGCGCAATCAACTGTAACCGACGGGTGTTTTGGATAGGAATAAGAATTGAGTGACTAGTCTGGATATTTGCCAACTGTATAAGTAGGAGGGCGCGAGAGCCGTTGTAACCACTTTTCCAGCTAATAACAAACTTTACCTTCTCTCTCTTCTCTCTCTCCCTCTTTTCTCTGGTTCTTCTCTGAATCTCCTCTCTCATTTCTCTAATTCCTCCATTGCCAAGACTTCCGATCCTTCTAGTGGTGACAAGGTGGTATCAGAGCCCTGTCTTGGCGTCGTTTTCTCTTCGTTCGTCTTCTTCTTCTTCAATGACAAGCACCAGAGGCACCATTGACGAACGCCTCACTGCTCTTCTGGCGTCCACCAATCAGGCGCAGAGCGAGCTTGATGACAGAATCACCAACGTTCATGGCTTGATGACGACTCAGGCGGCTCAATTCCAGGAACTCCGTACTCGTTCCGACGGTCATTCACAACAGTTCGTTACTTTGACAACTCGTTTGGATTCGATGGAGGCGAACTCAGCGACGCGGTTCGCTGAGCTTGAGACGAGTTCGGCGACTCGTTTGGCGGACCTAGAGGCGCGGCTCGACGATCGTTTTGGTCAATTCACTCACGAGATCCGGAATATGCTACAGGCTTTGGTTCCTCGACCGGCGGGCGTCGTTGCTGGTGTGGTGGTGCCTCCGCCGGACAGAAATGCGCGGGGCATTCTTCCTCTCCCTAATCAAGGTCTCCGTGGGGCTGATCCAGTTCTGGTACAGGCACCGCGAGCTCATATTCCGGTCAATGCAGCAGCAGAGCGGGAGCGTTTTCCCGATCACGGTCCAGGTAATCACAATCAGTTCCACCAGCTTCCTCGACTCGATTTTCCGTCCTTTAATGGTGAGGATCCTCGGGAATGGACGCGGAAATGCGAGAAATTGTTCGACATTTATGGCATTCCTCATGATCAGAAGGTGAATCTGGCGGTGATCTATTTTCAACGACGAGCAGATCTATGGTTTGAAGGTTGGAAAATTGGCCGCCAGGAGCTGAATTGGGAAGAGTTTGTGGCAGCATTGTGTCAGCGATTTGGGAATCGCACGTATGGGGGTGTGGTGGCGGAGTTCAATAAGCTTCGTCAACGTGGTTCTTTGGCTGAGTATCAGGAGAAGTTTGAAGAACTGCGTTCTTTAATGTCTCGTTTCAACCCTGCTCTTGACGAGATATACTTCATCAGCAGTTTCATCAGCGGCCTGGAGGAAGAACTGCGTCCAGTTTTACAGATGTGGAAGCCCCAGACCTTATCTGATGCTTTTCAGTTTGCACAATTGGAAGAAGCTTCGAACTTAGCTCGTCAAAAGAAATGGCGCAGTACTCAAGGGCCGGCCTCTCGTCCTATGGTGGCTTCCACGAGCACCAGTTTCTCTCAACCTCGCCGTTGGGAGAATGCTACTCCTGCCAAACAGGTAGGGGGCCCTAAATCTCCCATGCTGAACCCGAAGAACAATGGATCGAGGGGTGTTTGCTATAAGTGTGGGGATCGCTATTTTTTTGGCCACGTTTGTGATGCTAAGAAGCAGCTTAACAGTTTGCAAGCTGAGGATGAGGATGGCCTAGCTGACTCAGATCCCAGTCAGGAAGAAGAGGAGTTGGGGGATACTGTTACGGTGGAGGATCATCCAGAGTTGGAGGAAGTCACAATGCAGGCATTGAACAGTGGGGGAATGGCTAATTCACTCATTGTTCAGGGTAAGGTGAAGGGTGACAAAATTTTCATTCTGGTGGACACAGGTAGTACTCACACTTTTCTTAGCGAGAGGAAAGCAAGGGAATTGCATTGTCAATTGGTTCCAGCAAGCCATCCATTGCGAGTGAAGTTAGCTGATGGTACAATCTTACTCAGTGACCAAGTGTGTAAGGGATTCTGTTGGGAAATGCAAGGGCATACTTTTCAGTACGATATGAGGATTCTGAGTTTGGGATCCAATGATGCTGTGATGGGATTGGACTGGCTGAGGACTATTAGTCCAGTGAAATTTGATTTCATTGGGTTAAAACTGTTCTTTGAATGGCAGGGTAAGGATGTGGAGTTGTCAGGCATTCAGGACTTGGCTCAGTGCAAGATGATATCAGGGAAAAGTTTGCAGAAGTTGTGGGATAAGTCTGAGATTGTGTTTATGGGCCAAATTTGCAGGTTACAGGCTGTGGATCAGATGGCGAGCCTGAATAACATGAGTATGTGGAAGGATCAACCACCTGCGTTCTTGAAGCCAATTTTGCAGGAGTTCAGTGATGTTTTTGGGAAACCACAGGGACTTCCACCTGCCAGGGAATGTGATCACACGATTCCTCTTCAGCCAAACTCCACCCCAGTCAACCTAAGGCCTTACAGGTACTCCATACCACAGAAAGATGAGATGGACAGGCTGGTTAAGGAGATGCTAGAGTCTCAGTACATCCAACACAGTAAGAGCCCTTATGCTTCTCCAGTGCTACTAGTACTTAAGAAAGATGGTTCCTGGCGTTTTTGTGTGGATTACAGGAAGCTTAATGACCTTACTATTAAGGATAAATTTCCTATACCTGTGATTGATGACCTGTTGGATGAGCTTAGAGGGTCTAAGTATTTTACCAAGTTGGATCTACTATCTGGTTACCATCAAATCAGGATGAACCCCTCAGACCAGCACAAAACAGCATTCAGGACTCACCAGGGATTATATGAGTTTACTGTAATGCCATTTGGGCTTACAAATGCTCCTGCAACCTTCCAAGCCCTCATGAACAAAATTTTCAGTCCTCACCTCAGGAAGTTCATCCTGGTGTTCTTTGATGACATACTGATATATAGTCCTGATCAGGACAGTCACAAGGAGCATCTGACTGCTGCCTTGTCAATCCTAAGGGAGAATTCCTTGTATGCCAAGCCTTCTAAGTGTGCATTTGGCCAAACTCAAATCGATTACCTGGGGTATATTATCAACCAGGAGGGAGTGACCACTGACCCTGCCAAGATAGAAGCAATGGTGAATTGGCCTGTTCCAAAAACAGTGAAGGAGTTGCGTGGGTTCCTTGGTTTGACTGGTTATTACAGGAAGTTCATCAAGAACTATGGGGTGATTGGCAAAGCCCTCACTGATCTGTTAAAAAAAGATTGTTTTAGGTGGACAGAAGTGGCACAAGAGGCTTTCACAGCTCTCAAAACAGCAATGGTCACTGCCCCAGTGTTGGCTCTTCCTGATTTCTCTCAACCTTTTGTTTTGGAGACTGATGCTAGTGAGTTTGGTATTGGTGCTGTTCTATCTCAGGGGGGCAGACCATTAGCCTATCACAGTCAGGCCTTGGGGCCTAGGAAGCAAGGTCTTTCCACCTATGAGAAAGAGTATTTAGCTGTTATTCTAGCAGTAACCAAGTGGCGCCACTACTTGGAAGGTAGGCCATTCAAAATTGTGACTGATCATGAGAGCCTTAAACATTTACTAGGCCAGAAGATTCATACTCAGATACAGAAGAAAGGACTGGTGAAACTCTTGGGATTGGATTTTGAGATCCAATACAGACAGGGCAAGTTTAACCAGGTAGCTGATGCCCTGTCTAGGCATCCTGATTTTGTCTCACATTTAGGAGAGTGTTGTCCTATATCTGCTGCATTACCTTCCTGGCTTAGTGAATTGGAGTCTACATACCCTGGGGATCAGGAAGTACAACAGGTTATGGTTGAGGCTGCTATTCCACTGGTTGGGCCCAAGCTCTTTTGGATGCATCAAGGGCTGCTCTATCACAAAGCTGCCATCTATGTGGGTTCAACAGGTTCTATGAGGCAGAAACTACTGGAGTTGTTCCATGACTCACCTGTGGGAGGACACTCAGGAGCTCAAGCCAGCTATCAGAGAATCAAGAGGTATTTCTGGTGGCCTGGTATTAAATCTGACTTAAAGAACTATATCTTGCTGTGTGATGTGTGTCAGAAGTGCAAGGTTGAGAATATCCCATACCCTGGTCTGTTACAGCCTCTTCCAATTCCAGATCAAGCTTGGAAACATATATCCATGGATTTTGTAGAGGGCCTACCCAGTTCTCATGGCAAGGAGGCTGTGTTAGTAGTAATAGATCGTTTTTCAAAATATGGACACTTCTTTGGCTTAACAAAGCCTTACTCAGCAATGACAGTGGCTCAAACATTCTTTGATGGAGTGTTCAAGTTACATGGAATGCCTGTAACTATTGTTTCAGATAGAGATGCTATCTTTACTAGTTCATTCTGGACCAAACTCTTTGAGTTACAAGGGGTTAAGCTACACTATTCTACTGCTTATCATCCACAAACGGATGGCCAGACTGAGAGGTTGAACAGGTGTTTGGAGGAGTATTTGAGAGGCATGGTCCATTTGTGTCCTCTGCAGTGGGCTTCCTGGCTGACTCTTGCTGAATGGTGGTATAACACCAACTTCCATAGCAGTTTACAGGTCTCTCCTTTTGAGGCTCTTTATGGCTATTCCCCAGCTCAATTTGGCGTCCAGAATCCTCTATCCACTTCAGTTGCAGCAGTTGCAGAGAGGTTGCAACAACAGCACAGACTGATTGATGTTCTTCGCAGTAACCTGGCCAAGGCACAGAACAAACAGAAACAGATGGCTGATGCTCACAGAACAGAACGTGTATTACAGGAGGGTGATTTAGTTTACCTCAAACTTCGTCCCTATCGCCAGAATTCAGTAGCCAGCCGAGCCAATCAGAAGCTTGCTCCTCGCTTTTTTGGCCCATTTCCCATCATTAAGAAAATTGGTGCTGTGGCGTACAAATTGCAATTGCCAGCGGACTCTGTAGTCCATCCTGTCTTCCATGTCTCCTTACTCAAGAAGGCCAGAGTCAGATCACAGGTGGTGGTGCAGCCGCTATTGCCTGAAGTCGATGACCAAGGAGCTCTCAAGTTAGCTCCTATTGCCATTCTGGCAAGGAAGATGGTGGCCAGGGACAACAAACCAGCTACCCAGGTATTGGTCCAATGGTCTCATCAAAGTGAGGAAGATGCTACATGGGAGTTTTTGATTGAGTTGCAGAGGCGTTTCCCTGATTTTCAAGCTTGAGGACAAGCTTTTGCTGAAGGGATGGGGAGTTGTAACCGACGGGTGTTTTGGATAGGAATAAGAATTGAGTGACTAGTCTGGATATTTGCCAACTGTATAAGTAGGAGGGCGCGAGAGCCGTTGTAACCACTTTTCCGGCTAATAACAAACTTTACCTTCTCTCTCTTCTCTCTCTCCCTCTTTTCTCTGGTTCTTCTCTGAATCTCCTCTCTCATTTCTCTAATTCCTCCATTGCCAAGACTTCCGATCCTTCTAGTGGTGACATCAACCAAGTACGACGTGTTCATCAGTTTCAGAGGAATCGACGTTCGAAACTCCTTCCTCGGCCACCTCTACTCTCACCTGAAAATTTACAAGCGATTGGCGGTCTACAAAGACGATGTGGATCTGGAAAGAGGAGAGCAGATCTCGCCCTCGCTCTTGCAGGCAATCGAGAGATCCGATGTTTATGTGGTGCTCATCTCCCCGAATTATGCCGATTCCCCGTGGTGCTTGGAGGAGCTTGAGAAGATTCTCGAGTCTAGGAAACTGTACGGGCGGAGGGTTATACCGGTTTTCTACGGCGTTGATCCTTCTGCCGTTGGTAGCCAGAAATTGCCCTCTACTGCTGGGAAGATTCAGAGATGGGAAGCTGCATTGAGTGAGATTGCCGGCCTCTCTGGATTTGATTCCAAGGTTATCAGGTATGTGTTATCAGCAGAGACTCACCTCTACGGATTTGATTGATTAATGTGAATCTTGACAAGAACACAGCTAGTATGTCTACTGGATCTCCACCACCATTCAGAGATTAAATGAATTAGGAGGTTCATGAACGAATCTGAATTTGTAAGCTTGATGCATCACAAGCAAGTCTTGTATAAAAATCCCTACATCAGTGGAAAGAAATCATCGAAACAATTACTTGTATTTATTCTCTGATTCTCCATACCACTTTCATCAGAACTAATTTTTAATGCCACATTGTGATCCAGCCCTGAAACTAAACTCATCGATGAAATCAGCAAGGCCGTATTTCAGGCAATCCGCGGCAGCAGCCAGATGGTGAAGTTCTCGTCATATTCGGCTAGCAGAGGCTTGGTTGGAGTAGACAGGAGGCTAAAACAAGTCCAACGGTTGTTGTGCTCCGATGATCATAAGGGCAATTGGACGATAGGCCTGTGGGGAATGGCCGGCAGTGGGAAGACTGCTCTTGCTAAGGCTTTCTTCGATCTATTCTCCTCTCAATTCGAGGCTTCCTACTTCTTCTGCAATTTCGCTGACGCAATCGCTAGTGGGGTAACTCGACAACCATTTGGTAATCTGCAAAATGAATTCTTTTCAAGACTGTTGGGCGATCACGGAGTTGGTGGAACATTATCCTATGATTTGACACTCCGTCGCCTTAGTCGTATGAAGGCTTTGGTTGTGATCGATGATGTGGGCGACGACGTGGGTGACATTGGACCCCTGAAAGATTTGTTAAACGGGCAGTATAGTGATTTGTTTGGTTCAGGCAGTATTGTGGTCATGACAAGCAGGAACCAGCAACTTCTCAAGAGCGTGTGTCATACTGTATATGAAGTTGAGGGTCTGGGTGATGAAGAAACTTGGCAACTTTTCTGCTTGCATGCCTTCAGGGAGAAAAGCGTTCGAACTGAATATCTGCAGATGATCTGGAGAGCAATACGCTACGTGGGTGGAAATCCTTTGGCAACTACTATCTTGGGCGCGCACTTGTATGGCAGGGATCTCAAGTTTTGGGATCGTGAGCTGCATGCTTTGCAGAATAATTCCCCCAACTCAGTGGTTCAGAATGTCTTGAGAAGGAGCTACGACGGGTTAAGTCGAGCAGAGAAAGATATATTTCTTGATCTTGCATGCTTTTATGATTATTGGCATACGCAAAACTTGGAGATCATTGAGGAGATGTTTTCAGAAGGTGGGAGGATGAACCTCATTACTAACCTAGTTGATAAGTCTCTTATACGTATTATTCCTCTAGGTGAGCGCTCCATAAAAATGAATCCTCTGCTACGAGACCTTGGTTGCAGCATTGTCAATGAAGAACGTCAAATTGGAAATCGTTCGAGGTTGTGGAAACTTGAAGATGTGTCTTACCTCTTCCAGCAAAACAAGGTATAAAATGTAAGTTTGTTTTCTAATTTGTAGAGACTAAATTCCACAGCATTACTTATTCTATTTATACTGAACAGGGTACTCAATCACTTGAAGGTATTTTGATATTGTTTACACTGAACAGGGTACTCAATCACTTGAAGGTATTTTTTGTAAACATTTCTACCAGAAACCACATGGCATATGCACACAATCTGACGCTTTTGAGAAGATGGAAAACCTCAGATTTCTTGTGATTGATGGTGATGCTAGCAACCTAATTCTACCAGATGAGGGGTTGAAATGTCTGCCAAATCCGTTAAGAATTCTTAAATGGCGCTCATTTTCTTCAAAATATTTGGCATCCCAATTCTCTGCTGAAAATCTTCTCACACTTGATCTGTGGGACAGCAAGATTGAGCAACTTTGGGAAGATGATGAACTTGACGTAGTACGTTTACGTTTTCTCACACTTAATTCAATGGTCTGATGTCTTTTTTCGAAAAAAAAAAAAAAAAACTGCACGTAATCCACCTTCCACTAATTGTACACCGTGCACCTGCAGGATTTGGGGAATTTACAATTTCTTTCTCTTTTGGGATCCAAGAACCTGAGGAAGTTGCCTAATCTCTCCACTGCAAAAAGACTCAAAGTAATTAATCTCTCTGTGTGTACGAGCTTAGTTGAGCTTCCAACATCAATTTTGGATCTTCCCGAGTTGGAATACCTCTATGTGAGTGGCTGCAGCAGCCTAAAGTGGGATAACTTGGAAGGCTATGCAAACAGCAGCCATATTAATTCTGATGTCTTACCCAGCCTTAAAAGCTTTGCCCTCAGTCATAAGGTCCCTAGTTTCATCATGCGCTTGCAGATTCTGAAACTGGAGTGCCATAAGTGTACAACGTTGACTGAATTTCCGGCCATCCCAAGCCTCAAGGAACTAACCTTGACTGGTAGTTTGATCGAAGAGTTGGTTGGGTTGGAGAAGTTGACAGAGATGAAGGGCCTCAGACTTTCAGGAAACGAGCAACTTGTTATTCTCAGCTCTGGTGACTTGTCCAAGTTGAAATCTCTCGAAGAGATTCGTCTGGATGGTTGTAGCAAGCTGTCCCGACTTCCTGAAAGCATTGGCAAACTAATACATCTGGGAAGTCTTGATATAAGTCGCACAGCTGTGAGAGAGCTGCCGTCCTCCATTGGAGATCTCACACAACTGTATAAATTGCTCCTCAAGGGTTGTAAGAGCCTAGTATGCCTTCCTGACACCATGCACAAACTATCTAGATTGGATAGTCTCGTTCTGGTTGGTTGTGATCAGCTAAGGCATATACCAGGCCTTCCTTCATCCTTGAAAATTTTGGATGCACATGGCTGCAGGTCGCTTCAAACCTTGTCAATTGGCAGTGTTGAGAAATATGCATTCACAAGTCTGAAGTGGTGCTTTGCCCAGTGCTGGAGCCTGGATCCAGGATTATGTAGTAAGCTTGTGGATAAGGTATCTCTCCCTTTCTCTTTCTCACTCTCTCCCATGGGGCTTTTTTTGTTTAGGTAGAGTAATGGACACGGAATAAGTGATGCAGTTCACCTTTTTGGTTGAATCATTGATGCAGTTCGCCCGAGATTCAGTTCGGATCTTCGGCCACTCGAGCCTCATACTCCCGGCAAAATGGGGCTGTGGAGAAGGAAGCATAACGGGATCCAATTATGATAGTTTTAACAACACAAGGGCTACAGCAAGGTTGCGTGGACAACCATGGGAGTTGAAGTCAACCATTTTCTGTGCCCTACTCAGTTCCCCTGACCCCGCTCTTAATAATCAGGGCTACGAGTTCCGTGTTATCGTGAAGATGAACAATACAGACAAAGCTGGAGACACAGAAATGGTGAGTGATTGCCCGTGGAGACCTTTCCAAAGATATGAAGATCGGGAGGAGGAGGAGGAGGAGGAGAGTCCCTCAAATGATCACTTCTTAGTCTGGTCTATTCGTGGACCACTTGTCGAAGGGAAAACTGTGGATGATGGTTCCGAGGTTGAATTCATTTTTCGAGACAGTTACAAGACCAAGGGTGGATCCAGGACACTCAACTTGATCAAGAACTGTCGGGTTATCCCTGTTTACAGCAACAGAGTTGTGAGAACCGAAAACGTAAACGAAGATGAAAATGATGATGATGATGACGACGACGAGTCTCCAAACGAGCTCCATGGATTATATGATCAGTTGTGCTCCAGTGGGAACTGAAGCATACAACTTGGATTAGACGAATTGCATAGCCTGATTCCCATGTTTGCGGCATATATGTGCTTTCTCTGGTGAGAACTGAGATATCAGAAGCCTGTGGATGGTCAATGGCTGCATCTGGAGTGCTTAACGTACCTCCTTGTCTGCTTGGGATGTTTCCTGCTCCTATTAGTAAGGGAATACTACCAAAAATACGTTCGAGACTTCCTTTCCGTTTCTGTATTCCTCAAAGAAGAAAAGGATGATCAATCAGCCATTTCTGCATATGTTCTGTTTCTGTAGAATCATAAATGTTCTAGTGTTATTGCAACAGGGTGACAAAGCAGAACTTAAAACCCTGCTGCGGCCTGCAGTAGCCGGGCCAGAAATATTCTCAAGTTAAGAACGGTGTCGTTTGGACCCTCTACAAAGTTGCAAGCAACAGGCCTAATTCCACTGGTCTGCTTGTATAGTCCATTCCTCTTGGCCCAATCGAATTACCCGAGTATGACAATCATCCTTCACCTTTACCTTGTTGATTCTGCAAACTGGATTTTTCCCCTTCTCATTTCAAAATTGAGATTAACAATCAGTTATTCTAGCTAATTAGATCTATTCTTACTCGTCTATTTCCCATAGTTTTGCTTTACAAAATCCACCATGTTTGAGGGTGAACAACTTGTTGGTGGGGAGGGCAGATCCCCATTTTGGTTAGCCAACCGAACAGCCCACTTCAACGCGATCATGGAACTCTTACAATTGATACGAGCCATTCTTAAAAATCTAGAAATTTTTGGGCCCATCTATTTTGGTAGTTGTATTAGTTAGTTCATTTCATAAGTTCAACTTTGGTTTGATAAGTTCATTTCATTTTTTTTTTTTTTTTTTTTTTTGAGGAACAAGTTCATTTCATTTCGGATCCAAATCCAAGTGACATTGAGTTAAAATTGGACAGACTAAGATGCGGTTTGGTATCGTTTTGTTGTTATTGTGGAAGATACTACTCGAATTGGGGGCGTGTTTAATGAAATCAATTTACTAGATTTGGCGAATCATGACCTGGCATGTTGATCCAACCCGAACCTGCCTGAAAAATAACAATTGGGTTGAAGTTTCAATAATCCGAAACCTAAATGGCCGACCTGTAGTTTTTTGGGTCGGATTGGGTGGGTTAGTGGGTCGACCCACATAACTCATTTCATTTCCTATGTCACTCTTAAAAGGATAAAATCATTTATAAATTGGTGAGATATTTAAAAAAAGTCCATAAGGATTTGAAGACAAGTTTAGAGTGTAAGGATAATCAAACATCCTTTGTTTCTTGTATATTAGTTTCGTGATTGTTTTTTGACGATTTGTGCAATTCGTGTTTCTTTTCATTATCATGGGAGAATGTGAGCATTTGTCATTGAAATGGTCTAGGTAAACTATTGTCATACATATGTGAAAATATGTGTTATGAAAAAATTTATGCAGCATGTTTGATACTGTTTCTGAGAACGCTCATAATCAGAAATTAATGACCAGTGACCAAATCTAAAACCCGATGGGTTGGGGTCAATATTGGACCCAAAATTATCCAACTCAACGTGACCCGACCCACGATATATGATCCGTAACCAGAGATTCTCAACTCGAAATTACCCAATCCGACCCAATTGCCAGGTCTAAATCTACCAACCAGTAGGAAACCCGTATTCAACGCATCCATAGCTACAAATTTACGTTTCTGTAGATTGGGATGTGTTGCTGAAGCCCATTTTCACAACATATATAAAAGAAAAACTATACATTGAACTTGTATTTTCTCCTTGGTTTTTGTATTCTTTTACTTGACAAGAGAAAAAAAAAACACACAATGATAAGTCCGTTTAGTATTATTTTGTTTGTTGTTGTGGGAGATAGGACTCGGATTGGGGCGGGTTTAATGAAATCAATCCTCCAACCAGTAGAAAACTCGTGTTAAACACGTTCTAGAAACGCATCCAAAGCTATAGATCAATGTTTCTATGAATTGATTTGCGTTGTTGAAGCACCCATTTCCACAACAACAACAACAAAAAACTTCTGAAAACATTTTTTCCCCTCAATTTTTGTATTTTCTTTATTGACAATAGGAAACATAAACACACAATGATACTAAAGGAGACTCAAGCTATCGTTAATAATTTTGAAAACAAAGAGTCATGAAGAGAAATTGATTGGATTAGCTGCCTAGTGCCTCGCATCACAGGGAGGGATCATATATGACAAGAAATTCCAATTGTTGCTTTGGTTACTCCGAGAAGAATCTTAGCAGCCTTCTGCGTCCTCCAATGCTCCTGTTGTAATTTAGATACCATCTACATTGTAGATTCATCCATATATACACAAACAAAAGTTTGGAACTACTTAGTATTTACCCGCCGATGCACACGATAACTTTTCCCTCGAATTGCCGTTCTTATTCTCACAAATCAGTATCTTTCTCAAGAATTAGATAGATAGTGAAAACTCAGTTGATCCCAATAACTCGAGTAATCGGGAGCAATGTAACGAAAATCGCGCTTTAAATTTTGTATTTTTATGCTTCTATATCACCAAAATGAGTCTCCGTGGAATAATATTTTTTTACTACAATTTGTACAATAATATAGTCAAAGTATTCCTTTAAAACTTAAAAGTTTACCCTTTACGCTTCTAGGTCACCAAAATGTTTCTACATAGAATCGCGTGTTTGACTGCATCGGTTGGGAGAAAGTTATTATGAATCTTATAGGAATCTTTTACACGATCCTCCAAACGCAAGCCAAGTCACAAGTTTGAAGTTTGCACATGCCAACCATACATTGTGTTCTAATACACCGTTTTATATTGACGGTCGTATATATAGATTCGAGCACGCACACTTAACCTAACCAACGACGGCACGATACCATATCATAACTCAGTTGATCCCGATAACTAATAGCTCGAATTCTTAAGAAAAATTTATTATGAATTTTATACCACTCTCTTACATCGCAAAACTATGGCTCTCTCTATATATAATAGACCTTATTCCCACTTAACAAGAACCATCCATCCACCCAACCAACACTCATTTCATTTCAAGAGAGGAAAGTTCCATCACACATAACATCATGAATCGTCAAATTTCCATTCTCCTCTTCACTCTCATCGCCGCCATCCTCCTCGACCTCGGCGTGGAGGCGAAACCTCAAACTTGCTCCCCCAGCGGCAAGCTCCGCGGCAAAAAGCCTCCGCCAAACCAATGCAACCAGATCAACGACTCCGACTGCTGCGTTGAGGGCAAGCTGTACACAACCTACAAGTGCTCCCCGCCGATCACCAAGCATACCAAAGCGGTCCTCACCATCAACAGCTTCGAGAAGGGGAAAGACGGCGGCGGGGCGGCGGAGTGCGACCAAAAATTCCATGGGGACGAGGAGCGGGTCGTGGCGCTGTCGAGCGGCTGGTTCAACAACGCCAAGAGCTGCTTTCGGCAGGTCAGGATCACAGGGAACGGGAGGAGCGTGGTGGCGAAGGTGGTGGACGAGTGCGATTCCACGGAGGGCTGCGACGGCGACCACGATTACCAGCCGCCGTGCCCCAACAACATCGTGGATGCGTCGCCGGCGGTGTGGGATGCGCTCGGGGTGGCTTCTGGGGATCGGGGCGATTTGAAGGTGACATGGTCGTTTGTGTAAAACTTGATGTGGGTTTTTTTTTCTTCCATGGGAGGTATCGTGTGTCTCTCTAGCTTGTTTTTTTTTTTCTTTTCTTTTGTCATGTTTTTTTTTTTTTGGGTTGTCCATTAAGGAAATAATCGATGTGTGACATCATCGGGTGTTTGTGATTCCCTTAAACATTTCAATTCGACTTCTTGCATGTGTTGTATACCCATTAACCATCAATAAAACAAGTGTGTTTAGCTACGTGTGCTTTAATTTGTAGTTGGTAGGTCGATTTCCTTGAACATGAATATATATGTATTCCTAGTCACTGCGGAGTTGCAATTATGGGGTTTTGGGGATAGATTATAACCAATTCCTAGGGTGTTGTGTTGTTTCTAGAGCTTCTAAGTTATAAGTTGGTATGATATCTTCAATAAAGGTGGTAGAATTTATGGTCTACAAGTCTTGCATTTGAGCATCTTAATTATTTCCCTAGTTCTGATAATCCCTGGCCAGAGGCACATACGATATCACTCGATCGATCAATATCTAAGTTATATCCTCATGTCATAAAATATATAATAGGACACTAATGATAAAGAAAGCCGTTCACGATTTTGCACATGTTGATTCTTGATTATAGTTAAAGCAAGCATAAACCATATAAGATTTAACTTCAACTCTTTTCCACAAATAGGAATAACTGAAGTGCGTTTGTTCTTTTTCCTTCTTCCAACACATACATATACATTCAACCGTTAAGGCTTTTAACAGACAAGAGAGCATATATAGTTGGAACAGACTCAGTTTTCTTCAGTTTGCCTAGTCTTTCACATGTTGATCATAATGCAGTTATACTAACAAACCTCTACCAATTGGCTTCATAATCTATGGAGATATTACAGTGGTTTGTTCTTCAAATATTCGAGCATTCCTCTCTAGCCAACTTGACCACCATATTGCATGAACCGTTACCCATGTACGCCAAAAGAAAAAATTCTTGTTCTTCTAGAGTTGAAGCTAGCCATTCCGATATTCTTGTCTTTACACTTCTCGAGTTTAGTTTATCACAAGGCACAACCCTGTAGATGAAGTCCCATACCGTTCTGGTTATGCTCCAGCTCGTGAACAAATATGCGACAGTCCATATTGAGAGTGATATTCTTCATTGTTTCTATTTAAAATTAAAAAAGAAAATTGCGGCTCATTGTAAAAATTAATTAACTTCAATTTTTTTTAATACTTTGGACCAACCTTAAATGATTTTCAAGCTGAAGTACGTACTATGCAATTTATTATTTTCGTATTGTTTTGTTAATTTGTCAGTTAGTCTTAGGGTTTAGTTATATATAAACCAGTGTTTCGTTATTCGGTCGTATTATGCGAAGAAGAATAAGAAAATTAAAATATCCATTACGTACTATGTTCATCTTCTCCTGTTGTTCAATTAGTACAAGTAGAACTAGTGTAGTTGTAGATTTGCGCGAGAGTCGCATAAGACTATCTCCTCCCTAAAATTTCAAGGATATTTTTTTTTTTTTGCAAATGGTATCCCCTTATGTGTAGTCCTCTCACTTATTCTTCAGGAGAAAGTTCATTCTCTGCAGCTCAATTGTAATGCATCCGGTCCATTTAAATTATATAACTATGAAGAAAATTAGAGGCCACCAACCCCTTCTAGTTGCTGTCAGCTCAATTAATATAATGCTACAAAATAATTATCTGCAAGTATTTTTGGAGAAATGATTTTCTCAGGAAGATTCCTCATAAATTACGTATGTTCTGCCAAGGTAAAAGCTAGAGAAACCACTAAAAGCTAGAGAAACCTCAAATTACTTCTTCTGTTGAAATTTCTTGCTACCTGTGAACAACCATTTCTCCACTCCATATATATCCCTACTTCATCTCGTCCTCTTGATTCATACTATTATTTACTTCCACCATGTGGTTGCTGCTGCTCGTTATTGTTTACGTTGCTCTCAACTTCTTCCTCACTCGTCACTCGACCCTTCCTAATCCACCCATCCACCAAGATTCTTCTTCTTCTTCTTCTTCTTCTGCTGCTGCTGCTGCTTCTCCTCCTTCTGCCGGGGGTGATCGGCCTCAAATCCTCGAGGAGCTGGAGAAAATCTTCGAGTGCCGGATTGGATTACATGGAGATAAGGTATTTCGGTAAGCTGCTTTGGTACGTAAACCGATGGAGTTAGTGACGGATCCATAAATTTTATCATAGGGATGTCTTCTATAACTAATAATTTTATATTCTCTTCTCAATATAACAAGATTATTATTCAAGTTATTAAATGAGTTCATTGTGTCTAACTTTGAATGTGATCTTTTTACACTCTTGGTTAACATCCGACTCAATTTTGAAACTATGGTTCTAGTTCTACATAATTATACAAGAAAAGATATCATGGATAAATTGTATACTCTATTTTATGTTCACCACATAAAATCATTAACCACCAAAATTGTTTTTGTTTGATTTTTACTTAATGATTTTTATAGCCATATTATTTTCACTACGCAGGGTGCTCAAGCAGTTGAGGGCATCGTCTTATGTGATGACTCGTTTTCCCATCTCCCAGAGATACCTTATATATGCGTACAAGCTGATGCTTTTGAGGAGATGGGCAACCTTCGATTTGGTTGAGAATGATCACAATTAAACCCAATGCAATTACTGAAAATTTATACTATATCTATTCAATTGAACCCAATACAGCTACCGAAAATCGATACCATATTACTCAATGTTGGCGAGTTTAGTATCGGGACCGAGTTTCGTTCACTTTAGTGTTTTTTTCTTTCACTTTTTTCCCTTTTGTTGGGGTCATGAGCGAGTTTTATCCGCTTTAGTATTTTTTTTATCCTTTTCCTTTGGGTTGAGAATAACAATTGAGTCCAAACGCAAATTCATCGATTATATGCTATTGTAAATAACAAACCCATCAACCCCTTCTGGTTGTTCTCGCCCTTATTAAATTGTTGTTAGTCGCTCATGTTGCTATACTATTTGATATTATACAATGCTAGCTAGAAATCAATCTGCAGTTTTCAAGAAAAAGAAGATTCCTAATTCCTATAGTAAACTACTTGGGTTATGCAAAGTTAAAAGACAAAGCACTAATTTAATCAAAGTAACTGACTTTATGCAAGTGGGTAGGTGGAGTCTCCACATATATACTTAAAAAAAAAAAAAAATACACCAAAAGAGGTTTAAAGAAGAATCAGGGGAGAGGAGGGGAACGAAAGGAATCTCGACTTTCTGAATCAGCCTTGCTTTTCTCGCCATCCGCGCTACCAATTTCTTCCACCATGTGGTTGCTGCTCGTTATTGCTTACATTGTTCTCCTTTCCTTCCTCACCCGTTTTAATTCGTCCTCCGACCAAGATTCTTCTTCTGCTCCTCCTCCTCCTCCTCCTTCTCCATTTTCTTCTTCGTCGGAGTTGATTCGTTTTCGCAGCAACAGAACCGGTGATCCGGAAATTCTGCACCCAACCAAGTACGATGTCTTCATCAGCTTCAGAGGAGCTGATGTTCGACAAACTTTCCTCAGCCACCTCTACCTCCACCTCAATAATGTCAAGCAACTCGCCGTCTACAAAGACGACGTGGATCTGCCCAGAGGAGCGGAGATCTCGCCCTCGCTCCTGAGAGCGATCGAGATCTCCGACGTTTATGTGGTGATTCTCTCCCGCGATTATGCGAATTCCGAATGGTGTTTGGAGGAGCTGGAGAAGATCTTCCACTGCGTGGAGCAGCACAAACGGATGTTTATACCGGTCACCTACGACATGAGTTTCGCTGATTTCTACGAGACGCTGCCGTCTTCTGCTGTTGCTGGAAACGTGCGAAGCTGGAAGGACCAGCTGGAAAAAATAATCGGCCTCGCCGGGCTGGATTACACGGTCATCAGGTATCTAGCTAGCTATATCAACACTTGTTAAACCAGTAATTAGTTAAATAATTTCATATTTGTCATGGCCCTGGTTGCAACAGCGCGTTCTTGCAATTACTAAAGGATTCGTTTTGCTTTTGAAAATGAGTATGAAATACATAACATACTTCAAACATCATAAATATTATGAAGTTACTCTAATTAATTAAATGATAAAATCCATACAGCCAATCGAGTATAAAGTTAATTCACACCTTAAAAGGTTGTTATTTATCTAAAGAATGGAAAATGTATAATCATGTTCATCTTCACTCATTTACATGTTATTGTCCTACAAATTCATTAACACGTCCATAAACGGTGAAATGAACAGCATACCAAACCCAATATCGTCTCATTATTGTTGGTCTAATCATGTCGTATTAGCAAGAGGTTTAAGCCTTAGTGGTTAATCGAGCTAAAAAGTTTAGATAAACAAGTCGCTTATAGTTCGTATAAAATATAACTGTTTCATGATAGTTTTTAAAACTAATAACATTTTAAATATCATACATCGCTTTTTCATATGAAATAAATAAATGATTATGAAGAAAAAAAGCATCCTTCTTACTTTCATGATAGGAAATTTGAAATATAATAATAGTTTTCTCAGGTTGATCCTTTTTTCATATGAAAAAGGCCAACATTTAAGTAACAAAACAACTTAGTGGGCAATTATTCATTATATATGGGTCTCACTCACTTCTTCCCATCTTTCCACTCTAGCTTCCATTTATTCTCCTCTTTTCCATCTATGCTCCCATTTGTGTAATAACTAATATAACCCATTAAAGTGAACTCCGTCCACTTCTTCCGGATGAGATAGCATGCCTACTCCTAAAAAGATTGGAAAAATGACACCCCCTATTAATTATAGGTTTTTAAGGTAATTAATTTGTGTTGCATTTAATAATCTGTATGAATTAAAAACACATATTAATTACTTTCCTTTTTCAGTGCACTGGTAGTTGTATCAGTGCAATGGTATTAGTGTACAGGTGCAATGGTAGATGTATCACTGCAATGGTAGTTCCAAAAAAGGAACGTAATTAATATGAGTTCAGTATACAGGTGCAATGGTAGTTGTATCAGTATAATAGTAGTTAAAAAAAAAGGAATGTAATTAAGATGCGTTTTTAATTTCCAAAGATTATTAAATGCAACACGAATTTAATACAAAAAAATAACTATAATTAATAGGGGTGTCATTTTTCCAACCCCTTAGAAGGGTTAGCATGCTAACCGATCCCACTTCTTCACTCTATGCCCTCATTTACTTATTGATCCATTACAATGAGTCTCATTCAAAAATAAATTAATCCCCATCAAATATCCTCTTTTCCTATTGATTCGTATTTGATTTTGTATCAGTCATTATCACTCTCATTTTAACTCGAAAAGCTATGTACCCACTAGGCGCGAAGCGCAAGCGAGCGAGCATAAGTAGTAAGTATATGTATTTGTTGGTTCTCATGTGAAATTAATCAACAAATCTTAACTGCCCATCTTCCCCCCCGCCCCCAGGCCTGAAACTACACTCATCGAGGAAATCACCAGAGCGATCTTCCAGGCAATCTGCGGCAGCAACGAGCTCGTAAAGTTTTCATCGTATTCGGCTAGCAGAGGTTTGGTTGGGATCGAGAGCAAAGTGGAAGACGTTGGACGGCTGTTGTGCTCCGACGAGCGGGCTAACTGGACGATCGGGCTGTGGGGAACGGATGGGATAGGCAAGACCACTCTTGCTCAGGCTTTCTTCCATATGTTCTCCTCCCAATTCCAAGCTTCCTACTTCTTCACCAACTCTTCCGGCCTATTCACTAGCGGACTGCATCAGAGCGGCTTCTTCTCAAAATTACTGGGCGACGACGACGGCGGTGGTGGTGGTGGTGGTACTGGCAATGGAACGTTACCCTACGATTTGATGCTCCGCCGTGTCGGTCGCATCAAGGCGCTGGTCGTGATCGATGACGTGGGCAGCGACATGGCCAGCATTGGGCCCCTCAAAGATCTGCTAAACGGACAGTACAGCGACATGTTCGGCCCGGGAAGTGTGGTGATCGTGACCGGCACCAACCAACAACTTCTCAAGAGCGTATGTCACGTCGTGTATCAAGTCAAAGGTCTGGCCGATCCCGAAGCTTGGCGACTGCTCTGCGATTACGCCTTCAAAGGCGAGGATGCGCCGGCCGGCTATCTGACGCTGGCCAGGAGAGCTGTGAGTTACGCGGGTGGGAATCCGGCGGCACTTACCCTCTTGGGCGCGCACTTGTACGGACGGGATCTCGAGTTCTGGGACCGCGAGCTGGGATACTTGCAACAAGATGGGGATCCGAACTCGGTGGTGGAGAGCATCGGGAGGAGGAGTTACGAAGGATTGAGCCGAGCGGAGAAGGATTTGTTCCTCGACCTGGCGTGCTTCTATCCTTACTGGAGTCGCAAGGAGTTGAGCAGAGCTGGGGCGGTGGTGAAAGACGGGAGATGGAATCTCGTTACCAACCTTGTGGATAAGGCTCTTATAAGCATTGACGGTACCGGCCGCGTGCAAATGAGCATGGTGCTACGAGACCTCGGTCGCGGCATTGTTAATGAACAAGATCGAGTGAGGAAGCGCACGAGGTTGTGGAAACTCGAAGATGTATCTTTCCTCTTCAAGAAACCCAAGGTATGACCATAGTATAGCAAATTAGCAATATTATATGTTATTTCATAAGAGATCGATTCTCGCTTCTTTTTTTTACGTACTATGATATTAATCGACGTTAAGATTTAAGAGTATTCAGTTTGTTGATTTTATTAGGATTTCGAATTTACAGTTTACAAGGGTTGGGCTGGAAAGTTAAAAGTTAAATTTAATATCTTTCACTTAATCAAAATATAGTTTACATGAGTTCTAGTCGAGCTAAGGACTTTGTTATTGTTTGCACTACACAGGGTGATCCACCAATTGAAGGCACAGTCTTAGATGATGACTGGTGGAGTGGTGCCATAGGAAAACCTGATGGCATATGCGTACAAGCTGATGTTTTTGAGGAGATGGAAAATCTCCGATTTCTTGTGATTGGCCATAATGCTTGCAATTTGGTCTTGCCGAAGGATGGGTTGAAATGTGTACCAAATATGCTGAGAATCCTTGAATGGGACTCGTTTCCGTCTAGATCCCTGCCACCCAAATTCTCTGCTGAAAATCTCGTCACGCTTGGTTTGACACGCAGCAAGATTGAACGACTTTGGGAACACGATGAATTTAACGTGGTACGTATACGTTTCTTAACTCAATCATGTGATGTATTTTTTTTGAAGGAATGAAAAAAAAAAAACACTACTTATTCAATCTCCCGCTGATTTTATACATGTACACTTGTGTTGGAATTTGAGTATTGCTCTGTTGGAATTTTGGTATTGTTTGTGGCAAAGTAACTTTGTCTAAGGTGGTTTGGAAGTTGCGATTGTTAAATAGATGTATTGTTGAGAATGCATGTATAATATTATACATGTATTTTCGAATTTGATGCATTGTAGAATACAACGTTTGGTATGTGTGATTGTGTATGTCACATCAGCTAAAAGCCGTGACAAAACAATCCCAACTCAACTATCTCAACAATCACAACTAAAAGTTGAGATATAACAATCACTCAAAATGAGTGATAGTTTCTGTCACATCATAGAAACAATCCATGTATTGTTTCTGCTAAAAAACAAAAAAATGATGCATTGTAAACAATATATGCATAATGAAAATCTCAACAAAACAATCGCAACTTCCAAACGAACTCTAATATCTCAATAAAACCGTTTTGTGTCACTTATTTGTTTGTTTATTATTTGTAGATTGTTGTAGTAAGCTCTGGAATTAACTTCACATTTCAACAAACAAACCTGCAGGATCTTGGGAATTTGAAAACCCTTAATCTTAAGGGATCCAAGAGCCTAAGAAAGTTGCCTGATCTCTCTACAGCAAAGAGACTCGAGAGTATGCATCTCTCTGGATGTGTGAGCTTAGAGGAGCTCCCCACCTCAGTTTTGTATCTTCCCATGTTGGAAACACTCCATTTGAGTGAGTGTATCAGCCTAAAGTGGGACAACTTGGAAGATTATGTAAACTGCAGTCCAGAACAGAGTAGCCACCCTTCAGGCATCTTACCCAGCCTGAAATTTGTGAACCTAGCCATCACTCCAATTCAAAAGGTCCCTAGTTTTATTACCCACTCGCCGGTTCTGATACTGGACTGCGCCGATTGCACAGAGTTGACCGAACTTGCAGCAATCCCAAGCCTGGAAAGATTAGACCTGACTTACAGTTTGATTGAAGAGGTGGTGGAGTTGGAAAAGCTGGCCAAGTTGAAGCACCTCAACCTTTCGCAGAACAAGCATCTTATTCTCATCTCTGGTGACTTCCCTAAGTTGAATTCTCTGGAGATGATGGCCCTGGAAAGTTGTACCAAGTTGTCCCGCCTTCCTCATAGCATTGGTAATCTATTGCATTTGACAAATCTTGATCTGAGTCGCACAGCAGCGTTGGAGGAGCTTCCGTCGTCCATTGGAGATCTCACATTACTGTCGGAATTGCTCCTCACCGGCTGCAAGAGTCTAGTATGCCTCCCTGACACCATCCACAAGCTATCCAACTTAAACATACTCAAACTGGATCATTGCAATCAACTGTGCCATTTACCAATGCTCCCATCATCCTTGAAAGATTTGGATGCACATGGCTGCAAGTCGCTTAAAACCATGTCAACTGATATTGCTGATGAGGCACAAATGATGACATTGTTGGTCCCGGAATATACTCGCTGGTGCTTTGGCTGGTGCTGGGAGTTGGATCCAGTAGCGTGCAGTAAGATGGTGGATAAGGTATGTCTCCATCTTTTCTCAAATGACGAAACTAGCTACAATCATGGTGATCATAAATTTTTTTACTCATAATTTTTGGTTTATACAAATTGATTGATGCAGTTTACCCAGGATCTGGTTCGATGCCCCAAATCTTCCGACCTTTTAGTGCCAGCGAAATGGGTATCGAATAATAGTAGCGAAGAAGGAAGCAGCATAATGGGATCTTCTTATAAGTCTAGGGCAACAGCAAAGTTGCGCGGACAACCATGGAAGTTGAAGTCCCTATTCTTTTGCATCCTACTGAATACCCTGCCCCTTCGTAAGCTCCAGAACTCGTACATGAACTGTTTCTTGATCAATAATGATGATGATAAGGTTACCCTCGAAATGAAAACGAGCACTATCTCTTGGTTACTCCGAGGAAATAATAAAGATGAGGAAGAAGACGAGGACGAGGACGAGGAGATTCTCTCTAACGATCACCTTTTACTGTGGTCCGCTGATGGGTACACCGATACGGTGAGAACAGTACAACGTGTGGCTGAAAAAGCTGTCCATGCAGATGGTGCTACCATTGAGTTCTCTTTTCACGGCAGATACTCTAGTAAAGAAGAGGGGACAGAAACATCCATCTTGATCAAGAATTGTCGGGTTATTCCTGTGTACGAGGACAGAGTAGTGACATATGAAGAGGAGGAAGAAGATCAGTATCCAGTCAACCTCCGGGGACTATATGATCAGATGTGCAGCGGCCAGTAAAGTGTCTACAATAATAACTTAAAAATGGTTTCTCTCAGTGATCCAGTTTTGCAGATGGCTGCCAGATAATGATGCCGATTTCCTATTTGGATAGGGGTTTGGTTGGACTAGAGGCAAAGATGCAAGATATGGAGTGGTTGGTTGTTGTCTTTAGATCTGTGGGGAATGGGTGGTATTGGAAAGATTACCCTTGCCAAAGCTATATTTGATCGGTTCTCTTGTCAATTCGAAACTTGCTATTTCCTCCCCAACTTTGCAGATCAACCAAGTTACTCGCCGCATTTGTTTGAAAATCCGCAAAACAACTTCTTCTCGAGATTATTAGGTGATGAGAAGTAGATTGTTTCATGACTTGAGACTTAATCAGCTTGGTCGTATGAGGTCGTGACTTGAGACTTGAACATCAGCACATCCGTGGCTCCCAATGGCAAGGATCTGCGATTCTTCTGCTGCTAAGCATCAAACCTTCCTCTCAAGCAGACATGCCCAGGAAGAACCAAACATCTCTTTCCGAATGTCGATGCAGCTTGTATTTGACATGTAGTTTCATGTATCCTGGAAACACAGAAAGAAACATATGAATGAGAGAACTTCAGGTCATGCTCCAACTGAATATGGGTTTTAAACAGAAGAACCAAAATTCAAGCAGCAGCAATTAGCTGATGAAGTAGGGTTCCATTTACCTCTGTAAAGCACTTCACCGCTGGTGGGTGAGCACACAACTGATCATATAAACCCAGGGAGTTATTTGGAGATTCATTATCGTCGTCGTCATCATCATCTTTTTCTTCTTCCTCGTCTTCGTCTGTGACTACTCTGTCATCGTAAACCGGAATAACCAGACAATTCTTGATCAAGTCGAGTATCTCACGGGTCCCGCCATAATACCTGCAGCGAAAGAACAATTCAACGGTACAAGAGCCATCCGCATTGTTCCTGTTGACAAGTGGTTCAGCGGACCATACTTTTTTTCTTGATGAAATAGTAGTAGACCATATTAAGAAGTGACCATTCAAGAGGCGCTCCTCCTGCTCATCATCGTCATATTCTCCGAAATGTTTCCAACTGCATTCGCTCACAACTTCAGCTCCGGCATTGTCCTTATTGTTGAACATCATGCACTCAACAAGGAACCAGTCGTCCTTATTAAGGGGATCAGGGGAGTTGAGCACCACACAGAAAACTAGTGCCTTCAACTTCCACGGATGTCCACGCAGCTTTGCTGTCACTGTTGTGTTATTTTTACCACTTCCACGGATGTCCTTCTTCATCACCACTTTCACCACCCCATTTTGCAGGGAGTAAGAGGCTCGAACGGTAATAGTTTCGAACAGAATCCTGTGTGAACTGCATCAATCACAACCAGAAAGGAAGCAAAAATTATGACCACTATACTCCTAGTCACGAAATGAGCGAGAGACAGAGAGAGATACCTTGTCCACAAGCTTATTGTACACTACTGGATCCAACTTCCAGCACTGGCCAAAGCACCAATCTATATTCGAGAAGTCATGTTTCTCGACAGTGCCAATTGACAGGGTTTGAAGTGAATTGCAACCATGTGCATCCAAATTTTTCAAAGATGGAGGAAGCTCTGGCAAATTCCTTAGTTGAACACAACCAAACAGATTGAGTGTATTCAAATTGGTGAGTTTGTGGATGGTGTCAGGGAGGCATGCTAGGCTCTTACACTCCTGGAGGATCAATTCAGATAGTCGTATGATATTTACAACGGAGGATGGCAGCTCTTTCACAGCTGTGCAACGTAGATCAAGACTTCCCAAATTCATTAGATTACCAATGCTGTCAGGAAGTCTTGCTAGACTCTTGCAACGCTGGAGGCTTAACTTAAACAATCCTATGGGACTCTCCATACGCATTAGAATACCAGAGCTTTCGGGAAGGCTGGACAGCTTGCTACAATCATCGAGGTGAATCTCTTCCAGAGATTTCAATTTAGATAAATCACCAGAGACGAGAACAAGTTGTTCGTTGTCCGAAAGACGGAGGAACTTCAGCTCTGTCAACTTTTCCAACTCAACCACCTCTTTGATCAAACTACGAGTCAAGGTGAAGCTCTCCAGGCTTGGGATGACTGGAAACTCAGTCAACTTAGTGCACTTCAAGCATTGGAGTTCCAAAATATGCAACCGGGTGATAAAATTTGGAACCTTCTGGATTGGTGTGTAGCTTAGATCCAACTCTCTCAGGCTGGGTAAAATGTCATGATGACCTGTACTTGGTCCTGGGTTGCTGTTTGCATAGTCTTCCAAGTTCTCCAACTTTAGGCTGCTGCAACCCCACAAATTGAGGGACTCCAGCTTGGGGAGATACAAAATTGAGGAGGGAAGCTCCACTAAGCTCGTACAGAAAGGAAGATCAATTTCTTTTAGTTTTTTAGCCGTGGAGAGATCAGGCAACTTTCTTAGACTTTCCGATCCGTGAAGATTAAGGAATTTCAAATTCCCCAAATCCTGCAAGATGTATATATATGTGTGTACAATGAGGAAAGTGTACGAAATCCAAAAAGAAGACCTAGATTATTGAGTTCAGAAAGACGTACAGCGTCAAGTTCATCGCCTTCCCAAAGTTGTTCAATCTGGCTATTTGTCATGTTAAGTGTGATAAGATTTTCAGCAGAAAATTGAGATGGCAAACATTTCGAAGTAAGAGAATACCAATCAAGAATTCTCAAAGTGTTTGGTAGACAGTTCAACCCATCCTTCGGCAAAACTAGACTGCTTGCTTGATTACTAATAATAAGGAATCGCAGTCTCTTCATCCTTGTAAAAGTGTCAGGTTGCAAGAGTAAGATATGTTCCTTGTATCCCTGGTTGTCCAATAAAAGAATACCTTCGGTGGATTCGGTCCCCTATTTAGTGGAAACAATAACAAACAGACCCAAAAAAAAATTAAGATATCTTCAAAATTTTGAATTCTTAAACTTAGTTTTAGCAATTTCTGCAAATGAAATTGGAATTTCCAATGACATAATTATTATCAATATTTACAAAACTGCCCCTCCCTAGATATATCTTATTTGGCGCCAATGCTCAATTTTTATAAGCATTAATTTCCACAACTTAATAGAAAATTGTTTCAAAAAATTATAAAGAAAATTTTCTGTCTGCCAAAAACAATATTAAGAAAAATAAGTAATGCAGTAAAATTGAAACCTTAGATAACAATAAAATTATATTTTATACCTTGTTCTCTCGGAATAGATAATAAAGATCTTGAGATCTCCACAACCTCGAACGTTTTTCAATTTGCCATTCTTCATCTACGATGTAGCGACCAAGGTCTTGTAGCAGACTATTCATTTCTATGTAGCCCTCATCTACATTAATGCTTATAAGAGACTTATCCACAAGGTTAGTGATGAGGTTCACTCTCCCACATTCTAAACCCATTATTTCCTCAATGTACACTAGTTTGAGATGTCTCCAATATGGAAAAAAGCATGCAAGATCAAGGAATATATCTTTCTCTACTCGGCTCAATCCATCATAACTCCTTCTCAAAACATTCTGAACCACTGAGTTTGGATTGTCTTCCAAGGCACCTAACTCACGATCCCAAAACTGGAGGTCCCGGCCGAATAAGTGTGCTCCCAAAATGGTGATTGCTAACGGATTCCCATCAACATAGCGTATTGCTCTCTCGACCATATCCAGATACTCAATTTGGGCACTTTCCCCTCTGAAGGCATGCAAGCAGAAAAGTTCAGAGGCTTCTTCACAGTCCAGACCCTTGACTTCATATACATGATCACAAACATTCTTAAGAAGTTGTTTGTTCCTTCCAGTCATGATGATTACACTCCCTGGACCAAATAAATTGCAGTACTGTCCATTCAACATATCCTTCAGTGGTCCAATCTCGCCCACATCGTTACCTACATCATCAATCACGACCAATGACTTCATACGACTAAGGCGGTGAACCGCCATACCATAGGATACTGCTCCACCACCAGCTCTGCCATTCCCATCGCCCAACAGCTTTGAAAACAAGTGATTTTGCAGATTACCAAATGGCTGTAGAGACGGCCCTCCAGAGATGGTGTCGGTAAAATTGCTGAAGAAGTAGGAAGCTTCGAAACGACAAGAGAATAGGTCGAAGAAAGCCTTAGCAAGAGCAGTCTTCCCAATGCCACCCATCCCCCACAGTCCTATCGTCCAATTACTCCTCCCATCGGAGCACAACAAGGCTTGTAATTGCTCTATCTGCCTCTCTACTCCGACCAAACCTCTGCTAGCCGAATATGCTGGAAATTTTACCATCTGGCTGCAGCTGTAGTGTATTGCCTGGAATACAGCCTTGACGATCTCCTCGATGAGTTTAGTCTCAGGTCTGGGGGAGATTCGCAGTTGAAGATATATACGTATATGACATTGTAATCAAGTAACGAGGAAGAGAAGCCATCAATTTAGTTAATTAACGGGTAAAGGTTTTGATCTAACATACCTGATGACCTGAGAATCGAATCCGGAGAGGTTGGCTACCTCGCTCAATGCAGCTCTCCAGCTTCGAATTCTCCAAGCAGTAGCGGAGGGCAACTTCTGGTTTTCGACCTCAGAAGGGTCGACGCCGTAGAAAACCGGTATAACCCTCCGTCCGTGCAGCTTCATACAGCGGAGAATCTCCTCGAGCTCCTCCAAGCACCAGGGCGAATCGGTGTATTTGGGGGAGAGAACCACAATATAGACGTCGGATCTCTGGATTGCCAGCAAGAGCGACGGCGAGATCTGCTCCCCTCTCTCCAGATCCACATCGTCTTTGTAGACCGCCAATTTCTGCAAATTGTGGAGGTGATAGTAGAGGTGGCTGAGGAAGGAGTTCCGGACATCGGCTCCTCTAAAGCTGATGAAGGCGTCGTATTTGCTCAATCCGGGACCAGATGCGCCACTGCTATTGCTGCTGTTGTGACCGAAAGGAATCAAATCCGAGGAGGAGGAGGAGGAGGAAGAAGAAGAAGGGGGCGTGAAGTGAAGAGGGCGGACGAATTTGTGGCGGAGCCAGTTACAGAGTTTGGTGGGAAGAATCAGGAGATCGTTGGTACTGATGAGTAGTTTCTTCTGCCTCTTGCTTGGCTGGCTCGGAGTCAGAGCAAGTTGTTCTTCTTCGTCGTCGCAGCGGCGATCCGACTCCCTCCTTTTGCCTAGCTTTCCCATCACGGGCATGCCGGAAATCAAAATGAGAGCGGTGGGTACTCTGCTTCTCTGAAGGGAATTTCGAATTGGAGGGCCGGGCTTACTTGGGTAGGAATATAAAAAGCATGGTTATCTGTTTACTGTTCAGGTCTTCCTTTGCATTTGTAATGGACGGCCAAAATTGCATAACTGGAGCAAGAAAGAAGGGTAACGGAGTAAAAGAAGATCACTTGTATTAGACCCTAGTTTCTGCCTCTTCGTGGGTCGTCGGCTCTGAACAAGTCCGTCGCCGTAGCGCCGGCGGCCGGCGATTGATATTCTTGTGGCTTAGCTCTGCCATCAGCACGGAGGAAAAGACGCAGAAAGAAATCAATCGCGACGGCGCCGGTTGAGGAATGAGTGAGTGATGTGATCCGAATCTCTGTCCCTCCCTGCGACGATATATGACGCCAGAGCTTTCGCAGCGATCTTCTCCGTCGTAATTCCATTTCCCGCGTGAAAAGCTTCGTCTCTCCCGCGTTTCAAGTCGTGTGGGTCTAATTGATGCGCCATGACTTCTTCACTACTCTGGGGTCTGCAACTTGAATACAGAGCAGCGGCGACATTGGTTGAACCGATTCACTCACTAGGTGGTTCGGCTCGTAATCAAACCGGATTTTGCGGCTGTGAATGAGTCGCCGGCTGGCCGTTGACTGGATCAGTACAGTGAGACTTCCAGCCCGAATGCTACGCTCGTCACTCTCTCCGTCAATCGCGAAACGGCGGTACAAAACCCATATGTACTGCCACCATCTCCGACGAGCCTTCCTGAATTCAACCCGAACAGTCGTCGCTGCCGCCTCTCCCTCTTCCCGCCGCCGACTCCTCCTCCGTAGCTTCTTAGGTCGAATCCTCCCTTCCTGCTTTTCATAACTATACCAGAGAGTACTTGGCTAAGTATCCTTTCATTCAGGTCCTCACAACTCAGTCACTGTGCATTTTGCATCACAAAGTTCACTGCAACTTCCAAGTGGAGTCTGTAATTCTGCATTGCTCTGCGAACTTTTCGCTGAAGGTTGATGACGTTCCACTCAGTGAAGTGTCCAGTGTCATTGCCAACTACCACCTCTGCGTGGTGAAGAACATGCGGCTGGATTCAAATGTCCTGTCGCGGGCGAATCGGATGAAGCTCGTGATGCAATTTGGTGTGGGGCTTGAAGGTGAAACTTGAAAAAGTTTCGTTTTTTATATGCTTTTGTGAATATTTGTTTACCTTCCTTTTGCATTCAGTTTTAGCTTGTTGAAACTAATTGGAATGCTGTGGCTTTGGGTTTTGTTCAATGAAGGTGTCGACATTGATGCTGCTGCAACATGTGGGATCAGAGTAGCTAGAATCCCAAGTGATGTGACTGGAAATGCGACATCTTGTGCAGAGATGAGTATATATCTGATGTTGGGTCTTCTTCGCAAGCAGGTTGATTTTCTGCTTCCTCTTCTGATGTCTGACACAGAAACCTCCATGGATTCTTCTTTGTGCATTTGGATCCTTGTTCTGGCTTATTTGATAACATGATGCTTGTTATTTGCAGCACGAGCTTCAAACTGCAGTGCAGCAAAAAAAGCTTGGAGAACCAATTGGTGACACTTTATTTGGCAACACGGTGAGTGGTTCTGAACTGTAAGTGTTCTCCAAATGTTTCACAGAATGGGAAATAGTCGAAATGCTGATGGGTTGTTGTCCCCCACCTCTCATATTTTCCAGTTTCCCTTCTGCAGGTATTCATTTTGGGATATGGAAATATAGGGATTGAGTTGGCTAAGCGATTGAAGCCATTTGGTGTGAGAATTATTGCCACGAAGAGGAATTGGGCGCTGCATTCTAATGGTATTGTATCACTTCAAAGTGCATTGAGAAGTTGTATGAGATACTATATCGTTTTTACATTTTCCTTACATATGTGCATCACCTCAAGGTGGCATCATACATGATTTGGTTGACGAGAAGGGTAGTCATGAAGAAATTCACAAGTTTGCTGGCAAGGCCGACATAGTTGTTTGCTGCTTATGTATGAACAAAGAAACAGTAAGATCTTAATCCCTTCTTCCCTCGCCCACCGTCATTTCTCTCATCTCTTTTAGTTCCTGCTGCATCTTCCAATCCTTATTGGTATGGGAAATTTTGAAACTTCAGGCAGGTATAGTAAACAATTCATTCTTATCTTCAATGAGAAAGGGTTCCCTTTTGCTAAACATTGCTCGAGGAGGCTTACTAGATTACTCAGCTGTTTTCGACCACCTTAAGTCGGGACACTTAGGCGGCTTGGGCATTGACGTTGCATGGACTGAGCCATTCGATCCTGATGATCCAATTTTAAAGTTCAACAATGTCATCATCACTCCACATGTAGCAGGGGTTACAGAACACTCGTACAGATCAATGGCTAAGGTATGAAATCCAGAGTTTTCGTATCGACTCGAAGGCTACTTATGTAACAAGTAACTAGCAACCCAAACCCACTTGTGAAAAAATGAAACCTTATATCAGTGTTATTGATGTTTGGCTCATCTCTAGGTCGTCGGAGATGTCGCCCTTCAACTACATGCAGGGTATCCTTTGACTGGCATCGAGCTTGTGAGCTAACGAAAGCTTACGATCGACTTCCCAGTTATATCTTCAACACGGCAGGGGGCTTTCCCAGGTGCACACTAGTGATAATTTATCAGTAGGCCAATGAACTGAACTTCTGTGATTATCATTTGCATTTTTACCAGTTTTATCTTTTTATAGTACACTGTCATTGCACTAGACTGTATTGCAGTTTACCAGTTTCAACTTCATTGATCTCCCTTTCAAATATTGCGTGGCTAATGTGGTAGTGTTCAAAATGTGTAATTACAATATTACATGTGGGATAATAAAAGGAACTGTTAATCTAACCGATTCACTTGGTGGTGTGGTCTGTAAATAAACCAGGATTGCACGAACAACTCTAGGTGTTGATGTTCTAACGTCTTTCCTTATTCACCAAGCTCTAAAGTTACAAGAATTTGTTTACTCGATTTGTAGATTGATAACCCAATAATGTGAATGGTTATTTATAAGGATTCCTGTTGATAATGATTCGGATTAAATGGTAGCAAATTCCATGTTTAGTATCGAAACTTTTCTTGTGGTGGAATCAGTGATCACCTGCTGGAGGGTAACTACTCCACATTGGCTGATGGCAAAATTGAAATTTAATTAAAACAGAAATAAACCAACTACCATTTTTGTCGCTCAGAAACTCGATCAGAATGAGGTAGGAACCAGGAAAGCTTAAAATTAGCAATTACTGGGGGAAAAGCTTAAATTATGAGTTGTAAGATCCAATGACTATTCTTTTGGCAAACAAATTTTGTATCGAGAAATTTCAAAACTACAAATCTGAGTCGTCGCAACTGGCTGAGTGGCTGTATTAGACAGCTGGATAATCATTGTTTTATAAGAAGACTTTATGTTTACAGGTCTTGATTATCCAAAAAAAAAAAATAAGACTGCTATGTTCTTTCTTTTGTCATAATAAAAGGCTTCAAATAACTGGCGCATAGCCTAACTGGCTAATTTGCTGGTGTTACCTAATAAAAAGGCTTCATGTTTCTTTCTTTCGGTCGTAATAAGAAAGAAATATATGCTTTTTTTTCCATAGTTATCCTCAAATGAAAGCATTATAGATAATCATTGTTTTATAGTTTTGAAGGGTTATAAGAAGACTTCATGTTTACAAGGTCTGATTATCCAAAAAAATAAGACTCCTATGTTCTTTCTTTTGTCATAATAAAAAGTCTTCGCGTTTCTTTGTTTTTGCCGTAATAAAAAAGAACCATATGTTTTTTTCTTCGTAGTTATTCTCGAAGGGAAGTATCATAGATACGAAAATATACAAGACCTAGTAAATAGTAGACGATAATGTCCATTCAATGTAGTTTGAACAAAATCCATGATAGATCCGAATCCATCACCGAAACCATCGAGCAAACATTGTTTTTTTCTTCCAAGAAAACAAGCCAAAATACACGACTAAACGAGATGAAGGTAAGAAACACATGTTTTAACATATGTTAATTGTAAACAGAATCACAAAAAAAAAAGGGCTTTAAAAAACAAGTCATTTCTCTACGCCTCATCATCTCTGCAGCTTCTTCTCAGGTATAAATTTTCCCTTCCCATTGCCATCTTCATCCTCATCACTGCCGAAGGAGGAGGGGAGTGTATAATGGTTGGCGAAATCGAGAAGAAGAGTCGAGTGACTCGTGTTCTGTTTTGCGGGCCTCATTTTGCTGCTTCCCATAACTACACCAGGGAGTACTTGGCTAAGTACCCTTTCATTCAGGTCTCTCACTCACTCGCTCACTGTTTCCTTTTTTGCATCACAAAGTTTCACTGCAACTTGCCAAATGGAGCCCTGTAATCCTGTTTTGCTCTTTGCCGAATTCTGTCATTATTAGGTTGATGATGTTCCTCTCTGTGAAGTACCCCATGTCATAGCCAACTACCACCTCTGCGTGGTGAAGACCATGCAGCTGAATGCAAACTTTCTGTCGCGGGCGAATCAGATGAAGCTTGTAATGCAATTCGGTGTTGGCCTTGAAGGTGTGGACATCGATGCTGCTACGAAACGTGGGATCAAAGTAGCTAGAATTCCTAGCGATGTGACTGGAAATGCGAAATCTTGTGCAGAAATGAGTATATACTTGATGCTGGGTCTTCTTCGCAAGCAGGTTGGTTGGTTGGTTCTCCCTTCACTCTTTTGAAGTCTGAATCTTAATTGTTCCATGAATGTCTTTCTGTGCTGCCTTCTGTCTGACTGTGCTTATTATTTGCAGCATGAGCTTCCAACTGCTGTTCAGCAAAAAAAAGTTGGAGAACCAGTTGGCGACACTTTGTTTGGGAAAACGGTTAGTGCTTAGCTTCCTGTTGCTATGACTTGAAGTCGGATTATCTTCCGGAGGTATGGAATTTGGTGTTTACCGTACGTTTGCGGTTTTTTCCTTCTGCTGCAGGTCTTCATTTTGGGATTTGGAAACATAGGGACGGAGTTGGCTAAGCGATTGAAGCCATTTGGTGTGAGAATCATCGCCACAAGGAGGAGTTGGCTGCCGCCTTCTAATGGTAATCTCTTCAAATTGTCTTCTTCTTGTTGAATGAATTGCTCTTTCATTGTGACATTTCCCTTACACATATCTGCATCATCTCAAGGTTGCATCAATCATGATCTGGTTGACGAGAAGGGTAGTCATGACGAAATTCATGAGTTTGCTGGCAAGGCCGACATAGTTGTTTGTTGCTTGCGTATGAACAAAGAAACAGTAAGATCTGCTCCCCTTGATTTCTTCTTTTACACCTTTAGGTCCTTTACTGTCATTTCACTGATCTCTTTCAGTTCCTGCTGCATCGATCTTCTAATTCAGGTGGGCGTAGTAAGCAAAACATTCTTATCTTCAATGAGAAAGGGTTCCCTTTTGGTAAACATTGCTCGAGGGGGTTTACTAGACTACACAGCTGTTTTCGAGCACCTAAACTCGGGACACCTGGGCGGCTTGGGAACCGACGTGGCATGGACCGAGCCGTTCGATGCTGATGATCCAATCCTAAAGTTCAACAATGTCATCTTCACTCCTCATGTTGCAGGGGCTACAGAGTACTCCTACAGGTCCATGGCTAAGGTATAAAGTACTTCAGAGTTTGTATTGCAGATTCCAAGGCTTTCTTGTGTGACAAGTAATTAGCTACCCAACCCCACACTTGTGTGATGCCGTGTATCAGTGTTATTGATGTTCGAGTCATCATCTCCAGGTTGTCGGAGATGTCGCCCTTCAACTCCATGCAGGGGATCCTTTGACTGGCATCGAGTGTGTAAACTAGACGAACGCTTATTCTCAATGAAGCAACACTTTCCCATTATCTCGATCTCCAGCATTGCAGGGGGGTTTTGTCACAGGGAATCATAAGCAGCAATGTCCGATCGCTTTCTATAGCTGCCCTTTCATTATCTACTGGTTTCCAACGTACTTGAGTTTGTAAAAACTGTAGCTCGCTCTGTATCAATGTGGAAGAAATCCTCATCAGTTCTTTGAGGGTTTCGGATCGATCCAGCAATCCTCTGCCTCCTTTGTGAACTTATCTACAGGCTTCCCCAGGTGCGCTTTAACAACGATTCATCTTTGCTAGGGTGCTGCCTGAATTGAACCGGTTAGCTAACCTTGTTACACTAAACAGTAACAAGCAACCAAACTTTCCTAATTTCACCATAACCAGACCCAACAACCGAAAGGGAAAAAAAAACTGTCTCCACATTGCTTAAACTACAGTTTTGGGAGGATTGGAACAGAAAGAAAGAACACTACTTGACTGAGACCAGACTTCATATTCAGGAACATCCATATTTCATCAATCAACCAAGACACAATCTTTTTTCGGGCTGTTCATCCAATGCGGGCAAGCTGCTCGATGTTGATAGGGTAGACATAAGTGGTATCGCCATTGAAGGCCTTCCTCCCCATCAGCACATTCACAGCCTCCGTCGGGTGGAACGCGTCCCAGAACACGTACTGCTCGCGTTCGTTGCACGGCGTCTGGAACGGCAAGCACGTTATCTGCCCTGCATTCCTGCCTATCCCACAGCATCCTCTGTTCACCACGCTAAACCCTGCAATGCAGCACTCTCATTACAAATGCAACGAACTCAAACAATGTCACGTCTCGAAAATCATTTCCTCACGACGACGACGAAATTGGTTCGTACCGTATCGTTCCGAGTTGGTGAGGACCTCGCGGAACATCTTGGCAATGTCGATGTAAGTGAACCTGGCGCCAGGGAGGTTGGCGTTGAAGTTGTTGATCATGGCCTTCACATTCTGGTTGAAGGGAGTGACCAGCTTGTTGACTTCCTCGGAGCAAAGCCCGGCTGGGCTTTGGGCCAGGATGCTGGGGATGCAGCCCATTACTCCAAGCCCAGCTATCACGAACTTCCTAGCTCCCAAATTGTAAAGCGTCTGCAGTAAAAAAAGAAAAAAGTTACAGCTTTACCTTACCTACTAGGTGGAATTTGAAGTGGGAAAAAGAGGGGTAAGGAGGTAAATTTCGACATTGAGCTGGCGGGTGTACTGATGGACCAAGAGATCGGCGTACTGCTGGCCGTTGTACTGGCCGCGGGTCGGGTAATTGGGCATGAGGTAGTTGTTGAGGTAGTCGTTGCTGCCCATTCCGACGAAGAATATGCTCCGGCCGATGCCCTGGGCGGTTTCGACGGCACCGAGTTTTCCGGTCAGTTGGTCTAGCGTGTTCCGGAAGTTTCCTATTTGTTGGTCGAATGGGATCCGACCCACCTGCATGGCACGACCCGGAAAACTCATAGGTACAAAAAGAACAAAAAAAAATAAGGGACCAAAACGAAACTTTTGCATGCATAGTGTGAGGAATCTGGAATTGTACCATTATGGTGAAGCAATTAATGGGTTGTAACAACATTTCCTGACATCCTTTTTCTCTTAATAAATGTGTAATTTATTGAAGCTATACGAAGGGTCAATATCACAATCATTTAATTACAAGCATATCTATCATGTACCTTCTTCTAATTACCAATGTTTTAAAACCCTGCCTCACTGGACGGATGTAATGGAAATATCGAATACTGGGTTTTAAAAAGTATGCAATTTTAGTGGTATGAAATTGATAAATTACTTTTTAAATTTTTAGTGTAATTTTCGGTACAGTTTCACAATCATTGCTAATTACCATATTTAATTAAAAAAATCATTGAATTATATGTTAACATCGTTAGATCACCTTTTAGTCATTGAATCGATATAATAGTAAAGATTAGACATACGTAGTAAAGGAAAGATCCAATCTTGTGATTCCGCATGCAAATTTTAGTAGAAATTAAATAAGAGACGGCAAAAATAAGAATCTCACAAAGTTTCTGCCGGTATCGTCTAGGATTCCGGCGGCGGCGGAGGCGTAGTTGACGCCACGTGTCACGTCGCCGTTGGTCGCCTCGGTGTACGGCGGAATCAACGGCAGCCCCAGCTGCTCAGCTGCATGCACGCATATTTCCAAAACAACACATAGTGTCATTTTTCACCACATCAAAGCTACGTATATTCGATTGGAAAAAACTCGGGACAGTCGACAACAATGGTTTACCGATTTCGTCAACCATGGTGTAGCCGTTGGAGAAGCGGCCGGTGGGCCCGCCGTTGAAGTCAATGCCGTACGGCAAGTAGTTGGCCTTGGCCAAAGAGGCCAAGTTGTTGTTGTTGCCGTTGTCGATCAGCGAGTCCCCGAATATGAACATCGCAGGGACCAACGCTTCCTTGGTAGAAGCACCACGGCCGCCGCCGGCGGCCACTTCCCCGTAGTCTCCTCCATCTCCTCCCTCGTCGCCGTCGCCGTCGCCGCCGACGGTGCCGTTGAAGAACTGAGCGAGACCCACTTGGGAAAACGCTAGTAGTCCCAAAATGAGCACGACCAAGAGTTTGGTGGTTAATCTGGTCAAAGCCATTATCGGACTTACACACGGTTGAAGAGAAAGTGGAAGAAGAAAGGGTTGGTGTGAAAGAGGAGGAAATGGGGGGAAAGAGACGTGACTGTTGTTTATGAAGTGATGGGAAGGTCTGTTTATAATGGTGTGTGTGGGGTGAAATATTGAATGTGGGTGGTTAGGGTAAAGAGTTAATGAGTTCAGCTGTTACCTCCCTTTTGCAGTAATTGCTATAGTTTTCTGTCTCTTCCCTTATTTTCTGGGTCGATCGTGTTCTTTCTTTATTCACTTTGCTAGCTAGGTCTTTCAACTTGGTGTTGGACGGTTCATATATAGACGGTAGGGTCCGGTAGGGATGAAAATGGATCGAAACGGGTCTAAATCCAGCGAAATTATCTTGGACTTTGATTCTATCAAGCAATGTAGTTGTAATTCGAAATTGGAATCGAAAACGAGGTTGTGTTACGTTAAGTTTGATAAATTCATATCAAATCCCCTTGTGACCCACGATAAATTCTAGCTCATTAATGTGAATAGTCCACAAACCCGTCAAGATGAAGTCATCTCCTTATAAGTACGATCAGCTTCGATGCTTTAAAGATTATCATGCATTTTTGCAAATCTTAAGTGTCAATTCGCCCAAAACTCGATCGAGGAAATTAACTTCACTCGATCGAGGCCTACTTGCTAAACTCACGATATGTACACATGTTTGATGGAGAGAATTCTACCATATTATCTTCAATTCTTCATGCTTCTTGTTCATTCCAAAGTAAAGAAAACTAGTGACATTGTTTATGAAGAAAGTACTGTCATTTATTGATGAGTGATGAACTTGGAGCAGAGAGGGGAGCAGGGGCACTTGCACTACTATTGCTCCAATTGCTGCTGTGGCTGTGTGGGTGGGCTGCTGGTTTTTCCCTTTTCGAGGAGAAGGAGAAGGGAGCGTTTTCTCTCTTTTCACGTGCAGCCACTGTGAATCCATGAGAGCTGAAGGGAAGAAAGGAAGAAACCCAGCTGCTCGCAATAAATAGGACCAATCACAGATTTGAAGAACGCGGAAGTTAATTATTAGCTCTCTGATATGTTTTTCAAACGATAACATAATCTGGTCATATTCTCTATGCTAATTGAGTTGAACATAGAAGTATTACTCAGGAATCTCAACCTCACATGCCACTTTGTGGCAGCGTTGTCTACTAAACTTGGGGATGAACATCGAAATATTAAGTAGTGTTAATTACCATATTTTCATTCGTCATCACGTGCTAATTGTCATGAACCAGTTGCGCTAAAATGAAAGTAAACTCATATGAATTTGAAGATTGCACAAATCTGAATATCGTGCATATAAATTTTAGTACATGGAAGGTTGTGATATCATGTCAATTATCGGTTGCTTTCAATAACTCAGAGTTATTGGAATATGTTCAATTATTACTGTTATACCATTTACCAATACTAACATATCCAAGTTCGAGTTCTCGGACTAAATGATTTAGATAGTCGCAATCGGATAGCCATTACTGGTACAATGCGTAAAGGTTGGGTCGGTGTAAACTTGTTTTTATGAACTTGTGTAAGTTGATATCTCTGAATTCATAGTCTGACACCAGAGCAGTACTTAATCAAACATTGTATTGATGTTATTGAGATAAGTTATGATCTAATGATCATGATATATTTTGTCCAGTTACATTGGGATAGGTGATGATCACCAGTGGCGGACCCAGCATTCTCGTAAAGGTGTGTCAGTCGATAAAATTAAATAAAATAATAAATAAATTTTAATTATATTTTACTGTGTAACACAACGAGAAGTGGGATCGAAAGAGGCAAAGGGAACATTGGAGTTTTTTTTATAAGATAGTAGTCCATATGCAACCAGACTCCCGATGAAAGAGTATTTTTTGTCACTAGGTGGACAACTATGTGGAACCTACAAGGATCAAGAAGAAATGAAACTTATTCAGGTAGAGATACGATTACCCATGCCTAAGACCTAAGAGCAATAAACCCTTGCATCTAAATACTCAAGCAATGAAAAGAACCCCAAATTTGTCATAAGTTAACTAAAATTTAAAATAAATAACATATATTTACGGATTTTGGGAACTTTATGACACCAATTTCATCGTAGTGTATTAAAAGTGTGTCGATAACAATTATTCAAGGTGTGTCAAAAGTCCTAAATTCCAAAAAATTATACAGACAAAATATGGGTCTCTCACAAAATATTCGTGCGGAGGTGTGTCGCTTGACACACCTCTCTACCACTTGGGTCCGCCCCTGATGATCACGAATGATCCTAATTAGAGTTATTATCATTGACGATTAGTGGATCTTATCATGAGTTCCATTATATAACTTTGTCACAATATGTCATTGGTTTTTATGTACTTTCATGAGGATTCATGTACAATTCTGTGACAAGTTTAGCCATCTGGTTTGGTCAAAAGTGGGTTTGCGTAATTGCGCGTGTGTTTAATTAATTAAAACCAGTACCTTAATTAACATGGAGAAAATAAATAGAGCACAGGTCACAGAGTCAAAGAAGGGTCATTGAATGAATGGACACTCTCATTTATGTATCCTCCCTTTTGCGTCTTGGCGGGTTTCACTGGTCAGAGAGTGTTGCCTAGGAATTCAGAACAAAATTATGTTACAACCAAAAACATTGATGAATCCATCTCCCAAAAGTCAAACCGGTGGCCAGTTAGGGTGCTGTGGGGAAAGGATAAGAGTGTGGATGGATATGGAGTTGATGCTTGTGTACAGGGATGAAAGTCAAATAGGTTAAAGCTTTCCAAGGTAGAAAAAATTAAGAAAATTTCACCAAGAAACAATCACCCATTTGGCAGTAGAAAGTTGGCTCGGTTGTAGAAGAATATCGCCATTTGGCACTAAGGATTCTTGGGTTTTGAATGGGTTACTGGAAGACAGATTATCTATCCATTATGCGGTTTATGCACGTTTGTTTTAGTGTTTTGGGTCTGATTTTTAACTTTTTTTTAGGTTAAATTAGATTAACTTGTCTGGAGAAGATGTTATAGAAACCTTCTCCTCCATCTCTATAATCGGTATATGCTCAAATATAGTTAAATTCATTTTTCTTATTCGTCGACTTAGCTAGTCTAATACACTTAGTGAATCACGTACATATGTCTATTTTTTACTTTCTTGCATCGACAAAACATAATAGTAGTATGTACATCAAAGTTTTTAGTTAAATTCTGCAATCGATTCAATCTCCGGTACAACTTCACCAAAACATTCCTCTCTCTCTAACTTTCACCAACCTGCAACCCCTCACTCAGCCAGTTCCTGAGCATCACAAATGCCACTTCAGCATCCCGATCCTCGTCGGCAGACGCCGGCCGGTGAACAAAACCATGACCTCTCCCTTCAAACACCACAACTCTCGACGACGACGACGACGACCCGCTCCCGATCTTCCCTTCAATCTCCTTCACCACGCTCAAGCTGCAGAGCGGGTCACTGTCCCCTGCAACAAACAGAACGGGAACACTCACGTTCGGTAGTAGGCTCGTGTCAATTCTCGTCCCGTAGAAGGATACTCCGATCCCGAATAGTTCGTCCTGGTTTCGTGACAGGACGTCGATCACTCTGCCTCCGCCGTAGCAGAACCCGATCAGCCCCAGCTTCTTGGAGATTCCGGCGGCGAGGAACTCGTCCGACATCCATTTCGCTGATGCGGCGATGTCGTTTTGGACTCGGGTCGGGTTATGGGTCGATAGCCACGATTCGAGTTCGTGGGCTGGCCGGTCTTTGGACCAGGGGTCTCCTCGGAACAAGTCAGGGACCAAGACGCTGCACAAAATTTTTTTGATTCAATGAAAAAATGAAGATATTAATGGCAGATTCTTTGTGCTTGTAGCAGGCTTACTTGTAGCCGTTGCAGGCGACGCGGTAAGCGAAATCCCTGGTGGCAGAATCTTCGAAGCCGAATATGTCAGAGAGAAGAAGTATCCCAGTGCCATTGTTGTTCTTCACAGCGGTGCAGAGATAAGCATTGATTGTATCATCGTCGCCTTCTCCTATCGAGATCTCGACTCCATTGACAAGCTCGCATGACTCGTCGTTCAAGTTATCTCCTGTTTCCATTACCTTCTGAGAAACTGCTCTGCTCGTTCGGCTCCTTGTAATGGTTTTCGGACAATTCCAATTCCGATTGCAATTGCTCTGAACATGAACTGAAAGTTTAGAGTCAGAAGTCGGAAATTGACCTCTCTATCTAAAGCAAAAAACAGGGTAATATGAAGAATTAGAGTTTGTGGAGTGGAGTGGAGGAACGTACAGGAAAAAGATGCAGGGGAGGAGGAAATGTTCGGCTGACATTGAAGCGGTGGTGCAGGCAAGACCAGACGCCGGCGGAGGTGGAGGTGGCTGCCGCGGCAGAGAGGGGAAATGGAGATGCGGTCGCCGGACCCATATTACCCGGCGCGGCAAAAGTTAGTTGGTCGCGCCTAGAAGGGGGAAAGGCGTCCGTTGAAGCTCAGGATATGAAGGAGGCAGTGGAGGCAGTAAAAGACAATGGGGAATCAGGATATTGGAGAACAATAATATCCCGACCTCTTGGAGGAGAAGATATTTTGCTGAAGTGGGCCACAGATTTCAACTATGGAACTGAAACACAATCTCCATCTCGTCGCAACGACTAACGAGCCACTATCCAAAAATCATCTATCCATTGTTTTTATTGGCAGAAAGATATTGTTAGATATCAACCATGCAAGAAATGGAACTTCCATGGTGCCCGAATCGAATCCACGGGACAAAAAGAGGACTTTACTGTCAAAGGCCAATTACAAAACTCTGCAGTAAAAATGTCAGCCTAAATTGTTACAGTGATCAACCAAGAGGAACGGAGCAACATTTGGTACTGAGCAGCAGCACAAGCAGCTGGAGTAACAACGTTCTTAATCCTTAAAATTTCCACAAAAGTAAAAAAAAAAAATCCCACATCAGGGTCTTCCGATGATCATCATCATTGTATTATATCCATAAGTCTCTCTCTGTCTCTCAGTCAAGGTTTCAGTCCTGTGGATCCTGCAAAGAGTAGGTCCAACAAAACAGAGACAAAAACGACATTAGATTCATCAGCTGAACAAACTTTGAGTCGAAGCACCCGTGTATAGGAAGAGAAAAGGCAGGGTGAGCAGCTTCAGTTGATAATGAAATACCAGGGCTATCATCCGGCAGTCACATGTTCTAAATAGGTGGGAGCTTAGTGGTAGAAAGCAAAGATACAACGAGAGTAAGTTTGATATGGAAATTCCAACTCGCTTTGGCTTTCCTAATACTATCTTATCAAGGCAAGTTGCAGTAGACCTTATTCAACAGACGGTAACTTCTAAGGTAACAACTAAAAAGCTATGGAGAGCAGGAAAAAGGTATATGAGTATAATATCAGAACTCGGTATAATAGAATGCTGGATCTTTCATAGTTGGTTATTGGCATCACACTGTTCTTAATAAACAGCAACAGCTCTTTGTTGCCTTTGCCACTTGGCCAACTTAACTAAGGGGCATCACTAAGTAGATCAAAGAGTCTACAACTCAATAAAACAGCGCAGAAGTCAACTTGATCAGCTATGTATCAGTATGTTATCAATCATAAAGGCTCTTCACGCCATTGCAACCCTATAATAGGATATCTGAGCTACAAAGCCGGATGATATAGGTTAATAGAGCTCAAAAAAGAAGAATACATAACCAGCTAACAGTAACATCCTCTAGTCTGAGGTCCCTACCACGACTAGGGATCAGAATCAGGACAATCTTCCAGACTATCGATGTGGCAATACTCCTTTTTGCTACACATAAGGACCCAACGCTTTGCCTCATCATGCATAAATAATAAGTTCAATGATTCAGTTGTTCCTCTTTGCTTTTTCTCTACGAACTTAGGCACTTTGAGTTACCCTGAGAATGTACTGAGAACTTATCAGTTTTCCTCTTTGTTATTCTCTACTAACTCAAGCACTATGAGTTACCCTGAGGATGAACTAACTGAGAAAACTGATTTCGGTCTACATAAGTGTATCAAAATAACGGTTTTTGGTAGCCAACTTAATTCTAGTGAATGAGAAAGCAACTGATACAGTTTCATCTAGCAGGTAATCCTATTGAACTTCCTGAATATATGTGTAAGAGTAGCCAGACATCATGTCAAAACATATCTAACAAACGAAAAATCACTCCATCTCACCTGGGCAGTTGGAGTCGGAGGAACGTCCACCTTGGGAGCTGCTGGAGCACTCACCACTTTATGAGCTGGTGGTGATGTTGCAGGAGACCCTTCAAAAATACGAGAGCACTCAGTGTATGCGGCTCCAGTGCCCACTCCTGCACCAAACGCTACAGCAGCCCAGCGAGTCACCGGTGTCCCTATTTTGAAACGGGCGATCACATGATCAAGTCACACTATTAGAACATGCTCTTGGCATTCAATCGAGAACAACAGGGATAAATCAAGCTCATGCGGGCTACATATATACAGCTCCAAGGAATCTTGTTTGTGTGGCATCTTCTTACGCCTTATACAACCAGCATAACCACATCTTCACATTCTCTAACTCATCCATTCTCAAAATGGGGGCTTTCCACATTCACCCAATCCTTCATGAATTGGGAAATTTCCCAAAACCGAATGAAGTCTAACCAAGCAACAAATAGAGACGAAACTTCACCACCCAAAACAACCCACAAGCAACGACCAAAAAAGAAAACCTAATCCCAATACAACCAACTACGAGAATATTCGACCCGTTCCACCATTGCCAGACCTTCCAAGCTAATTGAAACACGATTACTGTATTTGGCGTTTAAACATCTACTTGGTAAACGGATAAATGGGGGGAAATAACTTTAGAGATGGGAAGAGGAAGGAAAACTGACTGAAAAAGAGGAGACCGCCGAAGGCACCAGCCATGGACGAGTAAACGAAGCGGCGAACGGTCAGATCGATACAAGCGTCCCATTTCGCGTTCACGTCGACGGATTCCGCCATATTCGATTGCTTACTGCGCTACTCTGTACGGATTTCTTCCGACTTCCGTTCGTATTCGTCCTGTTTCTTCTTCTTCTTCTCCTTCTTCTTCGTCCCGTTCCTTTTCTCTGGTTAGTTCGATCGGGTTCCTGTCCTTTGATTTCTTCTCACGGTCGGCCGTGGAGCCGTATTTGCCTTTTGGGCCTCTAGAGATCACTTCTTTAGGCCCAATAATGCGTTGGGCCAGAATTCAGTACAAAGGATTTCACAGCTAACATCCTAAAGTTTAGAGACTTAATTGGTAAACTAGTATAACTTTAGGTGCTTGAAAGTTATAATACCTTTCTGCTTCTACTTCGCAAACAAGGACACGTAGACATTTATTCTGGACACGAAAGTTTTCTACGTAAAATCCAAACTCCATAGGTTCAGATGGTGGTGGAGATAGTTGGTTTGCCAAAAACATAAACAGAGGGCATCTCGATTACTTCTACTGGCTGTTTTTCTACAAAAAAAAAGTATGATCTCGAGTCTTGTATAATTTGATGGATTGTTTGTAGGTCACAACATTCAACAATACGTATTGTGTATTATGAGATTCCTTGATACATTACACTCGTATCGTACCATTACACTCGTATCGTACCAACGAATTGTTATATTAGAAAACGTTATATTCCTGAAAACATAGTGCGGATCCAAAGTCACCAACCAACCTAACGTTACAACAGTCAACAATCATGCGCTAAGAAACCAAACATATGCTCTTCGAGAAAGCCTCTGGTCCCAGGCCCAGCACAAAAGCTAATCGTGTTTTCTGTCATTAGAGAGAAAGAAAAGGATTATTGACCTCTTTGTTAAGATATTTAAGATTATAAAAACTGGAAAGGAATATTTCACTGAACACCAAACTGAAAAAGGACAGCAAAGAAATGTCATCCAACAGCTTTTTGTTGCTTCTTGAAGCAAGCAAACAAACAAACAAACATGCTAAGAATTTCAGAATTAGATAAAAAAAAATATAAATATTGTTTATAATAAAACATTACAGAATTTAACCCAGAAGTAACTAGGTGTGTGTGCTATAATCGCGCTCCTAAACTCATAACTCTTTACACTATTAGTTAAAATATTTGATGATCATTAATCAATCTTTTTATCCAGCATCATTAACTGATACAATAAAGTTATCGTGATTCTTTTAGGTGTGATAATAAAATTGTCGGTATGGCAAGCAACTTGTACTAATTAATAACCATCAACTAATGTGTGGAAGGAAATGTCAGGGTAAAAAAAAAAGATATGTCGTGGAGAATAGAGTGGACTTGGTTGGCTTCCCGAATAGACCGCAAATGAGTAGACTCGAGTTTTGTCTAGTTTGGTTCGCTAATAAACAAGTCGAGCTCGTGCTTGCCTCGTTTATATACTTTGTCGGTATCAAATTTGCTCACGTTAATAATTAGTGCCTAAGCAATATATGATGCAAGATTTCTCTTTTAAATTATAATAAATATGAGACATAATTGCTTACATATTCAAAGTTTCAAACATTATATAGGTCGAGATATATAAACCAATAAACCTATAATAATCAACAAATCAATTATACGATATAAGATCAATTTGCTCATAAGTCGACAATAACAAGTTGGCTCATTAGCCACAATGCTGACACATCTCATGAGCTCAAAACGATCCAGCTCACGAGTTCAGTTCAAAAAACCTCCGAATCAAACTAGGGAAAAGAAAGCTTTTCCCTTGTAATCAAATAATTAATTAAGCAGCTCTAATGATTCCTCTCTAATATAATCACTACACGACGCTAGTGATTCATGGAAGCATCAGCTAACTATATATATGAGGTGTCACGTTATATAACAACAACTTTTAGTGATCAAGTTGGTGTGCAATGTGCATTCATATTGGACATACGCATATTTGGTCCTTTTTCTTGTTTGAGTTGGGTAAACATCTCAATAGTTAACTTTGGGTTCTTAAAAAAATTGTTTTTATATTAATTTATAACTTTCTCCATATTCTCGATTTATCTCATAACTTCGCTTACAAAAAATTTATTGAGTACTTGTCTGTTTCGACACTCCTATGTATGTTAAGTCATTGTATTGCTTTATTGTGTAGTATATTTCTTCTCTGCTATGAATCTTGTGTGTGTAATCTAGAATATTACAACAATTAGAAGTTTGATCTCTTAGACACTTAGCCTTCTAATATTTTCTGCTATGACAAGCGTCTGAGTATCTGTAACTCTCTGCTCACCTATAAATGAACATAAGTCCAAACGAGTTTCATAGAAATATAAGACCATTCCATGAATTTCAGGTACCAAATGAGCTCACTAGACAAATATATGACCATTCCGTGACTAAAGCAAGAGTTGTAAAATCGCATCGAAAAAATCATTAATATGATATTTTGTGATTAAATCATCATATACCACTAATATGTGTTCGATTTGGGATATGGTCTCCGATCCCAATGGCCGATCTGATCCGGTATCTAAAGCATTGAACTAAAGTCACTTCTTATTTCAATATTTTACTCTCGAATGCTATATCTCTCAATGGAACACTCTCTTACACCATCATTAATATGTCACTAGCAATCCTCTTTTCCCTGTAAGATTTAAGTTACTACCCTTCAATAACAATACCATAAAAAATTGTTACCACTTATAGATCCCGAGTCTCTTGTCACAAGAACTTATATTAATCAATGATTAGTATGATTATGTCAACCGTAAATCCAAATAGAGATATCCTTACTGAAACCCCAAATTGTAACCTTTCTCTGTCACTATATTGGAATGTTGTCCACCGCAAACCAACGATCCAGCATATGTATCCCTGGTTCCACTGGTTGGTATAACGATAAAAATAAAACTAATAATAATAATAATAATAATAATAATAATAATAACAATAATAGATCTTTCCATTTGTTTTTTTATATATATGCGAAGGAAGATATTTCGTTTGTTTGATTGTATTTTGTATGACAGCCTGTTTCTAGGTAAAGGACACTTGTCAACTGAGTATATGATGATGAGGATTTTTTTTTGGTGTTCTTTCCCATTCTGGTACCGCGTATTTTGTACATAATTTATACCTGTCCTAACCTTGCATAATTCATTTCTTCCACCAAGTAATGACAAGATAGATAGATAGGTTTCGACAGAAATTGTTATCACGAACTCTCCAACACCACATCTTAATGAAATCACCTTACAAAATTGAAAGAAACATTGACACGGCTTGCATAGTTATGTTTTATCATTTGTTACACCTTTCGTCTACTATATAATTCTAAGAACGGAGCAGTCGATTTATTTTAGTTCAAGCGCCCAATCAGTAGGAATCTCGTGTGCAACATGTTTAAGAATCAGATCCAAAGCTATAAATTGTTGTTTCTCATATTTGGGCCTTGTTGTGCAACTCTGATTCACAACAAAAAATAAAAACCCAACTAAACACGTTTTTTTTTTCTTGGTTTTCCAAATTTCTTAAAACACAACAGGAAACAAAAACAAGCAACAATACTAAACGGGCCCTTAGTTTAACGATACATTACTGATTGAATATGAACGAGTAGTGAGAATGCATGTAATGTGTATATGCATGAGTGTCGAGTGATCATAGCTAGCTAACCTAGAATCTCTCTCTCGTTATATATGTCTATCTATCTGTGGAAATTCAGGGGAATAAAATCTGCGGGTTGTGTAGATCCATCTGGCTTCTTTTACGACTCTCTTCTCTAGTTCTCTTCCTTCTTTTCTTTTCCCAGGGAGCCTACCTGCAATTCAATCATGGAGAATGAGTTGTTAACGTGCCCACCTTCCCCACGAATCAATTCAAAATTATGGTTTGGGGAGGACATCATCATCATGCATGGTTGTTATTGAACAGGGGGATGGACCAGGCCAGTTGGTTGAGTCGGTCTTGATACGAACCGATCGACTATTCTATCAGATTATTTGTGTACATTTCATCTTTAAATTATAATAAGAAATTTAAAGATTTTTGTTTTGCCATCGACCAAGTGATTCAGTCAAACAAATGTTTGCATCTTTCTGCTTTTCTTTACAATCACTTCTTCGGTATGCTTTTCACCCCCAATACGGGTTAATTTTTATCTATCAAACTTATTCTAATTGTGATCAATCGAAGCTCAACCCACTTACTTTTAATTTGTGACTCAATAGTTGAAACTGATAGAAAACAACCTTGGAGCTTGGGGTAAGATCTATGGTTCATATTTTCGTTCCCATGAAGGGGCATTGTTAGGTTATGAAGTGTCATTGTTGTTTTGATGACTCCAACCACTTGTTTTCCTTTTGAAAGAGAGAGGAGGAGAAGAAAGGTGGATTTGGATGGCTTGCCCTATCAGTTTGTGTAGTGTTTGTCAAGTTGTTATCCTAGCTAATACTTTATTTATATTGAACACCGCCGCTTTCCCATTCCAATTTTCTTTTTTCATAATTGTTTTGAGTCAAGAATTCACATCAACGTATCTCTAAAATTAAATCTTGGTTTAAGTACAACGTTTCACAAAGAAAAATATCAATTAAGTGTATGATGTTAAAAGTGAAGAAACCAGACTACTCTCACCACTTCAACAAGATCGTTCGTTCCAATGATATAAATTAAGTTGTTAGAAGAGGTTTGATTAAAACACCTCATCAATTTTATTACAAAGTTCTACCCGATCAACTACCTATGTTTTGCTATTTACTATTTCTTTCCTCTCTAAAAGGAGGTCCGAGGTGATGAATGAATCATGGACCAAGTTGAGATCAAAAGACAGGAAAGAAAGAAAAGAAAGTCATGTCTTTGTCCAACTCAAAGCTAAATTCCAGGATCCGCCGGCATGTTTTATAGAACAGGGAGTAAAGCCCAAATATAAAGCCATTAATAAGCCAGATAGACACACGGCAAAAGTCCCCTCCGCCGGCAGCTTCACGAAGAGCATGATGGGGGAAAGCTAAGGCTAAATTCCGGCCAACCATCAAACAGTCAATCTCGCACCGATGGATTCAATTAATGCGTTCTCACAAGATTGAAACTAGTGGTGGAGCTACTTACAAGCTACAAAAGGATTATATATGGCAGATTCAACTTTTAAATCTTATAGTTTGAGTGTGGAAGTTATAGCGAAACTTGCACTACCAGAAAATCGAATTTTAGCGGTTTAGGTGATTTATGTGACTCAATGGTCCAATAGCGACACATAAACCGTGTATCACCAGTACTGCATGTTGTGACTGATTTCACTTATGAAATATTATTTTATTGTCTTCTAGTGGCACAAAAAATTTGTTGCTAATTTACTTTTACCGGCATATATCTCAGCTAACAAAGATCCCTCGAAGAGAAGTTGGGCTGGTAAAATCATGAATGGCGACGATAATGCTTCGGAATTAAATTCTCAAACAAAGTATTATTACCATAAAAAAAAATCAATGATGGTTACTAGATAGCAAGAGGGCTATAAGCCTGAACTCACTTTTACAATCTTGTCTGGCATACATGAACTTCTTTGTAATTCCTGACATTGTATACATTGGGGATTTCCACGTTATAGTAAAAAAAAAAGTATAGAGATACTAAGTAATCATAAAATTCAATTTCTAAGATGAAATATTTCACTCATGTGATTTTAGTCGTCTGATCCACTTCATTAATTATGTTGTCCTGCAACTAATCATAAGTTCCCTTAATTTCTATCATCGTAAGGTGGATGCATTAGGAATTTCTTTCCATATGTCCATGATTTCTTTGTTGTCGTCAATGTATATTCCTAATCCTAGTAATTCTGTTTGTATTCATTCTGTTTGCCTGTAACGAGAGCTGGAATGTGTCTTCTTGCACTTCGTTCATCCACCGTGGAGCATATAGCTAGAGGATTTTGATCGGGTCTCACATAACAAGGAGCTAGCACATGTACTTGATTGTAAAGAAAGAATTTATTGTTACGTTGATTCAAAGAAAACAACATTAACATGGAAACCTCTTGTTAATTAACTTGTTTTGTGATTGGAGGCTTTGATTTCATCAAATATATTGGAGAACACAATGGCAATTTCTTGGATGTATATAGTTATTATATTACCAATTAATAATGGGGAAAAGGACACATAAAAAAGCTAGTAGATTACAATTTATAAAAAAAATGAACAAAAAGAAAAGATGACTTATAATGTGATATGAATAATAATTCATTGATACAAACGACTTCATGGTATCTAATTTTCATGATGTGCATGGTTCCAATATTGATGTAAAGCTTTGACATTTACTCTTGTAAAAGTCATAAAGATTTTCTACATAAGATCATTGAGGGTCAAGCAAAACTTATTTGGAGTATAGTAGATAACTTCGGTTGATTCAATTAGTCAATCAGTGGATCGATATATTGACCATATGTGATACACTTTGAGTGCCTTACAATGGTCGGTTGTGTTCCATCTTAGTTCAATGGGTTTTAAGCTAAGATGCCTACGGTAAGAGAAATTCTATGGTTGTATTTTATATGATAGATAAAAGTCTATCAACACATCAAACAATCGAGCTTGTGGTTGTCAAGTCGCTGACTTGGTGTGAAGTTCGTTTGTTTTTTCGCTTAGCGTTTAACTTGGGATCCATCCTTTTTGTTTAGTTGTAATTCTAAGCCAATATAATATTGAGATGATATTAAAGGTGTTGATCATAATTTAATATTGATTTTAAAGGGAGGAAAACACTTTGTCACTTGTAAAACTATAAAAGCAAAATGTGTGTCGATGACAAGTATCCTAAAACAAACAAGATAACTCAGGTCAGAAAAATGACAAGCCACAATATCACAAAATACATGAAGCAGCTCAGAAGCTCACCGAACCATAAAACTCATAAAAACATAACAGAAATCTCAAAGATGACCACACGTTTCCTGAAACATACTAGAAACTCATAAAGCTAGCCAAAGTATCATGAAGCAGAAAAGAAATATGTGAAACCACACCACAATTCTCACGAACCAAAACAGAAAGAAAAGAAACCAGACAAGAAAGGCCGAAACATCACAAATCAAACAAGAAAGGTATATCCATCCTTTTTATCTCGACTTGTATAGGGTTCCCACTTGCATGCCTTCCTGTTCGTTACCTGGGTGTTCCATTGATATTGGGTAAGCTCAGCAAGGTTGTCTGTCAAGTCTTGGTAGATGGTATCACTGCTCGCATAAGGGGCTGGCATGCTAAAACATTAAGCTACACAGGTAGGGTGCAATTGATTTCTTGTCATCTCTAGTGTATTGCAATTTGGGATGAATGTCTTTGTTTTGCCAACTGCTATCCTGAAGGAGATTGATAGGCTCTACAACAACTTCTTGTGGGGTGTGGGAAGGGAGTACTTGGCTTAAAGCGCCCGCTTCATGGTCTTTTGCAGTGTTGCTCAAGTCTGAAGGTGGGATGGGGATCAAGGATTTCCGGTTGTGGAACAAAGCTTGTGTCATTAGGCACTTGTGGTCAATCCTAGCTTGCAGTGGATCCATCTGGGTTGCGTGGATTAGAACTTACAGATTCAAATCCAAATTTATATGGGAAGTCTCCTCTACCTTTGTGGGAACTTCGGTTTGAAAGCATATGCATAAGCTCAGGGCCATTGCTAGTGGATTTATCACAGGGTCAGCTTGTTCTCTTCTATGGATGGTACCTACATGCCTCGTTATTCAGTGTCAAAAGTTTGGCACAACATCAAAGGGTCTCACCCCAGGTTGGTTGGGCAGCTTTGGTTTGGGGGAAGTTACTCATTCATAAATATAGTGTCTGAGCTTGGTTGATTGTGCATAGCAAGATCACTACTGCTGAAAAATTCATAATGTGGGGGTAAACTCTTACTAGATGTTGTGTGTTATGCCCGGGTGGGGTTAAATGTAGAGATCACTTGTTTGGTGGATGTTCTTTCTTCAACTATATCCTGAAGGCTGTTTTCTCTGAAGCTCCTCCTACAACACTTTGTGATTAGGCATCTACTTAAAACTGGGGTCTTGGCATCAAGGTTGTGGATGGGGAATTCTGATCGTGTTCGTGTAGGTAGGTTGTTGTGGCGATTGGTGATTGGACATGTATGGAAGGAGAGGTGTCGTAGATGGTATATATAGAGAGGGTGGCATTTGTACTCCTCATCAGATTGTGACTCGGTTTTGTTCATAAATTTATTTCATAGGTTTTATACATCCATAGGTTACTCGGATTATAGATAGTTTCTTTTCATTTTTTAGAAGTTGAGAGCGCTTCTAGCTTTACCTCTTGAAAATGTAAAAAATGGTATGTTTGAGAGGATCCCGCGTTTTGGAAATCCTGAGGATTAATGAAATTTTTTGATTCGCAAAAAAGAAATACGAGAAAAGGATCAAAATATTCTTACTAATCATGGTGAACATGGCTGCTAACATTAATATCAATCATTAACGATTAGGTAAATTCTTGACAATATGGGGAAAAAAGATTTTACAAGAGCGAGCTTCGGTTTTAAAGCAAACTCGGAGTTACCCAAAGTGACAACACAACACGCCCACCAACCCACGCACAGCGGTTATATGGGATGAACCGCTCTGGACAAATCTCTCTCTCTCTCTCTAATCTATGCCTTTCAGAAAGAAGAGAGAAGGTGGGGACGGGTCCCACTAATCGAAGTGGCGTAGTAGCTGGCAAACATGTCTGACAGTCTGTTTCTCTCTAACGCCCAGCCCCGCCTTTCCTTTCCCAAAAACCCAAAACCCCTTCAAAAGAAAACCAAATACCCCACGCACTCCTCAAATAATTCAATCATTACAAAACAGCCCCCAACAATTACCATAATATTTTCCCCCTCCTTCCCTTTTAAAACCCCCCTTTTCCCCTTCTATCACTCTGTTCATTCATTCCTTTCTTTCTTTCTTCCCCTCTCTCTCTCTCTCTCTTACCCTTTCCCAATTTTCTCTCTCTAGACAATTGAAATTTGAAACCATCCATGGCGGAAGAGACTCAAGCGCCGGCTGCCGCTTCCACACCGGCAGCGACGACGACCGAGGAGGTCGTGATGGTGGAGAAGCCCGTGACTGAATCGCCGGCTCCAGTTCCCGAGGCGGAGGTGGAGGAGAAGAAGGCGGAGGAGCCGAAGGAGAAGGAGGAGGTCGTTGCGGCGGAGGAAGCTGCTCCGGCCGCCGCGGAGGAGCCCGAGCTGAAAATTGCGCAGTCGGTTTCGTTCAAGGAGGAGTCCAACGTCGTCTCCGAGCTTCCCGAAGCTCAGAAGAAGGCTCTGGAGGAGCTGAAGCAGCTCATCCAGGAGGCTCTGAACAAGCACGAGCTCACCGCTCCGCCGCCGGCCCCGCCGGCGAAGGAGGAGGAGAAGAAGCCGGAGGAAGAGAAGAAGGAAGAGGAAGCAGAGAAGGTTGTTGAGATCAAGGAGGAGGAGAAGACCGCTGAAGAAGCTCCGAAGACCGAAGAGAAGCCGGCGGAGGAAGCTCCAGCAGCAGAAGCAGCGCCGGCCGCCGAGGCTCCGGCAGTGGAAGCAGCTCCGGCCGCCGCTGTGGAGGAGGAAAAGAAGGAAGAGGATGTCAAAATTGAAGATAAGAAAGAGGATGTGAAAGAAGAGGCCACCACAACCGCCGTCGTTGCCGCTCCAGCCGTCGATGAAGACGGAGCGAAAACCGTTGAGGCGATCGAGGAGACAATCGTCGCCGTTGCCTCCACCGAGCCACCAGCGGCTGAATCAGCTCCAGATGCCTCATCCTCCATCAAACCAGAGGAAGCGAAAACAGAGGAGCCAAAAACAGAGGAGGAAGCTGCTCCACCTCCGCCGCCGGAGGAGGTCTTCATCTACGGCATCCCGCTCCTCGGCGACGACCGGAGCGACGTAATCCTCCTGAAATTCCTCCGCGCCAGGGATTTTAAAGTGAAGGACGCCTTCACCATGATCAAGAACACCGTCCGCTGGAGGAAAGAATTCGGAATCGATTCGCTCCTCGAGGAAGACCTCGGAAACGAGCTGGAGAAAGTCGTCTTCACCAAAGGAGTCGACAAGGAAGGCCACCCGGTCTGCTACAACGTCTACGGCGGGTTCCAGGACAAGGAGCTCTACCAGAATTGCTTCGGCGACGAGGAGAAGAGCAAGAAATTCCTCCGGTGGAGGATCCAATTCCTCGAGAAGAGCATCGGGAAGCTCGATTTCAGCCCCACCGGAATCTGCACCATCGTTCAAATCAACGATCTGAAGAACTCCCCTGGACCTACCAAGCGCGAGCTCCGGCAAGCTACCAATCAAGCCGTTAGCATCCTCCAGGATAACTATCCCGAGTTCGTCGCCAGACAGGTAAAACTACTAGTACTCTTTTTTTCCTCTTTTCGAACTATGAATCGCCCTTTGAACGTGATTGATTGAAGTCGATTTCAATTTCCAAATAAAGGTGTTCATCAACGTGCCGTGGTGGTACCTAGCATTCAACAAGATGATCAGTCCATTCCTCACCCAGAGGACGAAGAGCAAGTTTGTGTTTGCTGGACCTTCCAAATCTGCAGAGACTCTGTTCAAGTAAGTCTTTCTTTCTTTCTTTTTTTGAATCAGAATTCCTCTGTTTTCGGTCAATAAAGTGGTTTGTTGTTGGAAAAAGGGGAAAAGAATCTTTGAATTTGGTGAGAGGGAGATTTGGGGACTGAATTTGGTAAAATACTGTGTAGATACATAACCCCAGAGCAAGTGCCTGTTCAGTATGGCGGACTGAGCAAAGATGGGGACCATGAATTCACTGCTTCTGATGCTGTGACTGAGATCGTAATCAAGCCTGCCGCTAAGCACACTATTGAACTCCCTGCAACCGAGGTAAATTCGAGAGTCTATTTAATTCTCTGCCGCGCTTCAGTCTGAGCGAATTCATGGGTTCTGACAATTCATTGATTTTGCGAAGAACTGCGTTCATTCGTTACAATCTAGGTATGTGGAATGCATTGTTTGTTAAGTTGGATTTTGTTTTCGTTGGGTGGTGGCAGAGTTGCACATTGGTGTGGGAGCTGAGAGTGTTGGGATGGGAGGTGAGCTACGCGGCGGAGTTCTCGCCGAGCGTGGAGAATGGATACACGGTGATCGTTTCGAAGAACAGGAAGCTAGCTCCGACGGACGAGGCGGTGATCTACGACAGCTTCAAGGCAGGAGAGGCGGGGAAAGTTGTGATCACCATTGATAACCAAAGTAGCAAGAAGAAGAAGCTGCTCTACAGGACGAAGACCAAGCCCGTTTCTTCGTAAGAAGGTTGTTGTTTCTTATTTGTTTTTCTTTCTTTTGGACCAAGATACAGAGGGGAGGGGGATTTCTTTTTGTTGTTGTGGTGGTGATTATTCATTTTTCTCATGGTATTTCTGTTGGGTTTCTGATGATATTTATAGTTGGGGGAGTGGGGATTTTGGAGTTGGATTCAACTTCAAGATGGATTTATGGCTGCTTGGACGTTATATATGAATATATGTGATGTGAGGTCCTGTGGTGATGGGGAGGTTTGCTTTGAAATATTTTTTTTTCCACCTTTTGATAATTTAATTTGGATGTAAAATTTGTTTACAAATGGTCCATTTTGTGTATAATTCTCATCCTTTTCATGTCATTAATTATGTTCATCTTTACTTCAAGCACTTAGATTGTTCTTTGGTCATGCCTGACATGGAAGAGTTCCATTATGTTGAAGAATAATATTTGGGGAAATAGAGATTTTGATTGTGTCATAAGTCATATCGTAAAAAATGTTTAGATCACAACCGTTGAATTTAAACTCAATATCGAATACAAATAGGCCCTTGAATATTAGTTGATCACATTGAATTTGTAAGTCATACAAGATTTAATTACTTCTGGTAAAAGGAAAAATAAATTTTTATTTTCATTAGATTGAACGAACCTCGTATAGCTTCAATGATCTATTTTTCCTATTTATAGAACTAGAATATAGCAATAGTCTAAAATTACTTGCACAACTGTACTCATAAATTGCACCCATCCATCACAATTGAATTCACAGGACATAAATTGTAATTCATAAAACCAACAAGAATGTCATGCCCCTAAGATCAAATTCGATATTGGTGAAATTTAGCAGCAGAAATCAAAACCAATACTAGATCAATCAAACTTCCAATACAAACTACAATAAAATGTATTGTAATCACTAATCACAATCGTATAATTGTTTTTATGTTGTAAACTTGTCTCGATACATTCAGTTGTATTATACATACACAACCGATAATGCGATACAGTTTCATGGTGTATCGGTCAAACCCCAATCCTATCCGATGCATACATATAGTTGCCCACCAATTGCGGGAGGAGGAGCTGTAAGATTAGACGTGAATGCCATGCTTTTGACAAGATATGAAAGAAAGGAATTTGGTCACAAAACGAGACAGATACATACACCTTTACTTTACTTAACACCACGCGAATCATCAATCTGGTTGTGGACTTTTTGATTGTTCATACTAATCTAATCCCCCAACTCATCCCATAATATATCTATTAAATCCTATCTAATCTAATCACAAATATATCCTTATATTTAAGAAAAGCCTCTGAGTTGACGTCTGGCACCAGTTTAAGAAATCGGCCAAGGAGATAAGAGGGTTTGAAAGAAACTGATGGACTGACTGACCCACCAACTATTGAATACTACTCTAGAACTATTACTTGGTGGAAACGGCAAAAGCAAACAAAACAGCAGAGTTGCATAAAGAAAAGAGTGGATTCTGTGCTGTGCTGTGCTGCTGTTTTTGTTGTGTCGATGATAACTTTGAAACTTCGATCATGGTTACTTCAGCCAGATCTCTCCAATTGAAAGCGACCTTTCAGAATGGGCCTTCTTTCTCTCTGTTATACTTTTTTTTTGTCGTAAAGCAGAGGCGGAGGGCATTTTGACTCTCTCTGTAATTGGGGAATGGATCAGGTCAGTAACCTTATGGTGAGTAACTATGAGTAACCAGCCCACATCAGCATGACATCATCATCCTCTCTTTCCTGGAAAGCCTTTAATTTTCTCCTTCTTAATCTTTGACGGACGATTTCTCACTCGTTTTAAGTCGAAATTTAATTTTTTTTGCACAGTTAGATCAGATTAATTGTGCTCTTCAAAATGATATCCACTTTGATATATTTTTCGAACAAAAAAAATTAAGCCATTTTTTACTAGTCTATACCATATGGTATTGACTGGTATTGAAATAAGAGCATACCTATGGTTTGAAAAGCGTATCATGGTGGTATGACACAAACCAAAACTATAGGATGGTTGAATACATGATAGTAGAAGTATATTAATTGGCATTTACGACTTTTAACATTGTATACCATAAGATACCATAAAATACCACCCCGTACCAGGGTGGTATTGTATGGTATTGTGTGGTATTTTTTTGTCTTGTAATTTGTTCACCCATAAATTTGTAGATCCAATAGATCATGATGAACTCGTCCCTATTGTGCAAACGTTTTCAAAAACGAATGAAAGACGAAGAAGATACCATATGGTATGCAGTTGGTACCGAGAGACCAGAATTTTGTTTTCCTAAAAAAATATTGAAAATTGATCTCATGTTGTAGAGCACGATGAACTCATTCCATCTGTGCAAAAAAAAAAAATCCGAGTTAAACGAAAAAGATATGAGTCAATTAAGAAAGCTAGTGAAAATAAAAATGGTCTTTAATTCTCCATTCTTAGATCTGGATTTTCTAAATGAATGGTCCAGATTTGGTTATTGGGTTATGCACCCTAACTTGAGCCTGTAATTGGGGTCACAATTAGCAACTTGACACACAACCCTTTTTTTTTTTGCCGTTGGTTTCTCCAGCCGTTTCGTTCGATCAAATCATCTGTAATTAGGGTAGACGAAGTAAGTAGGGCCAACTGGGACTTTTCATACTTAACTCTAATGCTAACATAACTGGGACTCCCATATATGAAAACGAGAACCCTGTGGACCGGACCATCAATGACCACAAATATGAAGGACTAATTTGTAACACATCTTTCTCTGCAGTCCCGCCGATTGTCGTTTTCCGTTACGAAGACTGGGCAGATGGAAATAGGAATAGAAATAGACGGAGGAACAATAAATCAGAGAAAATAAATAAATATTAATTTGTTTAGGCTGGGTGTGAAATGACAAAATTAAAAAGACGACAAATGTAAGAACATATGGCTGTTTGGCTGTCTGCCTGTCACGCAGGCAGGCGCCCCCTTTCCCCAACTGCAATTACAAGGTTACCGTTTGGTAATCCATGATTTGCTATTTTGTAAAAAAGATTAGGAAAATGGATTGTTTGATTAACTAGTAACTATTTTAGAATTAATGGATTCTAAGAGCTTAGAAAGAGGTTAGTTTTGTTTATAATATTATGCGCATGAACCGAAACGATTGTAATTCTTCTCGCTTTTTCACTTTGCTTTTCCTGAAATCAAATTAAAAAGAAAATAAAGGAAACCAATGATTCTGCTATGCCTTCAAATTTTTTATATTATTAAATTTGATTTCACTTTTTCTCTGTGTCACAGAATACATTTTTGATTTTTCACGTTGATTCGATCACGGAGGAATAGGATCTTCTTAATCCTTGTTTTCCTCTCTACCTTGCATAAAATATTTATATTTAAACATTAAAAAATATTTGCAGGAGAAAAAAATATTCATAATTAACGAGGAAAAGCAAACATTCTTGCCCTAGGGATATTTACGAGAAAGATATAAGGGATTGTTTAAAATGATGACATTGAATGAGATAATTTGGTTCAATTGTTTTCAAATAAAAAAAAATTGGTCAAATAACCTTGTCTGGCAACACAAAAAAGGAATTTAACAATTGGGATGAGATAATTTAAATTACCTTGATTCACATCAATTTGAATTAAGAAGAGACCATTGAAAGGAGGAGAAAAAGTTATGATAAATTTTTTAAAACTAAAATGAGATGACTGATAATGAAACGATTATAAAATAATTGTGTTAAATTAGCTCACTTCAAAAATATCTATCATTGAAATTTGAAATCACCAAATATTAAAAAAATCGTTAACCCTAAGCATGGAGTTTCCGTCGGGGTTATATATAGAATAAAATAAGTCATTTTGGAGGTTTCCTTCATTCATGGGATAGACAGCAAAGGTATCCCAAGCCAGCAGTGGAGGGAATCCATCTCTAATCATTTCCTCCACTATCCTAATAAAAAACTCATAATTTATTTTTTGATAAACTTATGAATGCCAAAACAGATTTTAGCAGTTTTTTTATATTGTAATATAATAATTATCATTTTGAATATATTTGATACATAAAAAGAAGAGTAAAAATTACAGTTGATGTGATTTGAATCGGACGATCCGCGACTAAATGTTATTTGGGTTCGTGTTCTGAGTCTGGTTGTAACCGCTTTTCCTTAACCAGATTGGATTATCTGTAATCTGTATCTCCTCAAATTATAGTGAAACTGACTCTCTTCTGCACGTGGAGTAACTAACACACATTGTGTTAGTAAACCACGTAAATCTGTGTGTCGTTTTCTTTCTTACTTTCGTATTATTGATTTTTCTAATCCTCCAAGTTAAAAATCGGCAGAGAAACAGTCGTGATCATGACAACTAGTTCCCCCTCCTCAATTTTGAAAATTAACAAAACTTAAAATTAAAATATGTACAGCAAAGAAGTAGACCCTCCCCAGGCCTCAATAATGATGCATTTACGTACAACTAATTCCCCCTCCCCCTCCTCTTTTGATTCAATGCTAATTAATCAATATCTAATTTTCTATTCAATTAATACAACGTCAATACTCTATTATATCGTGGATCTGCCTTGCTTAGAATTCAGACTAATGGTATATTTTTTTTGTAATTAAAAGGAAAAAAAGAACTGCATGGTTTCCTGTGGTCATGACTCACGACAACAAAATTCAAGACATCCATTGAAGTACTACTGTTACGTGGCTCATATGCTCCCCTATTTTTCAATTTCGATGATTTATATTACATATCCACCATAATGATTTGAATTTGAAAATTTGGCCCAAACAATATAAAGCTGATAATGATCACTTTTGATGAGACCACCCACGAATGAAAGTTAGAACCCCACGATCGATTGCGATATCTCCAATTTAGGGTTAGTTTAGTTTGTGAAATTGTATCGGACACCTCAACATAGTTATTATAAATATATATTCAACTGGTATAAAACTGACGAACGCAGATAAGTTAATGGTAGTTTGTATATAAATTTTATCGAAATAAACATTATTTATAACTAAAAAATTTGCGAAGAAAAAAAGAGAGATAAAGGCGTCAGACACCCTTTCGGCAGCTGAACCATTCTAGGTCGTGGCAACACAGGTTACCGACCAAAATATTACAGCACCAACTGCAGAATAGATACTTCCTTTCTACTTGATAATCCGCCGCCGCCACAACGGGCTGTTCTTTCATCGTCGTCGTTGTCGTCGCCGCCGCCTCATGAAACACATCTCTCATTGCGCTGCAAGGACATTGCTGTATCAACAGTAGAAGAAGCAGTATCGCCAAAAATATTGTTGGAATAAGCTTGTTTTGATAATTTCTTGACTTCAGACGTGCCATGATAAATATACAGATATTGTTCTGAATTTTATGCAAAAAACCTTTGTGCTGCATAGGTGAAAGAAGGTGAATTTTAGTTTCTTATATATATGGTCTGGTTTTTTTTACATATATGGTGTTTGTTACAAAACTCACGTTCCATCCATCTCCCTCGTCTTCAGCATGTACCAAACTCCCTGATTCTTTGTTAACTCTCCACTTATTTATAACTTCAACTCGACTATCTGAAACTCGGGAGGCACTATTCTATAAATAAAATGTGGTCTTAATTTTTTATTTAAAATCTAACAAAATTTAAATACAACATAATAAACAAAGTTATTATAAAAAAATTTAAAATATATATCTAATATGATTGTTAATAAAGAGTGATTACTGTTTTACATAGAAAGATGAATCAACATTTGATAGATTGGATCAAATGGAATGAGAAGAAAAGAATACAAATAATAACTAAACGGACAATTAATCGTTTGAATAGGTGGTTAAATAAAGAAATCAGAACAAAATTTCGTCCCCTCATGTAGTCCATTCGTTTTTCAAATTATTAGTGAAATCTTTCAAAAATACAAAGTATTAACCAAACGTTAACTCCCCGTTAGCAGTTTTGTCGGTAACGTTCACTTGGTAACATGATGCTGAGTTGAAAGAGACACGTGGCGGTCAATATTTTAGTATTTTAATTAAGAGAAGAGTTGCAAAATTACTGACGATGACAGAGGAACGACTATTATTTTTAAGAAAAATATTTTTAAGAAATTTGAAAGGTTTAATTAATAAATTATATTTACTCATTTCCTTTTTAACATTTGATCGACATGTAAAATTCTCTTTTCAATAAATATGGTCAAGTTGATTTCTGAATTTTAAACTATCATGTAAAATGGTCAAGTTGAAGTTATAAATCAGTGGAGAGTTAACAAAGAATCAGGGAGTTTGGTACATTGTTGCTGAAGACGAGGGCGATGGAACGTGAGTTTTGTAACCAACCAACACAAGGTAATATATAGTGATAGAGGAGAAGTCGGAGTTTGTTAATTAACTTAACTCTCAATAATGGAGACATAACGTAAGAGACAAGTCCATATATATATAAGAAACTAAAATTCACCATCTTTCACCCATGCAGCACAAAGGTTTTCAAAGAATACAGAGTATTACCTTTATATATATTAATCATGGCAGCTTTGCAGTCAAGAAATTATCAAAACAAGCTTATTCCAACAATATTCTTGGCGATACTGATTCTCTCGATATCCGTACAACAGTGTCCTTGCAACGCAACTAGAGATGTGTTTCATGATGAGCCGGCGGTGACAACAGCGGTGAAAGAACAGCCAGCTTCGGCGGCGGATTATCAAGTAGAAGGGAAGTATCCATTCTGCAGTTGGTGCTGCAATATTTTGGTTGGTAACCTGTGTTGCCACGACCTAAAGTGGTTCAAATGCGGACGAGGAATCTGATGCCTTTATCTTCTTTTTTTTCTCTCACAATGTTTGAGTTATAAATAATGGATTTTTTAATAAATTTTGTAAACAAACTACCGTAACTTATTTGATTTTGTTCTTTTTATGCCGGTTGAATATATTTTAATTTTAATTTTAATTTTTTTTCCTCCGTTGAGCCACGATTATATCACTAAAATACAATTATGCTAGTGCGCTCAGACAATTTCACAAACTGAACCGCTAAATGTCATCCTAACTTACCTAAACTCGACTTAAAAAGAAAAATTACATAATCACCCTCTGCACCGCTACTCTCCTCGCTTCCCAACTCTTGTCTAAGTGCATGGTCTCTATCACAACGCTGCTAGAGCTCCACACCGCTTCACATAACACCATCTTAATTCATTGCCACTAAAGAGAGTCTTCATAAACTTTGAGAGGTTGCTCCCTTTCATGCATTAGTCTCAATGATATTTGTCGATCGATCCACAAATAATCCGTGCAGGGTATGGGTGATTGATGTGTGTGGATTGTGAATTGGTAAATCTTCTACTCACACTTATTAGAATGGGTGGTGTGTGGATTGCGGGACTACTATTATTGGTCACTATGTTGTCTAATGTCCATTAGTTATTGTTATGCAAATTATTAATATTAATTAAATTAATGTCGGAAAAATGGCCTGAAATCGATGATGATACCCCTTTCGAATCTGCAAAAAATGTACCCGGAAGAAATCAGCCGAAATCGGTGCCTAATGGACTTAATTATCGTTGAAGAATGGTCTTTCGAAAAAAATCACCCCAAAAATTACGAAAATGCCATCCCAAAATAAATTGGCCAAATTCGGTGCTTAATTGACTTAATTTTCGGTCGATAATAGGATCAATAGACTTCATTATCGGTAGAGAACAGCATCGGGCTGAATCCGTTATATGTAGCCTCCAAAATCAAAAGAAAATGGCACTTCGGAAAGTCGTCTGAAATCGGTGATGATACCCCTTTCGAATCTGCCAAAAATGTACCTGGAAGAAATCAGCCCAAAATCGGTGCCTAATGGACTTAATCATCGTTGAAGAATAGTCTCAGGCCGAATCCGTGATCTGTAGCCTACAAAATCCAAGGAAAATGGCCTTTCGAAAAAAATCGAGCAAAAAAATTGCGAAAATGGCATCCCAAAATAGATTGGCCAAATTCATTACTTAATGGACTTAATCTTCGGTCGAGAATATGATCAATAGATTTCATTATCGGCGGAGAACAGTCAGGTTGAGTCCTTTATTTATAGCCTTCAAAATAAAAAGAAAACGACATTTCAGAAAAATCGCCCGAAATCGTTGATGATACCCCTTTCGAATATGTCAAAAATGGACCCGGAAGAAATCTGACCAAATTGGTGCCTAATGAAATTAATCATCATTGAAGTATAGTCTCAGGCCGAATACGTGATCTGTAGCCTTCAAAATCCAAGCAAAATGGCCTTCCGAAAAAAATGCCCCAAAAATTATGAAAATGTGATCCCAATATAAATTGGCCCTATTTCATGCTTAATGGACTTAATCTTCGGTCAAGAATAGGATCAATAGACTTCATTATCGGTGGAAAACATCCTCGGACTGAATCCGCTATTTGTAGCCTCCAAAATCAAAAGAAAATGACATTTCGGAAAATTGTCCTAAATGGGTGATGATACACCTTTCGAATTTGTCAAAATTGGACAGGGAAGAAATCCGCCCAAATCGGTGCCTAATGGACTTATACGTTGTGGAAGAATAGCCTCAGGCCGAATTCGTGATCTGTAGACATCAAAATCCAAGGAAAAGGGTTTCAAAAAAAAAATGCCCCAAAAAATACAAAAATATCATCCCAAAGTAAATTGGCCAAATTCGGTACTTAATGGACTTAATCTACGGTCGATAATAGTATCAATAAACTTCACTGTCGGTGGATAACAGCCTCAAGCTGAATCCGGTATATGTAGCCTCCAAAATAAAAAGAAAACGACATTTCAGAAAAATCGTATGAAACTGGTGATGTTACCCCATACGAATCTGCCAAAAATGTACACGGAAGAAATCCGACCAAATCGGTGCCTAATAGACTTAATCATCGTTGAAGAATAGCCTCAGGCCGAATATGTGATTTTTAGCCATCAAAATTAAAAGAAAATCGCCTTTTTCGTAAATTTTTGGGCGACGAAAGGCCATTTTCTTTGGATATTGAAGGCTACAGATCACGAATTCGGCATGAGGCTATTCTTCAACGATGATTGAGTCCATTAAGCACCGATTTGGGCGGATTTATTCCAGGTCAATTTTTGGCATATTCCAACGGGGTACCATCACAGATTTCAGGCTATTTTTCAGAAATGCCATTTTCTTTCGATTCTGGAGGCTACAGATCACGAATCCAGGCCGAGGCTATTCTCCACCGATAATGAAGTCTATTGATCCTATTCTCCACCGATAATCCAAGCAAAATGGCCTTCCGAAAAAAATGCCCCAAAAATTATGAAAATTTGATCCCAATATAAATTGGCCCTATTTCATGCTTAATGGACTTAATCTTCGGTCAAGAATAGGATCAATAGACTTCATTATCGGTGGAAAACATCCTCGGACTGAATCCGCTATTTGTAGCCTCCAAAATCAAAAGAAAATGACATTTCGGAAAATTGTCCTAAATGGGTGATGATACACCTTTCGAATTTGTCAAAATTGGACAGGGAAGAAATCCGCCCAAATCGGTGCCTAATGGACTTATACGTTGTGGAAGAATAGCCTCAGGCCGAATTCGTGATCTGTAGACATCAAAATCCAAGGAAAAGGGTTTCAAAAAAAAAAAACGCCCCAAAAAATACAAAAATATCATCCCAAAGTAAATTGGCCAAATTCGGTACTTAATGGACTTAATCTACGGTCGATAATAGTATCAATAAACTTCACTGTCGGTGGATAACAGCCTCAAGCTGAATCCGGTATATGTAGCCTCCAAAATAAAAAGAAAACGACATTTCAGAAAAATCGTATGAAACTGGTGATGTTACCCCATACGAATCTGCCAAAAATGTACACGGAAGAAATCCGACCAAATCGGTGCCTAATAGACTTAATCATCGTTGAAGAATAGCCTCAGGCCGAATATGTGATTTTTAGCCATCAAAATTAAAAGAAAATCGCCTTTTTCGTAAATTTTTGGGCGACGAAAGGCCATTTTCTTTGGATATTGAAGGCTACAGATCACGAATTCGGCATGAGGCTATTCTTCAACGATGATTGAGTCCATTAAGCACCGATTTGGGCGGATTTATTCCAGGTCAATTTTTGGCATATTCCAACGGGGTACCATCACAGATTTCAGGCTATTTTTCAGAAATGCCATTTTCTTTCGATTCTGGAGGCTACAGATCACGAATCCAGGCCGAGGCTATTCTCCACCGATAATGAAGTCTATTGATCCTATTCTCCACCGATAATCCAAGCAAAATGGCCTTCCGAAAAAAATGCCCCAAAAATTATGAAAATTTGATCCCAATATAAATTGGCCCTATTTCATGCTTAATGGACTTAATCTTCGGTCAAGAATAGGATCAATAGACTTCATTATCGGTGGAAAACATCCTCGGACTGAATCCGCTATTTGTAGCCTCCAAAATCAAAAGAAAATGACATTTCGGAAAATTGTCCTAAATGGGTGATGATACACCTTTCGAATTTGTCAAAATTGGACAGGGAAGAAATCCGCCCAAATCGGTGCCTAATGGACTTATACGTTGTGGAAGAATAGCCTCAGGCCGAATTCGTGATCTGTAGACATCAAAATCCAAGGAAAAGGGTTTCAAAAAAAAAACGCCCCAAAAAATACAAAAATATCATCCCAAAGTAAATTGGCCAAATTCGGTACTTAATGGACTTAATCTACGGTCGATAATAGTATCAATAAACTTCACTGTCGGTGGATAACAGCCTCAAGCTGAATCCGGTATATGTAGCCTCCAAAATAAAAAGAAAACGACATTTCAGAAAAATCGTATGAAACTGGTGATGTTACCCCATACGAATCTGCCAAAAATGTACACGGAAGAAATCCGACCAAATCGGTGCCTAATAGACTTAATCATCGTTGAAGAATAGCCTCAGGCCGAATATGTGATTTTTAGCCATCAAAATTAAAAGAAAATCGCCTTTTTCGTAAATTTTTGGGCGACGAAAGGCCATTTTCTTTGGATATTGAAGGCTACAGATCACGAATTCGGCATGAGGCTATTCTTCAACGATGATTGAGTCCATTAAGCACCGATTTGGGCGGATTTATTCCAGGTCAATTTTTGGCATATTCCAACGGGGTACCATCACAGATTTCAGGCTATTTTTCAGAAATGCCATTTTCTTTCGATTCTGGAGGCTACAGATCACGAATCCAGGCCGAGGCTATTCTCCACCGATAATGAAGTCTATTGATCCTATTCTCCACCGATAATCCAAGCAAAATGGCCTTCCGAAAAAAATGCCCCAAAAATTATGAAAATTTGATCCCAATATAAATTGGCCCTATTTCATGCTTAATGGACTTAATCTTCGGTCAAGAATAGGATCAATAGACTTCATTATCGGTGGAAAACATCCTCGGACTGAATCCGCTATTTGTAGCCTCCAAAATCAAAAGAAAATGACATTTCGGAAAATTGTTCTAAATGGGTGATGATACACCTTTCGAATTTGTCAAAATTGGACAGGGAAGAAATCCGCCCAAATCGGTGCCTAATGGACTTATACGTTGTGGAAGAATAGCCTCAGGCCGAATTCGTGATCTGTAGACATCAAAATCCAAGGAAAAGGGTTTCAAAAAAAAAAACGCCCCAAAAAATACAAAAATATCATCCCAAAGTAAATTGGCCAAATTCGGTACTTAATGGACTTAATCTACGGTCGATAATAGTATCAATAAACTTCACTGTCGGTGGATAACAGCCTCAAGCTGAATCCGGTATATGTAGCCTCCAAAATAAAAAGAAAACGACATTTCAGAAAAATCGTATGAAACTGGTGATGTTACCCCATACGAATCTGCCAAAAATGTACACGGAAGAAATCCGACCAAATCGGTGCCTAATAGACTTAATCATCGTTGAAGAATAGCCTCAGGCCGAATATGTGATTTTTAGCCATCAAAATTAAAAGAAAATCGCCTTTTTCGTAAATTTTTGGGCGACGAAAGGCCATTTTCTTTGGATATTGAAGGCTACAGATCACGAATTCGGCATGAGGCTATTCTTCAACGATGATTGAGTCCATTAAGCACCGATTTGGGCGGATTTATTCCAGGTCAATTTTTGGCATATTCCAACGGGGTACCATCACAGATTTCAGGCTATTTTTCAGAAATGCCATTTTCTTTCGATTCTGGAGGCTACAGATCACGAATCCAGGCCGAGGCTATTCTCCACCGATAATGAAGTCTATTGATCCTATTCTCCACGGATGATAAGTCCATTAAGATCCGATTTGCTATTTCCCCGATCGAGGATTCTTTATTGCTGGCCGGGCTTCTGTGCTAGGTGGAATCACATCAGTCCCTCCCTGTTGAAGAAGCTTTATACCCTCAAAGCTTTCCAGGTTGATAAGTCGATTAAGCACCGATTTGGGCCAATTTATTTTTGGATGACCATTTTCTTTGGATATTGAAGGCTACAGATCACGGATTTGGCGTGAGGATATTTTTCAACAATAATTGAATCCATTAAGCACCGATTTGGGGGGATTTATTCCGGGTCAATTTTTGGCAGATTTCAAAGGGGTACACCATCACAGATTTTGGGCGATTTTTCCAAAATGCTATTTTCTTTCGATTCTGGAGGCTACAGATCACAGAATCAGTCGAGGGTATTCTTCACTGATAATGAAGTCTATTGATCCTATTCTCCATGGATAAAAAGTCCATTAAGCACCGATTTGGGCCAATTTATTTTCGGATGGCATTTTCGTAATTTTTTGGGCGAAGAAAGGTCATTTTCTTTTGATATTGAAGGCTACAGATCACAGATTTGGCCTGAGGCTATTCTTCTACAATGATTGAGTCCATTAAGCACCGAATTGGGCGGATTTATTCCTGGTCAATTTTTTGCAGAATCCAAAGGGGTACCATCACAGTTTATGGGCGATTTTTCCGAAATGCCATTTTCTTTCCAATCTGAAGGGTACAAATCACGGAATCAGGTCGAGGCTATTCTCCACCGATAATGAAGTCTATTGATCATATTCTCCACGGATGATAAGTCCATTAATCACCAATTTGTGCCAATATATTTTCGGAAGATATTTTCGTAATTTTTTGGGCGAGAAAATGCCATTTTCTTTTGATAATGAAGGCTACAGATCACAGATTCGGCCTGAGACTATTCTTCAACGATGATTGAGTCCATTAAGCACAATTTTGGGCGGATTTAGTCCGGGTCAATTTTTGACAGATTCCAAATGGGTACCATCACAGATTTCGGGCGATTTTTCTGAAATGCCATTTTCTTTCGATTCTGCAGGCTACAGATCACGAAATCAGGTCGAGGCTATTCTCCACGGATAATGAAGTCTATTGATCCTATTCTCCACGGATGGTAAGTCCATTAAGCACCGATTTGTGCCAATTTATTTTCGGATGACATTTTCGTAATTTTTTGGGCGAGGAAATGTCATTTTCTTTTGATATTGAAGTCTACCGATCACAGATTCGGCGGAGGCTATTGTTCGACGATGATTGATTCGATTAAGCACAGCTTATGGCGGATTTATTCCGGGTCAATTTTTGGCAGATTCCAAAGGGGTACTATCATAGATTTCGGGAGATTTTTCCGAAATGCCATTTTCTTTCGATTCTGGAGGCTACAGATCACGGAATCAGGCCGAGGCTATTCTCCACCGATAATGAAGTCTATTGATCCTATTCTCCACGGATGATAATTGCATTAAGCACCGATTTGGGCCAATTTATTTTAGGATGGCATTTTCGTAATTTTTTGGGCGACGAAAAGCCATTTTCTTTTGATATTGAAGGCTACAGATCACGGATTCGGCCTAAGGATATTTTTCAACAATAATTGAATCCATTAAGCACCGATTTGGAGGGATTTATTCCGGGTCAATTTTTTAAAGAATCCAAAGGGGTACCATCACAGATTTCGTGCGATTTTTCCAAAATGCCATTTTCTTTCGAATCTAGAGGCTACAGATAATGGAATCAGGTCGAGGCTATTCTCCACCGATAATGAAGTATATTGATCATATTCTCCACGGATGATAAGTCCATTAAGCACCAATTTGTGCCAATCTATTTTTGGATGGCAATTTCGTAATTTTTTGTACAACGAAAGGCCATTTTCTTTGGAAATTGAAGGCTACAAATCACGGATTCGGCCTGAGGCTATTTTTCAACAATGATTGAATCCATTAAGCACCTATTTGGGTGGATTTATTCCGGGTCAATTTTTGGAAGATTCCAAAGGGTACCATCACAGATTTCGTCCGATTTTTTCCGAAATGCCATTTTCTTTTGAATATGAAGGCTACAGATAATGGAATCAGTTCGAGGCTATTCTCCACCGATAATGAAGTCTATTGATCATATTCTCCACGGACGATAAGTCCATTAAGCACCGATTTGTGTCAATTTATTTTTGGATGGCAATTTCGTAATTTTTTGAACAACGAAAGGCCATTTTCTTTGGATACTGAAGGCTACAAATCACGAATTCGGCCTGAGGCTATTTTTCAACAATGATTGAATCCATTAAGCACCAATTGGGGTGGATTTATTACGGGTCAATTTTTGGAAGATTCCAAAAGGGTACCATCACAGATTTCGTGCGATTTTTCCGAAATGCCATTTTCTTTCGAATCTGGTGGCTACAGATAATGGAATCAGGTCGAGGCTATTCTCCACCGATAATGAAGTCTATTGATAATATTCTCCACGGATGATAAGTCCATTAAGCACCGATTTTTGCAAATTTATTAATGGATGGCAATTTCGTAATTTTTTGTACAACGAAAGGTCATTTTATTTGGATATTGAAGGCTACAAATCACGGATTCGCCCTGAGGCTATTTTCAACAATGATTGAATCCATTAAGCACCAATTTGAGTGGACTTATTCCGGGACAATTTTTGGCAGATTCCAAAGGGGGTAACATCATAGATTTCGTACGATTTTTCCGAAATGCAATTTTCTTTCGAATCTGGAGGCTACAGATAACGAAATCAGGCTGATGGTATTCTTCACCGATAATGAAGTCTATTGATCCTATTCTCCACGGATGATAAGTCCATTAAGTACCGATTTTGCCAATTTATTTTCGGATGTCATTTTCGTAATTTTTTTGGGCGACGAAAGGCCATTTTCTTGGGATATTGAAGGCTACAGAACACGGATTCGCCCTGAGGCTATTCTTCAACTATGATTGAGTCCATTAAGAACCGATTTTGGCGGATTTAGTCCAGGTCAATTTTTGGCAGATTCCAAAGGGGTACCATCACAGATTTTGGGAGATTTTTCCGAAATGCGATTTTCTTTCGATTCTGCACGTTACAGATCACGAATTCAGGCCGAGGCTATACTACACGGATAATGAAGTATATTGATCCTATCCTATTTTCGGATGGCATTTTCGTAATTTTTTGGGTGACGAAAGGCCATTTTCTTTGGATATTGAAGGCTACAGATCACGGATTCGCCCTGAGGCTATTCTTCAACGATGATTGAGTCCATTAAGCACCGATTTGGGCGGATTTATTCCGGGTCAATTTTTAGCAGATTCCAAAGGGGTACCATCACAGATTTCAGGCGATTTTTTCGAAATGCCATTTTCTTTCGATTCTGGAGGCTACAGATCACGGAATCAGGCCGAGGCTATTCTCAACCGATAATGAAGTCTATTGATCATGTAGACAAACTGACTCAGCCTGACCCTCAGTTTCCGACATGTCGGGACAAGTCAGTGGGTCTCTAGGATAAAACTTACAACCCTACCACCAACAATGTTTCAGATCAGCACATGTTCGAAATTGCGAGAAAGTGGTTAAGATCCATACATGCACCTCTTCCAACAACTCGAGTTAAGATCCATTCATAGTCCTCTCTCAATAACATAACTAGTTGGTTTATCAAACAAATAAGTTAAATGGTCAAGTAAAGTTCAAGAATATAGTTCTCTTCTCTGTTCTCAAGTTTCCTCACGGGTCAGTGCTGCTGTTATTTGGGCAAGTTTAGGATAGATCCAAAATTAAACGTGGACAAGGCACAAAAGTTGCTTCACATCGTGACAGCTACGGCAGAAGATGTCCACGTACACTATATAAAGCCCATCTGATCTTCAAAGCAATTCTCGTCCCGATCTGCAGAAAAGAAAAATGTCTGTGTTTCAGCTGCAGTCCGACAACCAGTTCATCCGAACCAACGAGGGATCTCCGGACCTCCACGTGTTCGAGTACATGGACGACCTGAACGCGTTCGACCTCATCCACGTCAGCAGCTCCAGGTGGCGTTCCTCCATCGCAGTGGGGCCCTCCGCGGCCGCGCTGTACAAGAAGCTGGAGGTCCACGGCGTGACGATAGAGGGCAGCCAGCTGCAGGAGCTGGTCAAAGATCTGACCTGGGTTGACCCGAACGGCCGGAGGCTCTTCCCGTCGGTCAACCGTCAAGGCCGCTGCCTCATGTACGTCGGATGCCAGCAGGTCACCCGGGTCAGGATCAGCGACCATTTCGGTTGGTCCAAGTACGGAGTCAAACCGGCCCAGATCTCGGTGTGGCCCGTATGGGGCATGATGGACGGCGCCGTTTTGGCCGTCCCTCGAGCGAGTCCTCGTCCTGGTCACGATGATGGTGATCACGGGTACTTTTCGGTTGTGTGTGAGAGTTGGAAGAAGGTGATGGAGGAGAAGGACAAGGTCATCGAGGAGAAGAATAAGCTGGTGGAGAAGGTCGAGTCGTTGTGGAAGAGGTCGCTTGAGGAGAAGGACAAAGTTATCGCGGAGAAGGAGAAGGTGATGGAGAAGATGGAGGCGTTGCTGAGGAAGTCACTTGAAGAGAAGGAGAAGGAGGTTCTTTCTCTCAAGGAAACGTTGATGGCCCTCAGTGATGAAGTATGATTTGGCGTATAGCCATTCTAGTACTGGTTTCATGTGTTGTATAGGTTTGTTTGTGCACATATATACTATTGACGTACTTATTATGTTATTTCTGTTAGGCAGTCTCACTTGATCTAAGCCCATCTTATTGTATTATTAATTAGCTAGCCCATTATTTTATATATATGATGTCTTATATATATCGTATTTCGGATAAAATGTAGGGTACGATTGTTTACCCATCCTCGTCGAAAAACGACATACCTTAGTACGAAAATATGGTAAGGGCTGAAATTGTAAGAGTGGATAGCTCCATTTTCTTGGTAGGAGTAGGCCAGTGCTCTAGGTTTCGGGGCATAATAATATACCCTATCCTTAGAGTGAGTTCTAGGTTTAAATTATCCAAATCATAGAACCTAAACTCTAAGATTAAAGGACGGAAGCTATCAAGGTAATAAAAAATTCCACATATAAAGACAATAGCAGAATTAATTTAAAATCCCAATAATACATTGCGTTATACATCGCATTATACAATTGAACCTAAGACCTCGTAGTTACTAACTAACTTGCCAACCAATATGCTACTTGTATTTCTTGTCCATGCTATCAATAATATGGCTTTTATATTTGTTTTTTATGTTTTAATTTCTTCCAAATACGGTGATGATGGATGAAATCTAACTTTGGGGATTAGATAGCGTCACAACCCCTACAGTGGTTGTGATTTTTGCTTCCCCCTTCCTAGCCCTAGATCCCCCTTCCTCTTGATCTGACGGCCGATATGCACCAGGGGGAAAAAGGAGAAGCGCCGCACTGGATCCGCTCACTCCACCCTCCACTCTTGATATGACATCTTCGGGTTTGAAAGGGAAAGATATTCGGAGCGTAATCAGCAACCTTCCCAGCCAAAAAAACGTTCGGTTGGTCATCATCCTACCAATAAACTATGAATCCTCTTCAATGTGCAGTGGTGGTCTTCTAAATAAAAAATATTTTTTATATGTTAAATAAGCATACTTTTTATAACAAGTTTTGAACTGACATGAAACAAACTCTGAGAAACTGGGTGTGTGATAGTCTTCTATGTATAGAATTTCTTCCAAATTACAAGTTGTGTTCAACTGCAAGACTTGCAACATTTTGGATTTTGTATTTACTTCAATTTGCAAACTCAATACCAAAACAACAAGAAAATACATGTGGGTATAGCTTCGTGATTTATTAGATGTGTGCCAACTATTTTAGTGGATTGAAGTCTGATTTCAGTATCAAGTTATTAAGTTGTGAGTAATGTTTAAATCCTTTATCACTTCTTAAAAGAGTATTTGTTGAGTTTGCATCAATATGGTATAGTTTTATGTGATGTAAGTGTCGTGTATAGAGTAGAGTGAAGATAATAATAAAGGATCGAATCTAATCAAAAGTTACACATATAAAGACAGTAGCCAATTTTCAAATCGCGATAGTATATAACGTTGTACAAAGAGAGAGAAAAGTCGAACAAGAAACTAAATTAAAAATAATGCTAAATATATAAAGGAGAAGCGGTAAGAGGCCTTTTAAAAGATAAGTTTTACGAAAAGAAAGAATTGAACCTAAGACCTCTCAGTTGCAAAATAACTTGCCAACCAATTTGCTACTTGTATTATTTGTTCATGTTATTAAAAATATAGCTTTTATATTTGTTTTTTTATTTTAATTTCTTTAAAATACGGTGATGATTGGTGAAATTTAACTTTGTCCCTGCCAATACACTATGAATCCTCTCTAGTGTGGAGCGGTGGTCTTCTAAATAAAAAAGTTTTTCATATGTTGAATATGCGTACTTTTTATTATAAGTTTTGTAGTGACGTGAAACAAACTCTGAGAAATCGGGCGTGTGCTAGTCTTCTAGGTATAGGATTTCTTTTGAAGTACAAGTTGTGTTCAACAGCATGACATACAAAATTTTTGATTTTGTAGTTACGTCAATTTACAAACTCAATACCAAAGCAACAAGAAAGTACATGTGGGTGTAGCTTCATGATTTATTAGATGTGTGCCAACTACTTTAGTGGAGTGAAGTCTGATTTCAGTGTCAAGTTCTTAAGTTGTGAGTAATATCTAAATCCTTTATTGCATCAATGTGGTATAGTTGTATGTGGTGGAAGTGTCGTGTATAGAGTAGAGAGAATGATAATAAATGATCGAAGCAAATCAAAAGTTCCACATATAAAAACAATAGCCAAATTTAAAATCGCGATAGTATATCGCGTTAAACAAAGAGGGAAAGAAAGTCGAACAGGAAACTACATAAACAATAATGCTAAATATACAAAGGAGAAGCGGTAAGAGGCTTTTTAATAGATAAATTTTGCGAAAAAAAAGATTTGAACCTAAGACCTCTTATTTGCCAAATAACTTGCCAACCAATTTGCTACTTGTATTATTTCTTCATGTTATTAACAATAAAGCATTTATATTTGTTTTTTTGTTTTAATTTCTTTTAAATACGGTGATGATTGGTGAAATTTAACTTTGTCCCTGACCATACACTATGAATTCTCTCCAGTGTGGAGCGGTGGTCTTCTAAATGAAAAAAAAATTTATATGTTAAATATGCGTACTTTTTATGATAAGTTTTGTAGTGACGTGAAACAAACTCTGAGAAATCTGGCGTGTGCTAGTCTTCTAGGTATAAGATTTCTTTTGAAGTGCAAGTTGTGTTCAACAGCATGACATACAACATTTTCGATTTTGTAGTTACTTTAATTTGCAGACTCAATACCAAAACAACAAGAAAGTACATGTGGGTGTAGCTTCATGATTTATTAGATGGGTGCCAACTATTTTAGTGGAGTGAAGTCTGATTTCAGTGTCAAGTTCTTAAGTTGTGAGTAATATCTAAATCCTTTATTGCATCAATGTGGTATAGTTGTATGTGGTGAAAGTGTCGTGTATAGAGTAGATTGAGAATGATAATAAATGATCGAAGCTAATCAAAAGTTCCACATATATAAAAACAATAGCCAAATTTAAAATCGCGATAGTATATCGCGTTAAACAAAGAGGGAAAGAAAGCCGAACAGGAAACTACATTAAAAATAATGCTACATATATAAAGGAGTAGCGGTAAGAAGCTTTTTAAAAGATAAATTTTGCGAAAAGAAAGTATTGAACCTAAGACCTCTTAATTGCCAAATAACTTGCCAACCAATTTGCTACTTGTATTATTTGTTCATGTTATTAAAAATATAGCCTTTATATTTGTTTTTTTTGTTTTGATTTCTATTAAATACGGTGATGATTGGTGAAATTTAACTTTGTCCCTGCAAATACACTATGAATCCTCTCTAGTGTGGAGCAGTGGTCTTCTAAATAAAAAAGTTTTTCATATGTTGAATATGCGTACTTTTTATTATAAGTTTTGTAGTAACGTGAAACAAACTCTGAGAAATCGGGCGTGTGCTAGTCTTCTAGGTATAGAATTTCTTTTGAAGTACAAGTTGTGTTCAACAGCATGACATACAAAGTTTTTGATTTTGTAGCTACGTCAATTTGCAAACTCAATACCAAAGCAACAAGAAAGTACATGTGGGTGTAGCTTCATGATTTATTAGATGTGTGCCAACTACTTTAGTGGAGTGAAGTCTGATTTTAGTGTCAAGTTCTTAAGCTGTGAGTAATATCTAAATACTTTATTGCATCAATGTGGTATAGTTGTATGTGGTGGAAGTGTCGTGTATAGAGTAGAGTGAGAATGATAATAAAGGATCGAAGCAAATCAAAAGTTCCACATATAAAAACAATAGCCAAATTTAAAATCGCGATAGTATATCGCGTTAAACAAAGAGGGAAAGAAAGTCGAACAGGAAACTACATTAACAATAATGCTAAATATATAAAGGAGAAGCGGTAAGAGGCTTTTTAAAAGATAAATTTTGCGAAAAGAAAGTATTGAACCTAATACCTCTTCATTGCCAAATAACTTGCCAACCAATTTGCTACTTGTATTATTTATTCATGTCATTAAAAATATAGCTTTTATATTTGTTTTTTTGTTTTAATTTCTTTTAAATACGGTGATGATTGGTGCAGTTTAACTTTGTCCCTGCCAATACACTATGAATTCTCTCCAGTGTGGAGCGGTGGTCTTCTAAATGAAAAGTTTTTTATATGTTAAATATGCATACTTTTTATGATAAGGTTTGTAGTGACGTGAAACAAACTCTGAGAAATCGGGTGTGTGCTAGTCTTCTAGGTATTGGATTTCTTTTGAAGTGCAAGTTGTGTTCAACAGCATGACATACAACATTTTCGATTTTGTAGTTACTTCAATTTGCAGACTCAATACCAAAGCAACAAGAAAGTACATGTGGGTATAGATTCATGATTTATTAGATGTGTGCCAACTACTTTAGTGGAGTAAAGTCTGATTTCAGTGTCAAGTTCTTAAGTTGTGAGTAATATCTAAATTCTATATTATCTTCTTAAAAGAGCATTCGTTAAGTTTGCATAAATGTGGTTTAGTTGTATGTGGTGTAAGTGTCGTGTATAGAGTAGAGTGAGAATGATAATAAAAGATCGAAGCTAATCAAAAGTTTCACATATAAAAACAATAGCCAAATTTAAAATCGAGATAGTATATCGCGTTAAACAAAGAGGGAAAGAAAGTCGAACAGGAAACTACATTAAAAATAATGTTAAATATACAAAGGAGAAGCGGTAAGAGGCTTTTTAAAAGATAAATTTTGCGAAAAGAAAGTATTGAACCTAAGACCTCTTAATTGCCAAACAACTTGCCAACTAATTTCCTACTTGTATTATTTGTTCATAAAAATATAGCTTTTATATTTGTTTTTTTTTGTTTTAATTTCTTTTAAATACGGTGATGATTGGTGAAATTTAACTTTGTCCCTGCCAATACACTATGAATTCTCTCCAGTGTGGAGCAGTGGTCTTCTAAATGAAAAAGTTTTTTATATGTTAAATATGCGTACTTTTTATAATAAGTTTTGTAGTGACGTGAAACAAACTCTGAGAAATCTGGTGTGTACAAGTCTTCTAGGTAGATTTCTTTTGAAGTGCAAGTTGTGTTCAACTGCATGACATACAACATTTTCGATTTTGTAGTTACTTCAATTTGCAGACTCAATACCAAAGCAACAAGAAAGTACATGTGGGTGTAGCTTCATGATTTATTAGATGTGTGCCAACTACTTTAGTGGAGTGAAGTCTGATTTCTGTGTCAAGTCCTTAAGTTGTGAGTAATATCTAAATCCTATATTGTCTTCTTAAAAGAATATTTGTTAAGTTTGCATCAATGTGGTATAGTGGTATGTGGTAAGTGTCGTGTATAGAGTAGAGTGAGAATGATAATAAAGGATCGAAGCTAATCAAAAGTTCCTCTTTTAAAAACAATAGCCAAATTTAAAATCGCGATAGTATATCCTGTTAAACAAGGAGGGAAAGATAGTCGAACAGGAAACTACATTAAAAATAATGCTAAATATAAAGGAGAAGCGGTAAGAGGCTTTTTAAAAGATAAATTTTGCGAAAAGAAAGAATTGAACCTAAGACCTTTTATTTGCAAAATAACTTGCCAACCAATTTGCTACTTGTATTATTTGTTCATGTTATTAAAAATATAGCCTTTATATTTGTTTTTTTTTTGTTTTGATTTCTATTAAATACGGTGATGATTGGTGAAATTTAACTTTGTCCCTGCCAATACACTATGAATTCTCTCCAATGTAGAGCGGTGGTCTTCTAAATGAAAAAGTTTTTTATTAGTTAAATATGCGTACTTTTTATGATAAGTTTTGTAGTGACGTGAAACAAACTCTGAGAAATCGGGCGTGTGCTCCACACTAGAGAAGATTCATAGTGTATTGGCAGGGACAAAGTTAACTTTCACCAATCATCACCGTATTTGAAAGAAATTAAAGATAAAAAACAAATATAAAAGCTATATTTTTAATAACATGAACAAATAATACAAGTAGCAAATTGGTTGGCAAGTTATTTAGCAACAAAGAGGTCTTAGGTTCAATTCTTTTATTTTTGCGAAATTTATCATTTAAAAAGCCTATTACCGCTTCTCCTTTATATATTTAGCATTATTTTTAATGTAGTTTCCTGTTCGATTTTCTTTCCCTCTTTGAATAACGCGATATACTATCGCGAGTTTAAATTTTGCTATTGTTTTTATATATGTGGAACTTTTGATTGGCTTCGATCCTTTATTATCATTCTCACTCTACTATATACACGACACTTCCACCACATACAACTATACTACATTGATGCAAACTTAACAAATACTCTTTTAAGAAGACAATAAAGGATTTAGATAGTACTCACAACTTAAGAACTTGACACTGAAATTAGACTTCACTCCACTAAAGTAGTTGACACACATCTAATAAATCATGAAGCTACACCCACATGTACTTTCTTGTTGCTTTGGTATTGAGTTTGCAAATTGAAGTAACTACAAATCGAAAATGTTGTATGTCATGCTGTTGAACACAACTTGCACTTCAAAAGAAATCCTATACCTACAAGACTAGCACACGCCCGATTTCTCAGAGTTTGTTTCACGTCACTACAAAACTTATCATAAGAAGTACGCATATTTAACATATAAAAAACTTTTTCATTTAGAAGACCACCGCTCCACACTGGAGAGGATTCATAGTGTATTGGCAGGGATAAAGTTAAATTTCACCAATCATCACCGTATTTAAAAGAAATTAAAACAAAAAAACAAATATAAAGGGTATATTTTTAATAAAATGAACAAATAATACAAGTAGCAAATTGTTTGGCAAGTTATTTGGCAAATAAGAGGTCTTATGTTCAATTCTTTCTTTTCGCAAAATTTATCTTTTAAAAAGCCTCTTACCGCTTCTCCTATATATATTTAGCATTATTTTTAATGTAGTTTCCTGTTCGACTTTCTTTCCCTCTTTGTTTAACGCGATATACAATCGCGATTTTAAATTTGGCTATTGTTTTTACATGTGGAACTTTTGATTAGCTTCAATCCTTTATTATCATTCTCACTCTACTCTATACACGACACTTACACCACATACAACTATACCACATTGATGCAAACTTAACAAATACTCTTTTAAGAAGACAATAAAGGATTTAGATATTACTCACAACTTAAGGACTTGACATTATTGATAAATTTGCGTGAAAAGTATAACAACTTAGTAATGTATCAAATACTACCAAAAAAGAAAATTGTATCAATTGTATAAGTGGATGGACCCATCAGATTAAATTGTATAAATCACAATGGAAATGGCTTAGTTATATCCGTCAGATTAAATTGTACAAATCACTATGTACTAATCTCTACTAACTCATCCCATTTATATATCAAAATTTATGCATGTCCTAGTTTGCACGTTGATATAAGTGATCTCTATGAAAATCGAAAACTCTAGACAAAGGATCGAGTTTCGCTCCGATACCATGAAGAATTTTACTACGCGAAAGATCGAAAGAACACGAGACAACGAGTTTTACGTGTTATCCTTGTTCGTCGAACATGACTAGTCCACGGTGAGCTCGAAAGAGCTCACGATTGATTTCTGATTAGGTTTACATTTTGACGGCTTGCTTACGACAGGTTCGTATCTAAGTCTTATATAGAGATAGACTAGGGTTAAAAATCCTAACGAGAAGAGTCGAGTGCGGCCAAGTATCCGTACCTACTACAACTCGGACAAGGTCCAATACTAATACAGTTTAAGTAATTAACCGCAACACTCTAAATACCCTGGAACCATAAATTATACACCTTCAGCATATGTCATTTGTGTTACACAATGGTAAATGATTTCTATGTAACATTTATTCATAACCCCATAGAATCATCCCAACTGCAATTTTGCTGGCCGGCCGATTAATGGCTGACGATGGCGAAGACAAGAAGTCAAGAACTATGGAGTTGGGGGGTTTTCCATTAATGATGAAGACAATTCATGGAACTGCCATTAGCTAGGTGCAGGGTGCAGTTCTTAGGTGCCAAGCAACAGTTGCAGGCTGGCCTTATATGTACATCAGTACTGTTGTTACTCGACGACGACGACGAGTTATTGCAAGTCATGTACGCCACATCCAAGCAGTACATAGGGCAAATTCTAGCTGCTCTGGCTGCTTCCCCACCTTCCATGGCTAAAAAACCCCCTGCAATTTCCCACAAAGACAAAACCGTTAGTCAAAGAGACAGCTTGGCACTTAGTTTTGTTCCAACCCTAGTAATCTGTAATATAATAACCGTGGCGCTTTCAGAAATCTGAACGAGGGGCTGATTTGAACCGTGGCAGCTGGTAAGGGGGGCTAACGACTTACTGACTGCTACTCTATTTTCTAAACTTGTATGAGCTATACCCCTTTCCGATCGACTTCAACCTAGCTTCACCACTAATTCTACGGAATTAGGCTATATGGTTCTAGAGCATGTAAGGGCTAGAACGTTTTACTAATAAGTTAATTGTTGTTCGATCGATCATGCGTTCCACGCGATCTATGTTGTCTTAGATATACATGTGACAATTTGTTTACAAAATAACCACTAGCTAGAATGCATTCAAAGGTCTAGAACGTACTAACTCCGATGGACAATCGATCAGGACGCGCTAGAAGAAATAGAAGGGTTTTGTTACGTACCGATGAAGAAAATCAGAAGGACAGCAGCAGCAGCAGCAGCTCTGTGAGGTGCAAGGGAAGCCATGAATGATCGCTGCTTCCTCTTTTGTGGGTTGATGCAGAGTGTAATGGCTATATTTATATATGGGAAGAAGTAATCAAAATCAAAACGGTTGAAGAGCTTACTTTTACTTGACTTCTTTGCAATTTTGCATGATTGGTTATGGGAAATGGAATATGTCAACAAAATCGGCCAAAGACCACATATTATATAGTCAGTCAAAACCCAAAAGGAATGCATTTTTCTTGGTCTTGACTCTTGAAATAAGTTCAATAGCCCCACTTTCACTCAATTTCAGTTACAAGTTAACTACAAATGCCTCATAGCGTCAAATAAGTCATAATCGTGATCATGAAGTATATTATTAAATAATGTTAGTACTATTTAGCTTCGAATACGAATAATATTTTTTTTTCTAGATATGCTTGAGTTTGAGAGGTTAAATATAGAAGCAATGAAGCTAGAGATGTTGCGGTAGATTAGGTGATTAATCCAATTTCTCAGTCAACTTGCACTCTAAATATACACAAATTTCTCAGTCAAGCATTTTGTTTAGGACCAGATCTTGATGGCTATGTCATGACTTTCAATGTGGCCAATCTTCTTTTTTCTTCTTTTGATAGTCCAATGGTTAGCTTTGGGATAATTTAACTCTTTAATTTGTGGCAAATGGGGATTAAATTCGAGTTAGATAAGACGGCAAACAATACAGTTCTACTTTTTTGCTAGTGTCATCCACGATTATAATAATATCTAAGTCATTATCTAGTATAATCATACAACGTAATAAACGATCGATCACGTAACAAATTTAATTTAGAGAAATTGAATCCAGATTAAAAAAAGTCTCAAAATGGTAATTTGGAGAGAGAAAAATTGGTTAACCAAGTCCAACTTGTTGGCCCATGGGCTTTGAGAGCCCAATTATTATGTCTAGTTTTATCCAAAGTCCTATTCTTCATCACCACCATTCACCATATACTAATTTTTGTTTTGTTCTCTCTTTCTTTTATTTCTTGATCTTGATTAACTACTTCAAGTTTTCCCCTTTCTCCCAATCTTCTTCCTCTTATTAGATCACTAATTGCATCCATCCTCTCTTAATCAGATCACTAGTTCCTTTGATCCCTCAGCCCTACAGTACTCCATTCCTCAGGTAACTCACTTTCCTGAAACATTAGTTCATATGTTCCTATTAATTTTTATAGCAAATCTCGATCTCTTCTATACTTTTCCACGATTTTAATTCTCTTTTTCCCTTAGCAGCATTATATATTTCAGAGCAGAAGCGCGGAACGTACAATGTTTTTCATTCAAAACCATCGAGATACGAAAATTAATTTTTGACAAACATACACAGATCCAGTATTATAACACCGGATCGAAAAGTGAAAAATGCAATGAATAAACGCATTATTAATAATTTGGTTAAATTTTGTCGGGTTTTTTTCTTTCTTTCTATGTAGGGTATCGAGAAAGAATCAATTAATGGATCCGATGAGAAGCCAAGGAGGGATTCAGATGCTGCTCTCAGCGGAGCAGGAAGCACAACAGATTGTGGCCGCTGCTAGAAACTGTAAGCCAACATATCTAATCTTCTCTTACGATGAGATCAATGTAGTCAAAAGTACGATATTATATAGAATTGTGTTGGTAAACTAGAAGCGTAAAAGCGTAAGCTTTTTACCTTTAAAGCGTGCTTTTGACTACGATGGATGGAATGATATAACATCAAGTGATTTCTGAACCGTATAGTGAAATTGTCGAGGTTGAAGCAAGCAAAAGACGAAGCAGAGAAGGAAGCTGCGAGATATCGCTCGCAACTGCAAGCCGACTTCCAAAAAAAAGTATCCGAGGTTCGTATCTAAGAAATTGATTTGCTAAGAAGGCAAATTGTTTAACTTATAAATGCGTCAGAGAAACTTTATTGTTTAAGGATCACTTTAAGATATGTATGTGTAGTCGAATGAAGTCCAAACCACGATTCTACGTAGAAGTATTTTAAGTGACCTAGAAGCGTAAAAACCTAAGGATTTTAAAGCTTTAAAGAGTATATTTTAACTACACTTAGAAGCGTTTTGGTGATCTAAAAGTGTAAAAACATAAGCGTTTAAATTTTAAAGCACGATTTTGACTACATTGGTTGTCGTATAGGGGAATTCAGCTGCGACGGCAAAACAACTGGAGCAGGAAACGGTGAAGAAGATTGAGAAGCTGAAGCAGTCATCTTCCAAGGTGCAATCTGAACTGGTTGACATGCTTGTCAAATTTGTTACCACTGTCAAGAATTGAAATTCCCCCCTTCTCTCTGAATCCCCAAACAGGTTCGTTGTGTCTCTCTTTGCTCCTTCTCCTTCTAGTCTTTTTTTACCTACTTGTTTTACTTATCTACTTCTGTTTTTCTTTACCTTCTTTACTTTTTTACAGCCACAAATATGACATGGGATTGAACTCGGAGGACAGTAAGCAGACATCTATAGCAAGCAAAGTTGAAGAGAAATTGGGGGCATGACCCTACTTCCATTTGACTCTCTCGTAGATTAATAATTCAGCTTGGTTTGGCGAATTTGTACCTGAAAATTCCACCAATATTGTTTGGGATGCATTTGATTTTCTTTCAATCCAATTCATTTTTCTGCAATTTGGAATCGTTTTATATTCTGCCCATCTGTTAAGTCTACGGAGAGCCAATGTTTCACATACTGGTTAAATCACATATAAATATGTTAAATACGTGTTACATCAAGACTCACATACCAATACGAAGTTGCTACGATGTTATGCTTGTACATGGTGAACTTTCAATACAGTTTCTCAAACATATTGGTAATAGGGATGGCAATTTTGCCCATACCCATGGGTATTTTACTATCCAACCCAATTGGGTTGGGTATGAAATCCAAATATATGGATATGGGTAAAGTTTGATGGGTTTGTACCCATACCCATTTACTTTGGGTTGGATTTGGGTTTGTACCCATGCCCAAATACAAATTACAGTTTGGTACCTAAACTTAATAGATATGCATATTTAGTACCTAAATTTAATTTTTTTTGCATATAAGTCCTCAAAATATCGATGGAAAATTACGTTTTGGTACCTAAATTTTTTTGGTCTTACATTTTGGTACCTAAAATTTTCAAGTTTTACAAATAAGTCCAATTTTTGCATGTGTAGTTAAACCACTCTCAAGTAAATGGATATCCATATCCAACCCATACCCATTTAGATAATATCCATATCTAACCCAAACCCATACACACATCACCCAAACCCTACCCATAATAAATGGGTCTACTTGGGTTTGGGCAAAATTACCCATGGGTGGGTAAATTGCCATCCCTAATTGGTAAAAGCCAAGGAGAAACATTATCTGCAGAAAGTAGCATCTTAACCTCTATCCATAAAACCCAAAAGCAGAGCAATGAACTACTAAAGCTGTACATATTCAAAGCATTATGGAGCTATTTACCACTGAATTGACTACAGCAAAACAGGATTGTTCAGGAACAGCTACGAGCTTAGGACAATTCAATTCTTCACGTTGGTACCAACATTCATATGGGTCTTTACAACAAAAAGACTATATCTTTCTGAACAACAAATCTATATGTACAGTAAGAAAGGAACCCAGAAGCATTTTTCAACTTCCAGGCCAAATTCAACAAAAGTGAACATTGGATGGGTACCATGAATAACCCAGTTTTCTCCTGCCCTACGATTACGAGGTGGGGTTAGCTTCCCTTGGCATTGTAGTTACTGTTAAGCGCCCTACGCAGACTGAAACCCTCGCCTTGGTTGCCGCTCAAAGAACGCTTCTCCAGGCAGCAAACAGTCAGTTGCCTCACTACCCTCTCGAGATACGACTGCAAGCAGCCTTGTAAGTCCTTCACGTTCGGATTCGTCAGCAACACCATGGCGTTTACTGTGTCTGCAACGGTCTCTCGCTGCGTGCCTTCTAGGAGATAGCCCACTGCTGATTGCAGTGGCTCCTCGTATGCTAGCAAGGCTACACAATCCTGCAGGAGCAACAAACACCGTACATAACCTTTTAGATGAAGCACTCTGCATTAAGTTCCCAATCCGTAGCAATATAACTAACATGAAGCAGCCAACTTTTTAAGGTACCTGAACAAGATCATTGTACCCTGGCAACTCAAAGAACTTCGCTAATTCCATTCTTCCATAGTTTACAGCTTCCTCTAGTTCACCAACCTTAAAAGCACATCGCCAACAAAAATACATGAAAATTAGCACCAGCCAAATGGGAATCACGTAGACATTTTCCATAAGTTCAATAAGTTCACAAATGGGTGCCATCAAAACTGCAAGAAAGAACTTCTAATGCTAACATAAAAGAAGCACGGCTATACTAAAATCCCAAACATATATACTTTTTCGCGAGTCTATAATTCTAATATTCGTAAACAAAAAAAAATCTAAAAGCAGTGGCATCCTGCTGACTCTACGAGAAAGATATATTTGAAGTGTTTAGAATATCCAGATTTTGCAGAAAGAACTTACCCGAACCAATTCAATGAATTTCTGACAGTGGAGCAGAAAACAAGTTGCCGACTTGTCATCCTGCAAAAGGTAGTCTGGCTATTACGGTGAAGACCAAGACAAAACAGTATCTTAGTGTGTACAGCGAGCCATAATCCGCATTATCATTTACAAACCATATAAATGTGCAAAAGAAAAAAGCCCTGTTTCAGATAATAGTTCAATCTAAAATGCAGGAAAACAGATGTTTAATATTTTGGGATCAGAATATCGATTATGCTTGTTTGGGATGTTCGATCAAAAGAGTGTAAACTGTACATTAAAGATCAATGATACAAAGAGGTTCATTTTATGAACTTCTAGTCAAACTTGTTCACCAACATTAACTTCAAAGGCAGTATGATGAAAAAGGGGAACAAAACAAGAAAGCCACAAAATACTTTTCTATCTTTTGGACAAAGCTACTTCACATACTCAAGATGAAAGTGAACCAAATCTCTGCAGAAAAGAAGTTATTACATGGTATATACCTCAAGAATCTGGGGAAACCACTGGCGAATCTTGTTGATAGCTGCATCAATCTCGCCATTTCTGATTAGCTTCATTGAGCAGAGAATAAAAGTCAACAACTCAATATAAGAATAACTGCAAGAAAGAAAGAAAGAAAGAAAGAAAGGGCCTTCTAAGAAGGATAATGAAAACAATATCAGGGACAGTCAATCACAGATTTGGTTGCATGGGTTAAGTGCCAAGGAATTGTGTACATTTGAAACAGTTAGAGAAACATTGGTATGGTATTTCAATCATTACAATGAAGAGAACTATGCCAGTTCTAAAAAAGAACTGCTTTGTTATCTCTTATGCATACATAACAAATTACTAGAGGAGCTGTTCAGGCTCACAAGATGAACTGCCACAACTAATATTTTAGACCAACAAAGCTACATAAAAATAAAGGTCACAGGGTCAAAGAATTTAGTACCTGTCTAAGCTCTCTTCTCTGATTTAATGCATACATTATGTCTTGCACATCAGAGCCATTTTCCTGAGACATGGATATTGGGGGAACTGCATTCTTAGTAGCCAACTCAAATGAATTGAGAGTTTCTTCATATCCATAATGCAGCAAGTACGACCGGACGAGTCTGCTCAAATAATTACAAACAACAATGATGTATTAGCCTTAAAAATCAGGCCAGAAAGCAACTTCTTTCAAACGGGAATAAAATCCAATTCAATTTCCTTCAAATGAATGAATTATCCAGAAATTAATTGGACTTGTATATTGAAGCAGTTATCTCATTAAGCATGGAAGCCTGCTATTTTCTATTTGCAGATCGCAAGTCGAATGTCGCAACAAGTTTTCCCTCTTGTAAATGGAAGAACTTAACAGGGAAAATCACAAACTTTAAGCATAAACAAAATTACTCCTTGCCAAAAGTGATTCCCTTTTCTCTAGACTTCACAGCATATAGCAGTTGTTTTCATAATGTGAAGTGAACTTACTTGTAGCTGGCATTTGGGGATAAAGGTGTTTTATCAATTCTTAAGTGTTGCTTCATCCTTTCCAGTCTTTCATATTCCTAATCAAAGGGAAACACAGGTAAGAAAGGCGATATATGTAGTAACCAGCAATTGCCCCTACAAAGGAAAATCCAACAAAGTACAGTGACTTGAATGCTAAAAGCTTCAACTAAACACCAGAGAATTCAGAAATCTATCCCTAGAGAAAAATCTATAAAAGTCTACTAACCGCACAAACTAACAAAGACCAGACCAGTGTAGCAAGGAGCTTAAAAAATATCCGCGAGTATAACAACTTTGTAGATATATTCGTTTTTTTCTGCATGCTCCACACATTGGAGCAATAACGAGTGAGCACCAATAAGTATGCACAAATACTGAAGTACATAGATTAGCAGAGTCAATTGGCGAGTACACTATGACCAATGTTTTTCCCTCATTAATTACAAATGTCATCATACAAACACTTAAGTTAATCCAACAGAAGCACGGTAAGGAAGAAAAGAACGAGCAACTTGCCTTGATATCAAATGCAAATTGCTTTTGGCCAAAATTAACTTCAATCCTGAGAGAGTGAGAGCAAAAATGAAAATGAGATTGCTGGATCTCTCACATAATGATAAAACTAGTTCCAATGAAAACTTAATGAGAATAAGAGCAGCAGCTAATAATTGAGTTTACACTTAAAAATAGGACTGAAATCAATCACAAGACACAACTGTAAGACTTCTTCGACATTCATTGCCTAAAAGGCAAGAATATTAGAATGAAGTGTCAATGATCAATGTTTGTTCCTGGAACGAAAGTAGCCATACCAGGTCCAGAACAATCAGGATTTTTGGTGGTTAAGAAAGTACGTAAAAAGAAATTGCTTCATAAATCAGAAAGGCATGATAGCTGACTCTTTCATCAACTAATTAGTACACTGGCACCACCTTTTATCTTTCTCCTTCATCGAAAGGAGAAAGTTCGCCAAAAAAAAAAAAAAACAAGAACAACATTAGCTGTCATCCATCAAGAACTAGTTCAATTATCCTTCTAGAGTAACAAAACATCAGTCCCAAAAAAAACTATACAGCCAATATTAAACCTCCCACAAAAATAGCGAAGGGCATAAGCAATTGCCTTAGCAGCATAAATAATTCAGTAGAAATACTGGAAAGGTTACATACTCCTCATTCTGGCTGTGAACAGCAACTGTAGGGAATAAGGCACCCGTGATCTCCTTTTTGACTGCTCCAACAATTGCTCCATTTTTACTGACACCAAGATTACAAGGATTCCAAAAAGGAACAGAGTGTGAGGTCTTGAAGTGAAGTCATAGTTTAGAGATATCAGAAATCTATAGAGCATCCACTCGGCTGACTGGGAAAAAGTATAAAGGGAAAATTTCTTACGTAAAAAAGAACTCCTGTGAACCATAGTTAATACCAGCGCCAACAGTATCATTGGTTGTAAATGTTGGTCCAAAAGGCTGTCCCTTTCCATGACCATGATAAAGATGGCCGTCATCCCCATGATACCCACAAGTGTTAGCTTCCCACCTATAAATTGGAAACAAATAAGTTCTATGCATAATGAAGCACAGAGCAACCAGCACGGAACACTACATCAGATGAAACTAAAGACTGAAACTTTTTTTATATAACTCCACACCATCGGCTTCATCTACATATGGGAATGATTGTTACTGCGGAGAAGGTTAACTAATGCATCCTAAAAGAACTCTGATCATTCTTCTTGCCAAGAAAATAACTGAAGTTCTGCTGAGAATACTGCCCGATAAGCACCTAAATTCTATCAATGACAGTGGAACACGCACCCCCTAATGATTGGCGATGTACTCTCTTTTAGTCCTGTTTTCTCAATCACATATAATGTAAAGATTCTATGAGCAGGAAAAGCAGCACCTATATGTAGCAAAGATGAGAGGGACCAAATTCCCTACATAATACAAGCAGAGATAATTGCACTGGGTTCTTTGCTCGTCACTATAATCAACCTAGGTTTGGAAGATGGTAACTTGGGCTTATTTCTCAATCAGAATGATTACCCCTGTCAAGGATACTTGTGTTTTCGTTGCTCCTTCACTCAATTTCATGAATCGCCATCCTAGACAGGAACCCCATTGACCAAATTCTGTAGTAAATGGACTATCACGAGCTGTGCACAACATTAACAAACACTTCTCCCATCCTCATAACTTGTCCCCAATAGTTACTTGCCACAATCAACAAGTATAATTACTCAATCGAGAATCTTTACTTCCCTAAAGTACTATCAAGACCACAGAATTTGGTTCCTCTTTCAACCAAACAGATCCTTTTAGCTAGATCATAAACTTATCACTTCCAACTGAATCAAGATCAATCGCTAATGAATCTCCCATATTCCCACAACTACCCTCAACACAAAAAGCACTCAAGATTATATTACCCGGGCTGCCTCCTCATCTTGAAAGTCTCGTTAGTGAATCCAATAGCGAACTGGCCCCTCGCACCAGCATTCTTCACATACATCTCGAAGTAATACACGAGCCGCTTGACTGGAGCCGGCTTGTTCGCCTGGACAGCTCCGACGTCGTGCCCGTGGAGATTGACATTGGTGTACTTCACCGAGAGCTTATCCGTCGACACCACCACGAACCCACCGGAGCTGTTAATCGTGTTGAGCTCCGTCGGGACATCTTCCCGCTCGTATTCCTCATCCGCCGCGCCCGTCACCCCCTCCGGCGGAGGCGAGCCCTGCCGCGCCAGAGCGAGGAAGTAAGAAGCGGGATCTTGTTGGTTGGTGGTGTTGCCATTGTTGCTGAGATTGCCGGCAGTGGCGGTCCTGTTAGTCGCGGCGCTCATTTTCTTCTGCTTCTTGCTATTGCGTCACAAGAACAGTTGTAGAGGATTTTCCGCTTCTTTGCTTCAATTGATTGCTTTCGTGGTGGAATTCAGAGCTTCGGATGGAAGGAAGAAATGACTGATGAAGTAATTGGGGGAAAGTGAAAGAAGAGAAAGGAAGAAAAACGAAGTTTCGGGGCCTTGTAAGAAACTGAACTCCAACAAACCGCAAACCAACTGCAATTGTTTCATTGGCGGGGTGGTACTTATAGTTTTGGATTATGGACAATTTGGTCCTGGCATTTTGCGGAATATTATGCATTATTATTAAAAGCATGGTCTATCTGATTCAGAATTGGAACGGATCGGTTCAGGACTGAATCGATAAATAAATGAAAGATGAGAATAAGGAAATGCTCTCGTCCTTTGTCGGAAGTACTCCTGCAAAACAATGCATTTTACTCTGTATGGAGTATATATCTCATTAATAGGAATTCAAAAATTTGTATTTCACAATGCATGATGTACTTGTATTAGACACAACTTGTCAGTAACAATTGAATTCATTTTTGAGATCTCCAATCTATTGATTGGGTTATCATCATGTGTAAGTCTAACTCATCGTTTTATGAGTTCTAGTCGCACTCTCTTGAGAGAATCATAACATTGGATATTGAGGTACTCGTTCCTCCCATCCCGTTCCACTGCAAGTCAAACGAACCCGAGTCCAAATGTCCAACCACTCTGAGTCTGATCCATCAGACAGATTCTCCAATAAAGCACCCGAGCTGGCTTATGTTGGGGTTGGATATGGAAAGTATCATGAGCCCAATCAGCAATGGGCCTGGTCTTCAAGCTTGTAAGTATACCTGGCAAATGAGAGCCCGACCCGTTGACCCGATCCGAACCTACCCGAAAAATAAAGAATGGGTTGAGGTTTTTATAACCCAAAACCGGAATGACTAATACTCACATAGTCACATTTCCAGACCAAGCAAGTGCGGCTTTGACATAATTGCACGGCTTACTGATGATGAAATATTCTGATTTGTGTTACCTGAATACTTAAAAGGAGAAATTTGAAGTTGGAACCAAAGCAACTGGTTTTGGCAGTAGCGAGAACAAGGTAAGCTCGATCAACCAGTACTTATAACTGCCGGTGAAGCGCGATAGAATTGAGTTCATTACAACACAGGAGGACTAGAACAAGAAAAGAACAACCAAATCGTATACCGGCATAAAAATTTCCTTTCATCAATTCATCTTCCCTGTGATCTGTAACAATATTGTCTCGTGGAGGCTCTCTGGAGATCAACTGTCGTCATCATCTATTATTATTATCTCCCTGTTGTCGTAAACCGGTATTACCCCACAAGTCTCCACAATGATTGGTACATCAGCATAACCACCTCCCTTGAGACTGACACGGCGCATGGCCTGAAAGACGAACTTAATAGTAGCATCATCTGTAACTGTGATCTCCAGACCTGCGGAAGAAGAATCCAGAGGTACTAAAACCTCCCTTATCCAGCTAACCTCAGAATCATACCATATTATTAGGTTACTTCCCCGGTCATCTTCTGAATCAAGGTTATTCCAATATATTGGAACTGACTCGCAAGAACTCGCAGTTATGACATCCCCCCTGCCAGTGCTAGACAAATTGTGACAGCCAACTCTGAATATAGCACTTGAGGAACTAAGGATAGGTTGATGGACAACTTCGGTATGGAATGAAGCACAATATATTAGTCCCTTCAACTGCCAAAGGCGACCAAGTGTGGCTGTCACCACTGAATTAAGCCCAGAAGGCCTCCATCCATCACGACTATTCCAACCTCTTGGAAGTAAGAGCCATCGATGATAATTTCTTTTCGTACGCGTACCCAAGGCATCTTGAGTGAACTGCAAAGGAATTTGATATGATCTCATGATATGCGAGCATCAAATAAAACTCAGAAGAGTGAATAGATCTAGTACCTTCTTGAAAAGCATGCTGCACACATCTGAATCCAGCTTTCCACAGTTTCCAAAATTCCATTTACACATCAAGAAGTTATGTTTACTCAAACCGCTAGTTGACATGGTTTGAAGTGCGGTGCAGCCACATGCTTCCAACTCTGTCAAGGATGAAGGAAGCTCCGGTAAGTGACTGAGTTGATTGCAACCAGACAACTCGAGGCTGTACAATTTGGATAGCTTGTGAATGGTGCCGCAGAGGTGTTTGAGACTTGTGCAATCATTGAGTGTCAGTTCTTCCAAGCATGCCAGATCTCCAATGGTGGCTGGCAGCTCTTGGATTGCTGTACGAGACAGCCTAAGCTCTTTCAGTTGTACCAGATTGGAAATGCTATCTGGAAGTCGTGATAGATTGGTGCACCCATCTAGATGAAGACGTGATAAAGCTTCCATGGGCACCAAGATTTCTGGAAGTTCCTTCAGCCGGATGCAGTTAGATAAATCGATCTCAACAAGAGCTTTCGACTGAAAAATTAGATCACATAAATGAACAAGCTCTTGATCATTGGCCGAAATTTCGCCACACCCCGTTAACTTCTCCAGCTCCTCCAACTTCTGGTTTTGAATTGATGTCCCCCTTAGGTTCAATCGTTCTAGTTTTGGAAAAATGGCAGCAGTAGCCCTATCATCGTTCTTGTTGACATCTGTGTAATATCCCAATGCATTCAACTCCAAGCTGGTACAGTCTCTTAAATTGAGGTCTTCCAGTTTGGGCAGATGCAAAATCGATAGAGGAAGCTCCACTAAGCCCACACAGAAACTAAGATCGATTGTTTCCAGTCTTTTAGCCGTAGATAGATCAGGCAACTTCTTCAAGTATTTGGATTTTCTTAGATCAAGTAACTTCAAATTTCTTAAATCCTGCATGTCGATGATAAGATAGGCTTAAATATTGAAAAGCAAACAAAGGGATAAAAGAGATATATCTCGCACAAAAACACAAAAAATTTATACGAACCACATTCTGCATGTCGTCCCAAAGTCGTTCTACATTGCTTGAAGGCAAAGACAATGTCGTAAGATTCTCCGGACAAAATTCATATGGTAAACATTTCATTGGGAATGAGACCCAATTAAGAATTACCAATGAATTCGGTAGACATCTCAAACCGTCTTTAGAAAGAACCAATTTTGTGTCAGATTGAAATATCAAAAGGTATCTAAGATTTTCCAACTTCACAAAAGCATCAGATTGCATGTGTATTGTTGCCTCTGTCCCTAACTCACCACTGGGTATATCCCAACGAATACCTCTGGTGACTTCACTTCCCTGTTCAGTGAAAGAAATAACAATGGAAAATTTACTCAACATTTAGCTCACTTATATGTAAATAATGAGATCATAATTACTCAACAGAGGTTTTGTGCCATCATTAGTTAAGCACTGAATTGGAATAGTGTTTACTCTGTCCACATACCTTGCCTTGTTTAAAGAAACTATATACGTCTTGAGCTTCAAACACCCATGAACGTTTTTCGAGTCGGAGCTCTTCATTGACAATGCTACGGCCCAAATCACTCAGCACCCCATGCATGCGCATGGCACCATGATCGAAAATTGTTAGTATAGATTTTTCAATAAATTTAGTAATAAGGTTTTCACTCCCACCATGTTCAACATAGTTTCCATCCAATAGTCTTTCCAACTCCTTGACAGAAACATGGGATCGACCATAAAGACATGCAATATCAAGGAATACATTTCCCTCTACAGGATCTAGTCCATCGTAAATCCTCCGAAAGACTCTCATCTTTATCACTTGATTTGGGTGACGCTCCAAGGCTTTCAACTCGATACGCCAAAAGTTTTTGTCCCTACGATACAAATGTGAGCCTAAAATATTGAGAGCTAAGGGGTTACCCTCCGCATAAGTGATAGCTCTCTTGGACCACTCCTCATACTCGATTGGAGGACAATGCTCTTTGAATGCACTGAGGCAGAATAACAGTAGAGCTTCATGGTGATCAAGAGCCGCCACTTCATAAACGTAACTACACACGTTCTTAAGCACTTGTTTGTTCCTGCTTGTCAGGATAATTATACTTCCCGGCGCAAATAAGTCACAATATCGTCCGTTAAACAAATTGTTCAAGTGTCTGATGTCTCCAACTTCATCGCCCACATCATCGATGACAACCAAAGCCCTCGTACGGCCAAGCCGATAGTCTTTCAAATCCGGAGATATTCTCCCCGCATTCTCATCACCCAACAATCTAGAGAAGAAATCATTCTGCAAGCCATCACGCAAATGCGATGAAGCACTTAATTGGTCTGAGAAGTCACTCCAGAAATAAAAATCATCGAATTGACTGAAAAATCTATTATAGAAAGCCTTCGCAAGAGTTGTCTTCCCGATGCCACCGGTCCCCCACAGTCCTATAGTCAAATTTTCACTCCCACTAGTTACCCACTGTTCGATGTCATTCATCCTCCTCTCTATTCCCACCAAACCCACATTGGAATATGAAGCCGGTACCATTTGAGCGGATAGAGCTTGTAGCACAGCTCTATAAATTTCCTCAATTAGTTTTGATTCAGGTCTGGGAAAAGAAATAGCTATTTAGCAAAACAAAGTATGTAGTTCTATTTCTATCGAATTGGATATTGCACTACGAAAAAAGTTATGTACAAATACGTACATACGGGTATTTTATTTTGCAAATTTAAAAGTATTTAAAGAGTCACAAATATATAAATTTTATTATTTTAAAAATACATAAATAATAGTAAACTTAGCAAATTTATTAGATACGGATATTAATCATGTTATACGAGTTCTATACGTGTTTAATACTAGAGTCATCAAATGAACCGAAATAAATGAAACGGCTTGACAATAATACAAATACAAAAATTTTAAACGGATAAAATGTGTACGGGTACATATCCGTGTATTAAACGAAGTATTTACTGATTGTGGGTCAGAGAAAAGAAATAGTTATTCAGCAAAACGAACATTTTATCGAATTAGATACTGCTACGAAAGAAACGAGAAAAAATAACGCAAAGCGTACCTGGTAACTCGTGAATCGAAGCCCGAAATGGCGGCTGCGTTACTCAACGCAGCTTTCCAACTCCGAATTTTGCCAACCGTCTCCCCCTTGGGGAGCTTCCGGAAGCTTCCAGTTTGATTTTCGACATGAGAAGGATCCACGCCCCCGTAGAACACCGGAACTACCCGCCGTCCATAGCGTTGAACGCAGTCAAAGATCCTCACGAGCTCGTCCAGGCACCACGGTGAATCGGCATAATTGGGGGAGAAAATCACGATGTAGCACGCGGATCTCTCGATCGCATCCAACAGCGACGGAGTGATCTCCTCTCCTCTTTCCAGATCTGAATCGTCTTCGTAGACAGCGAATTTCTTCTGGTGTTTGAGGAAGGAGTTGAGGTGGCTCCGGAAGCCGTCGCGAACGTCCTTTCCTCTGAAGCTGATGAAGACGTCGTGCTTCGCAGGCAGAACAAGCGACGAAGAAGAAGGAGTGGAGGAAGGAGAAGGAGGAACTATGTCCCGCGACGACGACGGCCACGGCGGGTAGAACAGATTGGGGCGAATGAATCTGGGGAGGAAGCGCAGGAAGAGGTTGGAGGGATGGAAAAGAGTAGTACCACGGGTGATGATTTCACTAACGAGTGTTGTCTGCCGCTTGGCAGGTCGGCTCAGAACGAGTTCATCCCCGTCTTCGTCGCGATCGCGTCTACCGCCGTCGATCTTCATTTTCAGATCTGCTGTTGCCGGGAAGTAGAAATGTGAAAGAAAAGTCAACCAAGGAGTTGTGTAGTAGATGAAGGCTTTTGGACGAAGAAGACCGTGTTTGGTTTGAAGGTTCAAAGTAGTGGGGATGGAGCAAGACTGCAAGAGCCAAGAAGGTGCTGCGATATTTGTTTGTTAATCACAAATTCACATCATCCAATGACGGACCATGAAAACTACATCTTCCAATGAACACAATGTTCTGCAGGCTATTTGTCGTACCAATAATTCACAACTAGATTTTCATGATTATTGAAAGTTGACACGAAGACTTGCTATTCCACATTGAGTATATCTACAAGCCAATGCCACGTCCTCAAAAATCAAAATAAGGCCGAGTTGAAAGATGATCTTCGCACCAGTACATATATTACTTCCACGGAAGACGTTGTCATCTGCATTCAAGTTCTCACGTCAAACAAAACAAAAATAATCAACCTGGTTGTTTTAAGCGTGCTTATCAACCTGATTTAGCTCGATGGTCTGCTTGAGTAAATGAGTTGAGAGGTAATAAACCGATTGTTTTAGGTATGTATGTAGATGGTAATTTCAATGGAATTTTCATATCACTATTTCATGTCACTGTCCTTTTCTGCTTTCCCCCAAATTGGATTTGATAAAGAGTTGGTGGGGGTAGTTGGAGACCACAACATGAAGAGACGACTCCTCGTCAACGATAATTATTAATATTATTAAATCGTAAGTAAACCATAAATATATTCACTGTTCCTTACGATTTTATCTCCCTTATCACTATTCATTGGAGGAACTTAATTATATGATACAGCCGGTTTCATTGTTATAATGTCATATATTGCCCACCTTTGGAAAGGCATGGAGGCTGGCCGAGCTACTCTATTTGTTTCCTTTTATATGGAGGGCATGACTAGTTAAAATTATTCGTATATGCTTTGAAGGCTAATATATATATATATATATATATATGTAATTGTTTATGGGCTAATAAATAAATTAACCATTAGTTACAACAATTAGTATAATAAAGCCGCAACATACTTAAGGGGTCCAGTAGGCTGTGGTCGGGTGTACCGTAAGTCTTCTACGACCCTTTTCCCCACCGTTTCTTACTTTAGTCTCCCCGCGTAGACTGACTGGCGGCTACGCAAGTTGTTTCGCTTCCCGGCGGAATCAAGTGATATTAAGCAGAGAAGGGTTGAAGTTCTACTCTCTCGGATCTGGAAGAAGCAAGCAGAGAAAGCCAGACACCAAGATCTAAGAAGCAATTCATTTCGATTTTCATCCCCTTTACCCCATTCCTTCTGCCCCTCCGTCGATCCCATTGAAGCGTCGACGTCCTGTTCTCCCCACCTCGAAGCGCCGGCATCTCATTCTCCCCCCTCTGCCCCGGCGTTCCGTAGATGGATTATTCGATAATGGCAATTGTTTGACAATCGCAGCAGTACCTCCAGCGCAACGAAGCGGCAAGATTCCTAGGGCTCAATATGGATTTTGTCGATCCCTTGGAGCCGGTGAATCGAAGCGTCATCGTTCCATTCTACCCACTCCTTCTGCCGCTCCGTGCCTCGTTACTTTGACGCAACAGTTTTGGCAACAATCATCGAATATATCATAGAATCAGCGAGGCAGGGGAAGAGAAGGGGAATTTCAAGGTTTCAGTTTCACGGCCATCGCCGATTCCAATCGATCCCTCAATCTCATCGATGTAAGTAACTGTTCAGTGGGTTGCATGTTCAATTAATTGACTGTGGTCGTTGAATAATGAATTCTCCAGCTGCTTCATAGTCCCTTCCCCAAACGGTACCAACGCCTTTCAATTCACATTGTGGATAATATAATTGACGAACTATGGGCACTCTGTTTTCCTGCTGATGGGATTGCGTTATCATAAAAAGAGGGCAAGTAATTAGAAGAAGAGAGCAATTGGAAGAAGCCACCACAAGTTGGTCGACATGAAGATGAAGAGGAGAGGGACCAGGAGCAACCGATCAATACCAGGAGCAGCTCTTCTCTCTTGAATTCATTTAGAACTCTTGATGCTGACCAAATTTAGAAAGCCAATCAGGTACAAAAGTTGGGAGGTGGGGGTGGTCCAAGTTATGGATTCAATCTCAATAAAAGAGATAAGGGTAAGCTACTAATTTTTTGAAGGTAGGGAGACTTAGAAGTGATTAAAAGAGAACTGCATGGGAGTAGAGTTGCAATCTGCAATTGTAGATTAAAAGTATCAAAGGAAGCAGAACAATGACAACACTGAGAACAACAATGGAAAAGAGAAAAGGTTATGGAGCTAATAGAGTGACATTTGTTGCCATCAATTATTCATCTTCTCCACGTGTAGTGGGATGTCATTGGTCTTGGTGAATAATGCAAGAGAAGGGAAGGGAACTTATGGAGTTATGTCATCATAAAGAGGATTTGTGGATTAAGATTAAGAAAATAATAGGTTCACTTTTAGACAAAAGTTGTAGAATGGCACATGCTATCTAAAATTTAGGTAATAGTTAGTCTTCTATTCAAAAAACGTCAAGGCGAAGTTAGGAAAACTATAAACACTTTAAGTAATTATCATGTAAATATGTATTTTGAGTTTTACTTAAGAAGAACTATCATAGTTTAACATTTGTGTAACATATTTATGAACTAAGCTTTTAATAATAGTTTATTCATTCCAACACATTCGAATTTGAAAGGTATTAGAGAAGTGGAAGAAAAAAAACACATGACGGCCAACTTTTTTTAATTCAGCATTGTAGATTGTATGTACAATCATAATTGCAATCGAATATTAAACAAATACCACCAAAACGAAATAGGTTTATTCATTCTATAACTCAAACTTCATTTTCCTATATATCACATATGTATTACATCCAATCAAATTATTGCATAGTTCATTATATTCAATGATTTAGACCATAAGTATAAAAGGTTCATTTACAAAACTAATATCACAACATATAAAAATCTCAAAAATAAAAATGTACAAGATCCCGAAGCAACGCTCGGGCCAATTATTTAGTTAATATATAAATAGCGCCTGTTTTGTATTAGGGGTCCAGTGGAAAGTGGGTGGGTCTACCGTAAGCATCATGCAGACCAGGCGGATCGTCGTTCATAAATTATAAGTTTTGATCTCCACCGTTGATTCAAGTCCTTCCTCCTTCTCCACATGTCCCTTGCCCTTCTCCTCGCCTCCCCGCATTTATCCGATCCCCCACGGCGATCGGGTGGCGGCTAGACAAGTGGACGATTGTTCGTCGTCTTCAATAGTTCAATTGACTCAAAGAAGAAAGGGAAATAGCTTGAATTTTGAGGGATCGGAAATTGCAATCCGGCCAATCCCTTCGATAGGCCAAGACTGTTACGGTTAGTACCGTTGCTTTGGAAGCTGGGATTCTGCTCGCCGGCGCCGATAACGGATAGTGTGCGAGGAAAGGGTTAAAGTGGAGAAAGTTGAACTTGGTGAGTCGTCGATTTGCTTCATCTACGCAGGCAAGGGTTTCGATTTGAGTTTCAATGACGACAACAGAAGGCTTCCATCGCACTGCCTAAGCATCTCGATGTCCGTTAATCCGTCGGTTCCTCTTACGCTCCACCTCAGTAAGCCGATACGGTGTCCAATTCCGAAACCCTTCAATTTTGTGGGGGCTAATACTTTTCCTTTCTTTTACATCGCTTCAAAGCTAGCGGCTACTCCCATCTTTATGATTTCCTTCTTCAATGGGCACTCTTCTCTATCCACCATCCTTCCGGATGCCTTTGATGGATCGCACATTGATTCCAGTTCAAATTTGGGGATTTTTGGGAGATGGGTTTTGTTTGATTTCGTTGATAAAAGTGAAAATTTATTGTGGCAGATTTCGACTTGGTTTGTTGATGATTAGGTTCGAGATGGTTGCGGATTGGAATGTATAAACACTATGCTACTGCATTTTGCTTTCAACAATGAAGATGGATTATGTATGATCAATCTTCTCAATTCCAAATTTCAGTTATAGTTCGACACTCGCTGCTCACTACCTTTTTAGCTTTGGTTTGCTATTTCAGTTTTGCATTGCTCTCAACGAAATGCAAACTCAACAGCTTGAAAGTAGCAGCTTGATTCATTCTGGGTGAGCTAGAGAGGCAGAGGTAAATAAGAAGGATCATGTCTGTCACTTGACGCAGAAGACTCTGATTCGCTTCATATTAGAGGGGCCGGATCATCGATTGGAAAACACAATGTTCGTGGCATTACTCTCAATGATATGCAGACTCGACAACTTGAATTTATTAGCAGCTTGATTCATTCTGAGGGTGATCTACAGAGGGAGGTAACAATGATCATGTCACTTAAAATTCTAATTTCTTGATGCCTTCTCACTTAACTAGAAATAACTACTACCATGAATTAGCTTTGCTTGCATACAAATTCCTGGTAATTGATTGCAATTCATCAATCTTAGAATTTGAGCAGCGTCTTGGAATTGAACTAATAAGTTTTCTCGCCAGTCCCAAGTTCTTTAAGCTCTGGGTTTCGACATAGGGATCAATTGATAATGAGAATGTAGTGAGTAGTTAGAGTTTAATTGGTACACTATTGTTGGAAAGCATTCCTGCATGGTTGGGATGACAATGCAGTATGCTGCATAAATTACTCAGCAGTAGTCTTAGGATGAAAGAGACGATTGAGGTTATGGTGAAGTCTGGTCTTTTATCCAGTTAAATTTGGGAAAGGAAAAATGTGAAAATTATATAGCTACTGCTTCATTTTCCTATACATGCCATCAAATATGTAGAATTCAGTTGGACTAAGAGAAATTACTTAAGAAGGCTTGCGTTATTACTTCCATTGGTAGCCTAGGTTGACCACATCCAGATTGCAATCTAACATGGCTTTTGAAGAAGAGTAGCCTCTGCTGCACAATTTTTATGGGATAGTTATGATACAGTTGCAAAACAATATTTGGACCTGCATTCTAAAAAGTTATTGGATGGCTTTATTTGCAGCAAGGGGTAATGGGAAGAGAACAGAATGCTTCAATTGAAATATTATGATTGATTTTGTCATCATAGTACAATCATCAGTGTATTTTTGCATTGCTCGCAAAGTATACATCTTTTGTTTCTCTCCATGTAGGCTACTTTTAGAAGATAAATCATAAGCATAAGTGATTAGTGATTAATTGTGTCTCCGCAAGCTAGAAGTCGACAGTGGTTTGGGAATGGAACTGGAATTGAAGTGTTGAGTCTTGGGGGGTGTGGATGTGCTTGCGAAATGTGTGAAGGTGGGTGTGATTGAGCACATCAGGATACTGTCAGCATCACTTCGACTGCAGCCTGCAAAAACTAAGCCACACGCCATGTGTCCGTCGCAAACAATATGATTTCCTAGCTCCAGTGGGTTGCTGAATTGCAGTTTTTTTTTTTTTAAATGAGCGAAGACAGAAGTAGATTGCTGAATCAAATGGCCGGGCTTCGTCCTAATTCCTAACTGAAGGAAACATGCTGACAATGCAGGAGTTCCAAATGCGATACCATGATAATCGAGTCATTTGTGATTATGGCTTAACTGGTGATGGAAACTTGGGAATTAAGTGGAAGGTGTGTGGAAGAACATACTTTGAATACAGGGATGCTCATTTTCTTAGAAACATGCAGAAAATGGAGGATTTCCACCGGCGATACCATGAGGAAACTGGGATCACTTTTTATTATTATTATTACTATTATTATAGAGGACGTTTGCCTCACTCTTATGATCTTAATTTATTCATACTTTCATTTCCTAGCTTCACTTCTTTTGGCAGTAGAGGACACCATACCAGTAAATCAAGAATTAAGAAAAACAAAGCCACAGTTCCATAAAATGCCAAGATGATATAACCTTTATAATCTTTTGGACATGTAGGTGCTTATGTATTTGTTATTTCACTTTCACTAATTTTATAATTTAGAATATTGGATTGAATAGGTCTACGGAGTATGGGTGGCTATACGGTCCGGTTAAATTGGCCCAAATTGATCTGGTCCAGTCCGGTTTTTTTGAAAATATAAGGACCGAAGATTGGATTGGATACAGTCCGGTTTTGATCCGGTCCGGTCTTGACCCGGTCCGGTCCCAATTCGGTCTTGATTTTATATTGAGATTGTGGGAATTTGAGTGGCCTAAGGCCTAAAAGGGTGAGGAGTTGGTTAAGTTTAGTACTAAGTGCAATGGTTTGTGACCGTTTATGCAAATTACCCTTAAGTTTTGGGTGTTGAGCTCTCTTATCCGGTCTTTATCCGGTTTTTTACCTCAAATCTAAGCCCAAAGATTGGATTGGATTGTTTACTATCCGGTTCCGGTCCGGTCTCGGTTCGGGTTATACGGTCCGGTTTCCGGTTTTTCATCCGGTCCCGGTCCAAATAGCCAGCCCTACTACGGAGTATGCGAGACAACTTTCATTGTGCTATGAATTCACAAAATATTAGAAACTATTATACTGTCTTCTGAGTGTGCCATATTTCTTCAATTTTTATGCGCCAACTCCGAGTAACAGCCTACTACATTCAACGCATTATGAATAAGGATTCACGAAAATTTGCTACCTCAATGTTGTAAAAAAATTGTGATTTGGCTCAAATAAGGTACCCGATATGGGTGTGTGGTTAAACAAAAAAAACCATGTGCATTTTCATCACAAAAGGATACCGTCGCGGAGCGCGGGCCATTTATCTAGTTTATACTAAACTTGATAAGTAATCTTTGACGGTTCGTTGTTTAGGATGTAGAGTATATGGTTAGGGTATAGGGTATAAGGTACATATGGCTTAGGGTGTATATGGTTAGGGTATAAGATATTGATGGTTTTGACGGTTCCAAGTTTTTTATTAACATATGTTCACTTGAAGTCATTTGAATTATTTAACGGCAGGAAATCCCTTTTTAATTTATGTTTATGGGACGTGGTTAGGATACAAGGTATGTGGTGTAAAGTATAGGATATATGGTTAGGGTATAACAATTAGCAAATATCACTTTTTATCTATGTTTTGAAAATCAAAGTATGAATTTCACTTTTAAATTAACTATACTAGCAAAATCACAACTCAAAGACATATGGTTAGGGTATAGGGTATAGGTTATGTGGTTAGTGTATAATGTATTGATGGTTTAGGGTATACAATCAACAATATATACTAACTTAATATTGTTGATTGAGGGTAAGGCTAAGTGTATAGGATATATGCTATTGAGTAAGTTATGATTGAAGTCAAAATAATTTTACTAAATTTGATAGTTAATCTTTAATGGTTCAATTTTTAGGATAATTCAAACAATTTTACAAATAACTCGTTTGGCAACAGTTTACTGAAGTTATTTGGGCAATCAGTTATTTCGAAATAACTCCTTTTATCACTATGCTTTTGCCAAATAGCACACCCCAAATACCAGATTTGCATGGTTATATTAAACGAGATACTTTAATCCAATGACTACTGAATTAATACTAAAATATCAAATAAACAATTAATGGTGTCTTTTGGTTGCAAATATTGATATCACCATTACTATTAGCTATAATACTTTACCAATTATGATTAATTACATAACAAGTTTGCAAGTCATACAAATTGATTTAACATTTTGACTAGTTTTTTTTTAAATAAAGTATATATATACGAGGTAGAAATAAATTGGTTAAAAAGTTGAGAAAATATTTTAAATTAGTGTAATAAAATGTGTAAGTTGATAATGAGTAATGAGTTAAGTTACTTGATGCGCTGGCCCGAACAACCCGAAACCGGATCCGCCCGCAACCCGTCCGACCCAAAACCCGATGAACCCGCAACCCGATTTGCCCGCAACCCGATTGAATCCGAACCCGATGAACCCGCAACCCGACGAACCCGCAACCCGTTTGAACCCGAACCCTATGAACCCGATGAACCCGCAACCCGAATAACCCGCAACCCGTTTAAACCCAAACCCGATTGAACCCAGCCCGATCCCGCCCGATTGACACCTATACTCACATTTCCGGACCAAGCAAGTGCGGTTTTGACTAGGGGTGTACATGGGTCGGGTGGTTCGGGTTTAACCATTTTAATCACCCGACCCATGCACTACGGTTTGAGAATTATCAAACCCAAACTCACCCAAAAAAATTTAAACCCTACGGTTTGTTTCTAATTCGGTTGGGTCGGGTTGGCGATATTTTTAAGTAAAAAATCAACCCAACGTAAAATATATAATTATTATACATTATAAATATATTTTATAACTAATTAAATTTCACACGAATAAACCGAGGTGAAAGGTATCAAAATTCAAAAATGTTGTTTTAATTTTAATAAAATGTGATTTACTTCAACATATGTCTAGTTTTTTTCACGATATTTGTTGAAATAGGCTAAAAAGGTTATAAACAAACCCATCCATAATATGTTATTCTATTAAAATTGTACACAAGAAAAAAGGATTACGTGAATCATAACTATATTCAATTTATATCTAAACTTTAAGTCGAAGAATGCATTAGATTAGGGAGACCATGATACAAAATCATGGTGAAATATCTTAATTTTTTCATAAGTATTGTTATATACGACATAAATATTTTTTAGATACGAACTTATACTAATAGTTGGAACACGGGTTGGGTCGGGTTCTACGGGTTGTGTAATCCAAAATCCAAACCCAACCCAAAAGAAGCGGGTTGTACAAAAGAAAACCCTCACTCAACCCAAAATCTTCGTTTTAGCGATAAATACGGATGGGTTGGGTCGGGTTGGACGGGTGGATCGGTTTGCGGGTGTGTTTGTTCACCCCTAGTTTTGACATTATTGCACGGCTTACTGATGATGAAATATTCTGATTTGTGTTACCCTGTACTACTTAAAAGGAGAAATTTGAAGTTGGAACCAAAACTGGTTTTGGCAGTAGCGAGAACAAGGTAAGCTCGATCAACCAGTACTTATAACTGTCGATGAAGCGCGATAGAATTGAGTTCATTATTAACACAGGAAGACTAGAACAAGAAAAGAACAACCAATCGTATGCCGGCATAAAAATTTCCTTTCATCAATTCAGCTGCCCTGTGATCTGTAACAATATTGTCTCGAGGAGGCTCTCTGGAGATCAACTGTCGTCATCATCTATTATTATCTCCCTGTTGTCGTAAACCGGTATTACCCCACAAGTCTCCACAATGATTGGTATTTCAACAGAACCACCTCCCTTGCCACTGGCTCTGCGCATGGCCTGAAAGACGAACTTAATGGTAGCATCATCTGTAACTGTGATCTCCAGACCTGCGGAAGAAGAATCCAGAGGTACGAAAACCTCCCTCATCCAGTTAAGCTCAGAATCATACCATATTAATAGGTTACTTCCCCGGTCATCTGAATCAAGGTTTTTACAATATATTGGAACTCCCACGCAAGAACTCGCAGTTATGACATTCCCTGATAGAAACCAACTTTCGTTCGGTTTCTATAATTATTATTATATTAGGGTAATTAGTCTTTTAGTCGTATTAGGTTATTTGTTAGGGTTTTCTGGTTCTTTTCCTATATATATGTACGTTGTTATTCATCTATTCAATCAATAAGAAGAATATTAAGCAAATCTCCTAAACCCTAGTCTTCTCTAATCCTCTCCAATTCTCTTCTATCCCTATTCTGGCCACCGGCTTTCTGTTCTTGTTCTTCCCCAATTCTATTCCTGATCCCCAAATTCTCTTCTAAATCCCTAAATCTCCATCAATTCCCAAATTCTCAACCCTATCGATAGAACCCTAGAAATAGGTTTCTATCATTTGGTATCAGAGCCCGGTTGCGAATACGAGTTCATCATAACTCTTAACCGGGAACTAGTTCTACGTTTCTGATTCAACTGAATCTCCATCCATCCTCCGATCCATCTTAGCCCCCACCACCTCATACCTCCATAACCCTTCTCCTTACCAACACCGCCACCTAACTTCTCCACTTTGGTGCTCGTGTGCACAAGGAATTGATATTCCTTATTATTTTGCTCACCAGAAAGAAATCGTTTGGGGAATAGCTTCCCTCAAGCAAAGCCCTCCGCAGCAACGTCATCCCTAGCAAGTTTTTGCAGCCCACTGCAACCACCTTCAATGACAACCAACTCTCTCGACGCCCTTCCCGCAGCAATGGCGGCAGTTGAGGCCACCCTCACTCAAGCCATCTCTCACCAGTTCGCGGAACTCCGTGCGATGATCGCCGACCTGGCCCAGTCCACCACCGCCAAATACAACACCCTTGAGCAGAGGGTTCAAGCACTCGAGCGACTTCCGGTGTCGGTTGCGGCTGCCACAATGAAAGAAGTGGCAATCACCGCACCAGCTAAGCAGATCGAGTTGCCCCCACCACCACCAATGGCAGACAAGGAGACGCCAAAGGTTGCCTTCCCGGATGACTCCACTGCGCCGCTAGCCAAATCTATGACTTCATGGCTTGGCGGGAAACCCCTCGGTATCGGCTTTCCATTAGTCGGTCGTCTCTTGGGGAATCATACCAATCCCGACGTCGACGACGACTTCGACGATCAAGGAAGCAACGACTCCTACATTACGCAGGGGAGGAAGTTTGCAGGCAACAGTTTTTCAGCCGACTCCAACGCAAGGCATCGAGATGTAGGGGGTTCGAAGCTCGTGAACTACAAGGTCCATAATTTCGGACCGATCGATTATGGGCCACTTCGGAGCAAGCAGTATGGGAAGCAGTATGGTTCGATCGATTATGGCTCTAGCCCTTTGAGCAAAGGTTCCCAACCAAACCAACAATTGTTCGATCCAATGGACCGACATGAGTCGGATCACTATTCAACAAGGCGAACCAAACAAGCTAATTATCGTGTCTACCATGGCCGCGCGACGGCATTTTTAAAGCCAGGACAGGTGTATCGCGTGGAACAAAGCTGGAACGATTCATATGAAGATGAACGGGAGTTTGATGATGACGGGTACTGGCCTCCGCCAAGGCACTCCGACGATCTCCACCCTCCATCAATCAAGACAGCTTCACGACGATTCAGCCATGATGACGGGAGCGGGTTCATCGGCCGCTCGAGTTATAGAGACAAAGACGGGCCTAACTATCATACTCCTTTGGGCTCCATATATCGATAGGATTAGTAACATTATTTTATTTGGCAACCTTGAGGGCAAGGTTGGGCTCAAGGGGGAGGGGATGATAGAAACCAACTTTCGTTCGGTTTCTATAATTATTATTATATTAGGGTAATTAGTCTTTTAGTCGTATTAGGTTATTTGTTAGGGTTTTCTGGTTCTTTTCCTATATATATGTACGTTGTTATTCATCTATTCAATCAATAAGAAGAATATTAAGCAAATCTCCTAAACCCTAGTCTTCTCTAATCCTCTCCAATTCTCTTCTATCCCTATTCTGGCCACCGGCTTTCTGTTCTTGTTCTTCCCCAATTCTATTCCTAATCCCCAAATTCTCTTCTAAATCCCTAAATCTCCATCAATTCCCAAATTCTCAACCCTATCGATAGAACCCTAGAAATAGGTTTCTATCATTCCCCCGCCAGTGCTAGACAAATTGTGACAGTCAACTCTGAATGTAGCAAATGGGGCAAATTTGCTATGGAATGAAGCACAATATATTAGTCCCTTCAACTGCCAAAGGCGACCAAGTGTGGCTGTCACCACTGAATTAAGCCCAGAAGGCCTCCATCCATCAGGACTATTCCAAAATCTTGGAAGTAAGAGCCATCGACGATAATTCCTTTTCGTACGCGTGCCTAATGCATCTTGAGTGAACTGCAAAGGAATTTGATATGATCTCATGATATGCGAGCATCAAATAAAATTCAAAAGAGTGAATAGATGTAGTACCTTCTTGAAAAGCATGTTGCACACCTCTGAATCCAGCTTCCCACAGTTTCCAAAATTCCATTCACACATCAAGAAGTTATGTTTACTCAAGCCGCTAGTTGACATGGTTTGAAGTGCGGTGCAGCCATATGCTTCCAACCATGTCAAGGATGAAGGGAGCTCCGGTAAGTGACTGAGTTGATTGCAACCAGACAACTCGAGGCGGTACAATTTGGATAGCTTGTGAATGGTGCCGCAGAGGTGTTTGAGACTTGTGCAATAATTGAGTCTCAGTTCTTCCAAGCATGCCAGATCTCCAATGGTGGCTGGCAGCTCTTGGATTGCTGTACGAGGCAGACTAAGCTCTTTCAGTTGTACCAGATTGGAAATGCTATCTGGAAGTCGTGATAGATTGGTGCACGTATCTAGACGAAGACGTGATAAATCTTCCATGGGCACCAAGATTTCTGGAAGTTCCTTCAGCCGGATGCAGTGAGATAAATCGATCTCAACAAGAGCTTTCGACTGAAAAATTAGATCACATAAATGAACAAGCTCTTGATCATTGGCCGAAATTTCATCACACCCCGTTAACTTCTCCAGCTCCAACTTCTGGTTTTGAATTGATGTCCCGGCTAGGTTCAATAGATTTAGTTTTGGAAAAATGGCAGCAGTAGCCCTATCATCGTTCTTGTTGACATCTGTGTAATATCCATATGCATTCAACTCCAAGCTGGTACAGTCTTTTAAATGGAGGTCTTCCAGTTTGGGCAGATGCAAAATCGATAGAGGAAGCTCCACTAAGCCTACACAGAAACTAAGAATGATTCTTTCCAATCTTTTAGCCGTAGAGAGATCAGGCAACTTCTTCAAGTATTTGGAATTGTTTAGATCAAGCAACTTCAAATTTCTTAAATCCTGCATGTTGATAATAAGATAGGCTTAAATATTGAAAAGCAAACAAATGGATAAAAGAGATATATCTCACACAAAAACACAAAAAATTTATACGAACCACATTCTGCATGTCGTCCCAAAGTCGTTCTACGTTGCTTGAAGGCAAAAACAGTGTCGTTAGATTCTCCGGACAAAATTCATATGGTAAACATCTCATTGGGAATGAGTTCCACCTAAGAATTACCAATGAATTCGGTAGGCATCTCAAACCATCTTTAGAAAGAACCAATTTTGTGTCAGATTGACGTATCACAAGGTATCTAAGATTTTCCAACTTCACAAAAGCATCAGATTGCATGTGTATTGCCTCTACCCCCGACTCACCACGGGATTTATCCCAACGAATGCCTCGGGTGACTTTACTTCCCTGTTTAGTGGAACAAAATAACAAGGAAAAAATTACTCAACATTTAGCTCACTTATATGTAAATAATGAGATCATAATTACTCAACAGAGGTTTTGTGCCATCATTAGTTTAGCACTGAATTGGAATAGTGTTAACTCTGTCCACATACCTTGCCTTGTTTAAAGAAACTATATACGTCTTGAGCTTCAAACACCCATGAACGTTTTTCGAGTCGGAGCTCTTCATTGACAATGCTACGGCCCAAATCACTCAGCACCCCATGCATGCGCATGCCACCATGATCGGAAATTGTTAGTATAGATTTTTCAATAAATTTAATAATAAGGTTTTCACTCCCACCATGTTCAACATAGTTTCCATCCAATAGTCTTTTCAACTCGTTGACATGTACCTCGGATCGACCATAAAGACATGCAATATCAAGGAATACATTTCTCTCTACTCGATCTAGTCCATCATAACTCCTCCGAAAGACTCTCGTCTTTATCACTTGATTTGGGTGACGCTCCAAGGCTTTCAACTCGACACCCCAAAAGTTTTTGTCCCTACGATACAAATGTGAGCCTAAAATAGTGAGAGCTAAGGGGTTACCCTCCGCATAAGTGATAGCTCTCTTGGACCACTTCTCATACTCAATTGGAGGATGATGCTCTTTGAATGCATGAAAGCAGAATAGCTGAAGAGCTTCATGTTTATCAAGAGCCGCCACTTCATAAACATGATGACACACATTCGTAAGAAGTTGTTTATTCCTGCTTGTCAGGATAATTACACTTCCTGGTGCAAATAAGTCACAATATCGTCTGTAAAACAAATCGTTCAAGTGCCTGATGTCCTCAACATCATCGCCCACATCATCGATGACAACCAAAGCCCTCGTATGGCCAAGCCGATAGTCTTTGAAATTCCGAGATATTCTCTCCGCATTCTCATCACCCAACAAAGCAGAGAATAAATCATTTTGCAAGCCATCCGGCAACTGCGATGAACCACTTAACTTGTCGGAAAAATTACTCAAGAGATACGAGCGTTCGAATTGACTAGAGAACCTATGGTAGAATGCCATTGCAAGAGTCGTCTTCCCGATGCCACCCGTCCCCCACAGTCCTATAGTCAAATTTTTACTCCCACTAGTTACCAACTGTTGGAACGTATTCATCCTCCTCTCTATTCCCACCAAACCCACGTTGGAATATGAAGCCGGTACCATTTGAGCGGATAGAGCTTGTAGCACAGCTCTATAAATTTCCTCAATTAGTTTTGATTCAGGTCTGGGAAAAGAAATAGCTGTTTAGCAAAACAAATTAAGTAGTTCTATTTCTATCGAATTGGATACTGCGCTACGAGAAAAGTTACGTACAAATATGTACATACGGGTATTTTACTTTGCAAATTTAATAGTATGTAAAGAGTCACAAATATATAAATTTAATTATTTTAAAAATATATAAATAATAGTAAACTTAGCAAATTTATTAGATACGGATATTGAACATGTTATACTAGTTCTATACGTGTTTAATAATGGAGTCATCAAATGAACCGAAATAAATGAAACGGCTTGACAACAATATTAAACGAAATATTTACTGATTGTGGGTTAGAGAAAACTGAAAAGAAATAATTATTCAGCAAAACGAATCAAGTAGTTCTATTTCTATCGAATCGGATACTGCGCTATGAAAGAAACGAGAAAAAATTACGCAAAAGCGTACCTGGTAACTCGTGAATCGAATCCCGAAATGGCGGCTGCGTTACTCAACGCAGCTTTCCAACTCCGAATTTTGCCATCCGCCTCCCCCTTCGGAAGCTTCCGGTAGCTTCCAGTTTGATTTTCGACATGAGAAGGATCCACGCCCCCGTAGAACACCGGAACTACCCGCCGTCCGTAGCGTTGAACGCAGTCAAAGATCCTCACGAGCTCGTCCAGGCACCACGGTGAATCGGCATAATTGGGGGAGAAAATCACGATGTAGCACGCGGATCTCTCGATCGCCTCCAACAGCGACGGCGAGATCTCTTCTCCTCTTTCCAGATCTGAATCATCTTCGTAGACAGCGAATTTCTTCTGGTGTTTGAGGAAGGAGTTGAGGTGGCTCCGGAAGCCGTCGCGAACGTCCTTTCCTCTGAAGCTGATGAAGACGTCGTGCTTCGGAGGCAGAACAATCGACGAAGAAGGTGTGGAGGAAGGAGAAGGAGGAACTATGTCCCGCGACGACGACGGCCACGGTGGGTAGAACAGATGGGGGCGAATGAATCTGGGGAGGAAGCGCAGGAAGAGGTTGGAAGGATGGAAAAGAGTAGTACCACGGGTGATGATTTCACTAACGAGTGTTGTCTGCCGCTCGGCAGGTCGGGTCAGGACGAGTTCATCGCCGTCTTCGTCGCAATCGTGTCCAACGCCGTCGATCTTCATTTTGCCGGGAAGTAGAAATGTGAAAGAAAAAGTCAACCAAGGAGTAGTGTAGTAGATGAAGGCTTTTGGACGAAGAAGACCGTGTTTGGTTTGAAGGTTCAAAGTAGTGGGGATGGAGCAAGACTGCAAGAGCCAAGAAGGTGCTGCGATATTTGTTTGTTAATCACAAATTCACATCATCGATGACGACGGACCACGAAATCAACATCTTCCCAATCAAACAATGTTTTTGCAGGCTATTTGTTGTACCAATAATTCATAACTAGATTTTCATGATTATTGAAAGTTGACACGACCACTTGCTATTTCACATTGAGTGTATCTACAAGCCAATGCCAAGTCCTCAAAATAGGCCCAGTTGAAAGATGATATTCGCACCAGTACATATGTTACTTCCACGGAAGATGTTGTCACCTGCATTCAAGTTCTCACGTCAAACAAAACAAAAATAATCAACCTGGTTGTTTTAAGCGTGGTTATCAACCTGATTTAGCTCGTTGGTCCGATTGAGTAAATGAGTTGAGAGGTAATAAACCGATTGTTTTAGGTACGTATGTGGATGGTAATTTCAATGGAATTTTCATATCACTATTTCATGTCACTGTCCTTTTCTGCTTTCCCCCAAATTGGATTTGATAAAGAGTTGGTGGGGGTAGTTGGAGACTGTTTGTGCCACGTAACCGCCCTACTCGTGCGTCCCGCCTTGCGCCACGTAACCGCCCTGCTCGTGCGCCTCGCCTCCTGCACACGAAAGCGCCTAGCGAGCCCTCCACGGGGGGTCGTTAGCACTCCGACGCCCAAGTCAGAACCACTTTCTAGAGAGAGAAGTTGAATATCAGTTTTAGAGAGAAGTTAGAACCTGAGTAAATGAGCTCCACCCGCTCCACTATTTATACCCGAGGAAGGGTCGACCAATGCCCCCCAAATCCGCCCTACGTCATCACCTCATTAAATGCACTGTACCTTATTTCCCCCAGGCGCCCCGACATTCTGACACCGGCCTGCGCCCCGGAGGCGCACGGCCCCACCCCTTGTCTCCTCCGTACGCTTCTGACCATTACCCCCCTTTTGTCGCCATGCGCCCCTCTCCAGGCCCGGGCCCACTGCCTGGGCCACAGTCCTTGGTCCCCTCTTGGGCCTGGCCCCTATCCTCGGCCCATGATGGCCCCATGGCTCTTTACTTGGGCCCTTCCTTCCTTGCCCCCAACAGAGACCACAACATGAAGAGACGACTCCTCGTCAACGATAATTAATTAATATTATTAAAACGTAAGTAAACCATAAGTATATTCACTGTTCCTTATGATTTTATCTCCCTTATCACTATTCATTAGGGGAACTTATATGATACAGCCGGTTTCATTGTTATAATGTCATATATTGCCCACCTTTGGAAAGGCATGGAGGCTGGCCAAGCTCCTCTATTTGTTTCCTTTTATATGGAGGGCATGACTAGTTAAAATTATTCTTATATGCTTTGAAAGCTAATATATATATGTATGTAATTGTTTATGGGCTAATAAATAAATTAACCATTAGTTACAACAATTTATACTAAACTTTTTTGATAATGGTGATAAAGCTTTATTGCAAAAGGAAAAACAAAAAAGGGCAAAGGTTCAAAAGGGATGAACCGAAGCCCAAGTTCAGCAAAGGCACAAGGCCAACAGTAAAACACCAAAGCAGACAAAAGCGTTGCAGGGGCCAAAAAAAACAGACATGCAGCACCCAGACTAACACACAACCACCACCAAAACAACAAAACGGGCCAGGCTCCTCCTGAAACAACACTGAAACAGACACACACACTCACAGAGCACGACACACAAGAAGACAGCAAAAGGGCCTCACTCAACCAACAAACCAAACTGGAAAAGCAGACAGCCCAGGGAGAGGCGCGCAGCAAAAGGGGGCCGAGGAGAAGCAACACCCCAGCTGAAACCAAGCGGCAGACATACGAACACCCCGCAAGGCAGAAACGCTGCATATCAGTCTCCCAACGCACCACAAGCTCATCAGATCACACCAATCCGATTTTCTAGCCACCTTAAACCTTCCTCTTTGTCAATATTGCCGTGAACGATGATCCACTCTACTGCATTCCGAAGAGCCTTCCTCAATGTCCCACGAGCATTTATCTTGGCGTCTCTGAAAATTCTCTGATTTCATTCCAACCACACTTGCCAACAAATGGAGTGTAAAAAGCAAAAGCGGATCCACCCCTCTATATCAGCGGGAGCAACAGTGGGCCACCTGCTTATAGAGCTGATTATATCGCCATCTGGGACATCTATGAGATTGCACACCAACTTAGCACGGCTCCAAGCCTCCTTCGCGTACTCGCATCGAATGAAGATGTGGTCAATGGACTCTTCCTCATGATAGCAAAGCACACACCTGTTCGCCAGCTGCCATCCTCTTCTTCTTAGGTTATCAATGGTGAGAATGCGCTTGTGAGCCACAAGCCACATAAATGCATTAATCTTGGCCGGCACAATCGATCTCCACACTGAGTCCGAGGGGAAATTTGGGACCCCTCCGTACGCTTCATCCACCAGGCACCTGTACATGGAACGAACAGAAAAGGAAACATCTGGATTGGGTAACCAAACGGGACAGGGAGGCCCGTTGGATACCCTTCTAGTGTCAACCGAATTAAGATAATTAAGCAAATTGATTCGCTCACTTTCAGCCCCACCCCTAAGATTAGTAGAGAGAGAAAGCTGCCAATCAGAACACTCACCAGAAGGGGACAGCACATCTGTGATCCGAGCATTGGGGAGCGACGACGCAGCTGCAACTCGAGGGAATTTATCGGCGAGAACCATCTTCGGGATCCAACTGTCACGCCAAAAGGACACCCACGCACCATTACCTGGGTTAATACTAGCCATCGACCAAAAGGAGTCATATCCTTTCGAGATAATAGCCCAAGGAGAGCCTGCAAAACCACTAGTGCATCTCGGCGTACACCAATCCGAGTAAATATTAGGATACTTGATATCGATAAGGCTCCGCCACCAACTACCCTTCTCGGTAGCAAATCTCCATAACCACTTGCCCATCATGGCCTGATTAAACGAGGCGAGATCCAACATCCCAAGACCACCCCTAGATCGAGTAGCTTTACAAATATCCCAGCTAACAAGGGCCATCTTTCGAGTTTCATTCGTGCCTCCCCACACGAAGTTCTTCTGGATGCTTTCCAATCTTCTTATCACCATATCAGGAGCTCTTAAGAGGGAAAAGAAATAGATCGGCTGACTAGAGATAACAGCTTTGTTGAGGACTATTCTCCCTCCAAGAGATAAATGCTTTCCTTTCCAGCCTTGGAGCCTCTTTTGGACCTTGTCAATAACAGGATCCCACACCGAGGCAGCATTAGGTTTGGCTCCTAAAGGGAAACCAAGATACTTAGAGGCCTCACAGCTCCACTTACATCCCAGAATAGAGGCAAAGAAATCTGGGTTAGGGACATCCCCTACCGTGTACATAACGGATTTCTCAAGATTAATCCTGAGCCCAGTGACAGCTTGAAAGCACACAAGAGTCGCCAAGATATTGCTCACCTGCTCATACTCAGCACCACAGAAAATAAGAGTATCATCTGCAAATAGCAAATGAGTCACTTCCCCTTCACCAGAAACTTCATCCATACAAAACCCTCTGATCTTGCCATTGACACTGAGTTTAGACAACATAAAGGACAACATATCCATCACCAAGACAAACAAACCAGGCGATAACGGATCACCCTGCCTCAACCCTTTCTGAGCTCCAAAGAAACCTTTAGATTCCCCATTAATCAGGACCGAGAGCTTCGGAGAACACATGGTGCCTTTAATCCACTTCTGCCACTGCTCAGGAAATCCCAACCGATTAAGAATATGAAACAAACAATTCCAGTTCACATTATCAAAGGCTTTCTCCATATCTAACTTAAGCATAAGGCCAGGTTTCCTGCTCTTCTTGCGACTATCCACAAGCTCAAAAGCAATAAGACCAGCATCCCCGATTTGTCTACCCTTCACCGAGGCCATCTGTTGATGAGAAACAAGATTAGGTAGAACATCCCTCAACCTACGAGCCAACACTTTGCTTACCAGTTTGTTGAAGCTCCCCATCAAACTGATCGGACGAAGATCACGAGTGTCCTCGACAACATCCTTTTTCGGGGTCAGACAAATAAAAGAATGAGTAATACAGTCAGGAAGAAAACCAGTGCTGAAGAAATCATTAAAGGCGAGCAAGATCTCATTCTTAAGCCACGGCCAGCACTTCTTATAAAACTCCCAAGAGAATCCATCCGGGCCCGGGGCCTTCCCACCGTCACTATCAATAAGGCTTGCCAAAATCTCCATCTCAGAAAAAGGCTTGCAGATAGCTTGCTGGTCCACAGTGGAGAGTCTATGCGAGAGGTAGTAACGAGGAAAGGGCCTGGACGCAACCTGCTCACTCAAAAGCTCTTCATAATAACTGACAATGCCTCTAGCAACGTTCTCCCGACCTTCAGTCAAAACACCATTAATTTTTATGCTACCAATCCGATTTATTTTCCTCCTGAAGTTTGCCATCCTGTGAAAATAACCCGAGTTTTTGTCTCCTTTTTTGAGCCACAACTCACGAGATTTCTGTCTCCAAGAAATTTCCAGCAAGTCCAACACCTTACTAGTTTCAATCAAGAGAGTATCTCTTAAAGCTATGTCATGAGAAGAGAGGGGCTGATCCTCTTCATTGAGATTGATAGAATGGATTCTTCTGCTTAAATCTTCGAGCTTCTTATTCAGATCCCCGAACACTTCTTTGTTCCAGCACTTAATCTTGTTTTTCAAATCCTGGAGTCTTCTTGCCCACTTAAAAACCCAACCATGGCCAGCAAGAAGGGAGCCAATCCAGACAGGTAACTCAGCGAAAAATCTAGCATCTTCCAGCCACATATTTTCAAATTTCCAAGGCCGATGGGGTCTGTATTTCTCACCCCATTTAAGCAAGAGAGGATTGTGATCAGACTCAATGCGCTCTAACGCACTAAGGAAACAATCAGGGAACAACAGGTCGAAACTCGTCGAGATAAAAGCCCTGTCAATCCTCGATAGACAGTTATGGTCTCCACCTTTACACCAAGTGAACCTGCTGCCTCCAAGCGGGAGCTCCATCAAACCACTCTCATTAATAACATTGTTGAACTCCACCATCAGATTATTACTGCGTCTAGCACCCCTATAATCATCGTGACTGCGAACTAAGTTAAAGTCTCCAATCAAGCACAAAGGTTCTTGGCAATTTTGGCAGAGACTGAGAATCTCATCAAGGAACTGGAGCTTCTCCGCACTATCCTGAGGGCCATACACCACCACCAGGATCCACACTCTTTGAGAAACCACCTCCTGAAACTTGACAGTGACCAGATATCTACCAATACTCGTAGAGATACAAGAGAAAACCAGCTTATCCCAAAGCACCACAATCCCTCCCGAGCTACCTGAAGAGTTCTTAGCAACCCATCCATGCTCCGCAGATCCTCCTAAACTGCGAATCAAGGAATCGTCACAAAACTTGATAAGTAATCTTTGACGGTTCGTTGTTTAGGATGTAGAGTATATGGTTAGGGTATAGGGTATAAGGTACATATGGCTTAGGGTGTATATGGTTAGGGTATAAGATATTGATGGTTTTGACGGTTCCAAGTTTTTTATTAACATATGTTCACTTGAAGTCATTTGAAGTATTTAACGGCAGGAAATCCCTTTTTAATTTATGTTCATGGGACGTGGTTAGAATACAAGGTATGTGGGGTAAAGTATAGGATATATGGTTAGGGTATAACAATTAGCAAATATCACTTTTTATCTATGTTTTGAAAATCAAAGTATGAATTTCACTTTTAAATTAACTATACTAGCAAAATCACAACTCAAAGACATATGGTTAGGGTATAGGGTATAGGTTATGCGGTTAGTATATAATGTATTGATGGTTTAGGGTATACAATCAACAACATATACTAACTTAATATTGTTGATTGAGGGTAAGGCTAAGTGTATAGGATATATGCTATTGAGTAAGTTATGATTGAAGTCATAATAATTTTACTAAATTTGATAGCTAATCTTTAATGGTTCAATTTTTAGGATAATTCAAACAATTTTACAAATAACTCGTTTGGCAACAGTTTACTGAAGTTATTTGGGCAATCAGTTATTTCGAAATAACTCCTTTTATCACTATGCTTTTGCCAAATAGCACACACCAAATACCAAATTTGCATGGTTATATTAAACGAGATACTTTAATCCAATTACTACTGAATTAATACTAAAATATCAAATAAATAATTAATGGTGTCTTTTGGTTGCAAATATTGATATCACCATTACTATTAGCTATAATACTTTACCAATTATGATTAATTACATAACAAGTTTGCAAGTCATACAAATTGATTTAACATTTTGACTAGTTTTTTTAAAAAAAAATAAAGTATATATATACGAGGTAGAAATAAATTGGTTAAAAAGTTGAGAAAATATTTTAAATTAATGTAATGAGTAATGAGTTAAGCTACTTGATGCGCTGGCCCGAACAACCCGAAACCCGATCCGCCCGCAACCCGCCCGACCCAAAACCCGATTTGCCCGCAACCCGATTGAATCCGAACCCGATGAACTCGCAACCCGACTAACCCGCAACCCGTTTGAACCCGAACCCTATGAACCCGAACCCGATGAACCCGCAACCCGACTAACCCGCAACCCATTTAAACCCGAACCCGATTGAACCCAGCCCAAACCCGCCCGATTGACACCTATACTCACATTTCCGGACCAAGCAAGTGCGGCTTTGACATTATTGCACGGCTTACTGATGATGAAATATTCTGATTTGTGTTACCCTGCACTACTTAAAAGGAGAAGTTTGAAGTTGGAACCAAAACTGGTTTTGGCAGTAGCGAGAACAAGGTAAGCTCGATCAACCAGTACTTATAACTGCCGGTGAAGCGCGATAGAATTGAGTTCATTACAACACAGGAGGACTAGAACAAGAAAAGAACAACTAATCGTATACCGGCATAAAAATTTCCTTTCATCAATTCAGCTGTCCTGTGATCTGTAACAATATTGTCTCGAGGAGGCTCTCTGGAGATCAACTGTCGTCATCATCTATTATTATTATCTCCCTGTTCTCGTAAACCGGTATTACCCCACAAGTCTCCTCAATGATTCGTACTTCAACGGAACCACCTCCCTTGAGAAAGGCTCTGCCATTGGCCTGAAAGACGAATTTAATGGTAGCATCATCTGTAACTGTGATCTCCAGACCTGCGGAAGAAGAATCCAGAGGTACTAAAGCCGCCTCCTTCATCCAGTTAAGCCTAGAATCATACCATATTAATAGGTTACTTCCCCGGTCATCTTCTGAATCAAGGTCTTTACACTGTATTGGAATCACCGTGCAAGAACTCGCAGTTATGACATCCCCCCCGCCAGTGCTAGACAAATTGTGACAGTCAACTCTGAATGTAGCAAATGAGACAAATTTGCTATCGAATGAAGCACAATATATTAGTCCCTTCAACTGCCAAAGGCGACCAAGTGTGGCTGTCACCACTGAATTAAGCCCAGAAGGCCTCCATCCATCAGGACTACTCCAACCTCTTGGAAGTAAGAGCCATCGATGATAATTCCATTTCGTACGCGTGCCTAATGCATCTTGAGTGAACTGCAAAGGAATTTGATATGATCTCATGATATGCGAGCATCAAATAAAACTCAAAAGAGTGAATAGATCTAGTACCTTCTTGAAAAGCATGCTGCACACATCTGAATCCAGCTTTCCACAGTTTCCAAAATTCCATTCACACATCAAGAAGTTATGTTTACTCAAGCCGCTAGTTGACATGGTTTGAAGTGCGGTGCAGCCATATGCGTTCAACTCTGTCAAGGATGAAGGAAGCTCCGGTAAGTGACTGAGGTGACTGCAACCAGACAACTCGAGGCGGTACAATTTGGATAGCTTGTGAATGGTGCCACAGAGGTGGTTGAGACTTGTGCAGTAATTGAGATTCAGTATTTCCAAGCATGCGAGATCTCCAATGGTGGCTGGCAGCTCTTGGATTGCGGTACGGGACAGACTAAGCTCTTTCAGTTGTACCAGATTGGAAATGCTATCTGGAAGTCGTGATAGATTGGTGCACCCATATAGATGAAGATGTGATAAAGCTTCCATGGGCACCAATATTTCTGGAAGTTCCTTCAGCCGGATGCAGCAAGATAAAAAGATCCGAACAAGAGCTTTCGACTGAAAAATTATATCACAGAAATGAACAAGCACTTGATCATTGGCCGAAATTTCATCACACCCCGTTAACTTCTCCAGCTCCTCCAACTTCTGGTTTTGAATTGATGTCCCGGATAGGTTCAATAGTTTTAGTTTTGGAAAAATGGCAGCAGCAGCCCTATCATCGTTCTTGTTGACATCTGTGTAATATCCATATGCATTCAACTCCAAGCTGGTACAGTCTTTTAAATGGAGGTCTTCCAGTTTGGGCAGATGCAAAATCGATAGAGGAAGCTCCACTAAGCCTACACAGAAATTAAGATTGATTTCTTCCAGTCTTTTAGCCGTAGAGAGATTAGGCAACTTCTTCAAGTATTTGGATTCCCTTAGATCAAGGAACTTCAAATTTCTTAAATCCTGCATGTCGATAATAAGACATGCTTAAATATTGAAAAGCAAACAAATGGATAAAAGAGATATATCTCACACAAAAACACAAAAAATTTATACGAACCACATTCTGCATGTCGTCCCAAAGTTGTTCTACGTTGCTTGAAGGCAAAGACAGTGTCGTAAGATTCTCCGGACAAAATTCATATGGTAAACATCTCATTGGGAATGAGTCCCAAATAAGAATTACCAATGAATTCGGTAGGTATCTCAAACCGTCTTTAGAAAGAACCAATTTTGTGTCAGATTGACGTATCACAAGGTATCTAAGATTTTCCAACTTCACAAAAGCATCAGATTGCATGTGTATTGCCTCTATCCCCGACACACCACGGGATTTATCCCAACAAATGCCTCGGGTGACTTTACTTCCCTGTTTAGTGCAAGAAATAACAAAGAGAAAAATTACTCAGCGTTTTAGCTCATTTGTATTTATAGTAAACGAGATAATAATTACTCAACAGAGGTTATGTGTCACTAGTTTAGCATTGAATTGGAATAAAGTGTTTACTCTGTCCACGTACCTTGCCTTGTTTGAAGAAACTATATATGTCTTGAGCTTCAAACAGCCATGAACGTTTTTCAAGTCGGAGCTTTTCATTGACAAAGCTACGGCCCAAATCAACCAGCAACCCATGCATTTGTACATAAGAAGAAGAAGAAGAAATACTGTCGGCTTTTAACATAGACTTGTCAACAAATTTAGTAATAAGGTTTTCACTCCCACCATGTTCAACATAGTTTCCATCCAATAGTCTTTCCAACTCCTTGACAGAAACCTCGGATCGACCATGAAGACATGCAATATCAAGGAATGCATTTTTCTCTATTTGACCTAGTCCATCATAAATCCTCCGAAAGACTTTTTCAAGACTTTGATTTGGGTGACGCTCCAAGGCTCTCAACTCGATACCCCAAAAGTTTTGGTCCCTGCCATACAAATGCGAGCCTAGAGTAGTGAGAGCTAAGGGGTTACCCTCCGCATAAGTGATAGCTCTCTTGGACCAGTTCTTATACTGGATTGGAGGACAATGCTCTTTGAATGCACTGAGGCAGAATAACAGTAGAGCTTCATGTTGATCAAGAGCCGCCACTTCATAAACGTAATGACACACGTTTTTAAGCACTTGTTTGTTCCTGCTTGTCAGGATAATTATACTTCCCGGTGCAAATAAGTCACAATATCGTCCGTTAAACAAATTGTTCAAGTGTCTGATGTCTCCAACATCATCGCCCACATCATCAATGACAACCAAAGCCCTCGTACGGCCAAGCCGATAGTCTTTCAAATCCCGAGATATTCTCCCCGCATTCTCATCACCCAACAATCTAGAGAAGAAATCATTCTGCAAGCCATCACGCAAATGCGATGAAGCACTTAATTGGTCTGAGAAGTCACTCCAGAAATACAAAACTTCGAATTGACTGGAAAATCTATCATAGAAAGCCTTCGCAAGAGTTGTCTTCCCGATGCCACCGGTCCCCCACAGTCCTATAGTCAAATTTTTACTCCCACTAGTTACCCACTGTTCGATCTCATTCATCCTCCTCTCTATTCCCACCAAACCCACATTGGAATATGAAGCTGGTACCATTTGAGCGGATAGAGCTTGTAGCACAGCTCTATAAATTTCCTCAATTAGTTTTGATTCAGGTCTGGGAAAAGAAATAGCTATTTAGCAAAACAAAGTATGTAGTTCTATTTCTATCGAATTGGATATTGCGCTACGAGAAAAGTTATGTACAAATACGTACGTAGGGGTATTTTATTTTGCAAATTTAAAAGTATTTAAAGAGTATCAAATATATAAATTTTATTATTTTAAAAATAAATAAATAATAGTAAACTTAGCAAATTTATTAGATACGGATATTAATTATGTTATACGAGTTCTATACGTGTTTAATACTAGAGTCATCAAATGAACCGAAATAAATGAAACGGCTTGACAATAATATAGATACAAAAATTTTAAACGGATAAAATGTGTACGGGTACATATCCGTGTATTAAACGAAATATTTACTGATTGTGGGTATGAGAAAAGAAATAGTTATTCAGCAAAACGAATCAAGTAGTTCTATTTCTATCGAATTGGATACTGCGGTATGAAAGAAACGGGGAAAAATTACGCAAAAGCGTACCTGGTAACTCGTGAATCGAAGCCCGAAATGGCGGCTGCGTTACTCAACGCAGCTTTCCAACTCCGAATTTTGCCAACCGTCTCCTCCTTCGGAAGCTTCCGGTAGCTTCCAGTTTGATTTTCCACGTGAGAAGGATCCACGCCCCCGTAGAACACCGGAACTACCCGCCGTCCGTACCGTTGACAGCAGTCGAGGATCCTCACGAGCTCGTCCAAGCACCACGGTGAATCGGCATAATTGGGAGAGAAAATCGCGATGTAGCACGCGGATCTCTCGATCGCATCCAACAGCGACGGAGAGATCTCCTCTCCTCTTTCGAGATCTGAATCGTCTTTGTAGACGGCGAATTTCTTATGGCGTTTCAGGTAGGAGTAGAGATGGCTGAGGAAGGTATCGCGAACGTCGCTTCCTCTGAAGCTGATGAAGACGTCGTGCTTCGGAGGCAGAACAAGCGACGAAGAAGGAGTGGAGGAAGGAGAAGGAGGAACTATGTCCAGCGACGACGACGGCCAGGGCGGGTAGAACAGATGGGGGCGAATGAATCTGGGGAGGAAGCGCAGGAAGAGGTTGGAGGGATGAAAAAGAGTAGTACCACGGGTCATGATTTTACTAACGAGCGTTGTCTGCCGCTTGGCAGGTCGGCTCAGAACGAGCTCATCCCCGTCTTCGTCGCGATCGCGTCTACCGCCGTCGATCTTCATTTTCAGATCTGCTGTTGCCGGAAGTAAAATGTGAAAGAAAAAGGCAACCAAGGATGGCTTCTACGTCTGATAATGCATTCGATAAAGGGTGAGTGAGTGAGTGGATGTAGTTGGACCACGACATTAAGAGACGACTGCTCGTCAACGATAATTCCAAATATAAATGTCACAACTCCATTCGATCGCGCGTTCTAGCCCAATATTTGGTGATCATAATGGACCATTTATTGGATTTAGCCCAGCCCAAACTTGGATCAAGGAAACTGAAACCCCAGCCCATGTCTATGCTTGATCTCTGCGCTGCGCTTGCACAAATCCAATTGCCACGCACGACAAAACACGGGCCAGACGAATTATTTATTTATTTATTTAAAAACTAATAAAATCAATTAATTTCAATAATAAACCCCATGCCACGAAAATAATTCTTTTTTAATTAGAAAAAACAACGCAACCGTGGGAAGAAGAAGTGAAGACCGCCGAGCTGACACACACCCAAAAACCCTAATCACAGAGGCAGAAGAATTCCTCATTCCTCTTCTTCTTCAAACTAAAGCCCTTCCTCCTTTCTTCAGTCTTCTTCTCTCCTTCCCTTTTACTTTACCCCTTTGCTTTCCTAGTTTCCTTTCGTTTCTCCCCTTTTCCAGTCTCTCTGCTCTCTCTCTTTTTTTTTTTACTTCACCTGAGGCTGTACACCGTTTCCCGCCTCGCTGTTTCCCCACTCTCTCTCTATCTCTTCCCGTCTCAGCCGAGCGAGATAATGCTTGTTGTCGGCGCCGGCGATGAAGGTGTCGTTGCAACGCGGGCCGTCAAGGAGCAGCCCGCTCCTCTGTTCTTCCTCTCTTTTTAAACCAACTCTGTCTTTATTCTTCAGAGCTCCCTCTTCAAAACCCTCTTCTTCTCTTCTCTCAATGCCCTGCCACGCTACCGCTTTATCCTCTTCCACCGCCGCCGCCTCCTCCTTCGTCCGGAATCCTTCCTTAACCGTACCCAAGGCGGCAGCCACGTGTTCTCGCTCATATTCCACCCTTTACAGCGCCTGCCGCAGTGCAATCGAAGGGACCGGGAGGACCACAGCAGCTGGAACCCCGCTCAGGGCCTGGCAGGTGGGTCGTTTCCTCTGCCGCCGCACGCTCTCAGCGGCCGAGCTCGTGGGCTCTGCTGCTGCTATTGCATCTGCGGCCGCTGTTGATGGGCTGAAGAGCGGTGGAGATGATGGCAGCGAGAAGGACGACGGCGGGGAAGAGAAGGAGAAGCAGCAGCAGCAGCAGGGGAAAATAAGCCGGCGGCAGAAGGGCTCGCCGAGCGGCGACGCAGTAAGTAACGCTGATTTGCTGACAATTCCTGGTGTTGGCCCTAAGAACTTGAGGAAATTAGTGGAGAAAGGGCTGAGCGGCATGACTGAGCTCAAGCAGCTGTATAAGGACAAGGTAAAAAAAAAATTGCTGAAACCCTTTTGAATCTGCTTGAATTGAATCACAGCCATTAGAATTGTAGCTAATTTGAACTCTATGCCCTTAAAATTGCAGTTTCTAGGGAAAGAAAATGAGACAATGGTGGAGTATTTACAGAGTTCTGTAGGGATCATCCACCGAAACCATGCCGAGAGCATAACCACGTTCATCAAAGAGAGTGTAGATGAAGAGCTGAAAGATACAAGCTCGGATGCCCGCCACATGCCTAAGAAGCGGATCACCTTCTGCGTGGAGGGTAATATCAGTGTTGGAAAGACTACATTTCTTCAGAAGATAGTCAGTGATACGATTGAGCTGAGAGACCTTGTTGAAGTGGTGCCAGAACCGATTGATAAATGGCAGGATATAGGGCCTGATCATTTCAATATACTGGACGCATTTTATGCTCAGCCAAACAGGTATGCCTACACGTTCCAGAACTATGTTTTCGTCACAAGGGTTATGTGTTGGATTGAAAGATTCCAATCCGATCAAGTCAGAGATTGCTTTCCCTGAAAAGAAAGGATCGAAGAAAATCAAGCCTAAATCAAGGGGGAGCTGATCAAAGGAATCTGAGGGAGCTGATCGGAGGAATTCCAAAAACCTTCCATCTCTGAATCAAGTCAAAAGACAGAAGCTTCAACGGCTAGTTTGAAGAACTATTTAAAGGGAGAACAGGGTCTGGTTCGGTACTAGAGAATTCTGGGATTCTTTGTGGTAAAGGGCAAAGGGTTGGGGAATTAATAGTGGCTTTGATCTCCACTGAGGAATAGGTTCAGTTGATCAAAGGTGTAACGAATTCCTGTGCGAATTCGGGTCTTGGTTCCATCGCTTTGATTTTCACATTTGCGTCTGTAATTTTTGTTCCTTTTCTTTCTTTCAGTTAAGAGTCAAGAAAATCAAAGTGTCTCTCGGAATAGTGTCTACTATTCCGGGACGAGGAGTAACCCTGTGGTGAACCTCGTTAAAAATCTCGGTGTCATTTATTTTCTGCACTTGCTTCTCTGTTACTTTTCTCTTCCCCTGTTTTCTACCTTCTCTGTTCTGGTTTGGAAGTCTCAGTGAAGAAGACGACTCCATTCTCTTTCTTCGCTGAGTCGAGTAGTGGGCCTATTGGAAGGCTTAGCCCAGCAACTCTCATTAGTTGTTAACGGGCCCTTCCCTTTGCAGCCCACTCAGTTCCTCCAGATGAAAATGAATCAAACCCATTCATCTGAAGTGCAGCGTTTTAACTGTTGACCTCATCGGGTCAAAATCCCTAATCGCTCTCCTTGCTGTGGTCATTTACGAACTCATTCCCTTTTCACAAGTGGTATCAGAGCTAGCCTGGTTCTTGAAGGAGCTAACTGCTGCCAAGAACGAATCCAGAAGCAATGGGGTCAACAAACTTCGGCCAAGCATCGTACAATCATCCTCCGGTGTTCACTGGGTCAAATTACACGGCATGGAAGAAGAGAATGAAGACATTCCTGTGGGGTGTCGACGAAGATCTATGGATCGTGGTGCGCGACGGTCCACTCGCCATGGATAATGAAGAACAAGGAATCTGGTCCGCCGCCCAAAAGAAGAGCGCCCAACTCAATCAGCGGGCCATGCACATCCTCCAGTCAGCGATGGCACCTGATGAAGCGGACAAGGTGGAACATTGCGACTCAGCTCAAGAAATCTGGAACTCTCTCGAAAGCACGTACGAAGGAACGTCAAATATCAAGGAAACCAGGATCGATCTTCTGGTGCATGAGTACGAGTGCTTCGAAATGGCTCCAGGTGAGGGTATTCATGAAATGTACTCTCGATTTACAGTTCTTATCAATAAACTCAAAGGGCTAGGAAAGATTTACCTTCTTAAAGATCTAAATAGAAAAATTTTGAGGTCTCTGCCTAAACAATGGCTGCCTAAACGAACAGCGATTGAAGAAGCCAGGAACTTAAATACTCTTCCTATAGATGAATTGATAGGGTCCCTGTTGAGTCATGAGCATGTTCTTAGACAAGTTAACAAGGATGAAGAGAAACGTAAGAAGAATTTAGCCTTTAAATCTCAGGTGATAGATTATGACTCAGACACTGATTTAGGTGATGAATTCAATAAAGAATTTGCTCTAATAAGCAATAAGTTTCATAGGATGCTTAAATATAAACATGATCAAAAACAGAAGGCTTATGATCGTGGTGGATCTCATCGTACTAACCCCTTTGACAAAGTCAAAAATAATTTTCAAGATAGGCTGCGTACTCCGCAGACCAAGCGTGTTGAAACAGGAACAGTTGAAACACAGGATTGTTACAAATGTGGGAAGCCTGGCCACATTCGTGCAAATTGTCCTCTGACATTAAGGGCTAAAGAAAAGGCCATGAAGGCCACTTGGAGCGATTACGAGTCAGATGAGGAGGAGGAAGAAGAGGAAGAAAGAGCACTCATGGCATTTACAGAACAGGAGCCTGCTTCTCAAACACCTTACAAATCTCCTGAAGATTCACAGTGGTACCTTGATAGCGGCTGCTCGCATCACATGTCTGGTAAGAGTTATTTGTTCAATTCTCTTGCAAGAAAACGTGGTGGTAAAGTAACCTTTGGAGATGACAGTCAGGGGATTATAGTTGGTTCTGGAAATATAGGTGAAATCCCTGGACCAGTCATTAAAAATGTGTTATTAGTAGAGGGTCTGAAGCATAACCTTCTATCTATAAGTCAGCTCTGCAGTAATGGCAATCGTGTCATTTTTGAGAATAATAAGTGCTCTGTAGAACAGGTGAACGAAAACAAAATACTTTTCACTGGTAAAAGAGTTAACAATATGTATACTGTAGATGTGTCTGATCTAAGTTTATTCAATGCCAAGTGTCTTCAAGTGTCCGCTACTGCCCCTGAACTTCTTTGGCATAAACGCCTCGGACATGTTAGTATATCTAAGCTAGCCGAGTTGTCCAAACTTAGTCTAGCAAGAGGTATACCTAAATTTAAAGATAAAACAGACTTCTTCTGCAATGCCTGCGCTGCTGGCAAGCATAAAAAGAAAAGCTTTAAGTCTAAACCTAATATCACAACCATTAGGACTTTTGAATTAATTCATATGGACCTCTTTGGACCTTGTAATGTCACCAGTCTAGGAGGCAAAAACTACGTTTATGTTTTGGTAGATGATTTCTCCAGATTCACTTGGGTATATTTCCTATCTAACAAAGATGAGACCTTTGAAAAATTCAAGACATTTGTTACCTTGCATCACCAAAATATAGACAGTATTCGTAGTGATAACGGGGGAGAATTTATTTCTGATGTGTTTAATGAATTTTGTGACCAGTTAGGAATTAAACACACTTTTTCTGCTCCTCGTACCCCTCAGCAAAATGGAGTTGTGGAACGAAAAAATAGGACTCTTATTGAGTGTGCTAGGACTATGTTATTAGACTACAACTTGCCTAAGTTCTTCTGGGCTGAATCTGTTAACACAGCATGTTACATCATCAATCGCGTCATTGTTAGAAAACAGATCAATAAAACGCCTTATGAAATTCTAAAAGGAAAAACTCCTAGAATATCTTATTTTCATCCCTTTGGATGCCCCTGTTTTACTTTAAACACTCGTGATCATCTAGGTAAATTCGATGCTAAGTCAGACCCTGCTACATTCCTTGGATATTCCTCTAAGGGTCAAGCTTATAGAGTGTTTAACAAAAGAACTAGAAAAGTGGAGGAGTCAGTTCATGTAGTGTTTAATGAAACTGATCAGAGTACTCCAGATCCTGCTTTACTAATTGATTTGAGTGAACTAACGAGCTCTTGTCAAGTTTCATCTAGTGAACTTACAGCTACTGTCAAGGAACCAAGTTCCCAAGAAACCATAGAGCAACCTGATGATGCAGCAGAGGCACCTAAAGCCCCATCCCACATTCAAAAACGACATCCAGAAAGCCAAATCATTGGAAAACTGAATGATGGTCTGCAAACTCGAGGTAAGTACATCCCTGGACAATATGCTTTTGTCTCACAAATTGAACCAAAAAATTATAAAGAAGCTTTAGAAGATGAAGAATGGAATTTTGCAATGATTGAGGAACTCACCCAGTTTGAATATCTACATGTTTGGGATCTTGTCCCTCGTCCTCCTAATGTGATAGTTATAGGAACTAAGTGGATTTTTAGGAATAAATCTGATGAACTTGGATTTATTATAAGAAACAAAGCTAGACTTGTAGCTCAAGGGTACCTTCAAGAGGAAGGCATCGACTACGATGAGACCTTTGCCCCTGTAGCTAGAATTGAATCCATTAGGCTGCTATGTGCTTTTGCTAGTCATATGGGTTTCCCATTATATCAAATGGATGTTAAAAGTGCATTCTTGAATGGGATCATTCAAGAAGAGGTATATGTGTCACAACCTCCTGGTTTTGTTGACTTTGAACATCCAGATCATGTTTACAAACTCAACAAGGCATTATATGGTCTCAAACAAGCTCCTAGAGCATGGTTTGAGCGCCTCACTGCCTTTTTGATCGAAAACTCTTTCACTCAAGGAGGAATAGACAAAACTCTATTCATCAAACAAATAAATGGCAAAATTCTTCTTGTGCAAATTTATGTAGATGATATAGTCTTTGGATCAACTGATCCATCTCTGTGCACTGAGTTTTGTAATTCTATGCAATCTGTTTTCGAAATGAGCATGATGGGGGAGCTCAAATTCTTCCTTGGTCTTCAAGTTAAGCAGACCCCCTCTGGAATCTTTATTAACCAGTCTAAGTATGTGCAAAATATGCTTGATAAATTTGGTTTCAATAATCTTAAATCAAGTAAAACCCCGATGGCTGTGAACATTAAGTTAGATAAGGATGTTACAGGAGTTCCAGTAGATGAAAAGAAATTTAGGGGTATGGTTGGCTCTCTTCTATACTTGACTGCTAGTAGACCAGACATTCATTATAGTGTGTGCATGTGTGCTCGATTCCAGTCAGCCCCTAAAGAAAGTCATCTAACTGCCATTAAGAGGATCTTTAGATATTTAAAAGGAACTCCTGAGCTAGGCCTATGGTATCCTAAACATAACAACTTCTCTCTAATTGGCTATAGTGACTCAGATTTTGCTGGCAGCCTAACTGATAGGAAAAGCACCACTGGGACATGTCAGTTTGTAGGAACATCCTTGGTGTCTTGGTCTTGCAAAAAACAGGGTGCTGTTGCCCTCTCTACTGCTGAAGCAGAATATATTGCTGCAGGCAGTTGCTGCACGCAGCTCATTTGGCTTAAGAATCAGCTTAGGGATTATAATGTTCTTACCCATTCCATACCTCTTCTCTGTGATAATACTAGTGCCATCTGTATGGCAAAAAATCCTGTCCAGCATTCTAGAACTAAGCATATAGAGGTTAAGTATCACTTCATTCGGGATTTAGTTCAGCAACATACCATAACTATTAGTCATATCCCCACTGAGTATCAACTAGCTGATCTATTTACGAAAGCCTTGAATGCTGATCGTTTTACTTTCCTTTGTTATGAGATAGGGTTGAGATCTCCAGATAATCTGGAAGATTTGCCCTGATTGTTCGTTTGACTAGCTGTGTAGTTGTTAATTTCCCTGTTTAGTTGCATTTACTGTCTTTATTTATTTGCTTTCCTTCTTTGCATTCTTCCTGTTTTAGGTTTAGGTTGCTATTTAAGGGTAGTCTGTTCCTCTTCTTAATCATTATTTTCTTAGCTTTTCGTGTCCTGTCTAGTCTGTAGCGATGGTGCTTGGTTTCTCGAAAACCTTCACTGGAACTCTGTTCCACGACCCTATTCCTGCAAACTCCCATCGCCACTCCATCTCCTTTGCTCATCGACCTCTGGTTCCAACCTATCATGTTCCTTTTGCTGATCTCATTGAGTACGGTCTAGACGTTACTCAATATGTTCATAGTCTAGGTTGGGATTTTCTCATTGTTGACACTCCTGAGCACATTTGTGCTGAAGGTGTGCGTTTGTTTTATTCCAACTTTAGATCTTTTGGAGTTCACACTCGCACCTTCACTACTCTGATTTTTGGGAATCTGGTCACTGTCCCTCTTGAGGATCTTAGGCGTCTTCTGAACATCCCTAGGTATGGTGAGATCCTGGCCACTGACTCTGAATTCCCTCTGTTCAACTTTGATATTGTCCATGAGTTTGTCTTGCTCACTGGTCATGAGCCTGATGCGTATCTGACTCTGCCAGCTGCATTCTTGCTCCCTGGCCTGCGCACGTTTCATTACCTTCTGACTCGTCGTTTTCTCCCTCGCACAATCATGCTTGATCGAGTCACTCCTCTAGACCTTTGGGTTCTCACTCATGCTGTTCACAATATTCCCCTTGACTACTGTCACCTCCTGTTCGGTCATATGTATCCTTTTCAACAGTTCGAATTTCTAGGCCACCTTCCTTTTGGACCTCTCCTTACTCGTCTTATCATCCGTCTTGAAATCTCTCTCGATCCTTTTCGAGTCATAACTCCCAATGTCTACCTCACTTCTGATGACATCATGGACGAGATTGCGATTGCCGTTGAGGGGGAGGATGACACTGATGACACTGATGACACTGCTGAAGATAATTCTGACGACTCTGAAAACTCTGAGGACGATGGACCAATGGAGGAACCTGCTGATGCTGATGACAATCCTGGAGAAGAAGAGTCTGACGAAGGCGAAGACGACTCTGGCATCCTTGTTCACTGGATAAGTAGTGACAGCAGCGATGATTCAGACAGTGATGACTCTGATGACCCGTCGCTTGCGACAGTCTTGGCTGACCTCAGGGAGGCTTACAATTCTGAATGACTTTGTTTGCTAAATCTTGAGTGGTGAATTCTTAGTTTGTTTGACTGTCTGAACTGCTAGATTGCGTTGTCTTTTTGCTGTTCCTTCTTGGATGGACTGAACTGGTTTGCTGGACGTGTTTTTTCACCAGCTGTTATTCAGACTTGGATTTTTGGAAGTTAGTGCGGTTGAATGCTCGATATTTTATATCTTGGGAAAAGTATAGTTGTTTTTGCAGGGTTCAATCGGACAATCAGCAATCTCTAACTTAGGGGGAGATTGTTGGATTGAAAGATTCCAATCCGATCAAGTCAGAGATTGCTTTCCCTGAAAAGAAAGGATCGAAGAAAATCAAGCCTAAATCAAGGGGGAGCTGATCAAAGGAATCTGAGGGAGCTGATCGGAGGAATTCCAAAAACCTTCCATCTCTGAATCAAGTCAAAAGACAGAAGCTTCAACGGCTAGTTTGAAGAACTATTTAAAGGGAGAACAGGGTCTGGTTCGGTACTAGAGAATTCTGGGATTCTTTGTGGTAAAGGGCAAAGGGTTGGGGAATTAATAGTGGCTTTGATCTCCACTGAGGAATAGGTTCAGTTGATCAAAGGTGTAACGAATTCCTGTGCGAATTCGGGTCTTGGTTCCATCGCTTTGATTTTCACATTTGCGTCTGTAATTTTTGTTCCTTTTCTTTCTTTCAGTTAAGAGTCAAGAAAATCAAAGTGTCTCTCGGAATAGTGTCTACTATTCCGGGACGAGGAGTAACCCTGTGGTGAACCTCGTTAAAAATCTCGGTGTCATTTATTTTCTGCACTTGCTTCTCTGTTACTTTTCTCTTCCCCTGTTTTCTACCTTCTCTGTTCTGGTTTGGAAGTCTCAGTGAAGAAGACGACTCCATTCTCTTTCTTCGCTGAGTCGAGTAGTGGGCCTATTGGAAGGCTTAGCCCAGCAACTCTCATTAGTTGTTAACGGGCCCTTCCCTTTGCAGCCCACTCAGTTCCTCCAGATGAAAATGAATCAAACCCATTCATCTGAAGTGCAGCGTTTTAACTGTTGACCTCATCGGGTCAAAATCCCTAATCGCTCTCCTTGCTGTGGTCATTTACGAACTCATTCCCTTTTCACATTATGCAGGAACGAGAGTCATCAATTGGGCTTAAGCCTCTTAGGCTCATGGAGCGAAGCGTTTTCAGTGACCGAATGGTAAGCTCTTTTGAAAGTTGGTGATATCTCATCATTTGCATTGTTAATGATCATATTGGAGTTTGTGTTTTAGGATGAATGCATGAGCAGTGGTTTCTTGAGGGGTTGCCTGTTTCTCGTGCAGTTTATCCTTTGTTTATCCATGCTTTAGTACTCATAGTGTTCATGTTTTTGTTAAGGTGTTTGTGCGAGCAGTGCATGAAGCAAAATGGATGAACGAGATGGAGATAAGCATATATGACTCGTGGTTTGATCCGGTTGTATCAGTTCTACCCGGTCTTATCCCTGATGGGTTCATCTATCTTAGAGCAACCCCTGACACCTGTCACAAGAGAATGAAGCAGAGAAAGAGGGAAGAAGAGGGTGGAGTTTCCCTAGACTATCTTCGTGACTTGCATGAAAAGCATGAAAGCTGGCTGTTCCCCGCTGATATTGGGAATCATGGGGTCTTGTCTGTCAGTAGGCCTCCCTTGCAACTTGATAGCTCGATACATCCTGATATAAGGGATCAAGTGTTCTTCTTGCAAGGTGATCACATGCACTCCAGCATTCAGAAGGTATGATATACTGCCTTTACTATTAGGAATACCACTTGGTTATGGAGAAAGATGGTTGAAATCATATCCTGTTTATGAATAGGTTCCTGCCTTGGTTTTGGATTGTGAAGCAAACATTGACCTTAACAGGGATACCGAAGCCAAAGAGCAGTGAGTATCATATCCTCGTCTTAGTACCTTTTTTTGTTGCTTCTGATTCAGATGATCCAAGTATTAGTGAACTGCGGATAATATTATAAGTGAACAAACTAACCGAAACATGATCCAACCCACCTTAAATTATCAGACCAAATGAGCTTCACCACCAGATGTAATGGTGATATGTGTGACCTTGGTATTTTTTTCTTTACTTGCACATTTCTTCACTATAGTCCATCTGCAGATGAACTAATGTAATTATTAATCTCTTTTTCTGAAGCTATGCACGCCAAGTTTCTGCGTTCTTTAAGTATGTCAAGCAGATGAAGGAAGTTTCGCCAGCTCCCGGTGATGGTGGCCCCAGTACTAGACAGATCATGCTGCCCCGTGAAGGTGGGTTGCTGCTACCAAATGGGAAGCACTTTGGCGAATCTGCTCTCAGGTCTCTGGAAGTCCAACGGGCTCTCCTTCGCGTCTAGCCAGTGAGAGCCGCTTGCTGCCTGCCCAACCTCGGTTCCCTCGCCTCCTTTTTGTCTGACACGCCCATGGGAAGATGTCAAGTGTCTATCTCCTCCTGTTGCGCATGTATAGAGTGTGTTTAACCCCCAAGTAGGCACCCGGTAGATCTGTAGATTTTGGTCTTGTATGAATGATGAATAGTTTCTGAAAGATGGTTTGTAGTGTTTTTCAAGGATGGTAATGGAAGCGGTTGCTTGCTTTCAGTGTCTTTTGTATCAAGTGGTCGTGGTATTGGCAGGTTAAAGATAACTGATTGTAGTTGACTAGAGATTGGCGAAGCTTCCAACTTGGTAGATAATGAGTGTATTGATGTTCGTTCAACTTTCTGCGGGTGTTGGTAACTTTCTGTTTACCAAATTGTCTATATGTACATGTACAGGTTAATTGTGATGCTAACGATTTTCAGCTTGTGCAGATCGGCTATACCCCTCTGCATGTTAGCAAAAAGGTAACTTGTCTAGAGAGTTTTGTGATGCCGTAAAAATGTGTATTCTGAGTATACTAATTCTTCATTTAGTATCCATTTTCCACCCTTAAAACGAATATTTGTCGACAAACAAGCAAGCACAAAATTTAGCAATATGTGAACACATTTATTTCTATCATAAAATATATGTTTCTAGCATGAGAGGCCCATTTTAAGTTCATTTAACTTTTAGGTCGATATTGGTTATATCAATGAAGTGAAGAGATTAGAAAAAGAGACTAGAAGTTAACATTTGGCTAATTATTAGTAATTTAATAGGTTTGGCTAAAATTAATAGTCATTGCACTAAAAAAATTGGCGACCTTGAAGAAGGGAGGTTGAGGTTTCCCAATACATAACCCTTTGAGCTAAAAAACATATAGACAACATAAATCCATAACCATCTGAAAACACAAAATAGTCAATTTCGTCCATTTTGTTAACACCGTCAGTTAACGGTATGACTAGACTATCGGAAGAGTCTGAGTTGGCGATTGATTTACCTCATCAACCGACGTGGATTAGCAAAAAAAATTTATAAAAAACCAGAAAGAGACCCATTTAACCATTAGTCCTCCATTTCTTTGATTTTTCTTTTCTTCCCATCTTCGTCTCTCGTCCTCCGACCACGACGAACGAGGAGCCTTCAATCCCTATCCCCACCCCAAAATTATCATCGAAACATCAATCCTGCACCATCGCCTTTATTCCCTAACAAACTCTGGCATGCATCCGCCAACGTAATAGACCGACGACCATCGTTTCCCGACGAAACCCAAGCTTTCTGGTAATGACGAAGGCACCGTCAAAGCCTAGGAATCCCGAGGATGTCATTTCCGGAAAACCATATTCGCATGGTAGAAGCACAAATTTTGGACTCTTCGTCTGTCGCGACTGGTGAGTTATGAAGAGAGAGGTTGTGGTTTTTGATTCTGGTCTCGTTTTTATCTCTTTTTGTAGTTTTGTCTTGCTGTAAAAGAAGGAAAACAACTCAACATATTCCAAAAGGGACCACTGCCCATTGATTGCATTCTTTTCGTGAGTTTGCCCCTCAATCTGATGGCGAGTGTCTCCAAATCCTGGGTAGAATGGTCATTGCATCTTTGGTTTGTCAAAACCCTAGCATAGAATAATAGTTGAAGGGTGTGTTTTTGATTTGTTTGTTAGTCATGTTTATCTTCAGATGGTTCATTCATGGGATGAGCTAGTAGGTGAGAATGATCCTATTCAACCGGCAGAAGAGAATGATAGCTTTGCTAGATTTGTAGCAGAGGGTGAAGCTGCTTCTGTTGCACGAGAAGTTTTCCATGTTTATAAATCTGATGATGCAGACACGTCGGATGATGAGTACCACAAGGCAAGGGCCAATCTACGAGCCTATGGGGAAATGAGGAGGAAGGTGAAGGCAAGGGCTGATTGTCATCGGGTGGAGGTAGACCAACTAGATGAGTTTGAATAAGAGGATTTTGAGGATGAAAAAGATGATGAGATTGAGGTGGAAGTCGAACATGATGATGTTATGGAAGAACCTGATGATGCCAGAACCTAGCAAGCAGCCGAAGCTAATGAAGCACCTCACGTTCAAGAACCAAGAAGAGAGTCTTCTCAACATTCCAGCTACAGACTCTTGGAGGATTCTGGCCATGTGAGAGGCAATCTTTCTGATGAGGGTGGTGGAGAGCCATTTGGTGATGTTCCACACTATGACCCTGCTTGTGATCGCAAGCAATTTCAATTCGTACCTCGTTTGAAGTTGATAGTCCTTACCAGTTCAAGAGTGTTTTGTGTTGCATTCTATGGCAGCTGGGGCTAGCTTGAGATGGGTGAGCGGTACCCACATCAAGAAAAGAGGTGAAATGCAAGGATCCTAGATGCAAATGTAGGGTGTTAGCTAGATGGTTTAGGAAGAACCAGAGCCTCATGGCGAGAAAGGTAGGTCTGTCCCACTCTTGTGCACCTAAGTTGCGTGTCAATCAGGTAAACTTCCACGTGGGTTGCCTCTAAAATGCTAGGAAAATTCAGAATAAATCCACAGTGAGCTCCAGATCAGATTATGGTGGAAGTTAAGCTGAAACACAATATGGAAGTGAAGAAGAGAACTTGTTACATAGCAAAGGTAGCTACTATTAGAATGCATAGTGGGTATTTAGTGGTTGAGTTTCATAATATAAAGAGTTATGATGCTGAGATATGGTGAAACAGGATCGACGTGGGAGATTTGTGTCAGAAGTAGAACCACACCCTACTTAAGACATGGTCTACTTCTAGAGGTTGTATGTTCGGTTCTCTAACCCGAGGGACAGATTTCTTGATGCGTGTCGGCCAATGTTTGGCTTGGATGGCTGCTTCTTGAAGGGAGAGGTGAAAGGGATGCTTCTCACTATTGTAGGGAAAGATGTATCCACTTGCTTGGGCAGTAGTGTAGAGTACGTGAAACACAAATTCATGGAGGTGGTTCATCAACAGTTTGTCCCCAAGAATTGAACATGTTAGATAGTTCGGTTTGGAGTGTCATCTATGATCAGCAGAAGGTTAGTTTTCTGTTTTAGTCAGTTTATTCCATTTATATAGGGCTATTTGCTCCATTTATGTTATGTTAGCTAGGGCTGTTAATTCTGGATCGGTATTCTGATATGCTAGCTAGTATTCTGATCTTATTTGTTGTGATCAAGGCTGGGTTGATGCTCTACGTGAGCTGTTGCCTCATGCTGAACATCGAAAGTGTGCAAGACACGTTTATGCAAACACGGAGGTTAAGGACAAGACAAATAGGGTGTGTAAGTGTTTTTGGAAGTGTGTCTATGCTTGCAATGAAGTTGATTGGAAGAAAGCGACTAAAGAAATTGAGGAGATTCAAGGTACTGACAGACTTAACACACCCTTTACAGAATTCACGAATGATGAACCTAGATACTTCTGTCGATCCTTCCTCTCTTCCATTATTAAGTGTGACTCGGTAGAGAGTAACATTAATTTGTGAAACGTGGAACGGATCCATTACTAAGTTTAGGGGTATGAGAATCATTGATATGCTTGAGGGTATCAGGGGTTACATGATGGAGAGGGTTGTGATTAAGCACAAAATGTTATAGGATACAAATGAGGATTTGTGCCCTAGAATTAGGAAGAATCAAATTGCACACTCCTTATCTGCACCGTCTTCCACCTCACCTGCGTGCACACGAACGGGAAGCGACTGCTGGGCGCGGGTAGACAACGGCCGAGCAGGTCCGCTCCGACGCTGCCAGGCCCAACGCCCAGCCGTTAGGAGCCCGACGAAGGCAACCACGGCGGTGAGCACCAGCAGCATCACGAGAAGCGGTAGGAAGCTCGTCCCCCGATGCCCAGAGTGCGCGACGTCGGCAGGTGTGGGCGGCGGCGACGTCGGCGTCGACATGGAGCTCACAGCTCAGTGAAGAGTAGAAGGAGAGATGGATAACGAGCAGAACAAAAATAGAGGACAAAATTAAGCCACCATTTGGCGGGCAATTTTATTCGCTCGAGTCCTTAAAAAATGGGCCGACAATCGAGTGATACAAAATCTGTAACGTTAGAGGTTATAGGTGGTGAATTGGAAACCAAGTCAAATGTGACGTTTAAAATAAATTATCTATATTAATATAACATTTTTGTTATATTCTCCATCTCCTTATGTTACAATTTTGTTATATCAACATTTTGGTTATATAACGTTAAAAGTTGTTTGTGGCAAATTGGAAACTAAGTTAATTGTGACGTCTAAAATAAATTATATAGTAATATAACTTTTTTGTTATATTATCTATCTGGTTATGATATAATTTTGTTATATTAACGTTTTTGTTATAGTATGTTAGAGGTTACACATGGCTAATTGGTAAGTCAATTGTGTTTAAAATAAATGATCTATATTAATATAACATTTTTGTTATATCATTATCCATCTCCTTATCATATAATTTTGTTACATCAACGTTTCTCCATCCCTGGACAAACAACGGCCGAGGTCCAGTCCGACGCTGCCAAGCCCAGCGTCCTGCCGTTAGGAGTCCGACGAATGACGACGTCGACATGTGTGGGACAGATGGATCGCGATCGAGAAGAATGAAAATGGAAGAGGAAATTACACCACCATTTTGCGGGAAAATTTTATACGCTCGGGTTATTAATCAGTCCTTCAAAAATGGACAAACAATCTAGTGTCATAAAATCTGGTAACGCAACAGACCGTGAGTTCGGGTTAAAGAGTAAGTTGCACACACTGAAGAAATTCTTGTTTGGAAACCATAAAAGAATGCATGAATTATAGTTCAAATGAACTATGGATACTAAAATCTCACCAGAAAGGTAAGATTCATTATAGTTCATTTTCTATGTATTAGGAATACAACATAGATTATGAATACATGCATTCTGTTATTACACCAACTCAAAAAAAAAAATTGTATTCTCATATACATGTATACTGAGAACATAAAATATGGAATGGAAGATTCCAAACAAGCCCTTAGTTGTCTATAAAATCAATTATTTGTTTTCTAAGTCTTGAGACAGATTATAAGGGCTTGCTATGTGCCTGTGCCAATAGGCCCAATGGCACAGAGCCCCATTGGCTATGTTGTTTATGTCGTTGTTAGATTTGTGTTTTGCAATTTCTTGAAGTTGGATATATAAGATAATTACTAATTATAAACTTATCGTCACGTACAGCTGATAGTTACGAACTATATGTTTAATTCAAGAACATATACGGAAGATGAATGTCAAGAACTTATTAGTTTAATAACTCAGTTGTTGGGAGCGTGAAGTTAAAGTCTGCACTTTGCAGAAAACTTGTCTGATATTGCGTTCAACACAACTATAGATATTGAACGTTTTTTAAATTTAAATACAAAATCTTTTGATTATACTATTATATTCTCTAATAACATGATGACAAGTACTAATTAGTGTAAATAACTTGTGTTGTTAGAGTATCGATAATTAATTATTATCGACGTTTTGCTCGGAAAAAACTAGATTGAAACTCAACTGGTTTACAAACAAGTCGAGTTTGAGCTAAGCTTTGTTCATCTCGCGAGTTAGCTCGACTCGGTGGCAATCCGGTCTACACAGTCTAACTAGAAGCTTTGTAGTTTTGGGCCTCATATGGAGTTCATGAGTAAGGGGTCCGAGCCCAAGCGGCAAGCCCCAATATCCCGGGCAATTGCTAGAATTTTCCTTGGTGCTTCGATTCAACCCTCTCGAATCACGCACGAGGATTCGGTTTTGAGGTTTTTTCCTACAATAATTTTCATCTAGTCGCGTAACTTCTCGAGGATTCTTTCCTAATTTCTTGTTCGTCAATAATATCAGTACATATTTATAAGAAAAAAGTATGAACCCAAAAGCAATTTCCACAAGATATATAGACCAAATCAGGAAGTCCCTTAAAGCATAGGGGGTCCTATGACAATATCCCAAAATATTTGTGATCTCAAAAAAAATTGTACATTATTTGTGTAGCCGTAGTAGTAATGAATGAGAATTGAGAAGGTACTAATAAGAAGTTAGATGCATGAATTGATGATGTAAGACAAATGTAGTTGTAGCTTCTAACCTCACAATCTACCAACCTCCACCTACCTTGCTTTTTTTTTCCTTATACATATTTATTTTGTTTAGTAATTTCGATCCATTATGTTTTCTTTTCAGTCTTTTCAGTCCAATCCCCCAAAAGTGTCCACTTTTGCAAATTTACCAAAAATAAAGTATCACTTTTTTGCAACTGGCAGTTACTGCTAGCAGTTATTTTGTTTCTTTAAATTGAGTTCTCATCTTCTTCAATCTTCATCTCTTTATTGCTTTCATGTGTTGTCACCTTTCATTATCTGTATGGCTCTAGAGCATATCCATACTGTAAGTAATGCATTAATTTTGTTTTTGTATTGAAATTTTGGGTTTTCATCAACTAATTGGAAGCAAAGATCGTCATTAGAAGGTAAATCCTCATTTTCATCAACTAATATCTCAAACAAAAATCAAAATTTATCATGGTGATGTAGCTAGTGAAATTTTTTTACCTCCAATCTCGAATTAGAGCAAAGATCGTCATTAGAAGGTAAGTCGTGTGATTAGGATAGTAGTCTTGCTCAAGTAAAATGAGTTAACAAGTTTGAGGGGAGAATCTTTTTTTATAATGGTGATCACAATTTATTTATAGAAAGAGAGAGAAAACAACAACAAAAAGCAACAGATAGCGATGAAGTCAGGTTGAAAGATGGTGCATCTCGAAAATTACTTGTTGTGGATTAAGATCCCGAAAATTATTTGTACAAAGTACGTGATACTCAAATTTGATATTTCAGGTTCTCTAATTTCGCTTGTGATGGAGTCAAATTTTTAAATTAGGGAGGCCAATTTTGTTGTTAACAATGATGTAATTCAACAAATAAATCATGTTTCAAATTGTACTTTCTCGTATGTGATCACGCGTTCATATCACAAATAACGGCATAAAATTTAGCGTTTAATTTATTGCCTTGAAAAGAAATAAATCAACCCGCTGGAACGGAGGAGTTGATCTCGTTGAAGCCGCCTCCTCCCGAATGGGTTGCTCTCAACTTTGACGGCTCCATCTACCCTGACTCACGCCACGCCGCTGCTAGCTGCCTAATTAGAGATCCTACAGAAAGTTGTCTTGCACCATTCACAATTAACCTCGAGATTTGCTCTATCACCCGACCTGAGTTGAGAGGTGACTTAGAAGGTCTTCAGTTGGCATGGGAGCTGGGCCTATCGCAAGGTCCAGGTTCAACTCGACTCTCGGTACGTTATTGAGCTTCTTACGCACGACAGTAGAGAGGATCATCGACACTCCGCAGTCATCCAACGATTTCGAGAGCTTGTGCAGCGTGAGTGGGAATAAGTGTGTTGATTTTATCACTAGCAGAGGCCACCACCTACCTCTGAGGTCATATGATTTTCCTATGTCAGATTCCACTCTTGTGTATTGATTGTTGTATGACTTTCAGAGACTTTTTGAACCCGTCTGATTTTGAATGAAGGCTTAGATGCTCAACATCCATTTATGAAAAAAGAAAAGAAAAGAAAAGAAAAGAAAGAAATCAATATATTTGGAGATTAAGGAAGATAATTCTTGATTAAGCTAATAACAAACAAAAAACGGTGGGATGAGAAGGATGAGAAGGCATTTTAAGGAAAGCTACTTTCCGTTTTTTTATCGGCTAATATTTGTCCTTATCGTATCATATGACTAAAGAGTTGACAAAAACATATAGAAATTACTAAATTAGTGGTAATTAATTAATGTTCTTTAATTTGTTATCTACCTAATTTGTTATCTACTTAGTGATAAGTGACGTGCCAAAGAGAAGAAAACAGTAAGCAATAAGGAAGAGATCGATAACGTGGCTTTCCTTCTAGAAGTAAACAAAAGCTCTCTTTTCGGCTACTTTCCTAGCTAATTCCCTCTCTTGTCACCGTCCTTTCGTGGACAGCCACATACTATTATTGTCTAATTATCGGCTAAACAAAGTAATTATCTCTGTAATTACTTAAAGATCTCAACGTTCAAATAGGTTAAGTTAGTTAGAAATCCGGTTCCATGTTATTATGAAACCATCTCCGATTAGTGTTTTATTGATGCCGTACTAATCATACAAGTCAGGTTAGCCTTGATCCAACCAATTCGAATTGTTAATAAGTTACTGCAAATCAATAATCTCTTTGCGAGAACCACCTCACAAGAATTAAGATATTTTAATCCGATGCTAACTTGTCGTACGTGACCGTTAAATAGACGCAATAATAATTTCGTAAATAAATTATCATCACATCTATTTAACGATTAACCAACCGTGCAAAGATTTAAAAAAAAAAAGAGTCTTTATATAAAATTTTCCATCAACCTTATCTTTTGTTTTTGTGAAAAGATAATACATGATGGGCTTATCTACCAACCACCACCCACACCTTCTTAATAAGAGACCTAATTGGCTATGAATGGACTCACAATCTATCCATCCTTTTCTTCCTTCCCTAACTTTGTTCATTTTCACCACCTTATTATTTTTCTTTATTTCCCACAACCACAAAGTCCATCTTCTGTCTCTCTCTCGTACTATTTATTGCGACCCTACAAGCCAAAATCAATATATTTTGGATAGGATCCAAATGAGACATCTTGGATCAGTTCGCACAGAAGTACTCAATGAAATGAAGTAGTTGAGTTGAGTTCGAGTACCACAATTTATCGAGAGAGAGAAAAAAAAAGGCATTGTATAAGAATTGTTTCCTGTGATGAAGTTTAAGTTGCACGATTAGTTAGTAAAACTCATCATAGAGTCATTCTTCCTCTTCAGTTTCGTTCTTGGGTACTTTTGTCTAGTAATCGTCATATAGTAATTATTTCTGTTCCTAGGTACATTGTGCATACATATAAGGGGTTGTTTAATAACCAAAATATTAGGTCTCACATTTCATTATATTTTTCATGTTTCATTTTAGGACAATCATAATATTAGTACATCATGTAATTTGATAGTTCTTGCCACCATAGTGCCTCCTCTGCTTTGAATTTATACAAGTTAACTAGTCGAGATTTCATATCTTCTTATATACGGCTTCATGCAAACTAGGTAGTATATTATGACACTACATGAATTCTGACAATCCAACCTACAAAATACATGAGCTATTCGAATACACGAATTATCAGAACTCTCGTAAAGTGTAACAAAGCAAACTGTGAGAGACAGTGCCGGAGGAGTTAGGTTGAAACGAGCGAGTAGGGGCTATAATTCCTCTCAAGTTAGAAATACAGGTAAAATCACATATAAATTTTGCACAAATATAGAAATTAAAATAACCGATAAACTTTAGTGCCCCTCCTCCAATTACAACGATTCAAATCAATCCCGCATTGTTTCATTGTTCATATATGTCTGGCTCATCTGATCAAGGCTATGCCCTATTGAATAAACTAAACTTGTTGCAACCAAACAATAAGTATAGATGTATGAAATTGGAGATCGAGGACAGAGAAGAAACAGACTTTTGGTTTGAAAGCATTAAACCATGTGGGGGAATAAGATGACACATGTTGAAGGAATGGCCATGCAGAGACAGTTGGCTATCTGATTAGGTAGACCTAACTAATTAATTCATATTATTAGTTAGTTATCAGTTTGCTTCTTCACCAAACTACTGTTGCTTAAAGCAATTAACGTGCACAGCATTGAGATCATGTGCATGAGAGAGCATATGTTAATCTGTACGCGTCAAACATATATGTTATATCCCACCACTACACACCTCTCTTCTTCATTTGGAAGCCACAGAGAGGAGCACTCGAGCTTTGACCAAGAGAAATGGGGAAATATGTATTGTAAAAATCTGATAATGTTAATGAAAACAATCGTAGTATAAATTGGCTATTTGATCTGTTTAATTAATGCGTATATATATTATAGTTTTTAACGCCCTACTATAACATATGAAGGAATCATTTAGAAAAATTATATGAATTCATCATAGTTAAAAGTGTGATGCTTAACATTCGTGTAAACTGTAAAGTCTAACTAACAAGTTATTTAGGTTGAAATACAAGAGAGAAGTGTTCCTCATCGATTATAAATATCATCAAAATGGACTTTGTTTAAACTCATGCTTTGTCAATCAATATATATGCAACACTCGAGCATTACATATTTTCTCACGTAGGTTTTTTCATAACATATTTGTCACTCGGAGTAATGGACAATGCTATGAGTTGAAAAGTAGATTTCTAGCAAACATGAGCTGAAAATCCGCAACATCATCAACAACAGGAACGATAATTTTGATATAATCCGTAGTTATGAATCTCGAGAAATTGCGACATATTCTTTCGCACTTTCCTTTTTTTAATTTTTTTAAAAATTTCAGTGTATACATAGTGCATATGATACTTTATCCAAATATAACCAAAAGATGGAAGGAAAAAACTTCAAAATTAGTTGAACTGGTGACCGCTTGCCCTAATTAAGAAAGATTTATACCTACCTACCTAGCTATATATTATCAGTGAGCTAAACTGAGATAAGTTGTTGTAAATAAATTATACAATACAAACAGTAGTTTGACAGTTGACGTTGTTCTAGTTTTCCTTCCAATTCTGCCCCATTACTTTATCTTCTTTACAATTCCCCCCTTCACGTTTATATAGAAAATTAGCTAGTTACTTAAAAGCACCAATAAGTAGGGATGGCAATTTACCCACCCATGGGTAATTTTGCCCAAACCCAAGTAGATCCATTTATTATGGGTAGGGTTTGGGTGATGTGTGTATGGGTTTGGGTTAGATATGGATATTATCTAAATGGGTATGGGTTGGATATGGATATCCATTTACTTGAGAGTGTTTTAACTACACATGCAAAAATTGGACTTATTTGTAAAACTTGAAAATTTTAGGTACCAAAATGTAAGACCAAAAAAATTTATGTACCAAAACGTAATTTTCCATCGATATTTTGAGGACTTATATGCAAAAAAAATTAAATTTAGGTACTAAATATGCATATCTATTAAGTTTAGGTACCAAACTGTAATTTGTATTTGGGCATGGGTACAAACCCAAATCCAACCCAAAGTAAATGGGTATGGGTACAAACCCATCAAACTTTACCCATATCCATATATTTGGATTTCATACCCAACCCAATTGGGTTGGATAGTAAAATACCCATGGGTATGGGCAAAATTGCCATCCCTACCAATAAGCAACTGTAGCACTAAACAAGAAGATTAGGTACCAAATATTGCAGACGTGTAAAGGACGAAGGGCTGAGTAGAGAATCCACATGGGTGGCCTAGATTGGCTGAGTTGAGAATTGTTAGAAATTCCATATTTCCTAAATTTTATTGATTAATTAATTTATTAATTATAATGAAAATTTAATTTATTATTTATTATTTATCACACTGCACTCCAAATATGCACATGATGGCCAGTGCCCCAACTTTGCGACTTTTTCCCCCTCCACCGCCACCATCACCGCTCTAACTAATTACCAACTGTTTTCTAATTTATATATAATTATTATTATTATTATTTAATTATGATGTCCCAATGTAATTAATTTATTTTTATATGGTTTTGGAAACTAAAAATGAATTATTATTACATAATAATTGTGGGATTCGGTTACCTACCTCTCAAACACATCACATGTTCGTTTCTTTGTTGTTTGGCTTTACAACTAAAAAAAGCAAGTGAGAAGGTTCTGATTATATTCTCTACTCACGTGCATTATCCCCTGATTTACTCATCATTACCATTAATTAATCCTCGATTAGCTTTCTTACTCAACTCATTCTTTCTATCTATCCTCTCTAAAGGGTTAGCTTTTCTGTGGGCTTTATCAGCTCATGATGTGGTGGACCTCTTCTGTCTTAGTTTATGAGCAGAAATAGGCATGTAGCTAAGATCTACCAAATTGACCAACTAGCTGATTATCCATATTAAGCAAGTTGTTAATTAATGGGTAGTTTCTTCATTTCTTTACATGGATTAACTGTTTAATGATGTTGTTGAATCGAAGGGAATGAAGAGTTAGTTTCAATTGGTTTAGAAAAAGGGGTAGGAAATGTTTATAATCATTGTATTAATTTTGTTTGGCACTTCTTGTACTTGATAAGAGAGCAACATAATTTGAATGTAGAATGGATGTGTGTCCTTTCCGTGTAGTAATCATTGACAAACTCATGTACTTTTTTGAGTACTTGTGGATCAATAAGTTGAGTAGGATAATGATGGTAGCTTGATTGAACATATGGATATTATGCTATACGAAATACCGAATAATAATAATATATACATGTTTTGGTGGAGAAAACTTAATGTACGCAATATGCATGTTATAGGTAGAACTGACTTTAAGATTACCATACATATAGATAGTTTATTAGTGATTTTTTTGATAAGGGTGACGTTAAATTAATTCATTGTAAGGAAAAGAAAGTACATAAGGTTCACTTTACAAGCATTGCTCACAATAGAGCATCAATCACCAAACACATACCCAAAGGTTTAAACTCTAGGCCAAACCCAGCATGCAGTCACGATAAAGAAAACATACAGTAGACTGAACTCGTCATATATTCCTGACAATGAGATGGAGTGTCAGAAGCTAGAACAGAGCAGTATATTATTTCCAATTTTCCACTCATTCCCGTATTACTTTTCTTCTAAAATAAAGTAAAATGTAGAGTAATTTTTCTTAGATGTTCCTCCACAAAGTCAATTTGATTTCGGTTAGAAAATATGATTATGAAACACTATTAGCTGATCTATTTCACTTTAGACCCGAGAAAATGGTGATTGTTTATAACTTGGAGTGATTGACACACATGGGACAGCCATCATCTACCAAATTAACATGGCAAATCAAGAGGGGCCAGCTCTATTATTGCATCTCTAGTTACATATCTTGAATCTCACACTATGCTAAGCCATTGTTATATCATTGTATGTATGAGTTGTGAACATGGGAGTGGGCTATTTGGTGTTCCCTCCAATTTTATAAAGAACAAAGAGAGATGATTTTTGGATGAGATGATGAGTTGGTGGATCGATCGATTCGGCCCTTTTAGTTTGTGTTTGTGGGACTTCTTATCACCTTCCATTCACGTGCCTTCAACTTCTTTGTTTCCATTTTCATTTTTTTCCTTCTAATTTTATTAAATAATAATATGAAACTAATTAAAAATGAGATAATGGTTGGTCTGCCTACCAAATTGGCCATTCTTTCAAAGAGATTGGAGGGGCCTACTACAACTACCCACACTATTTAAGGTTCTAGAAGCCTTGCACTTGCCAAACCACCAACTACTTATTTTTTTCAGCTAGCTTTTGTCCCCACATGGGAGAAAGAAGAACAAACAAAAGATTTTACTTGGCAATGGGATGTCTACAAAAAACTCCCCATTTTTTTGTGGGTAATTATAAAATCATTTGACTTTCTTAGTGGGTTCAAGTTTGGAGTGCATATTGGTTAATACTAGAGATGGAGGAGTGTTAGGAATTGAGAAAGCACTAACCCTTTCGTAGTTAATTAAAGTAGTAATTCGATCAAAAATAATAACGAGGATGGTGAACAATAAAGAGCATCTCAACTCGTCTTGCAGTCAATGCTCATGACGAGGGATGGTGAGGTCGGGCGAGGCAACTACGAGACAACATTCTAGAGCTCGCAATCGAGCTTCGGTTGCAATAGGAATTTGGCACGAGAGAACAAGCAAGAACAATAACAAATTAAATCATAATATGCATTTGTGATCAATATTAATCTAGAGAGAGATGAAATAAACTTTATTTTCGAAACTCAAACTTGAAATCTCTCTTAACCTTAACTAGGATTGCTAATCCATTATAACTTTATAAAGGTCATTTTTCCGACATTGATCATTACTAGTATTGCTCTCTTGATATTTCCTAATGTTTGCCATAACAATATTTGTATTCATGAAATATATGCAATCCTTAATTACATATTCGCCCCTTATTGTACTTTTTCCCCATTTTTCATCAGTCTCGTTAATCAACCTTTAATACAAGTTTTACAATGGAATTTGTAATTCAAATAACTCTTTTTTTTTTTATCTTCACTATGCTATGCGCACACATGAAAAGAGAAAACTGGTTCTATGGTTTTTAATTATGATGTCGTTGGGCAAAGAGAGCATTAAGTTTGGGACTCCTTAACGAGACTTCATCACGGCTCCAACAACATAAAAATTTGACCTCTTTTTCCCCTATAATTATGGCAATGAAGACAGCCAAAAGTCAGCGTGCTAGTGGACGGCACTAATTAACGACCAAATTGAGGCAAATGTTTGATAATAATTTCTACTAACATACAAAAGAAGAATTCATCCATCCATTCAACACTAGTAAGAAAGTATTATTATAAATTTGAAATGGAAGGATGGTTTTGTTTATATTTTTATCTGAATTCATATGAATATTGATGGAGCTAAAATCATTTTGGTAGTTGTTATGTCGAATTGAGAAATCAACAATACAAGAAAGTAAAGAACATATAGATTTACGTGGTCCATTAACATAATATTTGTTAGCTGATCTATGAGCAAGAGAGAGTCGGTTTCACTTTACTTGAGATATACAAATTACAAATATTGAGAAGATACATATCATACCTTCCCCATCTGACCATGATTTTTCATTCGACAGCAGATAATCTGTTTTCAAGTCAGAACAACAACAGTAGTCAACAACCAAAAACGTAGAAATGCTCTAGATCAATTATACCCGCATAAGATAAAGATAAAAAAAATTGCAGTTCATTATGCTTGTGTCTTGTGGTATGCATAATACATAAAATGTATGTTTAATGGTAAACCATATAATAAATGTTTGTATAACAAGAGAAGTATGGTAATTGGTGGTGCTTAGGTGATCACTATGAAGTAGGTCAAGTATGACGATTATGAATGTATTGAGTTAGTTGAAAAGGGAGGGAGGGAGGGCATCTTCATGCCTTACAAGATTGGTATGAATTTGGGTGGGAAAATGGAAAATCTAGTTAAAAAGTTAGGAAGGTAGCTAGTTGTTCCAATCTTAGTTAGAATTATTGTTAGGTTCTATTTGTTTGACATGTTACTTTGTCGGGCGTGTTTGGCAAATGGGACATTAAAGTTCTACACTTCTAACTTATTGGTAAAAAAGAAATATTGTCCTAAGTGGGGAGTGTGTTCATTAATTACGTTTTTGTTTATCTGCTAATGGCACACGCTTGTTTTCTCAACTAAACAATTACCTTAAAAATAAACGCCCTCCAAGTCCAAGAGACAAGAGATGGTGAATCTCTGTACTCGATCGACTTCCATTATTATTAGTTTATTATCCATATATTTGTTATAGGTGGCCATATAGTTTTAGTTTACATTAATGGCTAAACAATAAGTCAAGTCTTATATTGAAGATTAATCAATAAGTGACATATAACTAGGATCAGTAAATTACTAAATCGGTTCGGTTAATCAAAAAAACTAAAACATGATTGGTGAAATAATTGGAGAGGGGGAAGAAATTTTTAGGAAAGTGGAAGTTTGAGAGTAGTGAAATAATGAGGGAAAACGATGTTTAATTTTGAAAAGGAAAGGAGGGAAAAAGAGACCCACTATGAGGTAATAATTGTTTTCACCACAAATTCAGGGCAACTACTACAGTGAAATTTCACTCTTTAAATTATCACTCTCATGTACTCTAACAAAACTTATGAACAAGAGAAAAGTCCTCATTTCCCTCCAACTTAGAGAGATTGAGAATTATATATAATATTTCAAGTCGATGACATATAATTTGATTCAAGTTATATCAACAAAAGACTGGTGAGAAAGTGGGACTAGTGAGAAAGTGGGTTAAGATTACACTAATGCTAATTGGGTAGAAGATGCTTTCATGCTTTTTATGATAAAAACAATATATAATTAACAGACCATATGACCCTAAAACATGTTCACATGCTATAAGGAAGAACCTCATCCCCCCACATGAAGTTGGTCTCATGGTATATCCCGAAAGCACTCGGAATTTATTCAAGTACAATGTTCCATTTTCCCACTTATGTCAAAGTTTCAGCTTTACAGCTAAGTGATTGTTGTTCTTTGAAAACATATACAGTTCGATGTTAGGGTTGGATGTTAGCTTAACTTTTCAAACTAAAACTTGGGTCTAGGTTGGTATATGGTTGATTTTTTGTTTTAGTTCTATGCAGTACCTATAACAAAACAGTAAAAGAACGGTGAAAAAAAAATAAGCAAAGAGTAGTTTGATTCGAAACCAACACATTTAAGTTACAACGTCATCACAAAATTAGGATCAAATTGGTATAGTTAGTTTTGTTTTTGGTTGCATGTATACGTTACACTAAAGAGCAAGGACAAATCAAGTAAAAACTAGTTTGAACTCCATATATTTGAGTTACTGACATTATCCACGTTTATTTGTTAACGGTTTACCAATAAGTTATTTGATATCAACATACTGTAAAATTTATATATTAAACTAGACATACTCGAATTGAACTCTACTCGTTAGTGAATGAGTTCAACTCGAACTCAACTTATATATTAACGAGCAGAACCCGAGATAGACAAAACTCGCCTCAACTCTATTCATTTAGAGTCGTGTGCTGTCGTGTGCTATAGCCTAGAACTAGAAGCGTGTTGGGTGGTGAAGCGCCAAGTTAATGCACAAGGAAAACAAGAAGGTGGAAGGAAATGAAGGAAAGAAAGAACCAAGCGACAAACTTGGTAAATTGATGTGAAAGAACATGGTAGAAGAAGAAGAAGGCATTAAATAATGGCCAGTAAATAATAACATTTACCCCCACAGTAACTTTTCTTTCTTTTTTTACATCTCTCTAGAGCTCTTACCTTACAATTACACTTGGCCAGTGAAAGCTCTTTTTTTGGTCCCCAAAAAAAGACATTCATGATCCAAAATCTACCCACCCCCACACACCTTAGATTCAAAATTTACCCAAAAAGGTTAAAAACAAAAGAAGGGGGAAGAAGCTACATAGTAAATACAAAATCTGTCCCAAAATGGAAAAGAAAAAAAATAAAGGGATGAAACTGGAAATTATCATTAGCAATACTGATATCTAATCTGCTGCTGTTGCCGCCCACCGGAAGAACATTGGCAGTGGCAATTCCCACGGGCTCCCCCGCCCAACTGCCAGCACAAGCAGACGGCCTCCGCCGCCGTAGTCGTCGGTGTAGCTGCCGTGCCGGAAAACTGAAGATACGGGTGGAACTGAAGCTTCGACTCCGCTGAGTTCCCGGAGGAAGCCGAACTTGGCCGGGTCGTCGTTAGAGAACGAGAAGAAGGAGTGGCAAGCCCGATTGTCAGCTCCAAATTCAATTCCTCCCGCCGCTCGCCTCCGGCGGCGGCGGATACGGGCCTCGGAAGCGGCGGTTCTTCGTCGGTGGTCATCCCGCTGCTGGAGCAGTTGTTTTCCTCGGCGGACTCTGCTTTTACCACCGTTTGGAATTTGAAATCCAGGATGCTGTTGTTCGCCTTCATCGTGTTTGATTGGAGGAGCCGGCTGATTTCCGCCATGGATTGAGCTGGATCATGTGCGGATTTGAAATCCAACTGGGTCGGCTTCGCCGGAGGAGTAACAGTAACGGCAGCGGCGGTGATGGTGGTGGTGGTTGCTGGTGCGACGGGGACAACGGCGGAGGTTGGCTTCTCGTTGAGGGAACGGTGAGTCTGCGGGTCGATTCCGCGGCTCATGAGCTTTCGCTTGATGTGAGTGTTCCAGTAGTTTTTGATCTCGTTGTCTGTTCTTCCCGGCAGTCTTCCGGCAATCAAAGACCATCTGAAGCGGACAAAAAAGACACGAAATTTAGCCCAAAAACGAAAAACAGGGGAATTAAAAAAAACAGAGGAATTGAAAAAGGAGGGATTTGAGATTGAGGTAATTACTTGTTGCCAAGCAAGCTGTGAAGCTTAATGATGAGTTCGTCTTCTTCTTCAGAGAAATTCCCTCTTTTGAGATCAGGCCTAAGGTAATTAATCCATCTCAGTCTGCAACTCTTCCCGCATCGGAGCAACCCTGCCGAGAAACGAAATCCAGAGGGGGAAAAAAATTCAAACAACTTGCCAAAACAGGGGGAAAGGAATCGACTTTTTCGTTTCGGGGAAGAACCCAAAAAGAAAAAAAAACACTAACCGGCAGATTTGGGGAGGGAGCGCCAGCAGCCTTCGCCATGAGTGCGGATGTAATCAATGAGGCGCTGGTCTTCTTCTTTGGTCCAGGCGCCTTTGTTGGTGTGAGCCTTCTCGCAACAAGGAGACCTTCCCATGATTTGATTTCTTTTCTCCAAATCGAAGAAATGGGCTTTGTTTCTCTTCTCTCGTTTGGATTTGGGTTGTCAACAGCAGGTTTACACAAAGTACCTGACTCGCTTGTCTGTTAACTGTTCGACGAAAAGTCTGAGAGAGAAGGGGGGGGGGGGGGGGGGAAAGAGAAGCAGGGGAAGAAGGAATTTATGTAGAGGAGATGAAGAAATGGGAAGGTGGGTGTTGGAGTATATGGGAAGGTAAACAAGAGAGAAAGAGCCAATAAGATAGCGATGAGAATGGATTGCTGGTGGGGCTTTAATTATAGAGCAGAGAGAGGGAGGAAGGTAGAAGAAGAGAGGAGGATGGGAAGTGAGAAGAGAGAAGAAAATGGGGTGAAATGAATTGAAATGAAATCTGTGGTGAGAGAGAGAGAGAGGGAGAAGGAAGGGATTTTGACCAAGTTGGTGAGAAAGACAAGTGGTTGCAGATAGGAGGCTGGATTTGGTAGGTAGCTCTACTTTTACGTCAGATTTTGCATTTCCCTCCTTTCCTTTCCTTTCTTTCCTGTGTCATTTCTTCTCTTTCGGGGTCAATTACTCGACACAACCACTCAACTTTGCGGATCACTCTAATTCCCTAGCAAAAAAGTAAGTGACCAATTTGTTAATGAAACGAAGTTTGCTGACCGTTTGTGCAATTGCTCCCTCTTTGTCCACGGGTAGGATCCAGTCCTTAAGGCTAAAACTTAAGAAGTTTCTTAAGTTTTTGTTAGCCAATAGGAAGAGGAGAGAGAAGAGTGAAGTATAACTACCTAAAAGGACAATTAGGGTATTCTTTATAAACATATTAAATGCAAATTCGTAATTAATACAATTTAATATTATTATTTAATATTTAATAAATTTAAAAACCAATGTTTAGTATTTCGAAAATGGAAATTAAAAATTAAAAATGCCCATGCTCTCTGTAACGACTTGCAATGACATTATTAATGTTTATGAAATAAATTATTACTTATATACCCCATTATTATTAACAATTTCAACATACTTATTGATGCTTTTCAAATGCATTATTAACGATTTTAGTTCAGTTGGTAACGATTTACATTTTCGTCCTCTACCCTTACGAATTACTAATGAAAGTTAAGCCACATCGACATTAACAATTTGAATAAAATTATCATTTATTTACAATATCTTTATTAACGATTCAAATATTTACATCAAATTCATCACTAGCCAATCATGGCATTATACAATGACTTTCATTGACATTATCAACGTTTTGCGATCAATTGATATCTCTTTACACTGTCGTTCACAACGATCATAAAGCACAACGCTTATTTGCAGTATCTTCGAAACTTGTGATATATTGCACCTGTGATTCATTCAAGCAAACATTAGCTCACGTAAGTGCAAAAAGTTAGTCAAGCAAACCAACATTCACACACCAACACCAAACCATTAATAATGATAAAAAAAATAATTAATAACGTAATTTTATTTCATTGAAAACAAACACAAAAATATTAATAATATTCATACTCAATGCTAAGTATCAAATACGTACCATCCAAAAATTTCACTTGAATATTGTATTTTGTTCAACACTAAGATTAAATTGTTAACACTAAAACTGCGTCTAATCATTAATAATGACATTGTAAATTATTAATAACTAGTTGTGTTTTGTTGAAAATGCAAGCAAAATCATTAATCATGACGAGATTGTCTGGTTATTAACCATACTATGTATTGTTAATAACTCCTTAATAAAAACAACTCTTATTCCCCACCCTTCGAACGACAAACATCATTATTAATGTTTTGAATAACATTATCATTGATTTACAACATACTTATTAACGAATGCACGTTATCATGTCATGTTCATACCTAACCAATCAAAGCATCCATGAATAACTTGCAATGACATTATTAATGTTTTGCAATAACAATATCAACGTTTATGAAATAAATTATTATTGATGTGTCTCATAATGATTAACAAATTCAATATACTCATCAATGCTTTAGGATTTACATTATTAACTATTTAAGATAAATTATTAATGATTTTCATTTTATGACGAGATATTAAAGTTATGCCACATCATTATTAACAGTTTGAATAACATTATCCCTAGTTTCCGACATCTTTATTAACTATTTAAGTTTTCAAGTCATGCTCATCATTAGCCAATCATGGTCTCTCACAATGACTTTCAATGATATTATTAACGTTTTTCAAACAATTGTCATCGACTTACATTGTCGTTCTCAACCTTTATGAAATGAATTTTTATTGATTGATAACGATTCAATATATTTAATAACAATTGTTAATACCAATTTCAATATAGTTATCAATACTTTACGATAACATTATTAACGATTTCTTATCATTTTTTAACGTAAACTTCAATCACACCGTACACAAGAACATATGAAAAATTCGAATTGATAAATCATACCTATGACAAAAGATCGAGAAGAATCCATGTACTTAACCAGCACGGTGAAGCTTGAGGGACCTTGTAATACCACCATCTCCAGTCGCCATTTCGTCGTCGTTCCGTTCTCTTCCTCCCCTGCCGTTGCGGTTAATGGCAATAACAATCTCACATGGGGACAACAAAGTGAGGAATAGGTTGGTGGAAGCAAAGTAGTGGAAGATGAAACCCTACTGGTGGCGGTAAATGGTAATGTCGCAGAAGAAGAGAGATTTATGTGAGATTATGGGTATATATAAATTAGATAAGGAATCGGCGTGTAGTTGCAGGAAGGAGAGTGGTAGGGGTTGAGAAGGAGACTGCAGAAACGATGAAGGAATGACTAAGCTGCTGGGACGATCGACAATGGGTTTTTGGGCAGGGATACGATGAAGATAAGAGACTCCATTCTAGGTTAATTTAAATTAATTAGATTAAGTTTAAATTAATTATAATTCCCTAAGTACCCTTAACCAACAAATAACTATCAATAACCACTAACTAATTACTAACCACCCGAGATTAATCTAATGGCCAGGATTGACTTAAGCAACTTCTTAAGTTAAGTGGCTTAATGACCTGAACCTATCCGCTTTGTCCAGGTGAACACGAATCAGTTCTGGAATGAGTATTTGATGATGTTTTTTTTGTCCCTCGACTCCTTTCTTTTTTTGGGACGGTGGTTATTTTTTATGATGAGGAACCACGTTTCTTTGAGCAGGATTAGGTAAAGCCATCTTTTGAACTGAATGTCATGAGGCTCGTGATGAATATTGGGTAAAAAAACGTGAAGTTAAAAAGAGTGAGGTAGTTAGGATGTGTATAGTATAAGGTATGTCTAGCGATGGTCGACATAATGTAAATTCAATTATGATCGTGATTTCAATACCTTGGTTGAATTCAATATCGTGGTTTCAACATTATAGTACATATTATGCATGTGTATTCGATTCTTGTATGTTAATAGTATTTAACTTTATATATAGAGAGAAAGTCTATGTGAGAGAGAAACAAAAAATAAAATGGAACATATTGAAAAGTATAGTAAGATTAAGTATATTCTTACTTGTTATCATTGTTATTATATATTAACGAGGTGAACAGATCCATGATTATAAGCATGAACAAGAATCATTGAAAAAATGGTGTCACATGAACACTTCCAGTAATGATTAGGGAAAAGGTATGTCAAGGTGGCTGAGTCGATCGACTTGATCTTTAATTTTATGATAAGATTGTATTTTGATCCACTAAAATGAGTTTACCTTGTAACCAACATTTTTTAATCTATACTTACAATCAAACATAATGTACAAGATCAGTCGGTATTGATTCAACAACAAACTATTCATTATTCAATTGATTCATATTACAAGTAACAGTCACTCTTATTTCATTCATATTAAGAATGAAATTATCATTCACCATAAATAATTTCGAAATTCATATCATCACCAAAATATCTAATAAACAATTCAAGCCATCTCACAAAAGACATAAGATTTTTTTTCATTCACATTAAAAATTTACGCTGTCAGTCGGTAGTGAACCACATAAAGTCGACAACAAGGTTGAGAAATGAGAAGAGGAAGCATATATAAAATTAATAATTATGGTGTGATGGTCTTAGTTTACGTTAAACTACTTTTTTAATTTGTTTTGGTTGATTTATTGAACCAGTGGACCAGTTAAACCGTAGTGATTCATCTGATTTTCTGTTGAACCGTGAAAAACCGTTGATTGGTCCATCAATAACCGTCCAAGCAATAAATCGAACCGCTATCATAACTGGTTTGGAGATTCCACTGACCCATCATCCATTGATCCGATTCGGTTCTTATAAAAATGAGAAGAACTTTCTTTAGCCGATCTATATATATATATCTTTCCAAAACCGATCACTTATATCTCTATGAACCAAAATCCCACTTTTAACGTGTTGAAACTTGGATCATGAGCTTTCCCTATAACGTATCTCATGTAGATACCTTTTCTCTACTCATTATGGTGTCGGCATTCACTCCAAAAAAATTTTACGGTGTCGGCCTTTATGACATTCCCGACTTTAGGGCCTCTGATCTTGGCCAAGATTCAACTGTGTCATCATGTGCAACAAACAAGGCCATGCATGACCTTCTGAAGGTAAAAATTCTGGCCAAACTTGTCATCGGTGAAAGCAGCAGTGTGTTTTCTTGGGGTTATTCGAAGGAAAGTAGAAGAGCACAAATGGAGGAGGCAGGCAGACAAGCACCTAATGTACCAAAAAACTTGGCTCACCTAATGTAACCAACGTGTTCTTTGGCTGTTCTAGCACACTGCTAGGCCCTAGAATTTGGTGCTAAGCTAGAGATATTTTGGGCCTTGCTTTTGAAGAAGGAAGATATGTGGGCAAAAGATTTGGTCAAAGCATAGGATCTATCTCGGTTAGGTTTCAATTATTAGAATTCAAGATGCATTTGAATTTAACGGGTCACTTATCAAGAATAGAAAAGAAGTAAAAAATATTGATAAAAAACTAAACCAATCGAACCAGGTCTTATGTACCACTTATTTTGCCGTATATACCAAATTTTTCGATAGTGAGTAATAACTAATAAGATATTAACAACAAACTCTAATGAATTTGCTGGATATTCATGAAGGTTGAGACAAAGCATTAGATTTTCCGTAAAAGAACCAATTCGGTCCGATTTACTAAGACTATGCCCACCCCTTTGGTCATAGTAGTTGTAGAGTAGTGGTATTGGTGAGCTCATCCAACCAAAGACAAATCCCCACTTGAATGAAAGTTGGATTATTCAGGGTAACACTAAAGAAGTTACGATTCTTTGTTCCCTTTACTTTTTCTCAATCACACTTGTTAGACTCGGAAAATAACTGACCGAACCAACCTCTCATCAACTAACTACTCACAGTCACAGGTCATACTCGATCATTTAGCTAGGCTCAATGCAAAATGGCTTCATGGGCCGGACAAAGTCAATAGATGGGCTTGGATCAGTAGCCCATTCTACTTGGACCAAGCCCAAATCCATTTGCTTAACACCAATTCCCTCCATTCCCACTCACAATTGAAAAGAATCCTACTTGACTTCTACCTAGAAAAAAAGCATTGCAGAAGCTTGAGCAAAGCGTTTACACTGAACTCTGAAGACCAAACCAAGGGATCTCAGTTTTATTTGTTGACGAACGATGACTCAGCAAGATCGATGGCACGTGCGAGACCAGCAGCTTTGTTCTCGCACTCTCTCTGCTCGTCGTCAGGGTCACTGTCGGCGACAATCCCGGCTCCAGCCTGGATGTGAGCAACCCACTCTCGTCGTTTGTTGACGTCGGCGTACGAGTACATGGTGTCGTACCGGGTGCTCGTGGGGAAGACGATGGTTCTCAGGGCAAGGGCAATGTCCATATCACCGTTGAATGAAATGCCGCCGAATCCACCGCTGTATGGCCCACGCCGAGTCACTTCCAGCTCGTCGATCAGCTCCATTGCTTTCACCTGTAGTTTTCAATAGATACCCGAATGTGACACGAATGTGGATGACTGTACAGTATGATGCATAGTAATGCAAGGGTGGAATGAGTTCATCAAATTATGGCATGGAAGAGTGCAAGTAGAGGAAGTTCGGTGAGACAATACCTTAGGAGCTCCACTGACTGTGCCGACGGGAAGTGCAGCACGCAAGACGTCCCAGCTGGTTAAGTTGTCAAGCATTTCTCCTGTGACCTATCAGCAAATGAAATCTGAGTCATTAATACAATACTTACGTTTAGACCAGACAGGAGACGGAGCCTCACACAATGGTTGCTCCACGTAAGGGACCGTTATGCTCAATAACAAAAGGGAGAGAAAGCAGCAAGTTCATGTAAGGAGCTGCCTTCTTCCCACTCACTTTGACTGCTGGTTAAGTAATCAAAGAGAGAATCATGCAATGACAGAAATGAGATAGTCTTCTCTGCATATTCACTAGTATGTAAACTAATACATAACTGCTATATCTAGATTATTGAGAAGCAAAGATTTGTACCGTTGAGCTGATGTGCATAACATGGGAGTAGCGCTCGATATTCATGAGCTTTTCAACTTTTACTGATCCAGGTTTGGAGACCTGCAAGAAAAAGCCAGCTAATGAAAACTCTTTATTCTATTATCTTATCTTACACAATGTATACATATGACTCTGCTACATTTGAAATGACAGACTTATATGAAATATGATAAGCATAAAAAGAACCGACCTTTCCCACATCATTCCTTCCCAAGTCAACAAGCATAATGTGTTCTGCACATTGCTTTTCATCGTTCAACAGCTCAGTTTCCAACATTAGATCTTCCTTCGGCGTTTTTCCTCTTCTAACAGTTCCAGCAAGGGGTCGATTCGTAATTTTGTTCTGTATATTTCATTCAGCATCAGGCTAGGCATGAAGAATCGGAACAGAAAAGCGAAAGTTCACCTGATCAAGCACTAATTGGAGTTACCTTCTTGACGCGTGTCAAAATTTCTGGGCTGGAAGCAACCAATATACACCCTCTAGCCTGATGAGAAGGAAATGCTCAAACATTAGATTGTAATGATACATAACATGCTGCTTTAAATGGTGAGGTCTAGGCTGAAAGTGGGCACACTTGTAGGTAAGTCATATATGGGCTAGGATTGACGACTCTCAGACATCTGTAGATCTCAAATGGGTCTGCATATGTTCGTCTCTCAAAGCGCTGACTCAATACAATCTGGAAAATATCACCAGCTAGTATATGTTCTTTAGCTGTCAATACTGCCTCCTTATAGTCTTCATTTGTCATGCTTGAGACATCCAATTTAGGGCCAAAGAGACTAGTTGACATCATGATTGAACCAGAAGATAGCCTTGGACTGTAAAAACAGTAAGGATTACTCAATACACTGATAAATAGACAAAACTGCTGGATATAAAACATCTCTAGATTACTCACGGTGCTATATCATGAATTCTACTGATTAAGTTCATCAACCGATCAATACCATCATTATAGGCCTCCTCAATGGAAGAATATCGATCCAACTGAACCCAGTGAATCAGGTGTGCTTTCTGGGGATGATAAGAAACATTGAAACTATTAAACACACAGGAATGAAGCGAAAAAATGAAGGGCTTGAGATGGTAAAATAAGAAGTATCTAAAACAACATTGCATGTACGCACCTTATCAACATGATCAAAAACAATAACATCATCATAAAGACCAAGATGAATATCAGGGAGATTTCTGTCATCAGGTGGGGCAGCAGAGAAAGGCATCTTTTTCTTCTCAACAAACCGCACAGTGTCATAAGAAAAGAAACCAACCCACCCACCTGGTCCATATGAACTTTTCAAAGTTAAGAAATGTGTGTCCAAGAATGGACATAACAATAAGCATCTAATATGAAGAATGTGTAGTGCCATTTCAACAAGCCAATCCTAGAGACTGTGGATCTGCAATAAAGAAGACTGACCACAGAAGCATTCTGGTAGTTCATCAACAAGTTGAGGTGTCCATCCCTCCATTATTCTTCGAGGAACATCCATTGGGTCTTCCACTATCTGCTCCTCCCTACGGTTCTCATGATGGTACATAGTTGTAACCATGTTCTCTTTTGCCACAATCTCTATGGTTGGTTGAGCTCCGATGATGCTATACCTTCCCTAAATAAAAAAGAGGCGCGTCACAACAGAAACTACACTTCCCTGATGAGAAGAATACATGCAGTAGGAGAAAGAAGGAGAACAAGAGGAAACAAAGTCAACTTACAACGGTGGAAGCATCCAGACCGGGTTGAACCGACTCAAACAAGAAGCTTGGTGCGTCTCTATCATCTTCCCTTACCAGGCATCTGTAAGCAAGCACCGGCGTGAGATGATCACATAGTAGGCATTGGTGTAAAGGAATTAGATTCCCTTTCTTTGCAGCTTCATGAAATTTTTCTGATTGATCAACTGAAGAAAAAAAGCAAGTACAACCGGGTTATGACTTGCACAAATTGAATGTAGGCTGGAACCACGTAGCAACGATCACACTTTACAGCTATCATTGCACTGAATACTTATATATCCACACACATTAAGTACCCATAATTTGAACCAGATAACAAGCCAAGAGTTCAGTCATCGAACAACATAGTTTCAATCGCAGATGTCGATTTCTATTGATGACAGAAATCAATTCAGCTCTCAATTTCATCACAAGACACTCACTCACTCAATCAATCAACCAATCATTTCATTCCCACTGCCTTTGATTCAACCGCAATCAAAACATTACAATCATAGTACTTAGCTAACATCAGCAGCGGCGGGAATCCCATATATATGCTACTATTCCTCTCAAACCAAACTAGGTAGTAGAATTGATTTCTTCCGCCTCCTAATGCTTTTTCCTTTCCTTTTTTTCTCAGCATCCAAACGGAAAGAGAAAGCGGCACACAATCACCGAACGAAGGCGGAAACGGAACAATGGCAAAAGCAACTTACCAATCGGTTGATAAGTGGAGGCGGCGCATTTGTGGGAACCGAAGCGAGAGCTGCGGCCGACCAGAGAAATAGAACTCGAGGAAGTGGAGCTGGCGCTTGTGAGTCGTCCATCGAAGTTGACGGAAGGAGCCGCCGGGAGCCGGAGAGGCGGCGGAGGCTGTGGGAGAGCAACGGCTAAGGTTCTGCCCATTGCAGGGAAGGATCTGGTGTGAAGAAGGGAGGAAGGGCGGAACTGAGAGAGCTCGCACATGGAAACCGAATTCAGTTGCATTTTTCTCCTTCCGGTTGGCTGAGTGTTAGATTTTTGAACTTCTGACAAAGACTAAAGGCAGCCGGAACTTATTTGCCAAATTTATATGGTTCAGTTTGGGCCTGTTGTTTTGGGCTGGGCTTGACTATGAAAATCGGTTAATACGTGAGTCGGGGAGGGCCCAGAGGTTGTTTTCAGTTATTGCCCTCTACCGTTAAAAACATTGGACAATGACATTAGATCCCATTCTCTACATATGGGGTGAGACTAAAATTATGTTAACCAGCAATAAAGACTACAACGAAGGGAGGAATAGAGTGGAACGAGGCAATTAAAGGAGCAGAGGCAATTTTGGAGCGGCGGATTTTAATTTGGGCAAGCGGAACTCAGCCTGGGGGATATGTTTCAGATTAACTTCTCTTCATTCTCCTCTCTCAACCGTCCGCCGCCTCTTCCGGTCCACACTCATCCCCCTGCTTCCTTTCCCCACCGCAATCTCTTTCTGCTTCATCTAAAAGGAGAATGAAAGAAGGGAAGACCATCTCGGTTATGGGCGAGGCATCTTGCCGTCCTCCTCGACGTAGTGGTTGCCAAGATTGTCCGGATTACTTGGACAAAAATAGTAACCGTCTATTTCGTCGTTGTGTTGTTGACGTCATCGACGGTCAAGTCATCATCGATTATTGCAGGTTTAGGTCGGCAGGAGCGTTGAGGCAAGGCGCCAGGAGAGTCCAGGCAGGCGCGACACGGCCCGGCGAGGATCAGAGAGCGTCTTATCCTCGCCACCATTGCCGACGTCGGGGGGAGGAGGAGCGACTCAGGGCAACAAAACGATGTCGTCTGCCGTTGGTGACTGGATCGCAGAGCCGTGTGGCGGCGGAGCAGTAGCAGCCGAATTGGGCGATGTTGTGTGTGCCTACCGACGCACCGACGCGACGGTTACCGGTCCGGGGCGGTGTGGCGATACCACCGGGCGACGGTTAAGCTAAGTATTCTTAACTATTCAATTTTCTTATTCATTAGTAATATTTATTTGTTTTCTTTTGTTAATTATCCTCCCTCATTTATTAATTTTGTATCTTTATTTATTTTCTTTTCCATGTCTTGTATCGTTTTCCATCTATGCATCAATTTTACTAGTTATATTTTATCTTGTATAACTATATGTTTCTTTTATTATTTCTTTTTCAATTTCTGCATCAATTTTCCTAGTCATATTCTCGAGGATGAAGTTCTTTTCAAGTTTAGGTTTGTAGTCTTTATTAAAAAAAGGTTTGTAAATAATGTTGGTTATCTATGGTTTCCCGATGACCTGGTTCACTTTTTCAAGTGAGAAAGTTGCCTTGTGTACATGTTGGCCTGTTGGCTCATTGGCCTGGATTGTCCTTGCAGAGGCCTTTTTGTTTGTTCATTTTGCAGGTGAAGATTCAATTGCAAAATAATCGATTGGTGGCAGCTCTGTCATGTCCACCAGGTGGCCTTTTGATGAGATTTGATGGAGCACTGCTACGAAATAGGGGAGGCATCATTGGCTTTGTGGTGTTGCTATTGCTAAATCGAATTTTGGGATGCTGTCGTGGAGGTTATCCTTTTGAGTCCTGCTTCTTCACTGTATCAAGTTGGCGTCGCACTTATCATGAAGTTGTATCATTTTGATGGTTTGAGTGGTTTCCTTCACTTTTTTCTTAGGAACTAACAGAGCTGCCCATTGCGTGGCAAAATCGGCTCTTTCATCGACAGCTCAATTAGTATTGACTGTCGCTTTTATTTTTCAATCCATTGTAATCAACTATCTATTACTATTCTATTTATGGCAAAAAAAAAATAAAGACTACAACGACTTTTTTTGAGAGACTACAAGGACAAGATTAGGTGATTAAAAGGGACCAAATGAGTAATTATTGAATCAAAGAAATCTATTTAGAAGGTTAAATTATTCATTGACCTTGAGAAAAGAAAATATTTCATTTTTCGAATTATTTCATGTTCTCCTTTCTCCAAATGATTTCGATAAATTTCAACAACCGTTTCTTGTTTTTTTAAATCCTCATTCTTACTATTTTGCTCTCCGCCTATCTTTTTTTCCCCAAGCTAGCAATAAATATTGGGAAGAATGATGATGAGGAAAACTTCATCAAAGGGGGGGGGGGTGTTTTCTCCGTTTTAGGGGGCTGGTTCCGGTGGCCAGCCTGTTTGTTTGTGGGCTGCCATGCCTTGTATCGGTTTGCGTTGTACTCCTCTTTCTGTCTTCTGTTTTAATCGATTTCACCTTTATCAAAAAAAAAAACTTCATCAATCCTCAGTACAAGACCTTCATCACAATATCATTATCGCTCTCTCCATCTCTCTCGATCATTATTACTATAATTTCAATTTAACCTTATCTTAGTTAGTTTCATACATCATATGCGACAAATAACTAATGAGACAACGACATGAAAGTTAATTTCCAGAAAGCCATTAGAATCTGTCAGTAATAATGACTAATGAGATAGACAAATTGCCAAACTTAGTAGTAAAATTGGACAGCTAATGATTCGTGCCCAAATTAACAAACTGGTAAACCAAACCCTAGGAAAACAGAGGAAGGAAGCTGGGGAAGGTCAGAATATTTTGGGCCTTATATCCACATTGGACCCGTTCTAACATCAAGCCCAAACAATCACAAGAAAGAAAGAGAGAGAGAGAGAAACTCCGTTATAAATTTCCGCCTAGCAAAATGCCACCACCAACGCCAAGCAGTTGCTTCCAAAACCAACCTCCCCGATCCCTCATTTCCATCAGGCTAAATCTCTCTCTCTCTCTCTCTCTCGCTCACATTTCTCCTAACTCAAACGCTGCGTGATCTGATCCCTTCTGTTCTTAATCCTGTGATCAAGCAGAAGTTCGAATCGAGAAAATGGCGATCAAGGTGTCGAAGACGGAGAAGAAGGTGCAGTACGACAAGAAGCTGTGCCGGCTGCTGGACGAGTACTCGCAGATCCTGATCGTGGAGGCCGACAACGTCGGGTCGAAGCAGCTCCAGGACATCCGAAAGGGGCTGCGCGGCGACTCCGTCGTGCTCATGGGGAAGAACACCATGATGAAGCGATCCATCCGCCTCCACGCCGAGGCCACGGGAAACGATAGCTTCTCCAAGCTCGTCCCTCTCCTCGTGGTATAGTATAAATTATTAGGCTGATCATGAGCATTAATTTCGTGTATATTATTCGATCCGACCCTGAATTCGTTAACAAAATTTGATTATGGGGGATGAGTGAGTAATCGATGGATCTGACCAGATTGATTTTTGGATCAGAAAGGAGTAAATGGTTTCGATTCGATTTAACTTTGTTTTTTCCGGGAATGAAGGATGTTTGGGATTTTAGTTTTTAACATCAATCACAGAGAAAAATAGAAACGATTGGATTATATGTTTGTATGCTGGTATGGATTTGATTTGATTTTGAACGTGATGAAATCATTGTTTTGATATATATGAATTGTTGAGAAAAAGTTGGTTAATAATTCTTGATGTACGTGGGGGTGGAAAATGTTTTTTCAGGGGAACGTGGGATTGATTTTCACCAAGGGTGACCTCAAGGAGGTTAAAGAGGAGATCGCCAAATACAAGGTATGGTTTACTCCATCAGTTTCATTTTTTTTTTACGTGGATTTTTTTTTATATTGTTTTTACCCTTTGGAATCTGCTGGTAAACGGCGTCGTTCTGGACGTGCATGCATCATGCATGCAAGTGAAGTGACTTTACTAAGGGGTTTCTCGTTTGTTCTTTCTATATGTTTCTCCGGTTATTTATCCAGTTATGATTATTGATCTGTAAGTTGGGTATATTTGGGATCTGTAATTGGTCTACTTGATTGATAATTAACTAATTAATGTTAGGAAATGATAGATTACTTATTCAAAACTGCAAAACCTACTTAATCTCGCATCATACCATCCATTATACGTATCATGCCACCCTAATACGATCATATCAGAGGTAGTAAAACGCGTGTTTTGTAGCTTTTACAACCCTTAATCTTTGTACCTTAAACCCATGTCCTTAACGTTAATTATTACATGTGGTAACTAATTAGTTGATTAACAGGTGGGAGCTCCTGCTCGTGTGGGTCTGATCGCCCCAATCGACGTCACTGTCCCTCCAGGCAACACCGGGCTCGACCCCTCTCAGACTTCCTTCTTTCAGGTTCATCACTCTCCCCTACCCTAAAAACTAATTCGCAAATCACCATTTACTTACAAAACTAGTAACGACGACCCACGAACGTGTTTAATTAGGTGCTGAACATCCCGACCAAGATCAACAAGGGCACGGTGGAGATAACGATGTCGGTGGAGCTGATCAAGAAGGGCGAGAAGGTGGGATCGTCCGAATCCGCGCTTCTCTCGAAGCTCGGCATTCGTCCTTTTTCCTACGGCCTCATCGTCACCTCCGTCTACGACGACGGCAGCGTCTTCAGCCCCGAGGTGCTCGACCTCACCGAAGACGACGTCGCTCTGAAGTTCGCGTCCGGGGTCACCAACCTCACTTCGCTCTCGCTGGCCGTCTCGTACCCGAGTCTCGCCGCCGCGCCGGCCATGTTCGCTGCTTCGTACAGGAACGTGCTCTCCGTTGCCGTCGAAACCGAGTACAGCTTCCCCCAGGCCGAGGACGTCAAGGAGTACTTGAAGGTAATTCATTTGTGTTCCTTTACAATTTTCTTCTTCTTGGCGGTTCGGTCAACCAAACAAAAAAACAGTGTAAACCGAAATTCGAATTAGTCAATTATACAAAAGTGAAACCGTTAAGAGTTTATAGGTTCGATTACGATATACATGAACCGGGAAACCACAAATGAACCTTTGATTGCATTAAGGCTCATCGGTAGTTTATCGGTTCGAACCAAAACCAAAACCGTTAAAAATTGAAGTACAGAAAAACCAATTTAGTTTTGGTGAAAACGGAACCGCCACACTTTTAGTTAGACGTGAGCTTAAACTTGAAGAGAATTTAAGCTTGTTTGATAAGAGAAACGATGTTTAGGGGGCTAAAAATGAGGATTTATTTCATTCATAAACAAATTTAACTTAATTAATCACCCACTAATTAAATAAGCCCACAATACTTTGTTGCAATTCAAGGATTTCTGTAGGAGGAGCTAAATTGTTAAACAAATGGCTGATGTTGGATTCTTGTGATGGATTTCAGGATCCAAGCAAGTTTGCAGCTGCAATGGCGGCGCCGGCTGCAACGGCAGCTCCAGGCGGAGGAGCTGCCGCCGGTGGAGGGGGAGCTAAGGAGGAGAAGAAGCCTGAACCAGAAGAGGATTCGGAAGATGACGATGTGGGCATGGGTGGCCTTTTTGATTAAGCTGCATGGTGGTAACCATTTTGCTTTGGTAGTTTAATTTGGGAATTTGCTAGCTCGTAGCTAGAGTGTGTGTTTGGTCTTTGTTTCATTTCCCTTTTCCCTTTCTCTACTTGGAACTCCATTGGCGATTTTGGCTCTTCGATCTGTCAAAGTTGTAGAATTGGCACTTCTATTGCAGACAGTTCCTAAAGAAACGAACTCCCTGCCAACACCAAACAGACATTTCATCCATTAATTAGCAATAATTCACTAGCAGAGACAGAGTTTATAGTTTTTGCTTTGGTTAAGAAAGATCGTACACACCTGCAATGCGAAGTTGATGTCAGCTTCATCAACGGTTAAGGTTACCCTCTTTAGTTTATCGTCACCACGAGACTGTCCTAGTTTCACTAGTCCCTGTAGTAATAGTTTTTGATGAGAAAAAGGCTGGGAATGAAATGTGTTATATGATGGACGTGTTATGTTGCTTTACCTGGTCATTCAGCACTCTGCACATACTCAGAAACTCGGAAATTCCAACTGGTGGGATCATTCTTGATTTGCACGTCTCGACATAAGATTTGTTCAGCTGCAATCAATGATTCGAACAAAGCTAATGTTGAAAAAGACTATCTAGATGTTCAGTATCTATGCATCTTGGTAGAATGGTAAGAAAAGTAGCTCACCTCTCCTACTACAGTATCCTTCTTTCCTCCACGGAAGAACTTAACAGCTGAGCATAGGATTATCTGCAATTTTGGTTGAGTTAGGTTAATGACACAGTGTGATATTGTGATTGAATCATCCTATGGTTTAGCTGGGAAAAGAAGAAAAATAGACTCACTTGTTGATGCTGAGGAAGGGATTGAATGGTGTCGATTACTGGTGTCCTGAATGCCTTTGATAGAGCAGCTGCCATGTGATCAATTTTCACCTGCAGCGGGTTTAGCAAGTCATTGAGGGACGGATTAGAACATGGGCGAGATGAAAATTTAATGAGAGGCTTGTTTCTTGACGCTGAAAGGTTAACATGTTAGGTTTCTTCTACTGTTAGAGTTAGGGAGTGTGGGTTAAATTGGATGATGCAGGGCAGGAAATGACTTACAACTGAATTTCCTTGAGTATCTGAGTCCATGTTATTCGTAGAGTCTCTTACTTCTGCTTCCAGAACCTCAACTGCAGATCTGAAATAAGGGAACAGGATTTTCTGTTTAGTCAAGTAAAAGATTGTGAAAGTGTTACAGACAGCAATTCAACTTCACCATTTGGCAAACACATAGCAAAACTTGAGAATACAAGCCAAAACAGACTAAGGAAAGAAACTGCAAACCTGCAAACAGAAAGTGCTTTGCGCATGTCACCAGATGCAGCTGCAACTTTCTGTAAACACGAATCAATTGGCAAATCAATCTGATGAAATTCTGTTTTCACATCAAAGGAAACTAGAAAGCCCATAAGATAAAAGATGTGTACTTACTCTGGCACATAGCTCCAAAGCTTGTGGGTGGAAAACTATATGAGGTAGTGCCTGGGATACAGCAACAACACATCTTACAATTAAAAGCCGGCATAAGATTTTCCTAATCATATCAAGTTGCTACTTCACCAAATTCCATTGACCCTTATACGAAATGTAGAAAATAGAAATAAAAAACCGAGAGTTACCTTGAGTCTCTCCTGAAGGATTTGGAGTATTTGATCTTTCGAATAGGCTCGATAAGTTACCACCAAGGGCTTACCTATCACAAAGACAGCGATCAAACAATTCAGCACATACTGAAATCGAAGCTCATAACTAACACCCAGTCCACATTCAAATTCTTCTCACAATGTTGGCCAAGCAAGGGGAGATTAACACAGTGAAAGACAATTCACTCGAGCAAATACATCTTTGGACATTGTTCTACATATTAAAGACATTACAATTCGGAAGGTTCATTTTTTTCAGCTAGTGAAGAACTCACAATTCAATGACTGCAGTTTCGGAAGAAAACGGTCAGCAAGGTCTATGGCATTTGCTATTCCTGCAAAAGATAGAGCACATAAGCAAAATTTGATCTTCCTGCATGAAAAATCCAATAGTTGCTCAGGTTAATATTGCCAAGAGCAGTACCTATCAGTATACATCTAGAGAAAGGTAGAGTTGTCAGCATGAAAAGATCATGAAGGACAGCTCGGTCTTTGGTAATTAGGTAATCCAACTCATCAGCAATTATGAGGCTGCAATGGCAAAATCATTGGTTAGTTTCGTCCCTAGAAGATCAAATCTATGCTTTCATTTGCCAATTAACAGTTCTTAGTAGGGTGGCTCTGCAATCATAGAGTATAGGGGACTGAGGTCTATGGTTCTTACAGCATCTTTGAACTTGAAGATTGCTGCTTTTGAGAATACAAGTTCTGGAGATGTTGCAAAGGGACAGTGGTTCCACTGGTCTTCACTTTCACATAGCCATTATCAACTATCTGCCAAACACAAGTAGTTAGAATAGTTAGCACACTCATTGCATCTGAACCATCCGCAGATACTGGAAACCCTCAATAAATTTACCTTGCCGAAAATCTGAGAAGAGCTCGTAAGCGCGGTACAATTAATCGAAAGTACTTCTGGAGCCTCAAACCCACCCTATCAAAGAGAAAGAACTCTTAACCGTGATCAAAGTTGAATAAAAGAGTTAACTTCCTTTCAAAATTTCAATTGGCAAAAGGCAGCATTCTATCCTTACATCTCTGGCCCATTCAATCAGCCAATTCGAAACTTTCTCCATTGACAAACTCTTCCCTGTCCCAGGGCATCCGCACATATACAAGCTCCCAGATTGTTCCTTCTGAACACAAGCCTTGCAGAAATCAAACACTCTTCTCTGCTCTTCTTCGCGGCAAACGATTGTTGGGGGAGCTGTCGATACGTGCAGCACCTCCTTCACCGCGCTCACTTGCGATGCATCTACCAAACGAATTGAAAAGATTAACTATAAGCTCAATTGCCAAAAAAAGAAGTCATCAAGAATGAAACCAAATAGCTATCTCTCTCTCATTCTCTCACCACTAGGATTCCAGTTCAGTTTCGCAGAGAAATCGTCGCTCAATTCCTCAGCAAGCGATTTCGATGAGTTCGAAATCTGTCCAATTGAATCGTTCCTTGTTGACTACACAGCGAGAAAAAAATCAGATCAGATACCTTTAGCCTGAACTCCACTTATGGAGCGAGGAGAAAAAGAAAACTCACGACGGTGGGATGAGAAGAGGGAGAGGAGTCGAGACATCGGCGGGGCGACTTCCGCTTCGTCGGAGCAGATATCGGGGTTTCCGGCGCCGCCGTGGAGTTGGATCTCAGTCTCCGCTTCTGAGGAGTAAGCGATTCTTCTGCGGATCGGGAAACGGCGAGAGAAGGCATTGTTTTTCAGGATTGAAGATTTTTCCGACTGATTCGAAATCGGCGATTGAGAGGACAATTTGTTACTGCAGGTGAGAACTGAGAAGAGTGATTTGAAGTTGAGAATTAGGGGAAAAATAGGTACAGATATGGAAAGGGAAGAAGGGGTTTTCTTCGCGGCAAAATGTGTCCGTAGGGAATTGATCTCCCGCCTCCAAATTTGCGCCCAACTCAAACAGTCAAACGTCGTTGGCGCCACATTTTTGGGCTTCTGGCCGTTTTTCCCTTTCGGCTGATTGAACTCATCTTTCGTGATTTTCCTTTATGGGCCGCATCTTTTAAGTCTGGACTCTCAATTATTTGGGCCTAATATTGGGCTTTTGTGCGAACAATTGTATTCGTCACCAAGAGGCTACGCTTTTCGCATATTACACGTTACCCTAGTGTTTTGTAATGTAGAATAACATGTCGTCGCCAAAACTATCATTGGTTGTAAACAGACGAGTCATCCATGATGCTTAATATCCAAAAAATGAACTTTGCAACGAATGTGGCGTCGCTAAAAGTGAGTATTCCATGATGCTTAATATCGCAAAAAATGCACTTCGCAACGAATGTGGCGTCGCTAAAAGTGAGTATTCGCGACGAAAAATTCAATGAAGTATAGAGATTCTGCTGCGACGTAAGGTTTCATCTGGAATGTCCTCGATGAAAGTGATCATTGCACAATAGAACGACTTCCAACAATAACGCCCATGTCATTGCTAGTTGATTTATGGACAACAATTATTTGGCCATTTATGCATGACTTTTTTGGGGTTTTGTTTTGTTTATAGAATACTAGTTCGTGATTAGTAAACATTTAATATAAAAGAAAACTAAAAACATTTTATAGTAAACTAAAACATTTATCGACAACAATTATTTGACAATTTAATTTATGCATGCCATTGTTCTCTTTAATTAAATTAATCCTCTTCAAGGTAAGGAGAAGTAGATGAAAGAACAACTTTCTAATGCATTCTCATTCGGAGTTTCAATCACCCCCGGCCACGGTCAATCTTAACTATTTGAGCTAACTTTTGAAAGAAAAAAATAAAATAAAAACAGCAATGTTGATGATAAACTTATGGACCATGCACCAGCTACCAAAAACAGCAATGTTGACGATAAACTTATGGACCACCAGCTACCAGCTAGGACTATGGGCGGGCCAATGATCTAGCTGACAACGAAGCCAATCATACCGGATCAATATTTGGATCGAAGAAAAGAAAAGGTCGAATTTAAATTTTGATTGGACAGATTCGAATTAAATGAACCAAACTTACTCTTGGTTCGGTTCAAGACCTTTATTCCCTTTGTTTTTGGTCCGAACCTATCTCAATTCGATCCGGTTTTGGACCACATCGACCAATGCCATACCTACCTCTAGCTAGGACTGGTAGGAGGAGCTTTTTTTTTTTTTTTACAACAAACATCATTCATTTCATTCCAAACCCAAACAAGTGGGAAGAATTACAATTACAATAATGGAGCAACAAGGTCAGCAATGACAGGAGGAACCTGTGACATCGCAAATCAAGAGTTCCTGTTCATGGCGAGGAGAAAGATCATTAGTGCTTTATTTTGTAGGTTACGAAGCTCATTCCGATAAGGAATTAATGTACAAGCTGAAATTTGTTGCTCAATTCCAAATTTCATACTATGAGAACGAAAGTAAAAAACAATAAAATATTAATAATTAATCTTGAGCATATGTGTCTTTCATATTTTTCATAATTAGATAAGTGTTGGTTGAATCGAGCGCGGGATTCTTGTCGTAACTCCTGTAAAAACTAAATTGACTTTCGGGAACCAAGGGTTAGGGTTTTTTGATTTTTTGCTTCGAGCTATCTCAAGCTATCTCCCTGACTTTGATACTACTAACCCTCAAGCTATCTGCCTGACAACTCTCTCTTTTTCTATTCAATAACAAGTACTCTCTGTAACTCAATTGAATGGTTATCGAAAAAGATAGATGTTCACCCCGCTATTCTACCCTTTTTATGTTATTGTTTTGTTGACCGTTGAGCGATCAAAGCTCTTGATTGCCGCGTCTGATCTTCATATCCAGACTCCCCCCTTTTTTTTTTATTCTTGCTGCTTATTCTTCTTTCCATATTTTCTCGGTGCCATTGATGAAGCTTCCTCCAACAATAAGATGATGAGATATTTGGATCAAACCTTCATTTATCGAGTAGTGTCGTTACAGATCATCAAATTGTTTCGAATGAAAATACGAGACGATAAATGAGTTGATCGAGTCGGCTCAAATCATGTTGGGTAGTAGTTCGTATATTGAATGATGGTGGGTGCCCTCGTAACTTGGCCCATAGGGACGATATAGTTAAAGCCTCTGTGCCTTGTTTTTGGATACTGGACCACTCGCGTACACCAGGTCCTTTTCTGGTTATTTATAATTTCACCAACTCTATGGTTGGTTTTTTTTTCCATTTTAGTTAAGGAGGCGATAGGCTATGAAATCTGCAGAAGATGTCATCTTAAGAAGATGTGGTAATGAGAGAGACTATTCATGGCATGAGGAGGGTGGTTGTTTGTACGTAATGTCGGGGATGCATGTCTTAGATAAGTTTTGAACATGAGTTGTGTTGGATGTGTCAAAAATCCTAATCCACAATTCTACTATCTCTACACAATTCCATAAGTCTCAAGACTACAAGCTCTACATCCATCTGCCAACTACCACCTACATCAATAACTATACTAAAATAATTGAAATAATCTGCAACCATACTCTAAACCTACCCATCATCTAAATATCAGGATATTATGTCTTGTAAGTGGCGGTTGCCACTAGTATAAACAGAAGCCTTTGTTAGGCTTGAAAGAAGTAGAGAGAGCCGGAGAGCATAAGCTCCTCTTAAAGGGTTAAGACAATAAACTTGCATGATCCAAATGTGAAAGAAAATGTACGTTGAGTGTTAGCGAACTAACCGTTTGGTCTCAATAACTCGAGTTGTTGAGAAAGGGATAATTAAATTTTTTAACCTATTATATTGAATGTTTGTGAGAGTGGAAGCAGAACAATAGAATAAGAGTCACAGTTCTTATTAATGCAAACCCTTAACTATTATGAAGGCGGTTCACAACGTATAACAAAACAAATTGCAGTAACGAAGGCGTTCTGGTTCACCTGGCTTTGTCTTTGTTCTTTTGAGCTCACACGTTTTATATATGAGCTTCTTGACTCTCATGTACAATTTCCTTTATTTTTTTATTATTATATTCAATCCCCTTCATCAAAAACTTGCAGGAAGAAGCGAGCAGTGGACTCGATGAAGAACATAAAAAAGAATTATAGGGTTTTGAAGAGTTTAAGATCATAGTTTTGATATCATATTAGGTGACCAGCCATGATTTCATCGATTTTGAACAAGGGTATATTTATACCCAAGGAATTACATAGAAGACTAGCTAGATACAAAAGTGCAAAGGAATTTAAGGACTTGTTTGTCCGTACTACTTTCCATACATGGGTTTAGGGATGACAATACGGTCCGGTCCGGTTAAATTGGAACAAAATTGATCTGGTCTCAGTCCGGTCTTTTCGCGAATATAAGAACAAAAAATTGGATTGGATACAATCCGGTCTTGATCCGGTCTTAACCCGGTCCGGTCCCAATTTGATCTTGATTTTAGGTGTTAGGAGTCTCTTATCCGGTCTTTATCCAGGTTTTTTTACCTCAAATCCAAGCCCGAATATGAGATTGGATTGTTTGCTATCCGGTCCCAGTCCGGTCCCGATCCAGGTTATACGGTCCGGTTTCGGATAAAACCAAACAATCCGGACCAAATAGCCGGTCCTATGAAAGAGTTTGGTCTACATTTCACGCATGATCGTCTAAGACCAGCCTTTCTTGGCGACCATTATAGTTAATGTCGTCTCGTCGGTCGTGGACTTGTGCAAGTTCACCGTCCATACGGTGCCAGCACTACTCATGGTCCTTTTCGAGCAAAGAAAGAGTGGTAGGTACCCGTTATTGTTATATAAACCAAACAAGAGAGCCATACCTGTTATTGTGATAATAAGTTCAATATACTCTCTATTTCCAGAAGAAGAAGAAGAAGGAGTGCGTTCTCCCAAAAATGGAGGTTGGAGGTTCTCTTCCCGTTCCCAATGTTCAACAGCTTGCTTCGAGCTCCGAGGGCGTGCCCGTTAGGTACATACGTCCTGAACTCGAGCTCGAACGAGTTTCTAATGACGAGTATGATCGAATTCCACTGATCGATATGAGCAAGCTGAATGATAATGTTCGTGATGATGGCGATGATGAGGCCGCTAAACTACATTCGGCTTGTAAGGATTGGGGATTCTTCCAGGTACGACTCGTGATCAAAATCCTTGATATATTTCTTTTTTTCTCTTACCAAGTTAGCAATCGGCCATTCAAATGGATATTATATATACTACCTGATCAAAACTAGAGATTGATGTCTATGTCAAAATGTAGGTGATCAATCATGGGGTTGCCGAAGAGGTGATCCTGAAAATGAAGGCGGATATTCAAGAGTTTTTCAGCCAACCATTGGAAGAGAAAATGGAATATGCACAACTGCCAAATGGGATTGAAGGATACGGCCAAGCGTTCGTTGTGTCGGAAGAGCAGAAACTTGATTGGGGTGATATGTTATACATCAATGCACAACCTATTAATCGAAGAAACATGAGGTTGTGGCCATCTTCGTTGAGGTTGTTCCCCTTTCCATCACTTTATTCAAATGAAGATATATGTCTTCATAAATTAGCATATTTTTCTAAGTTGATTACTTTAAAATGTCTCATGTTCTAAAAAATGAATCGGGTTTAATTATTCTTAATCAGAAATCCATCATAATTGTTAGTTTTACTAATTGCCTTAAATTGGTAAATCGTATTGTATAGATTGGATCATGATATACTCGTATCAAGATTCTTAACAATTTTTCCACCACTAAACCTTAGCTAGACTAAGAACATCAATTCTCATATGAGGCTTCATAAAAACCCATATTAAATCCAAACTCGCTACCCATTCACAAAATTAGTATATTTTAGCCTCGATTATGACCAAACGTTCTGGCTTGTCCTTCTTCCATCAGGGCATCTCTTGACCAGTATTCAATAGAACTGGAAAAAGTAGCTAGAAGCTTGATGACTTCCATGGCTAAGAACCTTGGAGTGGAGCCCGAAAAGCTGCTCGATTTGTTCAAAGAAGGTGTGCAAACGGTGAGAATGAACTACTATCCGCCATGTGAGCAAGCTAGCAAGGTCATAGGTATTGCCCCACATTCCGACGGCAGTGGATTGACTCTTTTGAACCAAGTGAATGAAGTACAAGGTTTGCAAATCAAGAAGGATGGAAAGTGGGTTCCCGTTGATCCCATTCCAGGTGCATTCATTGTTAATGTCGGCGATATTATTGAGGTAATAATTAGACACTCTTTAGCATATATAAAAACCATTTCATCTTTATTTTAACCTTGTGAATGCATTGACCACAGATTATGAGCAATGGAGTATACAAGAGCATAGAGCACAGAGCATTAGTGAACCATAAAAAGGAGAGACTGTCAATCGCAGCGTTTCACGATCCAAACGTAGACGCTATGATTGGGCCATTGCCAAACCTTCACACCCTAGATCAAGAGAAACAAGCACCAAATTATAAATCCATATCGCACCAAGATTTTAAGAAGCTTGGGAGGAAGATGAAACTCGACGGCAAAAACAAAGGCTTGATTCAATATCTGAAAATACAAACAGAAAAAGAGCAATGAATTCCAAGCCCCTCCAAGGTCAAAAGTAGCCGAAAAGTTCAGACCTAATAATCATGCTAATGGTATGTTTTTCTTATGAATAATCATGCTAAAGGAATGTTAGTTGTTAAGAAGAAGTGAAATTGCAGCAGCTGAAGAAGTCCTTATCCTACTTGGAAAAGGATCGAAAGTGACGCCAAGTTCATAAGTATCAGTGTCAATAAAAGGAACAATGACATTTTCGTTCACTGTTTGTTGAGTCTCTCATTTGATTTATTGTTAGTTGAGTCTCTCATTTCATTTCTAATAAAACTTGTCAGATTGCAAGTCTATTGAGCCTTTATTGTTGTATTAGAGTTCAAGCAAGCTATAACCAAGCTATCAAGTAGGCTTTCTAAGATTCGATGGTGATTATTATCATTGGATTCTATAGATGGAGAATCTGCTTTGCTCAAAAGAGTACTTGCCGGAGTGTGGTACAAACCATATTCAAAGAAACAAATGCCGATGCAACCCTGTCTGAAGTTGAAAGCCAAGAACTATCTCTTCAATTCCATTGCTTTTAGGATTGGGGGAATGGCGATTCTTCTGCGGATTCTTCTGCGGATTGGGGGAATGGCGAGGGCGGCGAGAGAAGCCATTGCTTTTAGGATTGAAGATTGTTCCGACTGATTCAATATCGGCGATTGAGTTGAGTGGATAATTTTTTAAGTTAAGAATTATGGATATATAGGTACTGATGATGATAGCCCATAAAAAAAGATATATAGGTACAGATATGGAAGGGAAGGGTCCGCAGTCGTTTTTTCCTCTCTACTTTTTGGAGTCTCTTTCCGTCTTCTCACTGTCTTTATGTGGTGACGTTTCATCTTCCCAAGTGTTTGGAGCGTATTTCTTGATTTCAAATTTATCTCCCTCGGATCATCTTCATCTTCTCACATGCATGTACAAAATCACAGGAATATGACACATAATAAACCACCCTAATATATAGAATGTGAGATTTTGCCTCCATGAAATTAAACTATTTGCATAGTGTTTATATTAGTAATAAAATTAAAATCAATTAGAAAATTGACCATCACATAAAACCACGTTGGACATGTTGCTCGGTAAATCCTAGTCACTCTCACGAGCTTGGAGTTGAAAATCTCACACCCGTAAAATGTGTCAGTTTCATAGCATTGATTGTTTACAAATTGAAACAACCTTACATAACTTAAGTAGGAACAAAGCTAGCAGTACATCATATCAGATACCCTGTAACAAAAGTAAAAAGCAGCCAAAGCATTACATCTGTCTAATTCAACAACCATCCATAACACGGTCAGATCTTTCTAATTAATGCTTAAGTTTAGCTGTCTGTAGTCCACACCGATGCATCATCATATTCTGATTGAAAAATACACAAGCACAAACAAAAATGCACGTTGGCATTAGAGGCTGCTGGTTCCTTGGTTTCTCGTTTAGCTCGACCCATTCCTACCAACACCAACTCAGTTCATTTAGTCTTTATTAAATGAGAGGCAAAAGAGAAAGACCAGCAACATGATTTTTGGGGAAATTTGATGTCCAACGTATATGCTATCATTTTTAGCTAAGATCACTAATTTTGAAGAAGGCGAATAACTAATTTTTAACTCGCTGTCGCCCTATTTCAGAAGCGGGTTCAGCGTTCTCAACCCCTTAACTATTGATGAAGAGACCCACCTCGGAAGATCAGATACCAGTCTATGCAATCGATGAGCTCAATCCACTATTCCACAAAACACAATCACCGAAGAGATGCAAAACCCTATTTCTTCCATTACCCGACATTGCACTCGCCGTCGAAAGGTTTCAGAATCCGACTCGCCCTCGTACTGTTTCAAAATTTGTCTTGCCGTCACCCCCTGCTCGCAGCCTTCATTATCGTCGAGGAGATTTTTTTTATTGAAGTCACTGAAAAGAATCGGAAGTTGGAACGGAGAAGTCGACTGAAGCTGGTTTTATTTATTATTATTATTATTATTATCAAACTTGTCAACCGGTGCAACCGGTAACCAATGTCAAAATAAATGAAAAAATAATTAATTGATCAAGATCCAATGGCTCACAATATTTAACAAAATCCAATGACTATAAACATAATAAAGCATGAGTGCTATATAACATACTAAAATGACTCTTAATTGAGATCTCACTGCTCTAATTAATACTAGCGTGGGCCCCTGCCATTTGGCTGGAGGAAAGTGAGGTATGAAATTTGATAATGTAATGGGGTGTATAGTTTATTGTTGTATAGTTTTTTTGGAAAACACATGATAAAAATAGTGAATTTTAGTAGGAAAGAGACATGAATGATGCAACGAATCAAAAATCAGCCTTATGAACCAAAATCAAGTACCTACTACCTTGTGAAACAATATTGTTTCTGGTAATATGATGAGGTGGAGTAAGTTTTATAGAAATCGAATTCCAGAAAATCGAATAAAATATCGCCTATCCCGCCGGTTTTCGGGAAATGAGCATATCACAATCGTTGCTAGCTTTTACTCGGCCTGTTGGCCATTAATTTGCTTTATAGAACTTTCATCTTGTCATCATTGTGCTTTTTGATTTTTTGCCAAGCCATGATAAAATCAAAAGAAATCAAGAATGAACAACACGATTTGGGATAGGAACCACCGTTCCTGTATCCCTAGAAAATGGTGGTAAACACGGACTCACCTGCCAATCTAGTCTGGATTGAGATTTTTATCGGGTATCAGGGAACCATGTGATTATAATTTAGACTTGATCAAAACGGGCCAAAACTTGAAATTCCGCCTGTTTGACCGACCCATGCCAAACTTTAATTATTCTTTACTTTTAGGGTGTGCCTACGGTGACATGCATGTCACGGTGACTTGCACTTTCCTGTCGACCTCAGTTAGGATTAGGTCGACCTCATTTAGGATTCGGTCGACCTCATTTAGGATTCGGTCGACCTCATTTAGGATTCGGTCGACCTCATATAGGATCCGGTCGACCTAATATGTTGTTTCAGTGTAAAAACATTTCATGGTGCCTACTTTAGATATTCATATCATACAATTGACTAGATGGAAATTGAAGACTAATGACTTGTTTTGAAGTTGGAGTGTCCCTCTACATATTGAAGTGATTGAGAGCTCGATAGGAAGTCCAGAAGACCATTTTTGAACCTCATCAAAAGGCTATGCCAAAACTGGGAAACTGCCTAGAAATGGCTAAGTCTGGAAACGTGTTTGTGAAGCCTATTTTTGAGCTCAATTCGAGAAGCATGAATGCGAGTCGAGTCCAGGAGCCTCTACCACGTTAAATTAGGTATGTTTTTATACAAATTCAAGGAATTGGATGAAAGATTGGATATCTTTAAGGCTTCAAACAAAAGGGTCGAAGTTGCTACGAAGGCTGTTTTTCTGGCAGACTTCGAGCACAAGCAAGCTGCCAGAAAAACAGCCTTCGTAGCAACTTCGAGCCTTTTGTTTGAAGCCTTAAAGATATTCAATCTTTCATTCAATGCCTTGCCTTTGTATAAAAAAATACGTAATTTAACGTGGTAGAGGCCCCTGGACTTGACTCGCATCCATGCTTCTCAAATTGAGCTCCAAAGTAGGCTTGACAAACACGTTGCCAGACTTAGCCATTTTCAGGAAGTTTCCCAGCTTTGGCATAGCCTTTTGGTCGGGTTCAAAAATGGTCTTCTGGACTTTCTATTGAGCTCCCAAGTACTTTAATGTGTAGAGGGACACTTCAACTTCAAAACAAGCCTTTAATCTCCAATTTCCATCTAGCCAATTGTAAGATATGAATCTCTAAAGTAGGCACCTTGAAACTGTTTTTACACTGAAACAACTGATTAGGTCGACCTGATCCTATATGAGGTCGACCGAAAAGTGCATGTCACCGTGACATGCATGTCACCGTAGCAAAGTCCTTACTTTTAAACTTTCTATTTCAAAATAAAAAATAATGAAAGAAAAGAGATGACTGCAATTTGCCATTTGCACATCACTGATTCGGGAATTAAGCTATAGAATTTCGAAAGGAAAATGAAAATGTTTAAAATCATTTTAATGTTAAAAATAACCAAATAGATCTTTCTGTTTAGTTTTTTACTAACAAATACCAAACGATTTCCTATAATAAACACTATAATTTAATCATTATGATATCAAATAATTACATAATATATATTTGAAATGATAAAAATTGGACTAATTGGGTTGGTCGAGGTTGAACCATTGAATAACTTTAAAATACATTATATTTTAGCCACTAAGATATAAAATAATAGCATAATATATATTATGCTAGAGAAAATAGCTTGTTTTAGAATGGCAAACCCATGATGTTCATTTCTTTTACTTTTTTTTTTTTGATGAAGAGTTCATTTGTTTTACTTGATGGGCAAATCCCGTGAGGTCAGGCCCATTCAACTATTTTATTTTATGATTAGCGGTTAGCCCATTAGAATCCATGCATTAAAAAGGACTATTGTTATTTTTTTATTTTATCTTTTAGCAATAAAAATGAGTATTGTTTTTGCCTTTTCATATATATTTTACCACCACGGAGAAATAAAAGGACTTAAAGAAAAAAATTAACACTCCTAAACCCGTTTAGATCCGCATGTGTACGTTAAGTTTCCACAGAAAAAAAAATAATTGACACTCCCTATTCTACCCTTCCTACAAACGCTCCAGGAGCAGGGAATTTGAAATGAGGAAAATATTTTTTCCTCTCTGCGAATATATGTTTTTAATTTAAAAACATACAACAAATGTATTTAGTGTAATTGGTTGTGATTTTTGCTTTTCTTTAAAGTGGTCATGGTTTGAATCCTAGTAAGTGTCTTTTTAATGAATAAAATAAGTAATTGTGAAGACCAAAATGTTCTTCCTACTTTCACTATGGTTGCAGGAAATTTGAAGTGGGGCTTCAACTTTTCTCATTTGCTTTTCTTTAAAGTGGTCATGGTTCGAATCCTAGTAAGTGTCTTTTTAATGAATAAAATAAGTAACAGTGAAGACCAAAATGTCCTTCCTAATTTCACTCTAGATGCAGGAAATATAAGATGGGGATTCAAGGAATGTGTTAGGGTAATTACTCAAAATTGAGTAATCACGGTGGCTACTAAAATCTACACCTTTAATTATCTCTATTTCACCCTAATTTTAAATTGATGGTGTAGATTAGATTAAGGGTAATTTTGAGAATAAAAAAATACAACACTTGATTTCTATTCTTTAAAGATTTAATTTCTATATATTATATCTAAACCCTACTTCAAGTCCATTTTCCATCGTTGTCAACACCTCTCATATCGGTTGTTCCCTTTCTCTGTTCGCAGCCACTCTCGACCACCATCCAACTATCAGCGGCCAGCCCTCCGGCTACCCCGCTAGTCTCTCTCTCTCTCCCCCCTCCCGCGCGCGCTGGGAGATGGCCGTGGTGAAGCTCTCTGGGTGACGGTCATGGTGGAGGGGTGAGATGGTGGCGGCAATTTCCTTCCCTCCTTATCTCTATCCACTGTAGATATATATAACCTAGATCTTTTTTTTTTGTAGTGGTTCGTTGTTTGTTTTATGCAACGATGTAGTATTGTTTTTTGTTTTGTCGCATTGGTATTGATTTTGTCGGATTGGTATTGTTTTTGTCGCATTGGTATTGATTAAATTTGCAATGGTATTGATGTTTTGTTTAATGGTAGTGTTTCTATTTCTTGAATGGTATTAGTATTTTGTGTAATGGTAGTATTTTGTAATGGATTGGTATTGATTTATTGTTTTGTTGTAATGGTATTGATTAAATCTGCAATGGTATTGATGTTTTGTTAAATGGTAGTGTTTTTATTTCTCAAATGGTATTAGTGTTTTGTGCAATGGTAGTATTTTTGTAATGGATTGGTATTGATTTATTGTTTTGTTGTTGCAGCATTTTTAGTTTGACGGAATGAAATCAAGGAAAGATTGAGGAAAAAAAGGAAGAGAGTTCTGGATGAAAATTGTGGAAGTGAGAGAAAGAGAAAAAAAATTGTAGTTAATATATTTATGTAATTTTCTTAAATATATTTTATTAAAAAGGCAATTAATAATTTTTTGTTATACCCAGTTTGCCCTTAGTAACCACGGTGATTACTATAAAATAGTAATCACCGTAACTTGTCCCGGGGATTCAAGTTTTCTCATTTGACTTTTATTTATTGTGTAAATAAGTGAAAAAGTAAAAAATGAGTCAAAGGGATTTTCTGGAGCCTCTGGAGCCAGTCCTTTTTCGTCCAAAGAAAGATTACGCAGACCCCTGGGGGATTTTCTGGCGGATATGCGCCGATTGAGGCTGACAGTGATATATTATCGATTCTCATATTCAGCTGTCTCCCAAAAATATTCCAATATTATTCGAGATTTTTTTTTTATTTTGTTCAGGTTTTGAATTTGATCTATCCTAGTCAGCATCACATGCCTGCTGCATAGTTTAAGGAGCCCGATCCCGACCTTCAGGTTGGAAAATCAGATTGATTTTGGCACGTTTCCTGAAAATCTGAGATATTGATACCCGAAGAATTTGTATACCGCAATAAGAAAAACAACCACTTACAAATTATTACAATACAAATTTATGTGGTTCTTCTCATTTACATAGAAGAGAAATTATGCTATCTCAACTTTTTATTAGGTTTTTCGCAGCAAATTTAGAGAGTTCATATACTCGCGGCTAGGGGTGGCTATACGGTTCGGTCCGGTTAAATTGGCCCAAATTGATGCGGTCTAGTTCGGTTTTTCCGAAAATATAAGGACCAAATATTGGATTGGATACAGTCCGGTTTTAATCCGGTCCGGTCTTGACCCGGTCCGGTCCCAATTCGATCTTGATTTTATATTAAGCTTGTGGGGATTTGAGTGGCCTAAGGTCTGAAAGGGTGAGGAGTTGGTTAAGTTTTGTACTAAGTGCAACGGTTTGTGACCGTTTATGCTAATTATCCTT